TAAAAAGTTTTTGCTTACTAATAACTTTATGACGATTTATGTTAGCTAAATTCTAATGTTATATTAGTATAGAAACCCCCTAAAAGTACCCTAAATAATAGTTAAAACCTATAATAGCATTAGTATAGACGAGTTATTAGACTTTTTCTCTAGAAATGCTATTTTAAACGCTATTTTAGGAATTTTTCCTAAAATAGCATTATATGTAGGGGTAGGGATAGGAAGTAAGTAATTTTATGCTAGAAAGTATAATTTAAGGAAGAGGGGGAAGGTAGACTTATATCCCTAGCAAGACTATATAACTATCTAGCTAGCGAAGTATTAAGAACCTACTAGTAAGATTATATATGCTCTATTTTAAGTTTCTATATTCGCGTACTAGATAGTAGAATGCCTTTTTATTTATAATAGTAAACGTTAAATATATTGTTTAGGAGTAGGTTAACTTTAATCTATATAAAAGCTAACTACTATAGTAAGTAAGACAATAAAGACTATAAGTAAACATATATACTATAGAAGTAGTATATAGCCTAACTAAATAATAGTAATAATAAGGGGTTAACATTTATATAGTAAGTCTTAAAGATAGAGATAATAAAGTAGGACGTCGCTTAATTGCTATATATATAACCCTACTATTATATAATAGGCGACTAGAAAAGAGTCTTATAGATAGAGTATAAGAGTAGAAGCTATAGTATTAGGCAATCGTTTATCCTAGCCTTAAGCGAAGCTATACGTATAGGAGAAGGGGTTTAATTAGCTAACATATACTTTTTTATAAGGTAAAGCTAGAAAACAAAATAGATAGTATAGTTATAGGGACGTAGAATAGGCGAAGCATCGAGTTATAAGTAATTACTAGTTTCCTAAGCTAGTAAAGGAATAGGTTAGGATAGGGAGAGCGTATAGTAGAGAAAGAAGACTATGCTACTTAATCCCCTAATCTCGAATTACTTTCTAAGAGATACATAAGTTAGGCTAGGCGTATACGTATATATAAGAACAAGCTATTATATAATTATGCACCTATAAATTGCTAGTACATTATACGTGCAAGTATATGTAGAAGCGTTTAGATAGTACAATAACATTATACCTGCACCTAGGGGTTTATATGCATCCTAGAGTTAACGTTAAACGTTGTTCCTAATAGACAAGCATAGCATTGTAGAGTAAGTGTTAGTACTGCCTACGGCGACTTAGAATACCTAGCTAGTGGACAGTTACTTGCGTCTTGTCGAAACGTAGGGCTCCCTTCATTATAGTTCTTAAGAGACTCTCGTTCCTTCCAATTCCAACATTTAGGGCAGCCGAAGGTAAGCTTGTTAGCCTGGATCCATTCTCTTGTAAGGTGCATCCACATTCATTGCGCTACTCTTGTGATTGCCGACCTGGGTTTGAATGTCGGTCCAAGATAAGAAACAAAGAGCACGGACAATGGAGAGAGACGTTAAGAAGGAGAGCGTGCTTAGAGAGACTCGCAGCTAGTCTTAAAGATAGCCTGGTCACAAGAACATCGGAGACTTGACTGCGTTCCATGGATGGAGGTGCATGTCTACATCTGTAGGTCCGTACATACAGGTATACAGCTTGGACTAGACTCGCCTGCACTTACTTGTAAGTTAGACGCATCGCTCTCTTCGAAGTCGACATGCGCGGTCAGGGTAGGGATCGATCGCAGAAGGAATCCTGAGAGCATCGCGCACTACACAGAAGGGCTAGCAACAGCACGAACGATGACTAGTAGAACAGGGAGAGAGTCACGAAGAAGGGACAGGCAAGATAACAGCATGTAGTGGGGTCGTCAATAGCACTGCGGCAAGTTCAAACCCAACTTGGCAGCAAGAAGCTCGAGAGGGCAGACAGAATCGTAGGTCGGGTGAATTGAGTGGTACTACCACAGAGCTGAAGCCGCATGGTACGCCCATCCTCTTCGTAGTCACGCTTTCACGAGTCGCGGCAAGATCTCACAGCACGGTCAACAAAATGGTCGGTTACCGGTAGCATAGACAACTCGCTCTGGCCTGCCGCGCCTAGATATGCGGTCACGGATATGCAGATCAGCAACCTGGTTCCCCTTATGACCTGGTTGAGTCTCACATCCTTGGAGCTCTTGTCCCGGTCTTGCTCTTGCTCTTGCTCGCGTGACTTGCTCGACAGGTCTCAGGGCTTGGAATAGTCGGTACCCGGCCGAGTGACTGACTAGACGAACGGTGAAGGTGGTGATCTGTCTGGGTTGCAAGGTATTGTTGATGTCAGGTCCGGTGCGACCGACGAGTATGAGATTAGGAGTCGGGTGGTAGGAGTACCTCGAGGGCTTGACAGGCTAGGGAGTGAACGAGACGACCAGGCGAGGGAATAAGCAGACACCGGCGGGTGGAGATTCACTGGCTTTGCCGTGAGTCTGGAGTCGCTTGACCTCCTGGAACATACGTCGCATTCTGGCAGATCGGCGGGACCATTAAGCCTCTCGGGCACAAGGGTTGTAGTGGCCTTCAGGCTCTTCCTAACCATCGCGCACACGGAGAAAGGCGTGCTCCTGCTCTAGAGTGTGGTTGGAGTCCACGCAGGTCCGTGGAGCGAGTCAAAAGGTTCGTCTGCGTCGTCGAGGGCGGTCAACTCATGAAAAGTCGCTTGATCAGACCATACGGTTCTGGATGAATCAGAGTGGGGGCGAAGACTCCCTGTAGCGCAAGCGTTGCTCGACTCCTCGAGACCGATCTGAGTCTGAGAAGACATGTATGGTGGCCTCTTGGCTCTTTCTAAACGTCGCGTGCGGAGCGGAGAGGGAGTTGCGGGCGTGGTTTGGAATTCTGTCGAAGGTGTCTAATGGGTGCTAGTCGGATCGGAAAGCGATGCGAAATGCCTATCCACTCTCATGAGAAGACATGCTGCTCAACCCAGGCGTGAGTGTCTTGTGTCCTCCTCTTGTCATCGCTACTTGGCTCGCGAGTCATCTCGTGTCGAGATGCGGGGAAGGCGAAGCGGCAGGGAGCGCATCTCTTGTTCATCTAGCAGAATGCGCAAGCGGATGGGCGTAATATCGTGTATGCATGCGTTGGAGGAAGGTAGCGCAGGACAGAAAAGGCGGCCGAGAAGATTTCCGTGTGACTGGTCCATGCGCGACACCTTGGTGGCCGATCATGACGCGGACTCGAAGAGCTTCAACCACCAGCGTCACCACCACCTCGACATGGCACGACACTCCCTCGAATCCAATGCGAACACACACTGTCGGCCGGCAGTAATTGATTCGAACACAGAACCTCGAGAGAGGAGACATCAAAGTTCTTCTGCGCTGTGTCCTGGTGGTGCGCTCTTCAGGTGGTCTGGCTCCGAAACAGCAGGCAGAACTCGAAGCTGCAGCAACTCTGCATCTTGAAACGATCAAGACTGAGCTTGGAATCTCCGACGATGTCCACGTCGTCTATCTCAAGTCTCGTCAGAGCAACATTGCTCTTCCCAACGTTGGTCACGAACGTCAATTTGGCTTGAAAAGCCTTGGCGAAGCGCTGGTCGCTACCCAAGGAACCCATCTAAACGTTGTGGCTCTCTCTTACACTGGCCTTACAACAGACATCGGCAGTCTGAGATCCTGGTGCAGTCAAGTCGCTAAGCAGGTCGAGTCCTTCAGCATCTCAGAGGGCATCACGAGCAGTGCGACTACTTTCTGCATGTCTACGGAGGGCAAAGAGCAGCGAAAAGGAGCCGAGATGTCATGACACCAGTCAAGCATGCTTACCACATCGATGATGTTCGCGAGTTCATCCTCGTGATAGTCGGACGGGCAAACAACGCTACTACATGAGCTGGCATTCCCGACCCCGGATTCAGGGAAGACGTCAAACAAGTCACACAGATGATGAAGAAGTTCGAGTACGACAGCGAAGTCTCAGCGATTTAGCACCGTGAAGTTGAGGGTAGGACGACCTTCAGGTCAGTATGCCAGCGGTGACAGTGTAGCGCTGAGGTCGGAATACCTGCTTGCTCAATGACATTTGCATGCTTCAGTCAAATTCAAGTCCTGCAAAAGCTTGGATGGAAGTTTGTCCAGGCATGGCAACGCTGATCTTCGTGTTGAATTTTCAAGCAGTTGGGGTGTTGGGTTGGTGAAGTCGTGGTGTGAGCCGTTGTGTCAAGGGACTTTCCTTTTCCTGGTCTTAGCACTGGTGCCTGCAGCGTGGTCCTGATGCAGACAGCGCAACGTTGGTATCCGACCCTGTATTGAAGAAGCCTTGGAGTTGTGTGGCAGCGCATCGCTCGAGAAGACATGTGTGGTGGCCTATTAGCTCTTGTGGTGGACGCCTGCGGAGGGACGAGGGCTGGGGCCATGGTATGAGCAAAGACACTGCGAGTATGCGACGGCGATTGCGTATCTGCTTGCGCGATTGTGTTGCAAGACCAGAATCTTTCGATGACCAGTCCGAACGACTGCCGCGTCGCATGCTCGAGTCTTGAGTGCCGTCGAAAGGCGTCGCATGAAGCGTGGTGCTGTCCAACCTCGCGGGCCATCAACATGCCCGCTAGCAGTGTCGCATACTGTTCAGGCTCTTCAAAGGCACATATCCCTGCTCTTACTCTTGCTGTCGTGATTTGTCCTGTAGCTTCTCTCGCAAGGACGCTGAGGATGTGCGTGGGCGGCGACGCGGGAAGCAGGAGCTGGTGTCTGTTCTTGGTGAGTGCTGCATGGGTATTGTCTATTACGCGCGGATTCATCGCTTGCGGCAGGTGTCGAAAAAACCGGTTGGAGTCATGTTCTTGTGCGCAAGAGGAAGAGAAACAAAGTCGCCAGAAACTCCGACGCACTTTCGGCTGCGCTGGTCCAAGCGCAGCACCTTGATGGTCGACCTCAGCATCCGAGAAAGTGTTGGAATATCATGACTGGGAGCTTGATTAGTACAGAGGATCAGAGCATCATGGCTACCGTCACCAAGCTACTGTCGCCAAAGGTGAGATTGCTCGACATGCTTATGCCTTGTTACTAAGTAGACTCGCTCAAGCCTCGGAGAACCAGAAAGAGCTTTGCAGAACCTTGTATTTGATCTTTTCGAAAGGCTTGCGCAGCACACCACTTACAAGGAAGACATACCTACCTTGTACTATTGACTAGTACTGGTGCCGCTATATTGTCGCTGACCCATTCTGAACAGAGTCGGCTCTAGGTAGCGCGGGGTTTGAGACTAACACGTCGTCCTGCATTTAGACAAAAATGTGACTGTTGTCCAAACTACTCAATCTCTCTTACTCAAAGACAGTCCGTTCATTTCGCACCCCGCCCAGTCGCCTAGCTTTGTAACAGCTCCAGGTGATCAAGTTCCCCAGAGGTGTTGGGGGAATGCGGCAGAGCGTGAAGATGTCATCTTGACTTACGTCACCACCCGCTCCGCGGTTCATTCGTCAGGCTGCAGGCAGCTCTTCACGTTTTCACTTTACAGGCTGACAATCTTCCAGAATCCTTCCAGCTTGAGGCCGACTGTTCCGTGTACCTGAGTATAGCTTGATTCTAAATCAAGAAGTAACAAGCATCGACAAGCATTAATAAGCATCAAGAAGCATGTATAAGATAGGGAACCAAGCATTATATCCTATCCTAACATCCTTCTTCTTCTCGATCAATTCATACCACTTTCCTCTCTTTGTGCCGAAGAAATCTCGAGCGACCTCTTGCAATTCATATCTTTGCAAACATGTCAAAAAGCAATCCAGAATCCTTGCCACCAGCCTACACCGATGAGACCTTGCGTGAACCTGAGACATCAGCAGCAGCTGATCCCCCACAATACTCGCGACGTACAGCATCCCAAGAAGCAGCCAATCTTAAAGCACTCAAGGAATGGGCAGAGAGACGTGACATGATAGTCCCTGGCGCCTACATGGAAACTTTCAACATCGGAGGCAAGAAAGTAGTCAATGGCCAACTCGTCGAGCAAACATCAACTACATCGCATCCTACGACTTCTCACCATCAGTTTCCTACAGCAGCAGAAGAGAAGGAGAAGCTTGGTCAGCAAGGCGATAATCACCCTGCAGTTAATTCTGGAGAAGCAGGTCCATCCAATTTAGATGATCACAGCAGCCGAGGATTCGGAAGACGTGTCTCAGAATTCTTGAAGAGGATCAGTCCAGCAGAACGAGCACAGCAAAGAGGGATGGCTATGAATGCGGAAGAAGACGCAGCCGACGCGAAGAAGTATCCGATGTCTGAGGGAACGTACGGCTGGGAAGATTATGATCCAAACAAGTCGCGTGAATGATTGACTGGTGGGAGATGCGTTGAAGTTGGTGTGAAATTTTATCTGCCATCCTGTATCACTCGTGTTTGCTACGAATTTTGAACGATTGCTTAGTTCATACACTTGACCATCCGAACTCGGTACGACGTGAGTGCCTGTCGATGAACTACCTCAGACTCAATCACAGTCCAATGTCATCGCATACTACCCTATCATCTCACAGAACCTTACAGTCCTGTCGCCAACAATTTGTCTCTTCGAGAGATAGCGCGCCACAGAAATGCAACACACGCAGAACCTGCCAACATAGCCACACCTATAAATACTTGAGCTTTCCAGAACGATCCAGTCTCGACATTGATCAACTTGCCCGAAACAGGAGTCCCAACCAAGACCCCAAAAGATGCTGAAGCCCAGGCCATTCCCATTCGAACGCCCACGACTTCCTTCCGAGGACAAATCTGTGGGATGATGGCAGGAACCAAAACAGCCAGGGGCGCCATTGCGAGACCGAGCATGGAGATCTAGACGATGTATGCATTGATCGTACCTACGGCAGTCCAAGCTGAAAGCATCACTCCAGTCGCGATCGAGGAAGCCAGAAGCATCTGCGGTATCCCATAGCGAGTGGACGCGCAGACAGCGAGGATACGTCCAGGCAATGTCGCCGCATGGGCAACTGCAAGCAGGTAGAACGACAGTGTCGAGGATGCTCCAAGTCTGTATCGCGCGAAGCTAGGGATGATGAAGAACGGGACCCAGTATGCTATCCACATGAAGAATAAGGCAAGGCAGTAGATTGCAAACATCGGTTCATACAGCGCTTTAAGATCAAAAAGTCTGCGAGACTCAGAGGTTCGGGCGCGTTGCTTCGTATGTGGTATCATGATCGACATTGCGATGGTAAGTTCGACAAGTGTGATCAATCCCAGCACTTGGGTCGTCCACGCAAAACCGATCCGAGGAAGAAGCTTCACAAACACGATAGGGTATAAGATTCCACCTGTTGTAGTAGGTTAGATTCTGTACCACAGCATGTGAACGGAGGTAAGTCGTTGCAAGACAGGGCGGTGACACTGACGTTGACATACCAAAGGCGGTTCCGCACGTCGCCAGGCAGATAGCATGGGCTCGTCGTTTATGGAAACAAGAAGAGACCAAAGCGATGCTGGGAGTATACAGCATACCGCTGCCGACACCAACGCAGAAGCCTTGCGTCAACAAAACTTGATAAAATTTAGTTGACAAACTTAGCAAGATAATGCCCGCGACTACCAAAGCAGACCCTACTAATAATAGCTTGCGGACGAAGCCGCGATCATAGATGGGACTAGATACTACTCCTCCTAGAATGATAAGGATACCCTCGACGGTTCTAACCTAGGTAATTATTATAGGCGAAGCCTCCTTCAGCAGTGCCGACTCGTAGTAAATCTGATAGGATCCATAGGCGCTAAGGAAGCCCCTGTGTTCCACGAAGTCAGAAACGCATCTAGACTTATTGATGTCAGATGAGTCACCTACCATGTTGCAGTGTAGATGAGGTAAGCTCCAATTGCTTGCAGCTAAGCGCTCATCCCCTCGCTCGCGGCTCCATGGGCCAGTTGGCTTGACATTGTCGCATCTTCACGACCTGGCAGCTCCACCGAAACATGGCGACTTTCCAAAGAGTGATCGACATCTGAAGTTGGACTCATGCACTGGCTGCTGGTCAATTCGATGTCGTGCCTTGCAGAGTTTGTAACGAAGGGAAAAGGTGTAGAACGGGGAAGACAGCAAAAGGGCAGGCGACGAGCCCCAGTTCAGAAGTCACCAGGTCACGTGTTTTTGGCATGGTACTACCCCGCCCCATTTGTGAACCTGCACCAACGAAAACCGATAAGATCATGTAAAAACCGCTGTTGCCTGCAGATGTGAAGACGGACCAATCTGTGTCGCCGAGAATGACGCGTTCTGTAACACACATTTGTCAATCGCTTATCGAACCTGTAAAAGCAGGGACTACCTGCTGCCTCCATACAGATCATCTTTTTCCAGCGTACGAGTGCTGCGATCAAGTAGTCGAAGACAGAATGCGTCTTTCGTTGACCAATTCGAAGGACCTCTGCTCGTCCAAAACGCTGTACCGATGACCCTGGCTACCATGGTCAAGTGAACGCCGAGGGTATTTCCCCATCTGTAGGCCCTAGTGACTTTGTCTCCAATCTCTATCCGGTCTCAGGTTCTGTTCGCCTAACCCTTGAAGGGCGCACCACTGCTTCACGATCGGTGACCCATGAATGGTTGCTCAGCATATTTGAAACTATGAACTTGTTGATTCGCAAAGCGCTTGCACTCAACGGCCCACCGGCTTGTGATTATGCATGGAGCACTTTAGACCGGATCATGAGCGAGACGGAGTAAAGTGAAGGCTTAGAAGGTTCGGTAAATAAGCAAAGTAATGTGATGCTAAGGTGTTGAAGTTTTCCAGGTTTTCGGACATCAAGGTGTTGCGCAAGGGCCAGTCGAAGCGAAATCTTCGGGACTCTCCACCTCGAGCTTGTAAACGTCATGACTCTTTGCGACACACTCAACGCAGCCTCTCAGTCTTTCCTACTGACAAAAACAAGCTGCAAACGCACATCACATCAATCATGGCAGTTCAATCCAGAGTCGCAGCTGTCACAGGCGCAAACAAAGGCATCGGTCTCGCAATTGGTACCCGTCGCCATCTTCTGCTGTGAAGCCTTCACTAACTAGCCGACAGTCCGCAACCTCGCCCTGACCTACCCATCGTCTCCACTTTGTAGCGGCCCCCTTCTTATCTACCTCTGCGCACGCTCAGCATCCCGTGGCGCCGAAGCAGTCAAGACTCTTCAGAACGACCCACAACTCAAGCAGGCAAAGGTCCTGGCAGAAGATGGCGGCGACACGACAATCACCTTCCACGAGTTTGATGTCAGCGACAAGTCCAGCATTCACGCCTTCCGCGACTTCCTGCAGAAAGAACACCCCGACGGCATCGATGTCTTGATCAACAACGCCGGCATCGCCATGGAAGGCTTCGACTCCAACGTCGTCAAGCAGACACTTGCGACAAACTACTACGGCACCCTCGAAGCGACACAATCCATCCTCCCCCTCATTCGCGATGGAGGCCGCCTCGTCAACGTCAGCTCCATGGCTGGCAAGCTCAACAAATACACGCCCGAACTGCGCGACGCTTTCACCTCCGCCTCCCAGTCCGGCGTCCCCGACTGCACCGCCCTCATGCAGGACTTCACAAGCGCTGTCGAGGCAGGCAAAGAGAAAGAGCAAGGATGGCCATCCGCCGCATACGCCGTCAGCAAGGCCGGTACAACTGCTTTCACAAAGGCCATTGCCGCCGAAGAAGACAAGAAAGGCAGAGGCGTCCTGATCAACGCATGCTGTCCTGGCTACGTCAACACCGACATGACAAAGGGCAACGGCGTCAAGACTCCCGACCAAGGCGCAAAGACCCCCGTCATGTTGGGTCTTGAAGACTTTGGAGGCTCGTCTGGCGGCTTTTGGCAGAGCGAAAAGATCATTGAATGGTGAGGGAGGTGTAACACCTACAATACAATACACTCAGCGCAAGCAATGAGAATGAGATTACGGTTACAAGAAGACTGCTCCCAGGCTCAACATCACTATTGCCAATGAGGCCAACCCTATCCTACTCTGTCGCACTTCGGCTTGTCCTGAAGACATTGTTAGCATCATCAGCATCCATACTCGCGCAGTCTCGCTTGCCACGTACCAGTTTCGACTCTCTCGCTGATGTTCTCGCAGTGTCCGATGAACCCGGGCGTGAGAAAACTGTGTATACACTTGTTGAAGTCTTCTTGGTCTGATGCGCAATAGTGAACGCAGTCGTCTTGAACGCGTATCCTCGCAGAATCTCTGTCGGTGCAACACTGAGCGAGGCCGCTCAGAATACTCGCGTTCGCAGTTTGCGGTGGTAACCCGACTTGACAGACTCTTTGACCTCCAAGTCCTGTGACATTGTAGAGAGGTAATTGAGCGCTTATGTCGCAAATGACTGGTGAGGTCGGACAAGAAGAGGCCGAAGCGGCTGTACAGCTAATAGTGAGGTCATGGTCACGATGGCATAGAATCGATGTAGGATCTCCGGAACGACAAAGCGAAATCTCTCACTCTTATGTTCTTGGTCTTGTCAAGCATCACTTTGCTCCACTTCATGCCAGGGCTCGGCCTACATCATGTTGAACGCTCTGGACTTGCCGGAACCTGGTGATGCATCAACTCCTGCGGTTTCCGGAACATTTCATCCTTCAATACCAGGTCACTGGGTCAGGACGTCATTCGTGGTAGCGCATACGGCCGAGTGGCAGCCAAGTTCATCTTGGCTGTTGGCACACTCTTCATTTCGCGCGCCCGGCGCCTGGCGCCTGCGAAGACGTCTTTTGGCAAAGACGCATGAATACCTCGCATGGTGTTGGATATCTCGGTCTTTCGCAGCTGTCAGGTGATCTTGAACATCTTCCTTCTGGGCGATGGAGTGAGACACCCTCATCGCGCAACTGCCGTGCGAGACACTTCGATCCCAGATGTGTAGCATCTCCAACAGCTACCTACCAGCTTTGATGCAAGTCTCGAACTCACGTCCAGTGTTTATGCTGCATAAGACTCGCTGAAACGCTACCCCCTGTGTCTGCATGTGTGCAAATTTCTGAACGAGGTACATGCTGCCAATCCCTCGCTACTCAATTCGTACGAAAAGGCAACTATTCTCGCAAGTTCAATGGACGGTGTGCTTGGTCGACTCAAAACGTTCCTGGTAAACAACCTTGACGTAATTACACTTGCTCGATCTTAAGAGCTTCGAGACAAGGGGTCCGTATGTACGCGCTACAAGGTTACGATGGGCCAACGGCGCTTGGGTCCAGGACTTGGGATAGCCTCCCGCCTGAACTATTCAAACATAATTTGCGCTGAGTGTTGAGACCTTCATTGCCTCGACTTCGAACGGATGACAGGAAGCGCATCAGGAGCTGTCAAACTTGGTTCTAGCGACAATCAGAACTACGCATCCGGTCCAAAAGTATATGCGACGTCGCTCACGCTTCCGCTGGCGCCACATTCAATCATACTGGTCTTTGCGATAGCGAACTTCATACGTCCAGACCAAGTCTCGCATTGTGTAAAGAAGATCTAGCGAGTCTGCCATAACCTCGCGTTTTAGGATGCGGACAACAGCGTCGAGCAAAGCGATGAGTGATATTCCACTATTCGGCTTGATTCCAACTCGACTTTTCGGTTTGCATTGTCGTTTTGCCCTGGTTGGATGCTACCTTGGCATCGTCGCTAAAGAAGTGGACTGCGACGAGAGCGCCAGCGGTCGCTACACTAGCAAAGACGCTCTAGAATGCACCGTTATCGAAGTACGTAATGACCGATTGGGCCAGGAAGCCACAGATGACAACAACAACTTTTTGGTGAGTCTTGGTAGTAGTTGGTGAGTTTTTGTAGTAGTGGACATTATTGTAGAGAACGAGAGGGTTTCGAAGTATCTGTGTAGATCGTGAGGAGCAGGCAGGCGGAATTCATGGTTGAACGTCTCAAAGACGTCGGCTGTTTAGGCTCTCGTAGGATTGTCACGAGTGATGGTCGATTAGTTTTGATCCGAGGGACAGATTTGCATGCTCTTGTGATAGAACGATGTATCCGCGGGTTGCCTCGGCGGAATCTGACTTGCGGTATTCGGCCTGGTCAACAGTTCAACGTGGGAACACTTACGTCCAGCTGTTGTTGACATTGTAGTGGTTTCAGAAGTAAGTTGTACACGTGGCCGCCGAGCGCGGCTCCCCACGTGTGGGCTTTGTATAGGAAAGTCACGAAGCAATATCCAAACCGCCATCTCCGGAGCTATAATACTAGCTCTCCGTCCACTCAAGCTTCACCTAGAAGCCGATTGCTCTTTCTTTAACCCAGGGCAGCTCATGCCTCTAATAGCATATCACAGTCCCTACGCCTCAAGATAGCATCCGGATAATCAAATGCAACCAATCTGCCATGGTCAAGAACAGCTATCTTGTCGAATTCACTAATCGTATCCAACTAGATTGATTTGTCAGTCAAGGACTTCCGCACTCGTGACGTTAGACTTACCCGATGCGCAATAGCAATGACCGTGCAAGATGCAAACTCATCCTGGATCACTTTTTGCATGATCTGATCAGTCTCAGCATCAAGGTTGCTTGTTGCTTCATCCAGCAATAGAATCTTTGTCGTCTGGAGGAGCGCTCTTGCAAGAGCGAGTAATTGAAGTTGGCCTTGGCTGACGGAGTCCTTTGATAGGATTGCATCAAGACCCCCACGTTCCGACACCAAGTCCCAGAGACAGACTTTGCGGAGGGCTGCGATGATGGACTCATCTGCTGCTGTACTACGGAGGTCGAGATTCTGACGAATCGACATAGGCAGCAACAGAGGATCTTGTGCTACTGTTGTTATGCTTGAGCGAAGCTTTTGGAGAGATATGTTCGCGATGTTCTGTCCGTCGATGGTTATGGAGCCAGAGGTAAGCTCGAGCAGACGAAGGAAGGTGAGCAAGAGAGAACTCTTACCGCTTCCAGTGCGTCCACAGATACCGATCTTCTGGCCAGCGGCGATCTCGAAGCTGATATCGCTGAGGATCAGACGTGAGTCATCAGCGGTATAGGAAGCTGACACATTGCTCAGGACAATACTTCCTGACCATGGCCAGGATGGTGAAGCTGGGTTTGTATGGTCGCAGTCTCGCTCTGAGCCAGTAGTTTCCGAGAACTCCTTCACTCGGGAAATTGCGGCGAGGGAAGTCTCCAGATTGGTCCATTCTCGAACAAATCGACCTAGAGACTGGTTGAAGCCTAGAATGTTGTTCAGAGCGACGCCCAAGAGACCAGCACTAGTTGAAGAGCGGAGCGAAACTGCCAGAGCCATCACCACAACGGCCATGACCGCGACGAGGAGGTCGAGAACCAATTGAAGCCATCTCTGGATACAGTACATCAAATAGTATGGAGTCTGGGAAGCATCGAGAAGGTCTGCATTGCGCTCCTTTGCGGCTTCCTGCCACCCAAAGGCTCGTATCGTAGCGACGCCTTCGCCTACTTCGAGGAAGTGTGAGTACACTGGGGCTTTCGCTTCAAGATCCATGAACCGAATCTGTCGAGAGGTTCGCAAGTACACTGCTTGGATGAGATAAATGGCAAGCAGTACGAAAGGGATTGTTATTGCCATGTACGCCGATCCGAGACTGATCAATGCGGCTTGTGCGAGGCTGTCGAAGAGTGCTATTGAATCATCAGCAACAGTTCAGACCAGCATGAGGCCTCGAACCTACCGATTCCTGAAGATAGAAGTGATGTGGGAAGTGTCATACTAGTCAAAGAGATATCTTGACTAAACCTGTGAAGCCTCGATTAACATGCGAGCGTGATCAATGATTCTGAAAGCCATGTACCTGTTCAGGATGTTTCCGGTGTCTGTCGACGCGAAGAAAGACAGAGGTGCACTGTAAGAGATCAGCTCAACGTACGAGAAGAAAGTCCAGAACGTTTACAGACATCAATGTGGTCTTCAACAAGGTCGAATGGAGATGAGCGACCGATCTTGGCATGATGTTGAGGAACATGATCCTAGCCTGTCAGATCTGAGTAGAGACGCTCGTGTAGCTAGTACATACCACATGTTGAGATTGGTGAAGATGTTGGTCAGGAGAGCAAGCACCACGAAGACAGGAAGATACAGCGAAAGATGCGTTCCACCATTGCTGGTCCAAAACTGGAGCCAGACCTCTGTTCGAGAACGATTAGACATGGGTGGATTTGCTTTCGGGTAGACTTACGTGAAAAATGACTGCAAAATGTGCCCGCGATGGTGGTAACAATGAATGCGATAAACCAAGTGAGGCCGATGGATCCGAAATAGAATCTGTAGATGGAAGTATCACCCATATTCGTCGAAAGAGCTTTGCGATCGTCGTCACTCGATCCAGTAGGACGCGCTTTGGACTTTTCGGGTGATGAAGATGAATCTGGATCTGTCAAGGGTTTAGTGTAGTCGGCGATTGTCGCGAAGGATTCAATCTTGAATGTAGGCGTGTTATGAGACGTGGTCAGCTCGCCGCTGGTATCGAGACGCAGGACCATGTCAGTGAACGGAAGAACAGCCACTGTTGAGCAATCAGTAAAAGATGTGCGTGCATATGATCAGGAATTGTGTACTAGAGTGGGTTGCTATGAGTACAGTGGACTGGCTCTTTCGCAGTAAGCCCTTAGGACCAAGGAGTCGTGCCAGCATCAATTGCGCGGTGTTTTGGTCGACGGCGCTCATCGCGTCATCGAGAATTAGTGTTCTTTGTCTAGAATAAACCGCCCGGGCCAAAGCCTGTTTGAGTAAGTCGTGACATTCATTGTTGATAGAGGTTGACTTACGACACGGTGCCTCTGCCCTCCGCTAAGAGTAAAGCCTTTACTCCCAACTTGGGTTGAATCTCCTTGTGGGAAGATCGAAAGGTCGGAGTCCAAACAGCAAGCGTGCAAGACTTCCTCGTACCAAGTTTCATGAATAGCGGTGTCCCGTGCGAACGGTCCACAAATGTTAGATCGTACAGACAAATTAACCAGCCAGGGAGTTTGAGCACAGTAAGCGACCGGACCTCGAAGAGGCGAGATAAGTCCAGATTCGACGCGGAGCTCACCGAGTAATGCTCTCAGAAGGGTTGTCTTGCCTGAACCCGTTGGACCGAGGAGCGCAGTGACTGACGCCCTTTCGATTCGAAACGATGCATGGGAAATAGCAGGTGGGGAAGTGGTGGTGGGACACACTGTAAGATCTTCCACGGTGATTACTGCTTGTTCCGTGTCGGCTTTTGCGATGAACGTCTGCAACTCAACCTCGGATGGATGCGAAGATGCAATTGGTAACGAGCTGTCACGTTCTATGCCATACCGTGCAATCGCCCGGTCGGACGCTACTTGTAAGAGCAGGAACTTTTGAAGTCGCTCGAAACAACCCATGGCTGCTGCAGATTGCGGCAAAACAGTCAGTAGTTTCGATGCAGGCGTTGTCACTAAGGTTAGCAGAGCCAGGGATGTGAATGCTTGAGCGATACCAAGCGACTCGGTGTGTCTGACAGTGGCTTGAATAGCATAAACGATAAATGTTATTGTCGGCGCCCACGTCGCAGGTATGACAGCTAGAATTGTCAGCCTTCCATTCAATGTGTGACAGGGTCTTGACTACAGACCAACAAAGTTCATGGCCAGAATCAGCCACATGAATCCTCTGGATGCTCGGAGTTCTGCCAAGCAAGCAGACTGTATCAAATGTTCGACAACAGAGCCCAAACCTAGTGATCACCGTTAGCAAGCTGGGTATATTAGACGCATGACGTACCAGACCCATGATCTTGACAGACTTCATTGAACCTAGTATGGTCGCAGTAATACCGATTCTCTTCTGAACCTCGCCACTCCAAGCTTTTCTTTTAGCACCAATCGTGCTCGAAACGAACCTTTGGCAGTAGGTGGACACTCCGACCAGTACGATAGGGACCACAGCAACACCACCGATCTGACTTGCCAACAAACCGATGCCCAAGCCAACCTATCGGTTTCGTGGTTAGCTCCAATCAAGCGACAGCCAAGGACTCCACTCACTTCTATCAGACGAGCCCAAAACTCGTTGATCTCAACCAGTGATCGTGAGAGAGCGTCGATGTCTAAGACTAGGTTCAGTATCATGTGTGCTTTCATCAAGAGGCGGCGTACCTGTCGACATGTGCGAGATCGCTGCATTGTCTGCATTCATGTGATCGGACAGTGCAATGGAGTGGTCAAAAACTAAGGAGACCATGGCGCCGCGGAACATTGTCAATGTCTTGAACATACTCTGCTGGTACCTGACCGTAGCCAGCTTGGAACGTGTCAGCTTGAGCACTTTCAGGCGAATTCTTGAGCTTACAGCAATGCCGACGTATATGATTCCGGTAGCGGCAATGAGTCCGTAGCCATAGTTCTCTGTCATGACATTGGTCGGGTCAGCCAGCAACTTGATAGCTCTAGCAAACAAGAAAGGCTGCGCATAGTTGAAACCTATCAAGAAGAGTCGAGCTGGAATGACTAATAACACCTCTGATCTGAAGCACGAGAATGATGCGAGTGGAAGCATCCATCTACTGGGTGGTACAGCCTGGCTTCCCAACGTGCACCGAGACTCCCAGGAGGTTTGCAGCTTCTGTGCCAACACCCTTGAACGTAGATCGGAACTGGTAGAATCCAGATCATCGTGCGTCATAAGCTTCCGGAATCCAGTGACAAAGGTTCGATTGAGCCACCATAGGAATGTACGGTTGAATGTATTGGCGATGGTCTCAGGGGGATATGAGCTAAAGGGCTGTCGGAGATATTCGCGCTTTTCACGCGCTTCCAACAGCGTTATGAGCAGCTTGGTAGCAATACCGAGGCAAACGGTCGCTGGGATAGCGACGTCGTCACCAGTGATGAACAGAGTGCGTGCTTGTATTGCATCGAAAACCATGGAGGCAACGAGATAAACGCATATCAAGGTCGAAGGTCGGACCGATCTCGAATGTTCTGTGTGTGAGAGAGGGAGGAAGACCAATGCGATAACGAGGGCCAACATAGCAGCCACTATTGACGTGGTCGTTCTTTCACATGCACGTGTGATCCAGAGAATGAGCAGAGTGAGCTGCAAGATGGCCAATACTGTTATAGCAGACTAGAATAGGTTGTGAGAACGTGTCTGACCGACCTAAACCGGGTAAGTACAGAACTTACAAGTTTGAACATATACATGCGACAGGGAATCGTCTTGATGGGAGACTTCCAGGTGGAGCGAAAGCGCCAGAGCGATGCGACAAGAAACAAACAGGCAGGCGCTATTTCGAGAACTGCCTGTTCAAAGAGCAGCGTGAAGTCGAAGCTCCCCGAACAACTTCCTGGACCAAACGTCGTGGCAGAGCAGGCGCACATTCTTAGGTCCATGATGGTCTTCGTCTTCGTACAACCAGAGGAGCGGTAAGGTGTACTGTACGTCAGCAAAGGTCTTAGGCGTCAACATTTCTGAGTCGCAATCTTTGGCTTTTCCGACCTTATCTATTCGTGCATCGCGCGTCCCACAAGTGCTTGGAACGAAAGCCGAGATAGGTAGGTAAAAGTCGCGATAAGAACCACAATCCGTGCAGCAACCCCTGACTATCAACAGCCTTTAGCGTTTCGGAACACCGGATGTGTCAGATACTTGTAGCATCTGTGCACGGCCCTGACTCCCGCAATCTGTCATCAAGCGTGAAGTCCCGTCCGAACTTGTTCGACCTGCCGAGAAGGATTCATCGCTTATGGATCTTGGCGTTCATGGTGCATCAAGCAAAAAGCTTGCAAAGCTGTGTGGGTGGACATGTCGTGGACGACATTCCGCCGATATCTGATACAAAAGAACCGGCCTATCTTGATACATGCCCAAACAATCTGCCTTTCTTTGTCACTTACTGTATCGAAGCCCGGCCAGATGCTTTACGCCAGTTTACCTTCGTCTGAGGACTTAACACATGCGCCTACCAAAGAGAACCCACCCACGCGTTCTTCATCGCACCGCAAGCTCAAGATCGCTCTCACCTCTATACTCGTGCTGGCCATAGTCATCTTCTCGGCTCTAGCGGCCGCGCATACTTTACACACGACCAAGGTTCCTGAGACTTGCGGTATTACCCCCAACGAAGCGCGCTCTCGAGGCTGTCAATACGACGTGATGTCCTTCGCGTGGACACCCCCGCGATGCTTCGACTCCGATCTGATGGCTGAATTTGCCAGCCTCCGCAATTGGACGTTCTTCACTTCTCAGAATGGTACAGAGGCTGTGCCGTATGACTCCGTTGCTCTCGGTGAGCAAGATGAACTGTTCGTGACTCAAGAGTTCCATATGTATCACTGTACATACATGTGGCGAAAGATGCATCGCGCTGTACTTGCCGCAGTGCCGCTGGATGGATACATTGGAAACTACCATCACACAGGTCACTGTGAGCGTCAGATTATGCAGCAAGCTCGGAAGGCCCATGAGATCAGCACAACTATATTCACCAAGTATGTTAGCTGTCCTTTTGAGCAAACGGATCTGGGGGATGGAGGCTGGTATAGGATCATCGACGGATCGAAAGTGTCCCCCAGCAAGGCAGGCGGTCATGGCCAGGGTTGACCGTGACTGTTCGTGATGGTGGTGACTTCCTATCGCGCTGGCGGCTTCAGTCTGATGTACACATTGTGGTTCATGTTTTATGGCTGTAGCGAAAGGGGAGGCTCAAAAGAAGGACTTGTCTTATGTCAATATCATCAACACCCATCGCAAATCGGTATTTCATCTGCTTGGGATGATCACTGCATACGTCTCGCGAGCCGTTCATAAGGTCTTGGAATGCGCCTTGAAAATTCTATCGGTCCTGGTCTAAGCCTTAATAGAGTTAGTATTAGACGAGTCTTAGTGTAGTATAAGCATAGACAGAGCCTTCTATTTCCCCGTCGACGAGGGTAAGGCAAGCGATAGCGTCTATACGAGCGCTCGTATAATGGTCACTTACACGAAATGGAACCTTTACAGCGATGTGACCTCTAGTTCCTTAGGCCTAATAGCATTTAAGACACAATCGCGTAGTTAAGAGCAACTAGCCTTAAGGCTAAAGCAAGCACGGACTCGTAGGAGGATTTCCGTACCGAAGTAAAGCACGAAATGTAAGTCTGCTACTACGACAAATCTACTAGGCTATACTATAGCTATTATGTCCCTATAAGGTTAATTAGTAGATATGATAACCTGCTCGTATTAACCCTTAATCTTTATCCTCTTTTAGTAGGTAATAGTTTACTAGATGATAGATATATTTCTCGTTAGGAGCATAACCCTAGACTTAGTAGATTAACCTTATTCTAGCTACATTAACGTAAGGGTCTAGGGCTTAGTAATGCTTAATATCTCTTAGCTAAGTGTGCTTAACGACATAATAATCGCAGANATAAGCGCGACCCTAAAGTCGAGTACGCTAAGAACTACAACATTAAGCTCGATAAGCGCGACCCTAAAGTCGAGTACGCTAAGAACTACGACATTAAGCTCGATAAGTAAGTACCTATCGTTTAGGACGTCTATGTTAATTAAACAGGTTTCTATTATAGATAAATGTTACTCTATAGCCCTTAGCTTAACACTTATTATATTATAATCTCCTACATTACGCTTATTCTATGCCTCTATAGACTTATATAAAGTGTACGGAAATACGACCTAAATATGTAAAAGGTAAAGTTAGATCCTCGTATAGATTAACCCTTGCCCTACATTACATTAAGCCTTTATTCTTAAGGTTAGAAGTCGTAAGAATTTGTCGCCTACGGCCTTAGAGTCTTATTTGCAACTTTTACTATGTTTCTACATATATATAGATATAACTCTATAACGAATAGATGTATAGTTATAATGTTTAGTAGGTGTATATAATGCATGTTATTCTATATAGAGAACATAAAACATTATCGTAAATATAGTTATATAGTAAGTAATCCTATGTTTTCTAGCTAGAATTTGCTTTGCTAAAATTTACTTACGATTATACTTATTGCGCATTAGATATATACCTCATTAGTCTAAGATTCACACCTAATATAGCTTATAATGTTACCTATCTATAGAACTAGTAATCATCAAAATCTAATAGCTATAGCATAAGTTATTAGCAAAACAAAATAGTATCGGAATTTGGGATTTGCTCTTAATTATTTCTTTTTTTGCAAGGTAAATAAATCGATGGAAACCCCAAATTTTAGACACTTTTTAAAACTACCTATTTTGATTATTTACGCAGCATATATAGAGCTATACTACTTAAAAATGGGATACACCTATAGCTTGTACTTTACGCAAACTATTCATGAATTTATAGCATATCTAGAGTAATACTTGTTATGTAAAACTAACGAACGACTTAAAATTTTAGAAGTTTCGTAAGCTTTAATCACTTTAAAGCCGTAGGTAGCAAATTCTTATAACTTCTAACCTTAAGAATATAATTGTGTTCGCGCCGGCCTAGCCGAGTTTTGCGCGGCGATACGGCGGCTATTATTAATTAGCTGTCGGTTAAGCTTATTATTCGCGGGGGAGATAGCTATACTATACTCTTAGCTTATACGACTAATCGCTAAAGTTCTCGCTAGTAGCGTAATAATTAGTATAGATAAGGACTCCGCATTTAGCCTACTCTAAAGATGCGCTAAAAGACCGAAAGCGTTGTCGTAAATACTACACTTCTGCTATACGTTATTACGTCTCCTACCTTTAGCTTCGATAACCGTAGCTAAGCAAGTGTCTTTAGTGTCCTCGACTACTTTCGTTATGCTCCCTACGATTTTACTTACTACCGTGCTGTTGTTATAGTAGTTAGGAGCTTTAGAAGCCTATTCCGACGGCCTCGCTTAGTTAAGATACGAAGTTACTTCCCTCCCTAATGCGCTAGCTTTGCTATCTGCTTTACATACCGGGTGAATATGTATACTCTAAAGTTCTCTAATCCTTATCGAGCTAATAACATGTGCCCTAGCTTAATGTTAATCTCACCTGCGCAGAATATAAGCCTCTTCTTCTAGCATTTCGTAAGCTCGCTTCTAGAATTAGCAGACAAAACCATTCTATAGTTCAATGGTGGACCCGGCTATAGCTTATTAACTAGAGCGATGCTCGAAACGGGACCTTTTAGGGTGCAAGTAGACGGCACTCTAACACACAACGCAGGATCATGGGCCGAGTTTGGGAATATGCTATTTGTCGATAACCTAATCGGCACTGGATATAGCTTTGCTCCTCCTAAACTCTTCGCCTCCGAGCTTAAACAGGCCGCCGAATCCATCATCGCATTTCTTGAGAACTTTTTCGACGAATTCCCACACTATGCTAGTAACAGTGTAAGTCAAGATTTGATGAGTGGTTGGACATAAGAATGCTTATATCGTTCGCAGTTATACCTGGCTGGAGAGTCTTTTGCTAGTCAATACATCCCGTACATCGCTCGGGCCATCCAACTGCGCAATCGCAACAAAGTTAGCCACTGGAATCTATCTGGACTGATGATAGGAAATGGGTGGATGGACGGACAAGCACAGTACCCTGCCTATCTGGATTATGCCCTAGCCAATGATCTTGTTCCAAAAGATTCATTGGAAGCTCTCAAGCACAAACAGGGAGCGTGCCTAGAAGTGTTGGCCAGTGGAGGGAGAGATCACGTTCGCTCTCCCAAATGTAAGGATCTGATGGGAGATATCCTGATGCTTAGCCAGAGAGACGGCAACTGCTTCAACATGTACGACGTGCGCAAATGGGACGAATTCCCCCGATGCGGTCTAAACTTCCCTCCAGAACAGACCAGTCTCTCTGAGTATATGCAGCGCAAAGACGTAGTGGAGATACTGCATGTAGATCCCGACTCAGGCCAATGGGTAGAATGCCGACCAGATGTCGGAGCAGCGTTCACCGATCAAGACTCCTTACCTTCGTCCAGATTACTTCCGGACCTCATCAGCGAGATGTCTGTTCTGCTATACGCAGGTGACAAAGACTTTGCTTGCAATCACCTCGGACTAGAGCGATTCATTCAATCACTGGAATGGAATGGTACTGCAGGACTACACAATCTGCACATCGATCATTCCTTACATGCCACATGGGTCGTTGACGACCGGGCTGTTGGGGAATGGTATTCAGCGCACCACTTGACCTATGTGAGACATTATGACGCATCACACATGGTTCCCTATGATCACCCTCAACAAGTCAAGCAAATGATCCATCGATTCTTGGAGAAGAGTGTTCAGAATGCAGAGGCCAAGTCCTTAAGCCATGTCGATGCAGGAATCACGTTACAATCTAGTCAGGAGAGATACGCCCCCGATTGGGGTTGGACACTATTCTGCATATTAGCTTTAATCGCTAGTTTCATGATAGTTATGATGGTCATCGAAGCAAGGTCATGTCTTTACAAATATGTGTATTAAATGTTGCAAGCATTTACTAACATAAAGTTAGACTACGATTCGTTGCGATTTAATTCGATTCCATTTGATTTTCTTGAAAGGTGTCAAGTCGTACACTGGTGGTGACCTCGCTGTAGAGCCAGATCTCGATCTTGGCTACGCAAGTGTCTTCACTGGCAAGCTGCCTATCACATATTATTCGGTCGGTGGTCGACCAGCTGAGTTGTCTCAACCAGGGAACAAACCAGTGCCCACAGCAAAGCTTAACAATGAGCCTTATCTTGAGTTCTTGCAGTACGTGCTTCAGCAGAAATCACCACCACAAGTCATCTCCATCTCCTACAGTGATGATGAGCAGACTGTACCTAAAAGTCTGCGATCTTCTCGCGCAGGCAGCCGCTCGTGGAATCTCGGTGATCGGGTCTTCTGGCGACGGCGGTGCAGCAGGAGCCGGCACGACCAGTACATGTGTCGGGCCTGATGGCAAACATCGCTTTGTTCCCACCTTCCCTTCATCATGTCCCTGGATCACAACAGTTGGAGCAACAGCATCATATGGTGGGACTGCCTCGTTATTTCCAACTACTTCGCCCGCCCCTCATGGCAGACGAACGTCGTGGCCGGGTATATCAAAGCACTGAACGGAAGTCATGCAGGTCTCTACAACAAGACTGGCCGAGGCGTCCCTGATGTCAGCCTTCTGGGAGACAACTACCTGACCCTTGAGTCTGGTTTTGCAAGCAGATGTAGTGGCACAAGTGCTTCGGCACCAGTCTTTGCCGCTATGGTCGCTTTGATCAACGACATCCGCCTTCGTGCGAAAAAGCAGTACTTGGATTCCTGAACCCTTTGCTCTATTCCGACAAAGCAAAGACAGTGTTTCGCGATGTTGCTGACGGAAGTCAAGGTAGAGGCTGTAGTGACGGCAGTTAGTTCGAGCCTGGGTGGGAGGTCTTGGCTGGGTGGGATGCCGCGACAGGATTGGGAGAGCCAGACTTTGACAAGTTGCGTGCTCTGCTTTCTTGACCAGAGAATGGTTTGTCGTCCTTTTCTTCTTCAGCGTCTGAGCAGCAATGATGGATGCTTCGGTTACACGTGCATCCGGTTTCCTCGATATAGGTAGTGACTCGACTTGGTCATGATACTCCGATCCCAACGTCCGAACACTTCAATCTCCAACCATCCGTTGCCCAGGCAAGCAAGCAACAATGATCACATTTGAAGACGTACCTCACTAGGGCGCCCTGTCGATTGACAACATTGGCATCTCGACTTAGCCTTTGCTCTTCGAGCCAGACGTGCGATCAGCAGGTCGAGACAGAAATGCCTTTGTGTACAGAGCCGCGAATGAAGTACGGCACCTCGCTTGGATATGTCAGAGACGCATGGCAGGCAAGTCGTCTGCAGCTTTTTACCCGGAGTCAAGAAAAACCGTGGTCAAAAGCATGGCTGACAGTCACCGTTGTACGGCCGAATAGCTCGAAACTTGGAAGCTCTACATCGCTGCGTGCATAGGCATTCAGGCGCAAGTTCAGTATAGCCGCTGGAACGCTGACGGGATTCTAGACGTACAGCTTCAGGGAGGTCACTGAGCTGTGGCCAGCGGGATGTCTCTATTGACATCTTGGTGTCCAGTGCGATGGATCTTGATTGAATGATATATGGTTATGCAAGTCTGACAGTCAAACGTGAAATTACTCTACGCGGAAACGCGGAAGTGTTGGCTGAAACGCCGGGAACGGAAGGCGTGACCACCGCGTGATCGACATCCAAGCGAAGCTTGTTTAAAATGCTTCTCCTCTTTCTTTTAGCCTATAACACAAAGCACAGAGTCATTGGCAAAGCTTGTCACTTGCTTGACCTTGCTGCACAGACAAGAAGGCTTGCAGTTGGGTTGTGGCACAATATTTGCCGGTACCTGCTCTGTTCTGCGTCCTTGACCTGCGTCAACTGGACCGGCCCGTGAGGTTGATCGTGGAGCCGACCCCTCATATATGCGAGAACGCCAAAACGTCTTCGATTTAGCCAGATCATGGAACGAACATCAAAGATCGTCTCTTCGAAACTAATCACGGACTCCAGAGGACAACAGATCAGAAAAGCTACCACGTCCTATAAGTAGTAGAACATCTCCCTGCTGCCATTTGCCATCAGCTCAACAATCTCACCTTCAATTCATCCCAACAATACAGCATCATGCCTTCGTTCAAGAGTGTTCTTCTTGCCGCTGCATACGCAGTCCTTGCTTTGGCCGCTCCTGCCAGCGAAATCGAAAAGCGCAGTGAGACCATCACTACCAACCAAGTTGGCACATACGGTGGCTACTACTTTTCCAACTACGTCGAGACTGGATCAGACTCCTTGACTCTTGGAACTGGTACATACTCTCTGAAGTGGACCAGCGCCAACACTGATGTCGTGGCTGGTATCGGCTGGCAAACTGGTGCTGCTCGGTGAGGCAGAAATAACGTGAACACATTGACCTCGACTGATATGTGTCCAGCACCATCAAGTACACTGGATCCATCAATGCTGGTGGTGACAGTCTGATCGCGCTTTACGGATGGACCACCGGACCCCTTGTCGAGTACTATGTCATTGAGACCTACGGCACATACAACCCCGGCAGTGCTGGAACTCATCTAGGCACTGTACGAAGGCAAACTCAGTCCCTTCTCATGGATCATTTTGCTAATTGATCAACACAGGTCACTTCGGACGGTGGTGTCTACGACATCTACGAGACCACTCGTACCAATGCTCCTTCCATCGAGGGAACTGCTACGTTCCACCAGTACCTCTCGGTCCGTCAGAGCAAGCGCACCAGTGGTACCATCACTTTCCAGAACCACATCAACGCTTGGAAGTCTCTCGGCTTGGTATGTCGACATCAAAGTCTCTATACAATTTTCAGAAGCTGACTCCCACATAGAACCTTGGTACCTACAACTACCAGATCATGGCAACCGAGGGCTACCAGAGCAGCGGTTCTTCCTCAATCACCTTGCAGTAGATGTTGTGATGTGTTGAACCAAGACTATGCTGCACTTTCTCCTGCGCTTTGCGTTTCCCATCGACTGCTTGCAAGGGAGAAGCACTTTTGAGGGAGGTCGCCTCCAAGCTCCCTCATCACACTCACTTACGTATCATTCTTGAGACAGAATTGTTCCAGCAAAGCGCTGGTCGTTATCATACTACAATTTTGTTCTCTTCATCTTCCTGTCTATCTGTCTTGTGATGAGTTGCGCGACAAGTTTTCCACGAAATGAATCTCTAGTGGTCCCGTGATTTTAGTTCAGGGATCTATCGGTAAGAACGCTTGCTTGACTGCTTGAAGAATCAGTCACTAAGGCGTCGTGCCGAGTTCAGACGTGGTCAAGATTTGCCCTCAGGCGTCAAGCATCAAAGACGATGTCTAATTTTTTCACTGGTGAGCCAGTATGGAAACATGAGAGTGGTCGATAACCAGAACTGGGACTAGACCCATAACACCGTTCACACTTCAGCCTAGCAATCTTTCTTGGATGCCCTCTTCGCAAAAGGTTCCTGCATTTTTGTTAACCTTGACTGAACAAACCATGATCACGTGTTCTTAGTACTCGAGCTCTGTAAGTCGTCACAAGATGCTGCAGTCTGTTGGAGATGATGTCTGACTTGCAATTCGATTCAAGTAGACTATCTCTCTAGCGTAAGAATGGCTTTCCCTCGTTACGCCATCTTTCGAGGTAGTTTGGCCATAAATGCCAGGACAGCGAATTGATGTGCAGCATGGCATTCCGGGCAGCGCACGGAGCTGTCGTGATTGTACCCTCTTCATCAATCTTGCAGACAACAACCCAGCCTCTTGATCCATATAGGTCTCTGTCCAGAACGACGATGTAGGTCCTGTTCATAGTTACATCGAAATCAGTAGGGATGCACGACATGAATGTGAACGCCTCTTCGATGGTCTTTCCAGCAAATGGTGATCGCCAATTCGATGAGACAGGTGGTACAGTCGCCTCGTCAAGGTCGGTCGGATAGCTGCGCGAGGTGTCTTCTGCTAGCCAAAGATGATAGATCCCATGCTCTTCATGGGTTTTCTCCAGAAACTCGTTGATCATCTGAGGAGACGATCAGACTAGCACTGTTGTGCGTCGGTACGGGGAGAAGTACCTACGTCGACGGAGATTTTGTCGTCAAGAATGAATAATGCAGCGAGATGAGTTTCTTGACCTAGCATAGGCATCCTAATCATAGTCGGTCGCGCAATCGTGTAAGGTGCAGTAGTTTCATCGTGTTGGAAACTCATGGACGGTTTAGGTGTTGGAAAGCTCTGGAATCAGAGGTAAGGCCGGCAGATCGGTCTAAGTAGTGATTGAGTGAGGCACTCGAACTAGATGACAGTGGACACGGCGATCCTGTAGGGATAGAAGACTTTGCCTTGTTGTTGTTGTTGTTATTATTAGTGCTGTAGCGCCTAGACGACGAAACGCACACGCGAGTCAGGCACCCACGTAAGGCAGGCGTGTCTAAAAGTTAGGCAACCATCGACGCGAGCCCTAATCTGAAACCTGACTTGTGATCACCGTTAAAATCTCCATCGATCATTGGAATGTTGAGCAAAGAGGCAGGACTCGTTACACAGACGTTTCCATCTCACAGTTTCTTCTTCGGCTCCCAAATCCCCTTCGTCTCAACGGCTTGGAATACCTGCTCGGTATGGCTCGAGACCGATTCCTGGAAACACTTGCCCCTCAATTGGTCGTAAAATTCCTTAGTATCGTTGATCTCGTTTGTGTAAGAGACAGAGTACGCGCCACCTCCTTCACTGCCGTCGGTCGCGTGTACGACTTGTCCGCCTACTGGATCAGATTCGCCATCTAGCTCGGTACCCTTGGCTGGATATTTGTCGGTGCAAAGAAACAACACTCGCTGTCCACTCTCCTCCGTTGTCAGGTACATGGGAAAGAACCTCACAAAAGGCTTCATGACTTTCCAAATCAGGCGAAACCACCAAGGGAAAGTAGGATTGTCGAATCCTGAGTGGACCACCAGACCAGGATATATATGTGTCAAACTCAGTTTGCCCGGGTATCTGATTGCAAGATCTTCAAGGAACATGGTCTTCATGGCTATCGCATGGGTGCGGCAGTTCATAAAACTGTAGTGGCCAGCTTCGTCCAACGAGAGGTCCTGCGGAAAGAGTTTGCCCCATGTCTCCATACCAGCAGCATAGATAGAGACAACCTTCGCTCCAGTTGGGAGAGAGGAGGAAAGAAGATGCGGCAAGAGCTTTGTGATGAACCGCATGCGAGAGTAGTAAAGTAGAGACAACGATTCGTCTAGCCCCTCCTTTGTATCTTGGAAGCATCAGTAATAGGATAAAAGCAGTAGCTCAAGAACTCACTGATTCGTCCGCCGAATTCCACTTTGCCTTGGCTCATGATCAACATGTCTACCTGGGCTGTTTCCGATGACTTCAGGATCTCGGTGACCTTGATACATGCTTGGTCCACGTTTCGAAGCAGACTGATGTCGCCAGCGTGTACAAAACATATTTCGACATGGGGACCAGCTTGCTTGCACTCCTCGATGATCCTCTGAGCGGCGATTGTGTTGCGTCCAACGATAATTATCCTAAGGCCAGGACCTCCAGAGCCATGAATCTTACAAAGCTGTCGAACAGTAGCTTCGCCAATTCCACCCGTAGCACCGACGAAAATAGCGGTGAGGGGTTGACGGTTGATGAATGCAGCATTCGCAGCTTTGACTGTGTTGATTTTGACCATTCTTCAATTCATGACAAAAGCGCTTGTCCCAAAGCTTGGACAGAGAGCAGCTACTTGTACTTGATCTGTACTGTACCCCGTACCATGACCGGTCAAAGATTGCGCCGCCCCGGCTCAGGTTTTGTCAATATATGTATGGTCTTTGGAAGGCGGTACTACTTAAACCCTTCCCGATACAGTGGTACCGACTGTTTCGGGCTAGTCGCGGGCTGAAGTCACTCCGAAAGTCCTGACCATGCAGTAGGCAGCCATTTTCATATGACAGGCAGAAACAAAAAGATTCAGACAACATTCTCGCATTCCTAGTGCTTAGTCTAGCTTGTAGAATCTCAGATAACCATCACCGTTCAGAATCATCAACATTCGATGTTGCTCAAGCCAAGTGAACGATTGTCCAAATCGCTTCGTGTCCAAGCCCAGCGGCTTTTGGAACGTCCACTTAACATTGGCATCCCTGTCCCAGACCTCGACCGTGCCGTCGCCACACATGAGAATCAAGAGCTTCCCATCTCTGGCCCAAGCAACTTTGCCAGGACTCACGTATGCCCTCATCATCGGATTCTCAACCTTGAGAGATAACGAGCTAGTTATCCTGTCCTCGAATGGGTTCCAGATCCAAGTGTCCGTATCATATCTTCGGGTCAGAGCAATCTCATTCCTGGATGACCAAGCGACTTGACCTGGCCTAGATTTTGGGTCCTCATGCCAGAAACGTGCAACCTCTTTGCCTGTCGCGGTCGAAAATACAGCTACCATTGAGTAGCTCTCAACAGTTCCAGTATCTTCTTCAGTTCTCCTGCCACTGCCGCACACAACGACATGCTTCGAATCTGGAGACCATGCTCCAGATGTGCATTGTCCACCAATCGGACCGATTATGTGTTTGCATTCACCTGTAACGGTGTCAAAGATTCTATAAGTACCGTCCCAAGAAGCAGATGCGATATGGCTATCGTCTGGACTGAATGCGGTCCATGTCACCGAGTCCTCGTGGCCTGACAGAATCTGCATCTGGCATTTCTTCACGAAGTCGTAAACAATGATTTTCGGTAATCCGTCAGCAGCACGGCTAACGCGTTGAATGGTATGGTTGTTGATCGTATACAACAACAGCCTTCCGTCTTTACTGGAGGCTTGTGAGCCAGAAAATCTGCCATCGATCTGCTCAAAGCTCTCGAACAGGAGTTTTGCCTGGAGATGTTCCAGTGCTCTGGTATATTTAGCACGGACCTCGTCCAGTAAGGGTCGAGGTACTGTGTTTGGAGTAACGTAGACACAATTGACTCGAGACACGATAGGTGCAAGGGACTCATCGATGAGATTTGGTGTAACCAAGATGTTTACTTGGTCAGTCAACATTTGACCATTATTGTCCAATTCTACAATGACAAGTTTGTTGTTCATGGCCGGTCTGTCGGAGGTGGCCACGATAAGGCAAAAGCCACCATCTCCACGAGCCAGGTCATGGAAACGGAGTTTCGGAAAAGATTCGTCAGGACACCGAAACTGAGTATGGCATTCTTTGGTGGCTATGTCGTACACACTGATCAACAGCCCGCCGCAGACTGCAACGAGCTTCTCATCTGGACTGACAGCGAAGTCTGAAGTTGTGTGATCATCGCTAGACGACGGAATCTCGATTCTGTCGTCTTCATCGCCCCAAAATCGATGAGCTGGCTTGGACCCTTTGGCCCATGATGCCTGTATCCCACCTACGTCGAAGTACTTTTCAACGCCGTAAACAAACTCGGCGAGAAACTGATGTCTGTTCATCGAAGGCATGTTGGCTTAGGAGAGTAAGTGGACGCCGAAACCCCTCGAGAGATAAGAACGCTCGAAGCCATTGTGCTTTCCAGCAGTGGTTTAGGCAGCAGCGGAGAAATGACGTCAGATTGCCCAAACATCTCTCAGATTCACATTCAAGAATCAAGAGTTCACACGAGGAAACCACAAGTATTGCATCGTTTACAGAGCGACAAAGCGTGCTCAATAGGTAGCAGCTATTTTACAAGTATGGTTTGCTATCTACTGCTATCTAGCCGAGATGGTGTGTTCGGTACAAAATCGTATTCCAAGGTGGTACAATGATCCAACAGCTTACCACTCAGGGTTCATCGAGAACAAGTCCTGTATGACAGAAAGCTTGTCGATGTCATCGACTATCTCTCCAGCACCGAAGTCATCACCAAGCCACATAACGGTGTTGGTTTTGTTCGGGCTGCTGGCAGGGAACCTAGTAAGGTTTCCACCATTGGGATTGCCAGTCTTGATGAAGTTTGCCCAGTAGCTGCCCATGATACGCTGAAGTTCGTAATCGTAATCCGTCCATGTGTAGTTGTAGAAAGTAGGCAGGTTACCGAAAGTGTACCAAAGCTCTGATCCGTGGTAGGCACCACTGGTCTGGTTCGGTGGAGAATGGGTCCAGAAGTAAGCAAAGGCATCTTTGGTGGCGCCGCCAAGGTACCAGTCTTTGGCCCAGTGCCAGGTTGTGTAGCGGTTGATGTCGTTGCCGAAAGCTGCAGTTTGGGCGGTAGCCTCAGACTCGTTAGAGGCAGGGTACGCGTTGAAGAATTCCTTCGAGTTGTTGCCCATGATTGTAGTGAAGGCAGAGTTGTATGTCGTCACGTTCATGTCTGTCCAGCTGGTCTCGTTGAGATTGTCGCCCGTCATGATGGGGATGTTGTTATGAGATCCGGTGCGGAGTGTATCACCGTAGCCCAAGGGCAAAACATAACCGTCAACTACAGGACGCCAGAGAGGAGGTTCGGAAACAAGACCGGTATCCTGAACAGTTGTGTCTCCCCAGACGGTGCCTTCGAGAATGGTGTCTGTGCTGCCGTCGTATTCCAGGAGATCTGCCATTGATACGTTACGCAGCTCTGCAATGGTCGAAACGTTCATCTCTGAGATGAAAGTCTCTCCCTGCTCGAGAGCCTTCTCCATCCAACGATGACTGGTTGCCAGGCCGAATGTCTCAGGATCGTGAGGATCACGGGCACCACTCTCTGCGATACAGCCGACAATCTTGTCGCTGGTCAGAGGGCTATACATCATGCTATGATTTCAAGTCAGCGCCTGATCAAATGAAAGGGGCAAAGTACACTTACATCAATGCGCTTGCAGAACCGGCTGACTGTCCACCCACAGTGATGTGATTAGGGTCGCCGCCGAAGGCAGAGACCTCATGGCGAAGGAATTCGATCGCCTGCTGCTGATCCATGATACCATAGTTGCCAGTGGAATTGTGAGGAGACTCAGACTGGAGCTCGGGATGAGCCAAAAAGCCGAAAGGACCCATGCGATAGTTGAAAGTAACCACGATCATATCCTTGGCTGCAAGATGAGAGCCATCGTAAGTCGGTACACTTCCGGCGCCACCCTCGAATCTTCCACCGTAGATCCAGAGGAACACAGGGAGCTTGGATCGGACGGTAGCATTCTTTGGCGCCCAGATGTTCATGTACAGGCAGTCCTCAGAGATGTTCTCGCTTCCAGAAGAGAACAAACCAAGAGAAGAGTAGGATTGCGCACAATCAGCGCCAAAGTTGGTAGCATTAAGGGTACCAGACCATCTGGCTGGTGGCTTTGGTGCTCTCCATCTCAAGTCATTGACAGGCGGCTTGGCAAATGGGATACCTTTGTACGAGATGACGTCGCTTTCAAGGTCGGAGATGGCACCTCTGATAGCGCCATAAGAAGTTTCGACATGAGAGGAAATTTTTGGGTGCAGAGCAGCTCCGAGAGCGAGGGGCGTGGCAGTGAGACCCGCTATGAGACCGAAGAGAGCGACCATGACTGGCAGCGCGGTATCTGAGTTGCTGTGAGAATGAGAAGATGAGAGAATGAAAGAGCAGCATGACAGTCTACCGCTCGTTCCTTATATCCTAGAGACGTACGATCCAGAGTACGCATGCGTGTGACGCGGTCAGGTCGGCGTGTAACATCATCTCGGTACAATCTTTACACTCGGTAGTCGTGCAGAGTGAAAACTAGGTTATTAGTACAGAGGGCCTGAAACTCAGGGCAGTGCCATCTTGCGTACGGAAGGCAGTGACGATGTTTCTTCCGCTCCACAATGTGATCGATTTTTTCGAATTTGCATCAAGTGTTATATAGAGCTTTGAAGATCATCGGAGAAAGGTCTCCGGAATCAGAAAGCTCAGTCTCGCATTCGACTCAGAATCTACCATGATACAGATGAGTTTGGGAATCGTTTTGGGATTCGAGACCCCTCATTGTAGAGACCTATGTCCAGAAGTCGAATAGATGCGCGGGCCCAATGGTCGACGAAGGTGCGAACCACAGCGAAAGTGTTGCGCCTCTGGAAGTGCAGGTCTCCACCACAACGGCTCTAACTGCATATGGACGCACAATCGATCAGGCTGTTTACACTTCTGTACAGAAGCTAGTTTGACCTGCGAGTGACGTGCGTCATGCTGAGCTCTGCGGCGAGTTGTCCCACCGTATGCTGGCTTCACGTTTCGATTTCCAACGCCGCGATAGCCGTATTAAAGCAATGAGACGCCTACATACTCATGGCAACACGTACTCACTATCAGATCTCAGTCATAGCTCAAGTTTCATATGAGCACTTTGCTCTAAAGTCCCCATCTGCCAAGATCACTCGACTCGCATCATGCTATCACCTTACATCTACCTTCCAGCAACGTGTATTGCAATCTACACTTTCATCCTCATCATGCAAAACTCTCCTCCAAATGCACAATCCACCCCTGCAGATATTGAAACCACAGATATGAGCGCAGGACTCATCAAAACCACAGCCATCGTCTCTGCAGCACAGATCCTCCTCTCCCTCTTCGACGCCTCATCCCTTGCAACTTTACAATTCCCCTACAACGCTACTGATCAACCCACACCAGTCTATTTCCCCCACCCAAAACTCCCCAATTTCCGTTTCGTCGGCGAACAATTCGGCGCATCAACATGGTCGAACTTTCCAGTCAGCGATGTACCTCGTCCTGGAATTCGACTCGGCGAAATGGATACTGCACAACACTCTGCAGTAATGCATCTTCTCCGCACAGCACTGAGTGAGAAAGGCTTTCGGAAAATCCAGGATATCATGGGCTCCGATCAGATTCTGGCAGACAGTGGTGTCCCCTACGCCGCGGGACGAGCTGCGTACACGGTTGCGATCTTGGGAGAACCTGGAATGGAAAAAGTGTGGATGATCCAATTCGGAGGTCATCATTTGGCGTTGAACATTGCTGTATGTGGTGGAAACGCTGTGCTGACACCTGTATTGACTGGTGCATTGCCTGCAAGCTACACCGGGGAGGATGGAGAGAAACGTGTACTTGCTGACGAAAACGACAAGGCGTTCGCATTGATGAGATCGTTCAGCGAAAGTCAACGGAAACAAGCCGTCTTTACTCATCCAATCTCAGACATGGTACAAGGACCAGGCGATTTTGACAAGACACTCCCAAATGTCGGCATCCAAGGCAGCCATCTCGACTCGTCGCAAAAGGAGATGCTCCTGGACTTGATCTCAGAATGGGTCGGCATTCTCAACAACGTGCATTCTGCGTCACGTATCGCCGAAGTCCAGAATGGTTTGGACAACACATGCTTCGCTTGGAGTGGTCCCTTGGAGCATGAACCCGGGAGGAACGGCGCCTCTTACTTTCGCATTCGAGGACCAAATCTGTTTATTGAGTTTTCACCGCAATTCCCAGGGGGCGATCTTACAATGCATGTGCATACGATATATCGCGATCCATCGAGGGCATATGGACGCACTTTGCCGGAAGGCCTTTTGGAACGTGAGGGTTACAGAGAACTTTTTTAGTTTGAGTCAGCCGAACAAAATGGACTTAGACTGCTCAACGCAATCTCGATGCTGGTGGTGTTCGCTCGCTTGTTCCTCCAATCTCCGGTCTCGTCTGCATAGTTTGGGCAATCGAAGTATTAGTCTGCTCAACTCGACTGGCTTTCACTTTGCAGCCGACCTTTTCAGATCGCGCCACCTACCGCCATATCATCAACGGCACGCAGGGTCTTGTCCATACACAGGCAGCGTTCTCGTAGACTTCCGACATGCGTGTCGTGGTCACCTTCGACAACGATGCCTTCAATCTCGGAAGAGAAATTGCCAGCTTAAAGCTTTCATACATTCATCCTTGCAATACAGATCATGGCGACATCGACCCTTCTACATCTGTACCTTTTGCTTGTTTCCAGAGATGTTCTCCTTCCTCTACTCTAGCCATCCTCACTGCAACATCTGCTGCATAGCATTTACCCTGTAACTCTCCCTTCTCTCCATCAACTCCCCGTGCGTCCCCTTATCAACAATCCTACCTTCCTCGACAACGAAGATAATATCAGCTTTCTGCACACTGTGCAATCGATGCGTGATAGCCAACACCGTAGTCCCTCTGCTCGCTCTCTCCAGTCCTTCTTGCAGAGCAGCTTCACTAGCGGCATCCAATGCACTGGTACTCTCGTCCAAGAGTAAAAGACGTGGTTTGCGGATTAGTGCGCGGGCGATGGCGAGGCGTTGGCGTTGACCGCCGCTGAGATGGGACGCAGAAGGTCCACATTCGGTGGCATAGCCGTCGGGAAGGGAGATGATGGTGTCGTGAATGTTGGCTAGACGACACGCTTCTTCGATTTCTGCTTGACTGGGTTCGTGATCAGGAGGTGCGCCGAGAGCGACGTTGAAGCTGATGCTACCGTCGAAGAGGGCGGGGTCTTGGGGAACCAAGGCGATGGAGTCGCGGAAGGAAATCGGGAGCTTGGCGATGTCTTGATCGTCTATACAGACCGAGCCTGATGTAGGCGAATACAGCCTCTGTACCAAAGTCATGATGGTAGACTTGCCAGCACCTGACGGACCTACGAGACCGCAAAATGTGTTTGGTGGTAGAGAAAAGGCAATGTCGTTCAGAATGTTGACTTCCGGACGATTGGGATAAGCGAAGCCGACGTTCTTGAAAGCGACTTTTGAGCCACCACGAGTCTGACTGTTTGTGATGTCGCTCTTGGTCTCGCCGGATGCTTCTATATCGTGACCAGACTTGGCAGGATCAGCACCAGGCTTACCGATATGCTTGCTCGAGCCCATCTCAATCACGGTCATGACTCGTGACAAAGCTAATCTGGCACGAGAGAATTCGGGTGCAAGAGAAAACATGCCACTCCATAGTTGGGCGCTGGTAAGCATGGCAACAAGGATGATCAAGAAGTCTCTCTGAGTATACTCACCCTTCATGATGAGTTGCGAGCCCCACCAGTAAGCAAGAGCGTTGACGAAGGTACCAGTGGTGTAGGAGATGGCGAGCCAGATATTTGTTGTCATCGAGGCACGTACGATTTGTTTTCGGGGCGGCTTGAGGAGACGCTCAAATGATTCCATGTATTCGGTCTCAAGTGACAGTAAAGCAACAGTCCTGATGGACTGAATGGCTTCAGTGGCGAGCGAAGTCGCAGTAGTAAAGGCACCACGATGGCGTTCCTCGTAACGAGCTAGCATACGAAGTTGCATGAAGCCTGAACCAAGCAGAATAGGGACAGTCACCAAGCAGACCAGAGCGATCTTCCAGGCGAAGATGTGTGAAATCACAATGGCGACAACGATATTGATACAAATGGCGAAGATGGTGCCAAAGGTGGAGCCACTGAAGGCACCAATAGACATACTATCTTTGGTAATGATGGACAAAAGGCTAGTTGGCGTACGGCCTTCCGAGCGATGCCAGTGAATGTTTTGCTCCAGGAGGGAACGGAAAGAGAGAACCCGCAAGTTGTATAGTAGCTTCTCGCCGGCAACTCCGAAGCCCCACCAAGCGAGGAAATTCGCGATAAGCTCAACACCAGCAAGCATGAAATAGAGACCTGAGAAGAAGCGACCCATGGATAGAATGCGCTCGACAGTGCTTTCGCAAGGATTGAGAGCGCCGACCGTGAAGCCGAAGATTATGCCGGCGCCGGAAAAGGTGGATCCAACAAATATTGCAGCGACAAGAGCCATGACAAGCCAACCAAGCGATGGACGAAGAAGCGCAGCCAGACCTTTCGTGACCGAACTGAAAGGACGGATAGTATCTAGTTCGTTGTCTATGGTCTCGTCCTTGTTCTCTGTCTTCCTCGGCAATGAGGCAGCTGTATCGTCGCCGACAGCTGTTATTGACTCCAGCATATCATCCTTCTCGTTGAACTCGATATCCGACTCGTATGTCGCAGTTTCAAGAGAGTCGCCAGATACAGAAGTGCCAGCGTTTGTCGAACCAAGTGTCTGTAGATTGGCCATGCGAGCAAATTCACCATCTTCTTTTGCCATCAGTTCGACGTACATTCCCTGCTCAACAACACGTCCAGCTTGCATGACGATGATATTATCAGCATTCCGTATGGTCGAAAGTCGATGGGCAATTGAAATGATAGTGCGTTGTTCGGCAGCAGCGCGCTCGACAGCAAGTTGAATTCTCTTCTCGCTGGCAGAGTCAAGAGATGCAGTCGCTTCATCTAGGACGAGAATCTCGGGGTCACGAATGAGGGCTCGGGCAAGGGCAATGCGCTGCCTCTGACCACCACTCAGCTGAGAGCCACCAGATCCTGCAGGTGTGGCGTAGCCAGACTCTAGATGTTCTACAAAGCTGGCTGCATCGGCTTGCTCAGCAGCATGGAGAATGAGTGAAGCGAGCTCAGCATACTCTGGTCCAAGAGATGCTGCTGCTGTAAGATTCTTTCCACACTTGGCAGCCATCTTTGTAAGGTCAACGCTGTTCAGAAGGGGTTTGAGATGCTGATGAACAGATTTTGGAGAGTTTATCAGGCCAAGAGCAATGTTTTCAAGTATCGATCGATCAAGAAGCGATGGCTCCTGCTGTACAAAACTGATAAAGCTTCGAAGGGACTTGACGTTGAGACTGCGCAGGTTATGACCATCCAGCTCTATGCTGCCCTCGGTGGGATCATGAAGGCGAGCTATGAGTGCAGCAATGGTTGACTTGCCACTACCCGAGAGACCGACGATAGCAGTGTACTTGCCAGCCGGAAATGTGAGATTCACTTGCTGCAGAACGGGCTGACCGGTTCTTGAAGCGTATTCGAAGGAGACGTTGTTGAAGGAGACCGACTTTGCCGTATCAGATGGAAGTACGACACCTGACTCAGACAGACCATCAATTGAGGAAGGAGCTTCGATGTCTTTCTTCAGTCGCTGGTAAGCTGCTGTGGCACCACCCAGGAAAGGAAGTGTAGGGGCGATGCCGCCAAGCATGACACAAGCATCGACAAGAAGATAGACAATTGCGTATATCTGACCAACAGATGCTCCATCTCCATTGTTCGCTGCAGAGTCTGCGATTCGAAGACTGCCCTGCCAAAATGCCAAAGCATTTCCGGAGTACGCGATGAAGTACAAAAGTCCTGTTTGAACAGCGGCGATGGCTGCTTTGGTTGTGGCAAATTTCCGAGCACGAGCCATGTGAGCAGAGAATCTGGCTTCGAGGCGGGGGCCGGCACCGAAAGCGTGAACGATGTTAACGTGCGACAAAGCCTCCGAAGCGATGGAGGATGCCTTTGCAGCAGCTTCACTTTGGCTTGTGACGTACTTGCTGAGGTAACGTCCTCCAAGTATACCCGACATGAGGAAAGCGGGCAGCATACAAATCAGGATACCCGCAAGGCGTGGCTGCTGTGTGAAGGCAATGATGAAGACGGTGATGAAGAAACTGATGGTTGTGAGGATATTCCCAACCTTCTCAGAAGTTCCTGCTTGAACAGCTGTCACATCTTCTTGCAGACGACTTGAGACTTGACCCGAGGAGCCTTGAGTGTCGAAGAATTCAGGAGACTGGCGCAGGAGGGCGGAGACATAGCGGGTACGTAAACGCTGAGCAAGTCGCTGACTGATGATGTTCCAGCACGTAAGGTGGCCATAGATCAGGACTAAAGCAATGACACCGATCCAAACAGTCTTGATGACCTTGTCATTGATGGCGGCTTCGTATCGAAACGGATCTACCACGGCTGCTTGACTGTCGGCAGCACATGTTGCGCCATTGAAGCTGTCGATAAGCTGGCCAAATAGTACACCCATGAGTGGGAACGGGACACCAGCGCCGGCTGCGCAAATGGTGCCGCAACAGATGAGACATATGTCAATCCAGGTGGGTTGAGCAGCGAAGAGTAACTCGATATACACGAAGAAGCTCTTGAAAGACTAGGATCGAAGTCAGAACATGTACGCTACTCATGAGAATCAAGGCTGACGATATAGGTAGAGGGGCCTGTGATGGAGGGCCCAGAGATGACTTACCGAAAATCTATCCTTCAGCTTCCTGGCAATGGTGCCTTGTCTCGTGGTGCCCGTAGTTTCGGCCGAAGACTGCTGCTTCTCAGCGATCACGTGGTTCACGCCTGAGACCATGATTCCGATAGATGCCCAAAAGGTCTTGGCCGCAGAAAAAGGCGAGTTGTGGTGAGACTTATCAAAAGATCTGATATCGGTTGATCAGTTCTAGTTGGCGAAAATTTGGCCGAGAGATCAGCGAACCGCTTCGGCCGAACAGAGCATCATGCAGGGGATTTGGATCAGATAAGAAGAACAGCCAAGTCTCTTAGACACGAGCAAAGATGATCGACAGATGAGGCCGATGTAGGAGTGTCTGCCAAGTGACTCCAACACAGACTCTTAGCCATATCAGTCGGGCTGTGCATACCGCTGCAATGTAACATCTACTCCACCATGTCGATCCAATGTACAGGAATCACCAACGGGACTGGTGAGTTCTGCCGGCGTGTCGGACATGGCAGAGATGGGAATCCAATACCAGCCAAGACAGTGCCAGTGAGAAGGACAGATGGCAGGTATAAAGGTATGCCTTGGGGACACGATGTCAATGACCGTCAATAGCGTCTTCAACTCTGCCTCGTATTCTTCGCTCTGCAATCATGAACCAGATAACTCTGCACACCCAGCGTCTCGTCCTGCGCCCTCTTGCGGCAGAGGACAAGGACTTTCTCTTTCAACTCGACTCCGACCCAGATGTCATGAAGCACGTCGGATATGGCAAGCCACTCAATGCCGAAGACTCTGCGATAGTCCACAAACTCCTGCTTGAGACAGCTTCTCATGGTAATGGCTCCGGATGCTGGGTCGGCTTCTCAGACAACGACTTCGTTGGCTGGTGGGTTCTGTGCCCCCATCAGACCGAAGACACTCCACCAAGGATCAACCTCGACAGAGCAGAATTCGGACTGCGCGTGTTGCCCAAGTTTTGGGGGAAGGGTTTCGCAAAGGAGGGATCGCGCGAGCTCGTCCGCCACGCCTTCCAAGACCTGGGCATCAAGGAGATTTTTGGCGACACCATGACGGTCAATGCAGGGTCAAGGGCCACCATGTCTGCTTGTGGGATGAGATTGGTTCGCACGTTTTTCAACCACTACGAAACCCCACCTGCCGGAATTGAGGAGGGCGAGGTCGAATATCGAATCACTTTGGATGAATGGACAATGCTGCAGAGAGCGACAATGCTGCAGCCTTGGCGACAGGATGCATTGTCGGTTGACGATGCCCAACGGACTGGAAAGCGAGCTGGGCTGGCGATGCCGCTCGGCGTTGCTGTTTAGAGAATTTTGATATTGTTCGTGGGCCATATATCGGAGACCAAAGACCTTGTTGTTGTCGCGAATGTACGTCCGTAAAACGAAATGTAGTTAGGGTTGAAGGATCGAGGTTAAGAAAGTCGTTATTGGTAGAAGGATTTGCCAAGTTCCCGCTTCGCTAGTGTGCCCCATCCGTGTTCATCCTCCAGTGGTTCTCGGTTGAAATCACCTGTATAGAAGGATCTAATCAATCATTCGGATCATCTGTGAGTCCAAGCGTCGCGGTTTTGGTGGCATCTAATCAATCAACCGGATCACGCTGGGGCTCATGACTCTCAGCGATATTTCACGGTCTCTTGGAAGTCTTGGCCGTCCTGCGCCAAGTAGGCGCTTCTTTAGTGTGCACACCACTTGCTGCAGATTGGTGCGGTCTTGTGAGGATGCGCACTGGACGGAATCGATTCGAGTCGCGCCCATTTTCCCAATTCAGAAGATGTTAGATGATCCTCTTCTTCATCCGCAAATCAGATTAGATGAAGATATGGGTCTGCGCCGTTCATTGCTGCAATCCTTCACCCCATCCCGCCTCTGTGACCTGATCTTTGGCAGCTTGGGGTCTGTTCCAGCCTCCGATATCGAATCTGGCACGAGTCGTTCCGGTTTGTTCCAGGCATGAAAGGTTTTTTTCCTGTGCCCTTGAGATAGCTGGAGATGGATGATACCAAGCCCCACAATTTCGGAACAATGTCGAATATATGAGATGCGGATCTGCTGCTTTTCCTCCTCACATCTCTTCTGATTATCTTATCTCTCTTGTTCTTTCATCAGTCTGCAGCCATGTCGATCTCCACCAAGCTGCGTAACTTCGTCATGGGCGACCCGTCTGAGAGCGATGGAGACTCAGACACCCACGTTGTCACCAACACAGAGACACCAAAAGGTGATGACACTGGCAGAGTGTACCCAGAAGGCAGCATCAGCGATAAGGCTGCTCAGATTGATGAAGCTCAGCGTGGTGTGCAGAATATCCAAGCGACCACTTTGACTTGGACAAAGACATCACTGGCATCACTCCTGATCCTGTAGGTCTCAGAAGCAGGTCGTGAAGTCAAGCCGCGTGACTGACAATAACAGCATTTGGATCCTCTTTCTCACCAATGGCTTTCGTGGTTCGATCTTGGCCAGCTTGGTCCCTTATGTCACCAGCGACTTCCAGTCTCATTCTCTGTTGACAGTCATCGAAATTGTCGCTGGAGCCATGGTGTCTGCAGTCTATATCCCGATGGCCAAGTTTTTGGATGTCTGGGGCAGAGCTGAAGGCTTTGCACTCATGGTCGCATTCACCACACTTGGCATGATCTTGATGGCAGTCTCCCAGAACCTTGCCACATTCTGTGCGGCTCAGGTAAGGCATATTGTATCCCCGAACTCTGCCCAGCTTCATCACTGACGACGGGTGCAATCAGGTCTTTTACTCGGTCGGAACCAACGGTCTCATCTACACAGTCTGTGTACTGGCAGCAGATGTGACTGATCTAAGAAATCGTGGTTTGGCATTTGCTTTCACCTCGTCACCATACATGATCACCGCTTTCGCCGGATCCAAGGCTGCCGAAGGCTTCTTGTTGAACGTCAACTGGCGCTGGGGCTTCGGGGCTTTCGCAATCATCTTCCCTTGTGTCACAGCCCCATTGTTCGCAGTGTTGAAGCTGAACGAACACAAGGCGAAGAAGCAAGGGCTTCTGGTCAGAGAAAGTAGCGGCCCTATCACCATTGGAAGAGTCTGGCGAGGCGTCGTTGACTTCGATCGTAAGTGAAAGAGATGGTCAAGTCGTGAAAAAGTGCTGACAGTTGATGACAGTGCTCGGCGTTGTCTTGTTTGCAGGTGGTCTGACAGTATTCCTGCTGCCCTTCAACTTGGCGACATCTGCTCCCAATGGATGGTCAAGCGACTACATCATTGCTATGATCGTTGTCGGCCTAGTAGTGCTGGTGTTGTTTGCTCTCCATGAGGTTTACCTCGCCCCTGCGCCTTTCTTGAAGCAAGAATACCTCATGAACCGTACCGTCATCTTCACCTGCCTCTTGGATGCGACCTATCAGATGTCGTACTACTGCTGGAACTCATACTTCACGTCGTTCCTCCAAGTTGTCAGTAACCTGCAAGTGGCCGAAGCCGGATATGTCAACAGCACTTTCTCGGTCGTCTCTGGATTCCTTCTTTTCTGTGTTGGGTACCTGATTCGCAGGACTGGACACTTCAAGTGGCTGCTGTTCATCGCTGTCCCGATCTACATCTTCGCTCTTGGACTGATGATCCACTTCCGCCAGCCGAACCAGTACATTGGCTATATCGTCATGTGCGAGATCTTCATCTCGATCGGTGGCTCCATCATCACCCTTGTGGTACAGCTGGCAGTGCTCGCATCAGTCGACCATCAGCACGTAGCAGCGGTACTGTCGTTGCTGTACATCAGCGGTGGTGTCGGAGGAGCCATCGGCAACACAATCTCGGGCACCATCTGGACAAACACTTTCGAGAAGGGACTCGTCCGCTATCTTCCAGAGTCGGCGCAAGGAAATCTGACGAGCATCTACGGCAACATCGTGACGCAGCTCGCATACCCAATCAACAGCCCCGAGCGCATTGGAATCCAGAAAGCGTATGGCTATGCGCAAACAAGGATGCTGGCAGCCGGTGTTGGTCTGATGGGCTTGTCGCTGATCTGGATCTGCTTCATCAAGAACCTGAATGTAGCCAAGATGAAGCAGACCAAGGGTGTCGTTCTATAGGCGATGGTGACTGCATGAGTTTCGGCCTAGTTGGATTCAGGGCGCGGAGGCTGAGCGACGACGGATGCTGGCCATGGTTGATTGTAGTTTCGGAAAAGTAAGCCTTGTTCTCTCTCTCATGTGCCGTCTGCTCTTCCCTTCGCCTCTGTGTATGTGATGCCATGCTCTGACTCCAGGTTGACATGATCGGTGATCGGTAACGGTTGTGGGCTGTGGCTCATGACGGCAGGTATGGTGGACTCGCGACGTGGCGGTACAGAGTGCTCAAGAGTCGTGTGTGTCGTGTTGAGCGGGTCGAACGGGATGACTGAAAGGCTCGCGGTAAGCCTCTTGACGGGTCTGCATTGGAGTATTCGAGACGTGTCGGCATGGTCTTATCATGAAGGGTCCATCAGGCAGCATGGTCGAGTGGTTTGCAAGTCAAGAAACCGCTTGCGCAATCGTAAACAGCAAGAGGGACCAATTTGTTGCCGCCAAGACCAGGACCGACTTCCCTCTCACTTCCTCTCCAGCGTCCAAGGGGTCCGCCCAGGGCTCTTCCTTCCTTCCTGACTGCAGTCACAGACTTTCACCTCTCTGCCAAGCGCCATCAACAAAGTGTGATAAGATCTTCCATTGATGTCGCGAGTCTTATCGCAACCACTCGCTGCGCCCACGACCTGCCATGGGTCGAACAGGTTCAAGAAGGCGCGAGCAAAACCATGTTTCACTCTCCTCCAAGGCTTTGTATCTATCCTTGCATGTATACGCGTAGGTTTCCTGGGCATCTCAGGCTGCAAGATAAAGAAGATACGGTTTTCCGTATTGACGTGCTGCGACACACCGAATCCTCCGCAATCCATGTTGATACGGGGATACGGCAATACGGATGAGTACGTGAGCCCGCGTATACCAACTTCCAAGCCTTCACCGCAGCAATCAACAATCGCACTCATAGTGAGTTTTGCGACTTGAGAATTTATACATAAGTAGGTCGTTACAACAAATCTCTCCTTCTCTCATCCTCCATCTTCTGCTCCATCACAATCACACCGATCAAGAAACTCCTGCTTCCTTCTCTTTCGAACGACCATTCATCAACTTCAAACATCTTTTCTTCGATATCCTCTCAATTCAAGACAACGGCAACTCTTCGACCAATACTCAACTAGCACTTGCTCCGACACCAGCCTGCTGCAAGATCGATTCATACTAACCCACCACCACAACTCCTCGCAACCATGAACATCATCCGCACCGCCATGTCCAGCGCCTCTCGCTCCCTCGACCACCCCCTCTTCTCCACTTCGTTCAAGAACAAAATGCACTACATCCAAATCGCCCTTGTCACCACTGTGATCATCCTCACCGGCGTTCGCATCGCCCTGAAACCTTCTTTTCTTCCGGTCACTCGCTCCGACACCATGGCCATCGTAATGGTAAGTCACCCCATGTCCTCCTACCGCTACTCTCTCTCTCAGTACACCCTCTCCCCCTCTTTTCATTCTGCCCTCTACTTTAATCTTCATACGTGTTTCTGTGCTGACGTTACATGCTTAGGGCGTCAAAACCATCGTAGTAATCACCTACCAACTCCTCACAACACACATCTCCTCTCTCAAACGTTTCCGCAGCACAAAAGCCTACCTCATCCTCAATTCCCTCGAAGTGGTTTTCTGGCTCGCGGTCATGGTCTTGACAGGAATGGGCATGTCAAGGTATTGTCAAGGTTCCTACTGCGGCATCAGCGTTGTGATTCTCCTACTCGCATTGGTCATCATGTAAGTTCCTCCTTGTCTGCTGCTTTTTCTCTTGTGATGAACGTTACTGATTGGTGATCTCCGACAGGACATTTTCGTTCTGGACTGCCGTCGTCTCGAAGAAATTGCGACGAGAGGAAAAGTATGCTGTTGGTTCTTCTCTGCCTACCTATCAGAACCAGATGGAGGATTCGCCCACCAAGCCTGCTGCTGCATACACGACTTACCAAGTCTGAACGAACTGCACGACAACGCCGCAAGCGAAAGAGCTACGCGAAAGAGGATGAACGTTCAGGCAAAGGAAAAAGATGATTCCCCGATGACCTGATCCCAAAAGCCATGGGTTGATACACAAATGGCAGAAGACAACAATGACAGAAACGTGAATATTGACATAATGCAAATTGAACAACAAAATCTCTTATTCCCCATCCTTCTCTCGTTGTTGACGTGTCTTCCTATCTCTTCTTCCAGATCAAGTCTTGCGCCACGCCTGAATAGTCTTGAGGACAGAATAATAAGCCGGCTTCTTGTTAAACTGCTCATCCCAAAGCAACGCCGCACCTTCCGTCTTGAAAACACCGGGGATCCAAGAATACTTGTCAGAAACACCCTATCACACAAAAAAAAGTCAGCTTTCTTTTTACTCGTCCAGCATTGGAGATGGCAAGATCCCAAACTTACCCAAATGGTAATACCAACACACTTCTTGATGTTGATGCAAGATTGCACAACCCTAGCATAAGCATCCGCCTGCACCTTCAATTTCGCCTCGGTGACAGGGACGGTAAACCTCACATCCAACTCGGTATACGCGACCTCGACGCCCAAATCCGTAAACCCCTTCAACACCTTGGTCAAAGTATTTGTATCAGGAGTGACACCACCACCACTGCTCGCCGTAGCTTCAGAAGTCAAATGCGCCTGTAAACCCACACCGTCGATTTGTACGCCATAGGACTGGACGAGTTTCAGGATGCGCAAGGCGCCGAGGGTTTTGTTGTTGTTGTATTCGAGGTTGTAGTCGTTGTAGTAGAGTTTTGTGTGGGAGCCTGCGTATTTGGAAGCCAAGCGGAAGGTGATGGGTATGAAGGCTTCACCGATGGTGTTGTAGAAGACTGATTTTCTGTAGGTGCCGTCTTCTTCGAGTGCTGTGAATTTGCGTATATGTCAGTATACTGCAAAACTTATCTCTCTCTTGCAAATAGAGGGAGGGGTTTACTTACCTTCGTTAACAACATCCCAATGAGTGCATTTATTCTTGTACCGCCCAGCAAGTTTCTTGATATGATTCTCCATGATGGAAATCAAAGTCTTGTTGTCGAAATTGCCTTCGCTGACCCAGGCGGGCAACTGAGAATGCCAGACCAGAGTGTGGCATCTGACTTCCTTCTTGTACTTGTCTGCGAAATCGATAATGGCATCTGCTCCGGCAAAGGTAAAGTTGTCGCGGCTGGGCTCGGTGGACTCCCATTTCATGGCGTTTTCGGGTGTGATGGAGTTGAATTCGTTGCGGGCTTGGATGATGCCTTGTTCGATCGGGTCGTCGCGGATGGTCAAGGCTGTGCCGATGTATTGGCGTCCTTTGGAGGTCCAGGCTTGAGCGAGTCCTTGATCCTTGGAGGAAGAGGAAGAAGTGCTGTACCTGGATAAACATCAGCATCATACATAAGATGGGATCCGTCGCGACAAGTAATTTACTCGGTAGGGGTAGCAGCGCTGAGACCGATCAGGGCCAAAGCCGCAGTGATGCTGGGAAGGTGCATGTTGTCGTAAGCGGAGATGATCTTCGAACTACTTGTCGAAATACCGAAATGATCTGTTGATGCAGATCTCCAATATGCAGAGGGCAGAGGACCTTTTGTAATCTCCTGGGATAAACATATAGCCTTACAGACTCCTCATCTCCACGCCTCCCTCCCCTCCACCCAGATTATCCGTCCGCCAGCCGACTTCGCCATCGCATACCAGACACGATATTGCCGTCTCAAGAGGAGAGATTGCAGAATTCCAAGCCGGTTATACAAGTTCCAGACCTTCCTAAACCACATCACCCCCACAGACATGCATAGTGGATCGTGGGGATACATGTTTCCCCCTGGGGTAAATGAATTTCACCTCGCTAGTCAACCTTGATGAACATCTCATTCGCGGACTCGACCTTTCGTGGCGTACTTCATTATGAAACGAAGGCCGACTCGACTGCATTGCCAAGTAGGGTAAAGTCATGGATATATTCTTGCCCAGGAAAGCCAAGCCCGTACAGGCTGTAGCAAGCAACATCTGCTCGTGTATACCGGGCGGAAGGCTCAAAGAACCCGCGAGATGGAAAGCTTGACCGTGGTTCCACCGTGGACGACTGATGGTCGTGATCCCGGGACCATCTTTTGCAGAGTGTGGAAGAAGATCGCAAAAATGCGGCGAACCGAGGCACGTCGGGGGTCATCAAAACACGAGTAGGAGAAGACAGCATCCGGACTTATGCAGGAGTACAGCTGATGGCTTAGCTTGCTTCGTGCCGGCAAATTGAAACTGGAACATGTTGAATGAGGAATCCCAATGAGCCCTGAGTCGTCAGTAACCATGTGAAGACAATGATGAGACGTTGTCGCGACGCGTCTCGGTCGTGTGTAGATGCGGAGATGAAATTCGTAAGCTGCTTGGCTCGTTGCCATCGAATGCCATCATACGACAGGTCTGCGAGCCGTCTTTATCCTTGTCTGCGTTTTTAGAATCATTGAGATATCCTTCCAAGTAAGCAAGCAGGAATTGGTCGGGTCCAGTGCAAATTGACATCCGCGAGTGCTGGAAATGGGATCAATGATGAGCACATGAAATGGGGCAGTGAATGGTTTTTCGTTGTAGAATGCAAGTGGCAGTTGTTTGGGCACTCGTTCGACTCTGACAGGCAGTAACATTCGCGATCACTATCTTCGAACTCTAAGACACCTACCCCCATGTTCGACACCTGATCCGAACCAAGATCAAGTTCGTAGAGACAAAATCAAACATTGAACAGGGTGTGAGCTTCAACCAAAAGCTCCGCCATTGCCAAGCCGCACAGAATTCCGCGAGCAAAAAAACAGGAAGCCACGCCGTGAGCTCCGCTCTTCCCACACAAAGACTCAAAATAATTCACGAGTCACTAGAATGCCTTAGATGGTCGTGATGGATGATGATGGGCGGCAAAAGGGTAGAAGAAGAAACGAGGTCGTACCCGGGATCGAACTGGGATTACCGGAATCAGAATCCGATGTGCTAACCATTACACTATACAACCAATGGTTGTTGCCGATGTGGTCTAGAAACATATCAATTCTGCCAGACAAATTACAAGAGATGTCCTGCAAGCAGTGCAGCCACAAGCACTATTAGTCATTCTGAAGCTTCGAGGTTGGTTTGACATCACGGTAGCACGATAAGGAAGAGTAGGAAAAGAAGTTTGAAGTATAGAGATCAAAGCTCATTCGCTTTTTCATTAAGCATTCATCGCATCATATTATGCGTGAGAGGAATTGGGTGGGGGAATCTGAACTATGGGAAGCAAGCAACAACGACACATCAACTTTTTCTTTTAATGCAAGGTAGGGACCTTTTCGCCCTTCTTCTCATACTCGTAAACCTTGTCAGGGTCGGTGCCAATGACGGGGTTGTGCGAGTTGTGGCCATCCATCTCGGGGTCGTGGCCCTGCTGGGTGACGTGGTGGTCATCGCGTTGAGAAAGAGTGTACTCCTCCTTGTCGATGTGCTTGAATGTGAACCAGAAGATGACGGTGAGGATACCGCCGGCAATGGCGCAACCACCGAAGTCCCAGGTAAGGTAGGGGTCCTTGATGACTGCGGAACAGGCAAGACCAATAAGGTAGGCGATGGCGGTGGAGAAGAGGTTGATGGCGGAGACGAGACCTCTCATGTTGGGAGGAGCGCGAGAGTAGGCAATACCGTAGGCGGGGACGTTGATGAACAACTCGGAGATACCACCAATGGCGTAGGGAATGGCAACCCACCAAATGGTGATGGGAGCGACGAGGGAGACACCGTCGGCGTCAACACAAGTCTCGCTGGAACCGAACTTGCCGCAGGGACCAAGCTTGTAGGCGTAAGCGTTGAGGACAGTGTAACCAACACCACCGAGAGTGGAGAGAGCGAGACCAGTGGTCATACGAGCGACGGGACCGTATGAGATGTGGAACTTGCGGAGAAGAGGGTAAAGACCGTAGTTGAGAACGGGAGCCATCAAGATGATGGAGAGAGAATTGAAGTTGGAAATAACGTCGTTGGGAACACCGTTGGTGGTGAGCATAGTGGTGAGGTAAGAGGCAGCGGAACCGATACCGTTGTCGTTGAGGTACTGGATGGGGAAGAAGCAGAAGATACCAGTGGCCTGGAATGTGCGGCGGACATCCTCAACGAACTGGTCATCCCAGCAAGTTGCGTAACCAGTACCCTTGGCGGCGATGACTGAAGGCTTTGCAGGCTCCCAGAAACCGTGACGACCAATTCTCTTGATACCGCCAGCGCGGAAGCAGATGCTGAGGACCTTGAAGACGTTGGGAAGATCCGAACCACCGGGAGGGTGAAGGACGAGGCGCTTGCGGAGGTACCAGAGGAGAGCGGGAAGAGGGATGTAGAGAATGAGGGGAATGAGGAATGCCAACCACCAGCCAATGTACTTCTCGCAGTAGGCAGTGGCAACACCCATAAAACCACCGATGTTGATCAGGAGGTAGAACCAGAGCATGACGCGCTCAGTGGAGGCCTCGGGGTCAATGATGACTTTCTCGCCCTTCTTGGTAGTCACAACGACGGGAACAGTCTCGGGCATCTGGTCGAGAAGAAGAGGAGAAACATTGGGCTTGAAGATACCTGCAGCGAATATTAGTTTGATGGGAAAGTTAAGAATTTCAAGATGTGAGCTTACCAGATCCGACAGCAAGAAGGTAGACGGAGACGAAGAAGGGACCCTTGGCAGCACCGCTGGAAAGAAGGCCGGGGGCAGAAGCTCCAACCAGAAGAACGTGAGCAATACCGAAGAGAAGGACACCCCAGCAAATGAGCTTGAAGCGGCCAGTCTTGGCGTCGGCGAGGTAACCGAAGACCAGGGGAAGAGCGTAACACAGAAGTGAGAATGACTGTGAAACGGCGTTGGCCTTCACAGTTCCCATGCCGAGAGCACCGGCGGTCTGCTGGGTACCAGAAGGAGGGGCACCGTATCCGTTACCGCCGACGGGAAGGGGACGGTTGACGAAGTTGCTGAACAAAGGCTGGCAACCATAGTAGGAGGCACGCTCACAGAACTCGACAACGCAAATGAGGTAGGCGATGGTGGGAAGAGAACCGGGGACGCGGCGGAGAGTCTTGCGCTCTTCCTCTGTGGGCTTGCCCTCGTAGTCCTCGGTTGTGAGACCAGGGGCGTGAGCAGGCTCAGAACCCGAAGTGTAGGGGTGCTTCTCGTCGATGGAGCGCTCCGGTGTTATTTGGTCGGCCATGATGGATGTGTGTGTCGATGGGAAACGGCTGATCAAAGACGAGCGCAACAAGGGGATAGCTCGTTCTCATATATCACTTCACTGCAACCCCCCGGGGGACCCTTCACTCGAGCACTGACCTAGCAGGCGAGAGCCGGGTGCTACAACATGGACGGAAGATAAGGCTAAGATCATCAGAGGATCCGAGGTAGGGTTGCAAGAGGCAATTCTGCGACCTTTCTGCAAAAGGCAGGTCAACAAAATCGGCGCCGTTCGAGCCTCGCTGCTCTTTCGCCGCCGGAAAATAGCTACATGTCGGTCGAGCACGGAGGGTTCCTGGTCGTCGCTCACCTGCCGCAAAAAGCTAGTACGTGTTGAGACAAGTCCAGACAAGTCCACCCCAAGCTTTCGCCAAAGTCTGGTGGTCCTGTGATAAGCAAAAGTAAAGACCTCGCCAAAGCAAGCCATTTTCTTGAATTACAGCTTGGTTGAGCTTATCACGCAATTTTGCCATGCAATTGGCTTTGGCCCTTGGGGTTTTGTTTATTAGCAAGACACGAGACTCGTCGCACACGACCCGCCTAAACGCATTGCGACCGTTCGGCGCAAAGCGACGCCTTCACATCGCCCTGCGCATTCCAAGGCTCTTTTGCAATATAACGATTCATGGATGAGACTCGGCAAATGCCTCTGTCGCGAGTACCAAGTCAGAAAAGGTTTGGAACAAATCACCACAGCAAGGACCACGGCGGATGGATGTGGAAATGTCGCGTGCGCGCCAAAAGATAACCGACCTGAAGCACGCGATCTCGACGATGTCGAGGAAAAGGGAAACCGCTTGTCAAGGAAACTCTTTTTCCCAAATCATCGCGGAGAAGAACGTGGAGTATCCAATCGGCGCCCTCGCCGCATCTGCCGCGCTATCTTGCCGCCAAGCTCGCCAAGCTGCTGGGAATAAGCTATCTCTTCTGACTCGTCAAAATTAGCCCACGTTATTGATCCTTGGTGCGCCTCATCCTGCAGACTCCTTCCTTGTTGCTTCGAGAATGGCTTGTTTGATATGCATAACAGCAAGAAGAACCGCGGCAGGAACGGAAGGGAAGGGGAGCGTTTGCTTGGTCTGACGGCTTGATTCGCTTGTGGGAGAAGCTTATCATCGCCACCTGCAATCCTTCGACGAGTCTATTGGGAGATCATCACCGGCACAAGAAAGTACAGGGTGACTTTGCCGCTATCATGCAACGGACAGACCGTAATCCACCAGTCCGCATCAGGTTTGTGGTCAGCGATATGCTAGCGAAATCACTTCGACCAACCGTTCTTCGATGTAACCTCTCTATCACTTGCTCAAATGGCACTCCATCCACGACCCGCTCACACCTGATTTTGGTGTATCAAGAACCAATCTTGTACAACGATTCCATTCCTCGGAATCCGGAAACCGCGGGATGCCTTGTCGAGATGAGTTCGCACATGCACCCGAAAGCAGTTGGTAGACAGATAACAGCCATCAAATCATGCGAACCATCAAGCGACATCACGCTTGAATAATGCTGACCTTTTGCATCATACCTCAGGATTCTCGGATGATCGCTCCGTCCAAACTTCCTGCCCGTCTTTCAAATCATGAACCAACGTGATGTTGCAGGAACACGAGTCAATCCACTGTCACGAGATTGCTGATGGAATCGCTGCGATTACTCGCGTGCTTCCGCCCTGACACCGCGCGTAAACCCCCTCTCAGCACCCAAACACTCCTCCAGGAGTGAGGACAAGCGATAGGGAAGCCTATGTCTACCACAGACGACGTGTGCTGTGCTCTCTTGCTTTCAGCTCCTCTTCTACAGCTAACGCCTGGTGTCTGCAGCGTTGTTTCCCCTCAGTCGCGTGCGCGTAGCACGTCCATCCTCCTCCTCCGCAATCCTACTGCATATCTACCTTCCTCTTTGAGCAGCACCTCCACCTTTCCCCGTCGACACGATGAAGAAAGCTTATGTCGACATCAAAAATCGGCATCTGAGCGAATCCCGAGACATCGAGATTTGCACAAACGTCATTGCTATCGTTGTTGCTATGAACTTCGAAACCTCCTCTTTTCACGATACTAGCTTTTGGTTATAATTGATAGGTCAGGTAGGGACATCGCTATCACGGTCTTTATATACGTCATGGCGATTTTGAATTTTCATCACCGTATTGACGGGTTTCTTCCTGCCATGGAAAATATTCATCTCGCATTACATCCATGGTCAAGCCTAAGGTCAAAGAGCAAATCTATCCGCAATATCGCATATTCCTAGTCCACCGCATCGCTCATTTAACAATTATACTTGCATATCCTGCCAGATTTTGCCAGTAGTGATGGCCCGAACGGCCGAAAGTCGTGGGTTGCTAGAAATGGTTGGATGAGAGGAACACCCTGTGCGTTGCTTGTGACGACAATATCTCCTCGGCAGCACAAACTTGTATCGGTAATGGGATGCTTTGGTGTTGATTAGAGAGGTATTGTGAGTTAGTTGTGTGGTATTTGAGATGGGATGATGGCTAGGAACTTGCTAAGGGCAGATGGGGGTTTTCTCTTGTTTGACGTGGTGCACGACTGAAAGATCAGGTTGCAAAATTGTCACTCTTGATTGAAACCAACTCGACCAGCACACCAGTGCATTGGGAATCTCTGATCTGGTCATGCACCCGAAATGGGCTCAGGCTTTTTCCATCTCCTTGGTTTCCCTCATACCGATATACAACATCACTACCGAGTACTTCCCGACCACTTCTCAGTACACGGGCATCTTGAAAGCATCAAACTCCACCTCCCAAGTCTCCAAACCCTTGCTGTCGAACCTACACTCCACACTCCCATTACCACTCTTACTCCAAGATGGTCTCAAAGGCCAAGCACACACTTGCTCATTTTCTCCCTTCCTATCTCCTTGCAAGACCGTCGCGTTCAAAGTCTGCGGCACGATCCCCTTTTCCACCCACTCAATCATGACCTGCAGATTAGTTTGTGGGAATGGGTGATTGGGCTGATAAGCATTCAATCCACAATGCCCGGCTCCGGGGATGAGAAAAAGTCTATACCAGTCATTGAGCGCTGCGTTGGAGGCGTTGAAGGATAGATGAGGATACATGATCTCCCGCACCGAATCGCGATAATGTACCGAACTTCCAGTGGGGATGGAAAAATCAGATTCGCCATGATAGTGTAAGATTTTGCCGCCGGAAGAGTGGAAAGAGGAAAGGTCTGGCCATGTGGTGTGGAGAGTGGATTCGTACATTTGCCAGCCTTTGTACATCCATTGTTTTAGCGTGTCGTAGGTGACATTATCCAGATTTGCAAAAGAAGTTGCGTTGACCAAGTCCAAGAAGGGTAAGACGAACTGTGCGGCGAAATCGCTGGGCCAGAGGGTGAATGAGGATGTGTTGGTGTCGTATTGGGTGAATGCGTCTGCGAAGATGGAGGCGGGTTGGTAGGATAGATAGGCCTGTTTGCCGTGAGAGTCGCGCAGGCCTTGGATAATGGTATCAGCCACCTGCACCGCCTTTGCCGTGACAGTGCCATTTTGCGCTGGCCAAGCAGGATGAGGTGGGAATCCCATATACACAGGAGAAGCAGCGCATGAGTATGGTGTTCCGATCAAGCTACTGGTGTTGAAACGCAATTTGCACAGATCGGTACGGGCGACCACGCCATCGGTTTTTCCATCTAACGGGTCGCAAGCGGCGATTGTTTCGTTGAGTATCTTTTCCATCTCGCAAGGAGGAGGATAGTAGTCTAGAGTTTGCTCTACAATGTCGGAGTATGCGTGTTGGACTTGTTGGAAAGCGAAGCGGAAAGCAGGGGCACCGACGACGGCGCCATCGAATTGATCTCCGTAGCGTTGGATCTGGCTCCAGCCATCGCGACCACCTTCTGAACAACCTGTGGAGTGTCAGTGGTCACTTCCTGCAGACAAATGTGTATTCTTGCTGACCTTGGTAGTAAGCGTATAGTTTGTCGTCCTTGGTCATGTTGAAGAAGCCCTTGGTAAACTCCTTACCCAGCACCGTCATCTCATGGATAGCTTGAAATCCAAACATGTTCAAGTTGTGAAAGTTCGCGGTGCCATTGGCGAGAAGGAAGACACTGCTGAATTGGGTAGACAAGCTGCCAAATCCGGCATCAGTGGTACCAGCAGCGGCACCGTAGATGATGCCTCCAGGAAGCGAGCCAGATAAGCCATCGCCAGAAGAGACTATCCAGGCGTCAGTAAATTGATCAACAGCAGCGATTCGTACCGAACATACTGAGGTAACCACCACCACCCGTAGACAAAAAGCGATCCTTGAAGTTATCGGGCGAAGGCAGCCAATAGACCAACCTCACTTTATCACCCTCAATTCCATCGTGAGAGTAAGAGAAGCTGATATTGCAGTAATCAAAAGTGGAATCCGGAAACATGACATTACCGCTGGCATTGGCGGCGTAAACTGGATTGGCAGTCACGGATGCATTGTCAATGGTAATGCCTTGATAGAAGTTTGCAGCAGGTAAAGCGGCGACTGCATAAGCTGAAGTGCAAACATCTTCAAGAGATGACGCTTGAGCGACAGCCACACAGACTGCTGCAGTCGAGATAGTCCAGAAGGGCGAATGCATGATGTTGATGCATTGGCAAGACATTGGTGGATGAGTGTCTCATTTGTAGTTTGTAGTCTGGAAGTTCTGAACATCCCCACAATGGAAGAGTTGTGGATCGTCGCATGGTTTTCTTCAGTAGAATCGATTTTGCAAAGACGCTTGACGTCGGTGTGTGCTAAAGTATTCAAAAATGGCGGGGTTGGTGTATACCTGGTGACAAGTGGGGAAGCGGGGAGTACCTGAAGATCTCGAATAATTGTCTCTACTATAGGTCAAGAACGACACGTGCCATTTTGCATCGGGTGAAAGTCAAGATGAATCGATACAATAATAAGAAACGATCGGGGCCAGTGGGGAGAGCGACGGGAAACTAGGTTCGTGATAACACGGAGTTCCTTGGCTATTCAGAAAATCGACCACATTTCACCGCCCCTCCCTCATCTTCTGCATAAGAGCAGCGGACTCGGCGGCGAACTTACACTTTTCGCGAATGTTGGGCCCGTATTTGTAGAACAAGAACTACACGGTCCAAAAGTCAGCAGAGCCCCTCATTTCTGTAACGCGTTACCACAAGGAGGAAGCAAAAGAGAAATCACTCACCGGCATAGGCAGACACATCAGTGCCAAAAACGCTGGTATACAGCTTGCCAGTGTATACCAAGGTTTGCATACATATCACTCGTGAACAGCGGAAACGCCATTCCGAACAAACTTCTCAAGACCGAGTTCGCAGCGAGAGCGGAGTCAGCAAATTTCCAAGGTCTGATCAATGCAGTGCTAAACACACCCACAGACTGCACAGGACCAGATGCAATCTCCGCTCTTGTCTTGTAGAGTTCACCCGGGTTGGCCTTTTCGAGGGCGCGCGCCCGCTTGCGGAGGAGGACAGGCGCATAGGTTTCTGGAATGAGCAGAGATCCTGCGATCCAGGGAACGCCGGTGAAGATGGCCATGATACCTTCGACCCAACGCCAGCCAATGGTCTCACCTGCGAAACCGATGTTTCTATCCGGGTTCCGGGGCTGGCGAAGGAGATGGCCAATAACGTCGTCTTGATGCCGCAATATTCAATAATGCCCATGTTGCAGGATGCTGAAGTCAAGGCAACCAGATGTTCGGAAAGGGGGGGAGTGTTGCGATAGAAATGAAAGGCTAGATTTATGCTATACATCATCAGGGAAGAAGATCTAATTAACAAGGGTACTCATTCTTCTTCCTTCACCAGCAACACCGCCAATAGTGGCTTCTTCAGTGGCGCTTCCACCTTGTTTGGCGAATACTCGTCGTAGGTGGTTCGTGGCATTGAGGTAATGCTGCTTGACACCAGGGGTAGGTTTTAACGGATTGGGAGCCTTATCCCAACCATGAGGTACACCTTCAATCATCTTGTAGTGGACAGTCTTGTTGATGCCCTTTCCAGTAAGACGATCGCGGAACTTTTCACCCTCAGCGAGGAGCATGTCCCACTGGCATGTGTGCATGATGATGTCTTGAGGAAGAGCTTCGGCAAGGAGATTCGTAGGAGCAATGCCGGGAGAAAGATAGGGCGAGTCCAGAGGGATAGTATCCGGAGGATGCAGGTATGATTCATCAAACAGGTTAGTGAAGATGGCAGGGAGATCTTGATCTGTGCGGACCGAAGTGTTGCGGCGTTCTTCGCGGGTCTGGGTGTAGTCGCAGGAGGGGTACCAGGGGACGATGGCGCAGAGAGAGACGGACTGGACGGTTTCGCATTGCTTGACCGACATTTGCTGTTTCTGCAGGCTTGCCAGAGTGGGAGCAACGGTATGACTGCGACTGCGGACGATGCGGTCGACACTGAGACTGGAAGAGCTGGGATCCTGTGCGCGAGGAAGACTGAGAAGAGACGACGAGGCACCGTTGTTTGTCTCGACTCTACTGAATTCGCTTTGGTGGTCGTACAGGCGGAGAGGGACGGTGAAGGCCATGTTGGCGCCGGAGCTGAAGCCGGAAAGCGCAATCTTATTCTCGTCGATGCCAAGTTCGTCTGCGTTGTTGGCCATGTACAGCACAGCATCTACACCGTCCTCGACAGCGGTAGGGAAGGGATTCTCGGGAGCCAGGCGGTAGTCGACACTGACGACGACAGCAGCGCATTCGTCGACGACGGTTCCACACCAACGAGCATCATCACTAGGGCTGCCCAGAGTGAAACCTCCACCGTGGAAGTTGATGACACAAGGGTATTTCTTCTGGCTAAAGTCCATACGGCGATGCTTCTCGTAATCCTTGGGCACATAGAAGTGCAATTCGAATGAGCCAGGCTTGGAACTAACAGTCGCCTTGATGGATCGCTTGAAGGACGGTTTTGGCGGGTGAGGAGGTGCCATGCGGTGGAGCAGCATTCCAATTCCCATGAGGAAGCGCCACATCTGGGCCTGCATGTGTAAGATCCATCTTGGTCTTCCCGGTCCCGTCGTGCCTGTCGTCTTTTGCGAAGCGGTCGAGAGTTTGGGAGATAACGGCGGTTGGGCAGGAGAAGGTGAGCGAGGAGGGGACGATTGCGGTGGAGGAGTCTTGTTCCCGTCAGCAAAGTCGTGCCTTTCGGTCTTTTGCGCGGCCGTCACGGCGATGGATGGTCGGTCAGGCATCTTTTGCTGGGAGAAGGGAAGTTTGTTGACAGGCGTTCTTGAATTGAGGAATTGATGGCGCGCGCTGACGTAGGCGACGCTCCAAGTGTGGCGCGGGAAATGGGACCAAGCCCAGAAGGTGAGAAGGTCCCTTTGTGGCGTTGACCCTTTCGACGTGTGGCGGTGCCTTCCCGCGGCAGGTGCGATGATGCGTGGTGCAGCCGTCATGCGACAAGAACTGCCTCTTATGCTGCAACTGCCCCCATTGAACCGTCGATATGTCGACTGGCCATGATCCTGCATCTCTGGCCAATGCGACATCACCTGATATTGCCCCAGCGAATACGCTCCCATCTGTCGACTCAACTCAACCACCTTCTCTAGTCGCTTCCTCAACGGATGCGCCGGCGACCACAGCTCCCTCAATCAATGCTCCGCCGTATGACACGACTGCTAGACTTGGAATCAGGTCTTTCTCTCCAGCTATTGAAGAAATCCTGAAACGCTTACCTCAAAACTCGCTTTCCGCTGTTCATGGTACACAAGAGTGGGAAGCTGCGAGAAACGCCGTCTTGAAGAACATGACCATTTCGACTACATTAGACGACTCGCATGTGGATGACTCTGCCTTGAGAATAGTAAAAGAGGAGCAAATGGATACTGACATGGACGTTACGACCCCCGTCGTTAGAGGTGGACGAGGAAGAACCCGCGGCGGACGCCCTCGTGGTAGCCGTGGAAGGGGCAGAGGCAGAGGTGCCTTGACTGGAGATGTCATGACACCTTCATCAGCAGCTATGGCCACACCAACATCTACAGGTCGAGGCCGTGGAAGGGGAAGAGGGGGTAGACCGAGAGGGAGAGGTGGCAGAGGTGGAAGGAAACCATTGGCTGAAGGCATCAAAATTCATGAAGTCAGCTCTGACAGCGATGATGATGTTATTGACGATGCCGAAAACACCCCTCTGGCGACAACTTCTCGATCTGGCCGCGCAATCACAAAACCCACCACTTTCGTACCCGTCATACCCTCACCCACATCTGGCGTCAAACGCAAGCGCAATTGGGGACGTAGAAATCCGGAATTGGCAGTCTGCAAGGCCTGTCTTCGACCGCATAGTCCAGCCACCAACATGATAGTATTTTGTGATGGCTGTAACACTCCTTACCACCGCTATTGCCATTATCCCCCCATCAGTCAGGAGGTTGTAGATGTTCCCGACATGGAATGGTTTTGTTCGGACTGTACCGTTCGACCACCACCAGAGGTTGACATTGACTCGTTTGTGTCAGGTGGAGAATTGACAGAAGAGCAGGTGTGTTTGTGTTGTAGTGATATGATGAGAGAAACACAAGCTGACCGTTACAGAAACGAGAAGTCTTTACTTTACTACCATCACATACGCTGGTAGAGCTATTGCTACGGGCAGACAGATCACATCCAGAGCTGGCATTGTTCCCGCCTGGAGCATACCGAACACCTCTGCCTACCACACTCTCAGCATTGCTTGATCCTCCCAAACCTGCAGTTGAGCCTCTACCACCAAACCCGCCTGAGCCTCCCTCAGATGAATCCGAGCATGCATACTATCCATTACCAGTGCGACCAGATGATGATGTGGATGAAGGCTATAATGAGCTTGATAACCCCACGGCGAATTATCCAAGACCCGGTCAAGGATTGGGAGCTACACTTCCTGCCGAGGAGACACATCTGGATTGGCTGGTTGATGACAATGAAGAAGTCTACAGCCATTTCCAACCTGCCGACAGAATTGGTGACATGGATGCAACCATGGCAGGTGCAGAGGAGATGGTCAACTGAATCTGATTGAAGGAGAGCTATACTATTCTTTGCTGTATATATTCATTACCTATCACAAGATGAGTTTGCAAGAAAGAGAAGACGAAGCGGTGCCAAGAAGTCCAGACTTGAAGTTGGTGGGTGAAACAGGGTCTTGCAGGGTTTTGAGGAAGTCGCGGCGTTTTCTTCTCTCAAGTCCGAGCGCTTGGACGTTTATCGTCGAAGCTTCTGCTTTGATGAAAAAGAGTTGAAAGCATGAGCCCGTCGACTTTTCCTGCATCCGCCCTTTGTTTTCACTCGCTTCCACGCCCTGCCCATCACATATTCTCATCCATACCGAGTCGCCGAGAAACATCCAATCATGGCCAACAACGCAACCGCACCGCAAACCGGCGACCGCCTGGCCGGCCTCGCTCACTCTGAGCAGCACTACTTCAACAGGTAAACTCACCATTCTCTACTTGACCAGACTGAAGGGCGCAAGACTGACAAGATGCGCAGCTACAACCACCACGGAATCCACGAGGAGATGCTCGTACGTTACGCCGCAGTCCAAGGACTCATTCCAAAGAAAGAGCGTGTGAATTGACAAGACTCGACTGTTTTAGAAAGATGATGTGCGCACTCGCAGCTACCGCGATGCCATCTACCAGAACCGCCACCTCTTCAAGGACAAGGTCGTCCTCGATGTCGGCTGTGGTACCAGCATCCTGTCCATGTGCGCATCCTCCCACCTCCATCCTCGTCCACGATTTCACCCATACTGAGACAATCCCACAGGTTCGCCGCAAAGGCCGGCGCCAAGCACGTCATTGGTGTTGACATGTCGACCATCATCGACAAGGCAAAGGAGATCGTCGAGGTTAACGGCTTGAGCGACAAGATCACTCTTCTCCAGGGCAAGATGGAGGAGGTTGTTCTTCCCTTCCCCGAGGTCGACATCATCATCTCCGAGTGGATGGGCTACTTCTTGCTGTACGAGAGCATGCTGGACACTGTCCTGTGGGCTCGTGACCGTTACCTCAAGAAGGGCGGTCTCATCTTCCCCGACAAGGCCACCATCTTTGTCGCCGGTATCGAGGACGGTGACTACAAGGAGGAGAAGATCAACTGTGAGTTTTGACCCGTCTCTCCACTTTGCACCATCAGCAACTGACTCAATCCACAGTCTGGGACAACGTCTGGGGCTTCAACTACGCTCCTCTCAAGCGCACCGCTCTCACCGAGCCCCTCGTCGATACCGTCGACCTTAAGGCTGTCGTCACCGACCCCGCTCCTCTCATCACTCTCGACCTCTACACCTGCAAGGTCGCCGATCTCGCCTTCCACCTTCCCTACTCCCTCCCCGTCCGCCGCACCGACTACGTCCACGCTCTGATCGCCTGGTTCGACATTGAGTTCTCCGCCTGCCACAAGCCCGTCAAGTTCAGCACCGGCCCCCACACAAAGTACACCCACTGGAAGCAAACCGTCTTCTACCTCGACGACAACCTCACCGTCGAGGCCGGCGAGAAGCTCAACGGTACCCTGCTCTGCAAGCCGAACGACCGCAACAGAAGAGATTTGGACGTCGAGATTGAGTATGCGCTCGAGGCCAACGAGCAAGGTCGCGAGGCCAAGGGCAAGTGCACCTACGTCATGTGCTAACCGCACTTTGACACCGTTGGTCACTGCTGCTCAATCGTCATTTGTTTATTTTTCTATCGTTCATGGAGCTCAGAGTTGAAGGAAGGGGAAGGGGGTCATAAAAAGTACGAGCATGGGGGGGTTGCTTTTTTTCCATATTTTCGCTGTCTTGCATGGGAAAGGTGTTACGGGAAAGGGAGGAGAATCTACATAACGTCGAATGACTACCATCTCTTGAAACTCCAAACACAAATCTCAATGTTGAGACCATCATCTTTTGTGATTAGAAAAAGAATGCATTAATGAAATAAGGTGCCAGTAGAAATAACCAGCAGGTCAACTCCGACATCTGTCATCCGGGCCTCGGTCCCGCATAGAAAATCATCGGGAAACTCGGCCCCGAAGGCTGAAAGCTCCTGACTTTCTCCACATCGAACATCCCGCTTTACCAGCAACCACACTTCCCTGCATCTTTTTTGTTCTTGCACTTCTACACTTTCTTGAATCTCGTATCTCCTTTTTCTCACAATCGGGTTTTGCCAATTGCTTATACCATGGCTGCGTTTATATCTTCACGGGGAGCATTGTCGCTTGTGAGACCGGTGATTTTTAGGCGATGGTATTGTAGAGGTCTGGCTACGGTGGCTGGAGGTGGAGGTGAAGGTGGAATTGGAAGTGGAAGTGGAGGTGAAGATGGAAAGTTACCGTTGAAAGGGATTAAAGTGTTGGATATGACTAGGGTGTTGGCTGGTGTGAGTGATTCCTTTTTTTTCTTCTTGTTTTGTTTTTTGTTTGTCTTGGAGGAGATGAGGAAGAGGGGGATATCCTGGCGGCTGGAGTTGTAGGGGTGAAGTATTTCAAGATGAAGGAAGACGGAGGGGCTGAGAAGAGAGGAAAAGTCGAGGAAAGAGCTCGGGAAGTCAGGTGGTAGGAACAATACTTCTCAGCAGCCTAAGTACAGAAGTCCTTCTCTCCATCATCGTTTTCGGGAGCGGTGAGCAAGACAGGGAAAGGGGAAAAACATCCACAAGAAATCAAAAAGCCAGCGCGATCGCATCGGAAGCAGCAAGCACATTCTCAAACTGGGAAACCCCATCAAACGTCCCCATTGGGCACAACACATCGCATCTCTTCACCACATCTACACAAAACCTTCAAGTTCGAACCCAAGAGGACTGACAAAGAACACAAACAGCCATACTGCACACAGATTCTCGGCGATCTAGGCGCAGAAGTCATCAAAATCGAACACCCCACCCGCGGCGACGATACCAGAGCCTGGGGCCCACCATACGCCAAACACATCAAAGGTACAGAAGCACAGAAATCAGCACCTGGCGAATCAGCATACTTTCTCTCCGTCAACCGTAACAAGAAATCTTTGGCTTTGTCTTTTCAATCCCCTGAAGGAGTAAAGATATTGCATAAACTGGCTGAAGAATGCGATGTTCTGGTTGAGAATTATCTACCTGGTGCATTGGGGAAGTATGGGATGGATTACAAAACGCTGAGTAAAGTCAATCCGAAGTTGATTTATGCGTCTATCACTGGCTATGGACAGACTGGGCCATATTCTAATCGCGCTGGTTATGATGTTATGGTCGAAGCGTAAGTTCTACCTCTTTCCTTGCTTCCCCCCAACCTCTTCATCTCTTTCCCTCACTCACGACGACCATGGTACTGATTTGACGTTCGTCAACAGCGAAATGGGCCTCATGCACATCACAGGCACCCGCGACGGTCCACCAAGCAAAGTAGGCGTCGCAGTGACCGACCTGACAACCGGCCTCTACACTTCCAACTCCATCCTCGCATCTCTGATTTCCCGCGGCATAACAGGCAAAGGCCAACACATCGATGTCGCACTATCCGACTGCCAAGTCGCCACCCTCTCCAACCTTGCCTCCTCCCACTTGATCTCCGGAAACCCCGACAGCGGTAGATGGGGCACCGCTCACCCCTCCATCGTCCCCTACAAAGGCTTCGAAACGGCAGATGGCAGTGTAATGCTGGGAGGCGGCAATGACAGATTATTCGGCGTCTTGTGCGATCGTCTGCAAAAGCCGGAATGGAAGGCAGATCCCAAATTCATCACCAATGCGCAAAGAGTGGCGAATAGAGATTTGTTGGAGGAATTGATAACCACGATTACAAAGACAAAGACTACGCAGGAGTGGTTGGAGGTTTTGGAGGGCAGTGGGATGCCTTATGCCGCCGTCAATGATATCGAAGGGACCATGAAGCATGAACATGGTATGAGCACCCTACTATTCTCTCTCACATTACTTCTTATCCTCACACTAACACACCAATCTTCCCCAAAACAGTCCTAGCTCGAAACATGGTCCACGAAATCGACCACCCGACCTGCGGACCCATCAAACTAGTAAACACGCCCGTCAAATTTTCGGAATCCGCGCCATCGATCAGAACAGCGCCGCCGACTTTGGGCCAACATACGCGGGAAGTGTTGATGCAATTGGGGTATTCGGAGAAGCAGGTTGAGGAGTTTAGCGACAGCGGTGTGGTCGCTTAGGGAGAAAGGGGTGGTGGGGGCAAGGATGATGGATGGGGATATAGGTGTGGAGAGAGGTTTTGGAGAAGATGTGGACATATATGTTGGTATTGGTGAATTTCTTTTCCAAGGGTGGGTTTTTGGTGACACTTGTACGTGCTGGCGGGTGAGCAGCGGAAAGACTTTTGGCCTTTGCATGTACATGATTCGAACACCAATGTAGCTGGAAATTGGTCTTTGGAATAGTGGTCTTGGGTTTGTATCGCGCTTTCTGGGTTTAGGTGATGTGTATGCGACTGCCAAAAACTACCTACATTATTTTTGTGCTCATTGGTCTTCAGACAAGTGGGAGAGCATCTGTGCTGGAGCAAGGAGGTCTTTGGAAGGTGGGAAATATAATTATCTGTGGCGGTCTTGTCGTCTGTGATCTTCAAGTGATTCACTCGAGATGTGAAGGCGAATGTGCCTATGGTGCATTCTGACGGGATATATCAGCTATTTGATTGCAGAAATGTCCATTCCGCTTGCATTAATTAACAAGCAAGCAGCCTATCATCCACGGCCTGGATCCAAGGACGACCATCTCGAGTTCTCGATGTGGGGGAGGTATTTGCAGTCGATTGGGTGGAGACAGTATTGGCCATTGCTCGTTAACGAGTGAGAGAGTCACTCGCGCCTGGAGAAGTCGAGGAAAACGCCTCAAGCAAGAGAGCCGGGTGTTTTTGGCTGTCTTATCACTTGTGTACCTCGATGTATCCATTCAGGAAAGTGAAAATCTTGTTTCCATGATGAATTAATGACGGCATGTATCAGCTATATGGTACAGTGCCGATTGCATTAGTTGAAAAAGCAAGACTTTTTCCTCCTTTCGTGTGTCCGTCATCATCCTCAACTCGCCTTCAGTGTTCAGCAGCATCTTTCTTCACATCCTCCTTCGCTCTTTCCTCGGCCGCCTTTCTTTCCAGGTATCGCGCATGGCTTTCTTCCGACACCTGATCGCCGGGCCATGGTGCTTCTCCGCGCGCCTTTCTCTCGGCAGCCATCCTGACCCGATAATTCCTGTTGCTTTCCGCAACAGCAGCCCGTTTTTTTGCGTTCTTCTTCGCGTGCTCTGCGCGTTCTGTCTCTAGACGTTCTTGGTAGCCAGGCTTGTTGTGTTCCCAGAACATGGAATCTTTTGCGGGCATTTCCATCTTCTTTCCGATGCAGGTGAAGGCGACTCCATCGCCTTTGATGTAGATGGGCAGTGGTTCCATCTCCAGCGGTAACGATGCATCCTTTCCATGTCCCTGATCTCCATTCCACCATGTCGTTGCAGATTGAACGGTTGCTTTGATGGTAGACGAGACCCAAGATGCCGGAGGTCCACACTCCTCGAGCGTAGCCCAACGCCAATACTTGATACTCTGTCCAGCCGGCAACTGACCTTCAAAAGTACATCCAGTCTCGAAACCAGCGATGTTGGAGATCAGCATCATGTCGAACCCATCCTTGATCTTCTCAGGATAACCATTGAATTGGATGTTGGTGAGAACAGTCTTTCCAGGTTCCAGCAAGGTTTTAGGTGTTGTTGGAGGACCAAACTCGTAAAGGCGACACACGTAGGAGCCTGTTTGCGATTCACCAGTGTCGCGGTTTGTGAAGAAAATCCCGATGTTTTCGAGTGCGCGATTGTGTTGGAGGAAGGTGCCTTCTTCGCAGATGAGAATAGGAGCTCTTGCGTGGAGAGTGATGGCGAGAGCGAGGTTGAAGCGTGTTGCGCCGGATAGATCGAATTTGGTCTGGTCACCTCGGAGCTCAGCAGTGAGGTACGGTTCGGGTCTTGTTGATTGCATTGTTGTGATGGATTGATGATGGGGCGATGCCACGATGATTTGATGCAGACACAGGCCGATGAGAGTGAGATTCGTGATGGATTTTGGCTGTTGGTGATGGTCGTAATGATAAACTTGGGATCGAACGAATATTGGTCATGAGGCAAGTGAGGGTTGGAGCAGGATCAATGGTCACAGTGAAACAGGCACCCGCCAAGCCACAGACGGACGCAAGCCAAAAGATCAGTATTTGTCTGTAGTCACACCTGCACGTGACATTGAATCAAGAAACAATCATGTCAGTCTCCAGGAAATGGACAACACTCAATTGTCACGGCCCAAAGGCAGGCACGAGGCTGATGTCTTAGCTTCCATTTGTTCCAAGTATCGGCTTTCACGTGACTTCCTAACGTGGACATTCGTCATTGGGATGTTACAGCTGCTCGAGCCTTCCCTGACACAGGTATCGATGCTTTCACGACTTGTAGTACAGGGCTGTAGTGGCAGCCTTGTTCTACTATGGCAAGATTCAGAACATGAAACAGCGTAGTGCATCTGAAAGGACAACCTTCATAAAGAACCTGCACTCCCCGACTCCTTTTCATTCTCAGACTCAATTCTTCCACATCTCACACAACCACACAGAACCAAACCATGATCATCAACAATCTCCTTAACGTACTCCAGTTTGTGGTTCTCACACCACTCTGTTCCATCGTCAAAGCTTCTCCCATCCAGGATGAGTAAGCATACATCTTGGTGTTCAGGTCCAAGGGAACTAACATATTGTTCTAGGCACAACCGTTTGCGTACTGGTAACACCACTGGTGGCAAATCGCCTTTCGCACGCGCGTATCCGATGTACGAAGGTTGGACTCACTTGCAGCAGGCCTCGTTGCAGGACGCTTTCGATCACGCACTTTTCATGGCTGCGAACGTTCTGGCCTACCCTCATCGTGACGAGATCTATCCTATCTACTTCCAGGGAGATGAGGATTACGAAAAAGTCATGGATGTTTTCCGTGAGATCGTGGGCAGGGAACCTGGAGACATCCACGGCGCTGCAATCTTCAAGAACATCCTCATCGACGGGTTGGACCGTAAAAAAAGCTGTCAGAATGATCCCAACAACGTTCTGGTCGCTGCGCTTCTCCCTGGCAGGGTAGACAGAACAATCGCAAACATCGTTTGTTGCGAAAAGTGCTGGAATTATCCACACATGGAGGATGGGATCGACTGTGACGATCTGGGCACAACAGTGTCCGTGAAGATGTCAAGCCTGGGAGGTGTCATACTCCACGAGCTCGTCCACTTCGACCCTATGTGTGTCCCTTCGTGAGTACCCTACACCACTGAAATCGACAAATACACAGTTCGCTGATCAGATACAACACAGCATCGGCCAGCAAACCGAAGACATTGCTTGGGGCCCTCTCAGCGTTCGCAAGCTCAGACAGAATGAACCGGAAAAGGCTTGCCTCAATGCGGACAACTACAAGTGGTATGCTCAGGTAAGATATCTCATTTCACAAAATCACAAAATACTCTCAGCTCAATTTACTAACCATTCGGAATTTCAGCATCTCTGGTGGACCGTGAATTGCGACAGGAAATTCTCAGGTCCTCGCGGTTCAATCGACACCTACGAACCTTGGTGCGGTATCCAAGGCTGCCAGATCCAATAACGAATTTCGATCAAGAGAGGCAAAGGATGCTGTAACCTTTGCCTCTATGACTTTTATGACATCTCCACTCTTAACACTGGCAGGTGCCAGGTTTATGCTCCAGCTATCAATCATTAGGAAAGTCTCTGATGACATCTGGGAGTCTGTACTACCATGGAATCATGGAGTTTTGGAGTTTTGGCGTTTTGGAATTTCTGATGAAGTCCGGAATTGACTTTCGAACTTGTTCTTTCATTCATGTCAAGCAAACCACACAAACTACATGATCTTTGAGCGAGGGGCTCAGATCACATAAGTACTTTATGTTTCTTCTATGAAAATGGAAAACCTTCTCTTGACCATCTCATCCATCTCCTACTCTTTTCTTTATTCCTTCCTTTGCCACTAAAACTCTTAGTAGAATTCGACATGGGTCAAAAGAAAGTGTGTGTGTAACGATTATACCCCATTATAAAGACATGCTCGAGATTTAGAGTCATGCAGAGGTCACACCGCTATAAAAATCCATATCTCTAACAAGGAAGAACCTCTAACCGACAGCTCACTACGGGGTAAAGTGCTACGTATGCTTGTAAAAAGGTGTTCAATAGCACGCGACTAAATTTCCAAATTGTTGCTATTTAATGCTTAATGGATGGAAGACTTCTTGGCAAAGAAAGCTACGACTGTGCTACGCATTCTTTCTTAGTACTCGAGTAGTCTTGCTGAATTCATACCCATTCATTCTAGCTAATTGAACTGCTCTGACTGACAACATCATAATCGTGCTAATCATGTGTAATGTCGGTGTCGACAGTCTTGGTAATCCTCTCTTCGACAGTAAAGGTGGAATTATCCTTAGCAAGCTCCTCGTCTGGTAGGCGCATACGCCCGTTTCGCCTAGCCATAATGTTCAATTGGTAATCATTTGTGCCAGATACCGGCGCAGCTTTACTAGCACCGAAGCTGATTGTAGTAGTGCTCTTGACGATCTTGCCAATAAGAATGGTAATGTTCATCTCAATATAGAGCTTAAGGAGGTAGGTCAAAGTGTAGAACTGAACGTTGCTATTTTGAATCCGTGTTAGCTACAACGGAAATGTGCTGGCTGAGGCCCTGTTGGAAAGAAACTCACACATAGGGACCTGGAAGAAAGATCGATCCTATCAAGATGCAGTCCAGGGAAAGTGACAGCATTGACATGCTAATGTTGAAATAGAAGAGTCGGTTGTATTTCTGGAGTCCATTGGCGATCAATTTGGTACGCACGAGATAGATGAAGTACGCGTTGAGCCCGCCATCCATGACGAGGAAGCATGCCTTTTCCGCTCGATCCCAGTGGACGTTGATAATGATCCATGTTTTGTTAATCTGGAGAAGGGCGGGAAGCCAGACAAGAAAAGCACTGATGTTAATCACGAGCGTGAGAAGACAAACAATGATCTTTAGTCTGACTGCATTTTTCCTGACCATAAGGACAGAGATTCGGTTGATGATGATCTGAAGGATGCATTGGAGCGATATGGTCCAGAAGAACACTGCGTAAGTCAGTCAAGAAAGTCCAGCAAGACTGTTCAAATCAACTCACGGATAAAGAAGAAAACCCAGAAGCTGTCGTACCGATAGATTAGTCTATGAGCACACAAGACACTGGAAAGGAACACTAACCTGGCCTTTATGGCGCCCGAAAGCCACATATATGTGATGAGTCCAATACACATGGCCGAAATCCATTCTGCCCAGATCATGATAGTATATGTGGTGAACATCTTGCCCCTCCTGCGAGCGTCGAGTGTCTGCTGGCCAGCTGTTGCTGCAGTGAACATGGCCACTGCCAGACCGAAACCAAAGATGATACTAATAACGTTCATCTCGCTCGCGCTGGGTGCTTTGGCTTCGAAATTCTTGCTCACAAGGAAACCTCCTCCCTGCATTTCATCTGTTTCGTTTGCCATAATCTGAAGCGATGTCGAGCGTAAGAGGTGCGGTTGACTTTGTTGGAGAAGTTGACAACCATAGCACGATCGACGGGACAACCTGATGTATATTCATACTCGAGGTCGCTGTGTGTCTTGGTCTTCAATTTGAGCGTTGATCTACTCGAGTAAGATACCAGGCTAGTCCACGAGGGCACGATTTTTTCGCATGTGTAAGACTAGTTGAGGATAAACCGTTCGCATGGTTAGGTAAGATTAGCCGGATCGAGACCGCTGGGAGTGGTCATCAAAGCACGTGGATCTGATGGGAAATCGAAGATGTGGTCAATAAAAATGCTTTTTGTGTCACTCCCACTCGATGGGTGATCTAGAGCCTCTTCACTGACTCGCGCTCAGCGAATCTGGACCCTCTTCACTGACTCGCGTTTAGGTGCAAAGTGTCGGAAGGCAATGGTGTCGTTAGCGCTAGCTACGATATGCTTTGATGGCTGTTGCTAGCCAACGGCGACTGCATCTTCGGCTCAGCGGCTTTGGCGACCAGATCGAACGCGCCCATCTCTGTCCTCGCTCCGAGGTCGAGTGATTCCTGGACCAAGACATGAACCGCTACAACAACAGCCGTAGCCTGATGGGCAACAATGTCGTCGACGACTTGTCCAGCTCGCCCACCCTCGGCGTCGACATGCACCAGGCATCATCTAAGCAGGACCGCGGAACCGCCCACTTCATCGCCAACACGCGCACTCTCGGCGCCACATAGCACAACACGATCGTCGACTTGGGCTCGGCCGTCCATCCTTGCTTCTTGCTTACCCGCCTCGCCTGGGCTGTCTTGCCCATGGTCGCCAACTTTCTGCTACGCCGTCATGTCAGACGCGTTACCATCAAGCAACCGCAGGCCACATGGTCCACTTCGACATCATCGACGCACAAAACCCATAATATGACCAAGCACGATTTGCTGGCCTTCCTCAACCCACCACGGGCTCGGAGCCAGAGCCCAAAAAAGCGAGACAGACCGACTGATCTTGACAATGACAACGATAGTATGGACGGAGACGGTGCCGAGAACGACAATGAATTGGACGCCGGGCCGCCAAAACGGATTCGCCATGACAGTAACAGTCGTCTTCCGTCTCAAACTCCCAACCTCTCTTTCACGATCTCAAGGGATCTCAAGGTAAAGGGCGGTCGTATTTTCTGGGGCCAGTGACAAATACCATGCCAGAAAGTCGAGCAATCCAAAACTTTGGCTTCGTACTTCGAGGCTCGATGTTACGGAGAAGCTGCTGACGCTTAGGATTCGCACATAGATCTGCTCGACATTCGTAATTTCTACTGTTGTATGGAGATCAGGCTAATAGCTGTCATCATAAGGGGCCATCAGCTCATTATGCTCGACATCGTGAGGAAATTTCTCAGTAGAAGCGGTGGTGTGGCACCAAGGCTTCACCTCCACCTCCTCTCTAATCTTCTTTGAGAAGCAACCGGACCAATTGCGACGAGGGTAATTCTTGACAACATCTTGAATCGTATCTTCATGAACATATCCGGCACGATATCCCATATTATCGAATTGGGTCGCAAGTTGTATCAGAAGGCCGACCGTGGTGATGGTGCCGGTTTCCACGGGATCTTGATGGCGTATTATCGCTTCAGCAACGCTTTCTGCTTGTCCTGCGGGAGAGTTGAATTGTTTGAGCTGATCCATGGCCAGATAACCTCCGTAGAATTCGAAAGACATGAGAGTGCCGTGAGTGTGTTTATCCACTGTCCCAATATCGTGGAAGAGACAGGTTAGTAGCCATGTCTCTGAACTAAACTTCCAGGAGGGAAATTGTTGGGTTGCGATTGCCATGCCTGTGTCCAAACACAAACATTAGCACTGCACCTCAAAAACAGCAAGGATAGCAGAGGAGTGAGGGGTACGAGGGATTAACTTACCATAGTAGAACACACGCATACTGTGATTAAACGTATGTTCGGGCAGTTCCTGCTTCACATGCTCGATTGCTGCTTTAACCAGAGCTGTACCTGGCAGAGGAATAGAAGAACAGAGTTGTGGGACAGGCTCTTTGTTGTACTTTTTGTTTCCTCCCCATTTTGCTGGATCACAGGGGAGAGAAGTCCAGCCGTATTCGGCGATCTGATCGGAGCGGGAGAGAGACATGGGTGTGGTTTGTTGGTGTTGTTGGTAAACTCGTGTGTTGGCGTAAGCTGTGGAGATAGTAGAGCCGGACAGTAGATGCGCATGAGTGAGATTTAAGAGACTTGTGTATCGGGGTTTGTAAGTTTTGGTTTTCGATGATCACGGCGAATGAGGTGGTGATAGGGCGTGATTACATCATAGCTTGTCAGCCGAAGCTTCGTCCCACACGTTCGGTCTTGGACTCCGGTCGTCCGTTGCGTGTGCCGACGACATCTTATAGCATTACCTATGGAGTCAGACATGGCTCTTGCCTGCTTATGGCTATCTTTCGACTCGTCCTATGCCTTTTGCTCTAGCATGTTTGTCGAGCTCGAGTGGACAACATCCGCGAAGGCTGAGTGTAGGCCGCGCGATGTTGGTCTTGGCAGGACAAAAACATTCGAAGAACCGACGACAGAACTCGTACAGCGTGAACACTGCAAGCACAACAACAACAACAACAGTAACAATCACAACCATCTGCAGTGCACCAAGCCATATCGAGCAGCTCCAAACTATAAAGAGAGCTTGTCTCACGATGAATCACAACACTCACAGCAGGACTCAACGCGGCCTAAAAAAGGTCAAGAGCTGATGAATACGCCGTATACGCGATGCGCAAAGCGCAGATACGCGACATACGGAGAAGCGTTTCAACAAATTCATACATTCTGTAGGTGTATGGTTCTGTGTTAAGTATTAGGTCATTCCTGCTTTCTGCTTGTGCTCTCCCACAATTCACATCTCTTCTTTTTCGAAAAAGGCCCTGTTCTTGTAACAACATGAAGAACACATATGCCGAATCCTCATTTTCTAACGATACGACGGGCTCACTACGATACGACACAACACGAGATACTCTGGTTGACAATGTCCTCGACGACGCACCTCCGCCGTACACATTAATCGCTGGCGACGGTAACACATTGACGCAGAGTGACGGTCGAGTTCGTCTGGATGTCAATTCAAAACTTGCTCGCACGCTCTCAGTATTCATCAAGGACGTTCCGGACCTAGCACCGCCGGAGTACGAAGAGGCTGTTCCCGAAGAGTTTGGAAACCAGCCACCACTCAACATTGTGATCCAGATTGTCGGTAGCCGCGGCGATGTTCAGCCTTTCATCGCCTTGGGCAATGAATTGCAAAAGTCAGGACATCGAGTGAGACTAGCAACCCATGACGTTTTTCGCGACTTTGTTACCAACTCTGGACTTGAGTTCTATCCCATCGGAGGCGATCCAAACGAACTCATGTCATACATGGTCAAGAATCCTGGGTTGATACCAAGCATGAAGACGATGCAAGCGGGAGAAATCACAAAAAAGAGAGCAATGATCCGAGAGATGCTAGATGGTTGTTGGAGATCATGTATCGAGCCTGACGACGCTACTGGGGCTCCATTCGTCGCTGATGCTATCATTGCCAACCCGCCTAGTTTTGCCCACATGCACTGCGCTCAAGCATTGTGTATCCCAGTACACCTCATGTTCACCATGCCCTGGACAGCGACAAAGAACTTCCCACATCCGCTAGCGAATATCCAGGCCAATAACGCTGAGCCCACTATGGTCAATCGGCTCTCTTACGCCATGGTCGAGTGGATGACATGGCAAGGTCTCGCAGACGTGGTGAACAGCTGGCGCGAAACAATGGATCTGGAACCTGTACCCACCACTGAAGGACCATTTCTCGCTTACACACAAAACATCCCTACGACATACTGCTGGTCAGGCGCGCTTGTTCCAAAGCCTTTGGATTGGGGTCAACATATCGACGTCTGTGGGTTCTTCTTCCGCGATATGCCTGATTACAAGCCTCCTCGAGATTTACAAGACTTTCTGGCTTCTGGACCGACACCAATTTATGTTGGCTTTGGTAGTATTGTCCTTGAAGATCCGGAGAAGATGTCGGCGATCATCTCAGAGGCAGTCAGGAGTACTGGCGTTCGCTGCATACTGTCAAAAGGGTGGGCCAGATTGCGCAACGTCTCGAATTCGCCAAACATCTTCGAACTGGACGATTGTCCGCATGGTAAGAGAGACTTCTCAATCTTCTCTTCCACTCGCTGACGATATATAGAATGGCTCTTCCAGAATGTGTCAGCGGTCGTACACCACGGAGGTGCTGGCACGACAGCATGTGGTCTCAAGAATGGTCTTCCTTCCCTAGTATGCCCCTTCTTCGGCGAGTAAGTTTTTCTTGTCGGACTTCGATCATAACATCTGCTGATAGTTGCTGCAGTCAACCATTCTGGGGCGAGATGATTGCCGCGGCTGGAGCAGGACCAAAGCCAATCCATCACAAGAATCTCACGGCTGAAAACTTGGGTGAAGCTATCAGATTTATCATCACTCCTGAAACAGCACATGCTGCCCGACAAATTGCATTACGCATGGCAACAGAGAATGGTGTCAAGACAGCAGTGCAATCTTTCCATCGCAACTTACCTCGTCAATCGATTCGCTGCGACTTGATGCCGCATCTCCCAGCAGTCTGGACGTACAAGGTATCTTCGAAGCGCACCATCAAGCTTTCAAAGCTCGCTGCAGAAGTCCTGGCAGATCACCTCAAGATTGATGGAAAAAAGCTCGGCATGAACGAGACCAGGAGCTATCTGATCGAGAACCGCAGATGGGACCCTTTGACTGGTGGAGCAAGTGCCGCCATCAGCACAGTATACAGATCTGGCATGGCCATAGGTGATGGCTTCAGCAAGGGTAAAGGAAAGGAAATCAGCAGAGATGACGACCAGCTCTTAGTTTCTGGAACCTCAACACCAAGATCAGCCAGCCGCAGCAATTCTCTACATCCCCCGAATAACGACAACGACTACCTGTCAATCCTCTCAGAATATGAAGACGACGACAGCAAGTCCATCATGACAATCAAAAGTGGAGATCTCAAGATCAAGAAACGCAAAGAAAATAACAACAACAACATAGCCAAAGGCTTCGGCAAAGCGGGCGGCGCACTGATGAAAGGCTCCCTCGTCGACATCCCCTTCGCCCTAGCCGAAGGCCTCCGCAACGCTCCCCTCATGTATGGCGACAAACCCCGCGACTTCGGCCCCGTGATCGACTGGAAGTCCGGCGGTGTAGTCGCAGGCAAAGGCCTCGTTTTCGGCATCTACGACGGCATTTCCGGTCTAGTGACTGAGCCCATCAAGGGAGCCCGCAAAGAAGGTGCAATCGGTGCTTTGAAAGGGTTTGGAAAGGGGTTGGGTGGGATTTATTGGAAACCTAATGCTGGGTTGGCTGGGTTGTTGGGGTATACGGTGCAGGGAATTTATAAGAGTGTGTATAGTGCTATCCATACGGGAACTAGGAAGGCCATTGCGAAGGCGAGGAGGGAGGAAGGGGTGTGGCTATTGGCAAGAGCGAGAGAGAACAAGGAGTTTGATCTGCGAGGGATTGTTGAGACTTTTGAACTTTTGAAGAAGGACAAGTCTGGCTTAGACTATGGTATGTAGTTTTCTGGTTAAATTGAACGGAATAGACAAGTTCCGCGATATGTCGTGCCTATCTTCAAAGTTCATCTCTTACCGTCTCCATTCCTATACATGCGTTATAAGCATCCCTCAGCCCAAATGCACCTGCCTCGTCAGTAAACCTTCCAACAAACTCCTCACTATAAAGCTTCACCGTAAAATCACCCTCAAAACACAACATCGTCGCCATCTTCTCAGCATCTTCAAACCTCACCCTCCACACTCTCCACCCATCATATTCCCCCTCTTCATCCTCCTCACACTCTCTCACCCACTGCTCTGCTTCCTCCTTAGTCATGGTATCTGCATCCCGCATCTGGAGACGCGAATAAGAATGTGCTAGGATAATAGTATTATCGCTCACACTGCGATCGTCGAGGATGGCATATTGACAAATTTCTATATCTGCTGGAAGGTTTGAAGAGTTTTCGGTGAGGAAATCGTGTATTTGGTCATAAGTAATGAAGTCGCTAGTAAAGGGTTAGATTAGGGGGGAAGTGCATAGTATGTCAAAGGAAGATTAAGTTATGTTACGGACGAGAGAGAAGAAGTTATGTTAAGGTGTACTTAGGAGTGTATTAATTGTCTACGTTACTATAAGTAAGTGTATTCTTCTTGTTCTGGTGCTTTTTTACCGATGCAGGAATTCGCGCGAGGCAAAAGAGTAGGAATGTCGACATGATGGAGATATGGAAGTAAAGTAAAGCTTTAATTGCGGTTCAAGTAGATGATGAAGTTAATTATAAGCCTTGGTTTAGGGAATGTACTTACAGGGAGAGAAGTTCAAGCTATGTGGTGGGAATAAGCATGAAAAGTGGTTCTGTCCTGAATCGTTGCCGCGGAAGGATCGATGATCATGTAGATCGTTAGAAGATCCGAACATGACTGACAACTCTGCACGAGTCATGGGATACCTTGGGTGTCATAACATAGCAGCATCGCTTTATGCATCTAGAGTTCCTGCAATGCTAGTCTGACCGAACAGTGTTGTCTAAGCTGAGATGGGGTTAGGAAAGGGACCTCAGAGTCGACTTGGTCAACAGTAGGGACTAACTGAGAAGACCCGGGCAGCCATTGCAAGTCCCAGGTATGCTGATGAAAGCCGGGATCGAGATGTATAAAGTTATTATTTAATATAGCTGCAGGGCGTAGAGAAGCTAAACATGTAGCTTGACATGACGATTATGTGACGTCGTGGGCGCCTCTAGCTAATTATAACACGACCACTACTGCGCCAGGTTTGCCCTTCTATTCCTAAAGAACATGCCTAATCTGACATCATCAATTCCGCCTATCAAAGCAATTTTTGCACTTGATGTTACCGTCGCAATACTTGCAACCTTCTTCTTCGTTGTCGCTCTACTATTGGTCGTTACCAAACTCGGCAAAAACCCCGGTGGACATGCGCGAATCGATAGCGATGCTCCGCTGAAGAATACACTTGCGACGCAAATATTTCTGGTCCCTGGAACATTCTTTTTGGCCCTCAAATACGCCGTGGTATCGGCCACTGTAGCTTTGCAGATACAGAGCAACGAGAGTGTCGAAGTCACGATAGGGTACAGCTACACTGGCTCGAACGTCTCTCCACTGGTTTCTGGTGCAAGTCACGCGCAAGTGATAGCTGGTCTATCCTTTACTGCCCAGATTGCCGAAATCATCTTCACGCTCTGCCTCACAGGTGCTGTTTGGATCCACTCACCAACAACGGCACTGGCCTTGCACAGCCATCCCGCCGGTCGAAAATCTGGAACACATTCATTTTGCTCTCGATCCTTGGAACTGGTATTGCAGCATGGGGTCTAGGACTTGATCCTGAAGAGAGTAAGCAAGTTTTTCAGTCGCCGTTCAGCTATACGACAGCTGTGCGTGATGACCAGGCAGTACGTATTGTCTACATTGTGTTCCGCGCTGTGGTCGTCTTCGCCTCTGGTAGCGTTTCGATCGAAGTCCTGAGAAAATGGATCAATCTCAAAAACAATGGCAAGCCGGGGGTGAGTGCGCAAGTCTTGTGTCATGAGTTGTCACGTTGCGTTACTGACCTGTATTCAGAACCCTGAACGTCCAGTCTTGCAAAGATTCACCTACGTTGTTGTTCCCCTGATCTGGCTTCGAGATGTATTCATCATCATGAGCATCGTCATGATTTTCGTCAGTACGGACAGCTGGATTGAGACCTCCCGTGAAGCGCTCGCATTTCTCCTTATCATTTTTGGACAGTATGCAAATCTGATTATCGTCTTTATGGTTCTTTGGGGATCCTGGAGCATGGGAAACTCTCTCGAAACTTCTTAGAAAGATAGATTACACATCGTCCTTACGAGCTCCACACGACTGGATCCGTATATATCATCCTTGGTCTTTATCTGGTAATCTGGTGGCAGCTGATTAGCCCAAGCCTCATCATCACAAAATCTCAACTACTCTTGTGTTGCATCGCCATACTCACGGTTCAAGGTACCAATCTTGAATATGGTGTGAGCGCGGGCGCCGCTTGTCTGTCTATCGTACGCAAGCCGTCGAGACACTTGAAGCCAACAGCCAGGAATGGATTGAGCCACCAGAAAAGACTCCGATTGTAGAGGCCACTTTTCGCCTCTGGTGCTGAACTGCGGTAAGGTGTATGAAGCAGTGCGCCTTTCTCTGTGGCTTCCAAGACAAGAAGGGCGATTTTCAAAACAAAGGCTGAGGAGAAGACTTGAGCGACTGTCTCCAGGCCTTGTATCTCCCACAGCGTCCGGAGCTGGACAGCATCGAACAACACCGAGAAGAAGAGATAAAACTTCAGCAGTGCCGATGGGCAAATCGACTTTGTATGCTCTAGATGTGATAGTAAACACATGGAAGCAGCCCCGGTAAACGAAAGCGTCGTTTCTGCGAGTAAAAGCCTTGAACCCAATCGAGGCCCAATTCTAGGAAGATTCAGCCAAGTAAAACAAAACCCCGTCATGGAAACAAGAACCTGTTCCACAGTATTGAGGAAAGGAAAGGACTCACCTAGACTTTCTAATGTATTTTCTTTCTACTGGATGTAGACAAGACAAACACGAGTCATCTTATGGACGTTGAACAACGGTTTTACAGTATCTGAATTTACATAACAGAACCCTAATTTCCTCTCCTACTCTAGATACATATTTATCAAGACATCACCATCCATTCTCTTATCTTTATCAATTCTTGTTGTCAAGTACACAGAGATCCTTTATTCATTATATAATGCCTTCAACAACTTCCTACATATCCTACTCCCTCTTCTTCTCCATCACCGCCCTAGCCTCCTCGAAACCGTCTTCATCATACCTTGAAATCACATCTTTAACATCATTTGGAGGAGGTGGCCGTGGACAAGGTTCTTTGATGCTAAACATTACCGATCCCCAAACAAAAACAAAAACCACCTGTGAGCACAACTGGACTGTGGCGCATAGATTTTTGGATGGGCCGAAGGTCAAGGGAGAGACTCCACCTTTTGACTGGGCAAGAACCGCCTATTCTTTTTTCTCCCCCTACTCCTTCCCTACTTTTTTTCTGTTCCTCTTCTTTGAACGGGTTCAGGTAAAGAAGAATAGGGGAAAAAAAGCTAACCGTGCTTTGTTCAGATCAGTTATAATGACAAGACTTTTTCTGTCAGGTTTAATTCTTACACCAATGAATACACTTGGACTGCAGGCATTAGACATCAATACAGAGGGTATGTTATTATCCCTCTTTGCCTTTCCCTCTTCCTTCCCCTTTCTCTCCCTTCCCTCCCTCACTTATGACTGACTGCGCCTCATGTTAGCTACGGAACTTCCTGTCTCAAATCAAATGGTCCAGACTGCATAACCACATTTGCCACGGCCTCTTTCGACGGGTACACTATGCCCGGTATCGATGTGTACGACAGTTCGATCAGCGGCAACGGTGGCGATGGCTCCATGTCTCTATCTACAGATCAGACTCTGAGGGTCGATGTGTTCTATACCTGTAAATCTTGTGCTGTCAACAAGATTGTTTAGTGAAGAAGACAATTAGGGGATAGGTATAGAGGGGGCAAGATAGGGATAGGTGAAGAGAGGCATGATTTTCTGGATAAGGGTGGGTTAAAAAGACTGGAAGGATAAGATGAGATGAGATGAGAGGTACTTAGTATCTATAATGGTGTATACATAAACAACATGTAGTAGATTTTCGAAAGTTAACTCCTTCTTTTTCTCTGATGACAACAGCTGCTTTCGAATTGTACGAGCACCTTGCCTAGCTGTGCAGAGGATTCTCTTCATCTATCTGGTCTACATCCGGCCTTTCTGCGATTTTGTGAGCCTTTCCTCGCAATGCACACAGTTTACCAGTTAGTCCTCACAAGTCCTCAATCTAAAGAGCTTGTTCCTGACCCCAAGCAGGGAATGCAGGAGCAGTTGTACCATCGCAAGAATACTGAACAATGAACTTCGAATCCTGAGTCCCAGCATCAAGAACAACAGTCCCATCAGGAGCGGTGACGGAAAAGCTAAAGACAACAGGTCCACCTTGCTGCCCAAACACAAGTCTGAATGGAAGATACTGTCCAGTCTTCAGAGTATAAGTCGCACTGGCACTGTTGGCAGGCGCATCGCAGCACACTGCCTTGGCGTCAAAGTTGTTCAGACCATAGCCTCTGATTGCGTCGTCTCCAAGGTACAAGAAGGTGATATCGTCGACTTGGGAGGTGGTGAAGGTGTAGTCGCCGTCGACCTGAGCGAAGATGTATCCGCGATGGTTGAGGACGAAATAGCTAGCGGGGACATTCTTCGAGGTACCGTAAAGATTAACGTCAGAGCCGGCGGGTTCGTTGATACCGCCGACCTTGGTGGTAGTCCCACTGTAGTCGGGAGTATATGTCCAGTAGAATGACGGGTCCATTTCAGAGATCTGATCGCCCCAGGGCTCGTTGGCATAGTAAGCAAACTGAATACCCTGGTTACCACAGATCGAGGGAGTTGGACAAGACAGGATTGTTGATGTAGAGGTGGTCGGGATAGTCGTGGTTCCAGTGGTGGTTTGAGTTGCAGCAACACCAGAATAAGAGGTTACCACAGGAACATATGTCGTGCTGACATAGACAGTTGAGGTCGGGGTAGAAAGGCCAAGACAGCCGCATGCACTAGAAACAGCTGTGCAGGCAATGTTCTTGAGAAGGCCCGGGCAGCCATTGCAAGTTCCAGGTATGCTGATGGAAGCCGGGATTGAGGTGGTTGTAGCTTTGGACGAGCTGGACGAGGTGGTCGATGTGGTCTTCTCCTTTCTTTTGGCTAGGTCTCGCTTGGCAGCGCTTGGAATGCAAGTCGTGATTGTGGTAGAGGAAACATCGTACTCGGTAACTGGAGTTGCTGCAACAAAGACTGTTGTAGTAGTGGTAGGAATGATGGTGGTGATGGGTGAAGTGGCCTTGACAGTTGAAGTAGTAGTCACTGTAGAAATTCCAAGGAAAGAGGAGCAGAACGGAGAGGCGGATGGATAGGCCTTGAGCAGAACGACAACCAGGTCGACAGCAGGACAAACGTTGACAGTTCGTTCCTCGACTGGGGCTGCGAGGGTGAGAGCGAATGATGAGGCAGCCAGAAGGCCGAGATAAGCAGTTTTTCTCGCCATGATCTTCGTTCGGTGCGGTGTTCGTGTGCTGTTATGAGACTGTCGTGTTTGATGGGGTGAATGCTCATTGCTTGAGAGAAAGGCTGTCTTTTATAGACATTTTCTGCTGCAATGTGGACGAATGTGTCCTCTCACTACATTGCGGAATCCGATGACTAAGGAGCTTTGGACTCTGTGTAGCTGGAGAGTACAGCCCCCCTAGCTGATCCAGCTCGAGCCATACCATCTAGAATCTTCAACAGGTCTAAGGTCTGCCTCGGTCTTACCGAAAGATGTAAGAGCTGTTCAGCTGGACTCCGTACATGAGCTGAACGTTAGTTGCTAAGATACAGAACTCTTGCTCCAAACGGCAGCGAACCGGTGATGATCGTTGCGCGTGCACAGTTGTCGCCTGGCTGAGGAGTCGGCGAGTCGAGGGCCAGAAACTCACAGAGCAGTTCCGCATGATCAGCTCCATTACCTGTTCCGGCCAAACTTAACTATAAAACGCTTGTGTGATGCGGCTTACAGCGAATCGATTGTTCCGGTAAAAAAATTATACTATGGATAAATGGTTAGCTCCCGCGGAGGCCGTGCACCTGACAGCTGCAGCCTATAAGTCGTGCTATTTAGCGACCACCACTAAGGTTCGGCAGTCAGTCGACGATCTTTACTAGCTACTGCAGGGGGACAAGCAGAACTTGCGATTTATGCTGATCCCAAATCCAGAACTCGAAATGACCGTCAGCCTCAGCTCCAAGATTGATGCCAGCTTCCGGTCTCTCCGTCCAACACACAAGCGAGATGTCGCTTTGGCAAACAAGCCAAAGAAAGAAAGATGAGAAGGACGTTTAACGTCGCAGAAATATTTCTACCGAAGGATGATTGACTTTGCCGGAGGTCCTCAGAGCAGTTTCCAGAGTGATATAGGCGACGACGTGTCTCATGAAGAGGTAATGAAGCATTGCAATACTTGTTGTTGATAGGAGTCGAGCAACAAGATCATGACCCAACTGAGAAATATTTCCAGCTTTCGGATGGCGCGAAAATCCCGCTCTCGCCTCTCAAAGCGGCTTGAGCATGACCAAATCGGTCTGCGTCTCCTTTCCAATCACAAAGTCATGCGTCCCCACCGTCTTGAACCCAAGCTTCTCATAAATCTGAATGGCCTTTTGGTTTTTCTCATAAACTGCCAACCACAAATTCTCAAAGCCTTGCTCTTTGGCCTCTTTCTCTACGCTGGAAGCTAACAGCTTTCCCACACCACGTCCCTGAGCTGAAGGGTGCAGATAAATCCGTTGAAGCTCGACTTGCTTTGGTATGTCTTGGATGCATGGTTCAGGAGGTCCTCGAGTCAGAAGAGCAAAACCGAGGATTTGATCTTCGACATCCGTTACGACTATCATGTCCTTTTGGGGGGTTCTCGATTTCCTTAGTTGTGGCTTTTACGCTGTAATTTTCTTCCAGATAGGCTTTTAGGTCGTCAGGCTGCAAACCTGGGCCAAATGTGACTGTAAAGACGTGGGTGCCTAGTTCTGCCACCGCTTGCGCATCCTGAGGGGTAGCTTTGCGGACATTGAATGATTCAGACTGGGAGGTTGCCATTTTGTGTGATCTTCATGTGATATGGACCAGAATTTATGATGGAATGGGAGTCGTGAATGCTCTGTTAGAATGCTAGTCTGAAAGAAAGATGAAGTTGTGGATTTTTTGTGAGAAATGCAAGACTGCTGCAAGCGCAAAAGGTTTGGTGTTCACAAGGCGTCGCGTCGCGGAGGGCGCCTTGCCAGAAATCTGTGTCACCCAACGTTCACAAAATTGACGTCGCGATATCGCGATGCGTGAACCATACATACAAGTACCGACGAGAGATCGGAGAGATGTGCAAGAACTTGTCATTGGCGGACGGCGGCGCACATGCTTGCAACATGCTGCGAAAGGTCGAGATGAACGTTAGTGCACGCAGACTTTTGGCACAAGCTCTAGAGAAGTACCTCGTTACGGGGCGCAGTGTCGTCTATAGTTCCTCGTTAAAAGTCTCCGCGTAGCCCCGCTAGCCACCCTAACCACCTAATGCGCTAACCCGTGCGCCGTACTTAATTTGTATTGGATCCTTACTAAAATTTAATATGTTATACGGGTAATATTAGGCTTCAAATGGGTTGAATTTTAGGTTTAATACTTAGTATACTACCCCTTTACGGCGATATACGCCGTAATGCGGTCCTATATTAACTCGGCTAGTCGCATTACAATTCTCTTGTTAATAGCTTTAAATGCATAAACTAGAGCATCTTCTATACGTTAGTGGATCTATTCCTTAGTTCTACCCTAAGTTTTGTAGTCTAGATACAGTTAGTAGAGCTTCTATTTAAGTAGCGACCACATATGTTTAATAGGGTTTAAATCTAGAGAGTACGGTAGCCATTTAAGAAGCAATTATATCCTCCGTTCGCGTAGCCATTTAGTAGTTTTTCTAGCAGTGTAAATAGGGGCGTTATCCTACATAAAGATGCTATTATCTTCGAGGAAAGGTATAAGGCCGAAGGTAAGGGCCTTAATATAGCTATTAGCTATATAGCCTTATTTATTAGCCCTTATATCGCGCTTCATAATAATAAGATCTAATGTTTCGTAGGCTAATATTGCTCCCTATACTATAACACGTATATCCTTACTCTTATTTATAGGAATAACTATATCTTTGTCAAAGGCTTATCCTATATAGCGCTAAACCTAGGTAGTCCCTTTACCGGCTCCGCGTTTAATAGAACACTTATTAGAAAAGATAACGCAAAACTATATATCGGGGGTCTAGTCCTTATAATTTTTGTACTATTATAATCGCATATCGACACTCTTCTATATTAAGAGAGGACGTTATTTTACGCGCTAGGACTCGAGTCTATAGCTCTTAAGAGTATAGTAGGCCGTCGAGTGCGATGTTTTAAAGGGAAGCTTACGAAGAAGGGTTAGATATGTCCATTTAGGGTTATTTCTATAATATCGAAGCAGTATATAAACCTTACGCTCTAAGAGGCTCTTTAGACGTCTAGAACGAGGAGCTAACTATTAGTGGTAGCGCGTAGAGCTTAATTAAACTATCTTAGAAATAGTACGGTTTAGGACGCTAGAGAGCTCCTTAATGCGACGGCTCGAGTAGCTAAGTTTAGAGGTAGTAACGAGGGCCGCGCGCGACGTAGGATAATACTCCTAGCTACGGCGACGATTTTATAAGATTATTAAGAGTAGAGAGGCTATGTTAGTGTTATTATAGTTATTTAAAACGAGAGGGTTGTCGCGTTAGTAGGGTAGCTCGCGAAGCTACGCGGAGACTTTTAACGAGGAACTATATCTTGTTAAGCATCCGAGTAGACCTACCTAGTACGGTTAGTGTAATCGCTTATGCTTCTAATCGTTGGTAGACTCTTTCATTACCAACATCGCACCAAATTCGATGTGACTCACTGTGACATCTCAAAATACCATACACGCAGCTGGCGCGGTGAAGACTATAACGAGACATTGGATCATGTCCAGGAAACTAATATACCGCTAGAAGCCTCCATCCCACACTCGCGCTCTTCGCTACCAGGAACATGACGAAACTCAGGACGTACAGAATGCCAGTGAACACTATCAAGGCCCAGTAGTCTCCATCGCATGCGCTGATGATGGAACCACCGATAGGTATGCCAATCAAGCAAGCAATGCTTACCACAGAGAAACAAGTCGCATAATATCGCCCATAACTTTCCGTGGGACAAAGTCTGCTGATACACACGGGCGTGATGCTGATATTCGTGCCGCCGGCAATTCCAATGACGATAGCGAAGACGATAATCCCGGGTTTCGTATGACCGAAGGGCAACCAGACAACGAAACAGGCGATGATTGAGAGGAAGGTTGCTATGGTGTTTGTGTTGAAAGCGCCAATGCGGTCAGCATACCATCCTGGCAGAACACGTCCAAAGAAAGATCCAGCGTTCATGATTGTCAAGATGTAGAAGCTGAAGCTTTCGCCGAAGCCTTGAGCCCGCGCATAGGAACTGATGTATCCGATGGGGATAAAGAGTGCGAACTCCATCAGGAAGACGGCGATCGTGGTGTACAGGAATGGTTTTTGTTTGAAGATCTTGGGATCTGGGTGAATGCTGGCGTTTTCCTTCGGTGGCAGTCTTGAACGGACGAATATGAGGGCGAGACTCAAAAGGCCGAGACACAGGAAGCCGTAAATCCGTATGCCCCATTCCCAGCCGAGAGATGGGTTTGAGAAGAGGCTAGTGAGCATCAGAGGAGCCACAATACCTCCAATCGAGCCGCCAGCGCTCGCTATTCCGGTAGCGAACCCACGACGTTCACGGAAGAAGTGGCCTACTGAGGCGAGACATGGCGTGAATAAGAGGGAACAGCCAGTCCCATTGAGCACTCCAAACACCAGGATGAAGTGCCAGTATTCTGCAAACTGTTAGTCACTGCTCTGGAGTTGTATATCCAATCTCTCTTACCAGTACAAATGCTGAAGAGCATCTGTGCCGCCACAACGCAGACGACGCCAGCAGCAATGAGCCACCGAGGGCCGTATTTGTCAAAAATTGGACCAATGTAGATACCACAGAAAAATGCCAGGAATGTATACAGAGAGAAGATCCAGCCAATACTGCTTTCGCTGTAGTCTGCAAGTTGATGTGTCGAGATGTAGGATTGGAAAACAGCAATGGTGTTGGTAATTCCTAATCCGGCAAACCTACGGGCCATTGTCAGATTGAAGGATACATAGGACGAATGTGCTGGAGCAAACTCACAGTCCTGCCCAAGCTCCAAAGACGACAAGCCAAGCTTGTAGGCCACCCTCAGGAAAAGGAGGCTCCGGCTGCAAGGGTTCGGTAGACACCGATTTCTCGAGTGATGCAGCTTCAGGATCATGTCGTTTTGACACATCTGGCGAATGGTCGTGTTTTTCTTGTGCGCTCGAAGAGAGTGCTGTATCTGTGGCGAGTGGAGCCTGTAGGGTCTCAGCCATCTTCCCGACGGCCATGGCGACTCTTGTGCAGGTATAAATGACGACGAAAACGCAGGCTAATTTCAGCAAGACAACAAGTAAGAAGTGTTGGAGGGTAACATAGTGTTTTGGGCAGACTTGTTATCCGCTTCAGGAGCCAAGCTCTGAATGTCGCCATGCGTGCCGTTGCGATGACTAAGAGGTGATTTACAGTTCCTGTACGAAACCCGTTCAGTCGCGGAGTACTTGTAGATGGTCAACCTTGAGGTTGACAGACCAGAAGGACAAGAATGCTCCCGTGGTAAAGGTGTTAGTGTTTAAGCAACAGTCTGATAGGGTCAACGCGGACAAACAATTGATTGTCAATTCACCGTGAACATCGCAAGCATCTATTCAAGCATCACGTCGATGTGGCTGAACCCTGCTTGTTGTATGCGATACGGTAAATACGGTTGACCTCTGCAGAATAAAGCTCCGAGCTCGGACACATGTCGTTCACAGGGCGCGTCTACGTTTCGCGCGCGTGAAGTCTAGCTCAGACGAACAAGGTAATAGAGTCCGGAACCCAAGAACATCACTCTCCCCAATCATGTCAAGTCAGTATACCACAAATGAAGAGTCTCATACATTGAAGCAATGGTTCAAGCTGTTGAACAGCGGTATGTTCTCTGTCAGATGGCTGTAGACGTCATTTGTTGCGCCGGCCGCATCCTTCTGAGGCGAGAGGTAGGTCTGTGACGTTTAATGAACAACTTTAGGTCGAGATCAAAAGATGACTTCGTTGATGAGAGAGAACGGAAGCCTGTGTTCAATCATGTGGAAGTAGGCCACGATTGATTCAAGAGTCTAGCGGCAGAGTTTTCTCTGCGGGTAGGAAGCATCGACACTGCGACACTCTGCCTATCAAGGGAGCAGGGGGCGCTTGAAGTACTAATTGACTGTTCGCTGGGTTGTGAGCGCTTGATCCAGAAGTCCTTTTGTCAAGTAGAAAGGAAGGTGAGATGACCAGGTATCTGCGGAGCGTTTGCCAGACCTTCGAGGGCGCGGGCGGATGACTCGGGCGTCATCCGTCCACTCCGGTCCCTTCAAGCGCCATGAACCTCTGAGTGAGGAGCCATTTGCTCACGTCGCGAGGCATCGACTCATCCCACCAAAAGCGCCTCGGAGGTTCCGCTATCATGACGGTCTGGTGATGTGCATCGCTGATGTTCGCCTTCTAGAAAACTTCTTTGATCTGCCGGAAATAAGTTGAAGCCTGAGGCTCATTTGTGCTTTTCACAGATCGTGGGGTCAAAAACCGTCTCCCGAGGAAGGGACGTTCCTTCTCCCCTTGGCATGACACAAAGGACCATGATGGATCTGTTTACATCATCTACTTGTGGTTTTTCTCAACTGTCACACTCCTTTACGGATACGCTTTCACATACGCTTCTTCCGAATCTTCTGTCCGGCAGATCCGACCTCATATAATCTACGACTCGCCCAGCTACCGAATCTCTCATCCTTTTCTCGACATTCTTCGAATATTCCAAAATTTATCATTTGTTTGTGAGGACAGCCCAAGATGAAGTCAACATTCGCATCTTCTGTGTTATCACTTCTGGCAATCTGCCAACAAGCCAAGGCAGCAGCCACATGCAGTAACTTCACAATCGTGGGCCAGAACAACTACACCAAGCCCTCCTCAATGACTTTCGCCGTCAGCCAAGGTGTCGTCTGTAATGGGACTTCTGACTGTTCAGTACCAGTTGGTGGCTTTGTGACTGACCGTCGCACGATAAACCTTACGGATGCTTCTCCAGACTGGGCCTTCCAACTCATCAGTAACGCGACTGGCTTCCCCTTCAATACCACATTAGTCGGCGCTGTTGAGAACACAACATACACCATGAAGTCTGGCTCGTCTGGCTATATAGGCTTTACGCCTACCTACAGATGCACACAAGGCATGCTCTCAGATTGTGACAACAAGGATCTGGACGGCACGCCTGTGGAAGCCTGCACACCCTTTGGTTCGACGGACGATTTGATCAACGGCACTTTGGCGGCTATTGCAACATCACCAGAGACTGCATTGGCTCTCGTGTGCAATCCTGCAAATACGAGTCTGGCGTCGAGTGGCAACGGCACAAACTTCTGCATCAACCCGACAAATTCATCTTCTGGAAACACGACAGCGTCAGATTTGACAGCAGGTGCTGGCATGTCCAGTAGCGTCGGCACGGTCTTGTTCTCTGTTGCCCTGCTAGTCGCAGTCCTCGGAATTTGATTCAGCAGAGGTCCTGTCAATATATTCGATACAGAAACTTGGGATCACTTCGGCATGAGACTTGGCGCTTGGGAATTTTCCGTCTTGATTCTGTATCAGGGCGAGCGGATGAACGCATGACCGCTCTGATTCTTGCAGAAGTCAAGCACTGTGCGACAGCTGAAGCACATTAACCAAGGCTTTAAAAGTAACCCCACGCCACCTCAGCCCACCATACCGATACCTTGGAGACGGTGATTTCGACCGGAATCTCTCCCAAAACAAGACAACCATACATCTTGTGGTCATTACCTTTGCGACGATCATCGATACAAGGCGCGGTGCAATTGCTGGTTCGCAAGCAATAGATTGATGGGTAGATGAGCTACTCCGATGAAGTTCTTCGTCCTGATTTAGAAGTCAGTAGATCAGGGGTTCACAGGCAGTGTCAGCCGAGGTCTAGATATGAAGCACTTTATCACGGTCTCCCGGTTTCGAGAGCATTACTATTATGATCGTGTCAGAGAGACCTTTACTAGTCCATATGATCATATTGCTGCAATTTATCCGTTATAGGTGATCCAAGATCCGGATGTGATATTCCTGACTATTGCATGACTAACGCGTAGCATCGCATCGAGAGAGTAGAAAACTAGCGTAGATGGGCGGTTGAAAATCACATCTTCGTAGACACGACTTCTGGCCGCTCGGGAAATTTGAAGTGGCCATCCTCTCCGATCCGCTACGCGGACCACCCTGTCCCTGGTTTACATCTGTATTGAAACAACGAATCGCTTTGTCCTATGGTAGCATGTTTGCTTGTGGATATAGAAAGTCTATGTCCCGCTATGTCCGTCTAAAATATCACCCAATCGGAGTAGTAGGAACATGGGAAATAGAGATACCAGCTTGCTCACTTGATTCAATGAATTCGTAAGCTTTGGGGCGGCAGTCATAGCTCCAGCGTCAACACGTTCCCAAGTGTGCTGGCATATTTGCAACCTCTTGTCACCGGATCACAGGGATATCTTGCATAGCTCTGAGTTTCGCGGATCGCTTACAGCTGAGGAAGCATGCAAGCGATTATGCAGACGTCTGGCCATGTCGCAACCACGCAGCAGCCACTTGAATGCAAGCTTCTTGATGCAGGGAGTGTGGCATTGCGCATACATGTCCGCAGTGATCGCGTTGAATCGCACTCCACGTTGAGTTAACAAGGCTCTCCTGGTTTTTCCCTATTGAAATGTTGAAGCAGATACGAAGCTGATTGACGGCATCATCGTTTGGGCGCGAGCGGACAAACAAAGGCGTCGGCCGAGCTCAATCTCTTATCTCCGTGGTTGCTCCCCACGATCTTTGTGTTGCTCCTTCCTTCGCGTGGCTTTTGCGTGTGGAACGTCGGCCGATGCGGCCGATGTCTTGTGCGCCTTTCACCCCAAAACATTACCTCCTGCGCAAGGCTACAAAGTACTTGTCGTTGGCTTCTCTCCTTCGGCGGCGTCTACAATCAAACACCGTTTCACTCCCCTTTTTGGCTTTGTCATAAAGGATCATCCATCCTTCGATTCAGCCAATCGACTTTCGGTCTTTTCGTTGCCAGCCGGAGACCGAGAAGTCCACCTCCGACACTATTTGCCGGTACATAACTCGTCGCACCCTGCCGCCATTGTCACAGGTTTTTTCTTTCGAGCCACTCATTCCTCATCCCTTTGTTTTCGTCCTACCACCCTCGACCAAGAGTTTGTCCACAATGTCGCATTCAAAAGGATCCAGTGAAAGTTTACCGTCAACAACGTCACCAATCGAGAAGGGTCCTGTCGTTCCCAACGAACAAGCCGTGCCAAACACCGGAGCTGTCGTGCCCAACAACGAAAAGGACCTCGAAGCCGCCCCAAGACCACCACCACCAAGCTTCCTCGGCACCGTACCAAATGGAGGTCTCCAAGCATGGCTTCAGGTCGCTGCTGGCTTCGCACTCTTCTTCAACACCTGGGGCATCCTTGTACGTACCTTGCACTCACGCTCTAAGAAACACACTAACGATACACTAGAACACTGTTAGTCCGCCCGCCTTGGCGATCGAATAAGCTTAACTGACCCAAGCATTTTAGTTCGGAGTCTTTCAAACATATTACGAGTCCGGAGTGTTGATCCATGCCTCGTCATCCAACATCTCATGGATCGGTGCAATCCAGTCATACTGCGTGCTGCTCATGGGCTTCTTGTCTGGTCCCATCTTTGACAGAGGCTTCCTCCGACCACTGCTATGTGTGGGATCCTTCCTTGTCGTATTTGGGTTCATGATGCTCAGCCTTTGTGATACCTTCTGGCAAGTTCTTCTGGCTCAAGGTTTTTGCATCGGTGTTGGCTCCGGACTCTTGTTCGTCCCCGCTGTCGCCATTCTTCCGACATACTTTACAACCAAGCTTGGTCTTGCCATAGGTCTTGCAGCTTCTGGCAGTTCAATGGGAGGCATCATCTATCCCATCGTCTTCTACAGACTACTTGACCGCATTGGATTCGGCTGGTCTGTTCGTGTCCTTGGTTTCCTGGCCCTTACGACCTTGCTCATTCCAATTCTTGTCATGAAGCAGCGCGTCAAGCCGCCAAAGGCCCGCGCTCTCATTGACACAACTGTCTTCAAGGACATTCCCTTCATGCTGTTCACTGTCGGATGCATGATTGGTTTCATCGGTCTCTACACCGTTCTATTCTTCCTCTCCTTCTTTGGCGAGTCGAATGGCTACACCGACGCTAGCATGTCTTTCTACATCGTGCCAATCCTCAATGCGGCCTCGGTCTTCGGTCGTACACTTCCCAACGCCTTGTCCGACAAGACTGGTTCCTTCAACATCATCCTACCAGGAGCCGCCGTTTGCTCTATCCTCATCTTCTGCATGATCGCCGTCAATGGCCTCGGAAGTATCGTCGTGCTTGCCATCCTCTTTGGCTTCTTCTCTGGTGTCTTCATCGCTTTGCCTCCGGTTTGTCTTGTTGCTTTGACAGCAGACAAGTCGAAGATTGGTAGCAGAATAGGCATGGCTTTCGGTTTTATCGGCTTTGGATGTCTCGCAGGGTAAGTTCTACAGTCTTCTGCGACGGAATGTTCTGATCGGCATTCAATCGTGCATCAATTCTCATTGCAAGAAATCATGCTAACTATATCTGCAGAGGACCTGGTGGCGGTGATGTTCTCCAGAACTATGGCGACGGCTCAAACTGGACCGGACTTTGGATATATGGTGGTGTATCTTGTGCCATTGCTGCTGTGATCTTTGCAGTAGTCAGGACAATGAAGGCGGGAGGTAAGCTCATGGTTAAGGTGTAAAATCAGGCACAGAAGGAATTCCTAGATCAGATGGTAAACGTAATTGTAATATCAACACTCTCAAGTGTGTTTCCCACTCTCGACCTACACTTCCTGATCTCAACTTGAACATCTCTTGGAGGCAGAGGGACACCGTCAATGCTAACAAGAGTGTGAGCTCACGACTCGATCATCACCAGAGCTGGCAACAATCACACCCTCCTCCTAATCCCAACCCAACAACTCCCCGGCTTCTTCGAAAACCCCTCCATCGACTCCAACCCATCCTGCCTCAACAACATCTCATACCTCCTAAACAACGTCCCCACAATCAACCCCAGCTCCATACCCGCAACATTCTGGCCCACACAAGCCCTGGGCCCGTAACTGAAAGGATTAAACGCCATTTTCTGACTCGCGGTAAGCCGATCAGGTAAGAAACGATCAGGGTTGAAAGCTTCGACATCAGGGCCCCAGATCGAAGCGGAGTGGTGGACAGTATAGCTAGGAACACTGAGGACTGTACCGGTTGGGAAGTGTGTGCTGGATGCGGAGGCAGAGGTGAATGTGAACCCTTGGGGTGAAGTCACGATACGGGGGAGGCCCAGGGCGGAGGTTGAATGAATACGCATGCCTTCGTCTATACATCTGTGTAGAAACGGGAGGGTCTTGACTTGCGCATGCGTGGCTATCGTGTTGTCATTTGGTATTGCCGTGTCCAGTTCTTTTTGCAATCGAGGTAGGATGGTTCCCGGGGCTGCTCTTTCGCCTTGTAGGATCCAGTAGATTATCGCGCAGGAGGTGTTGGATACGGTGTCGCTGCCTGCGATCAGCTGCGTCAGGGCTTCGGAGGTTAGTTCGTCGCGTTGCATTGGGTTGCCGTCGGGGCCTTTGCTGCGTACCAGCATATCTAGGATATCGTGGCGTGAATTTTGGTTTGCGTCTTTCTTTTCCACGGCGTCGAGGCGTTTGGAAACGGCGATGGAGGCGATACCGTGGAGGGTTTGGATTGCATGTAGGCCTTTGCTGAAGAAAGGGTCGGGAAGATACTTGGCGTATGGCTTGAGTGAGAGTAATAGACCTAGTGTTGATGAGACTTCACCGCGACGGTTGAGTGTTTCTGCTCCTGCGGCGAGGGTGATGGGACCGTTGGGTGTGAGTTGTGCTTCACACTCGTCGCGACCTTTGTCGACCATGCCGAAGGGTGCACCGAAAGCCAGATCACCGATGATGTCAAAAGCAATGTATGTACACCATGGCATCATGTTGACTCTTGCGTAGCCATCTGAAGCAGGAGTCGCGGCGATACGATCGAGCTGCGTGACCCAGCGATGAAGGTTCTCTGCCATATGCGTCTCGAATGCCGCAACAGCACCGGGCGAAAAAGCATGAGCGACAATCTTGCGCTTGCGAGTGTGTTCCACTCTGTCCCTGGTATTGAAGACTCCGGGTACGCCAGACACGAAAGCTTCGTAGAAGTGGTCTTTGAGAAAGCCGTTGCCATGCGCATACACTGTCTGGATGCCTCGTTCGTCTGCAATGGAGACATGGTTGTAGCCAATTCTGACGAGTGGTCCATATTTTCTGTGAGCTCTGTCGACGGCGGCAAACTTCTGCCCTTGGCGAGCGTGGTAAGCTACCCACGTATTGCTGAATCTTGCAAGGAAGGGACCAGGAATATTGCGCAACGACCCATAAGTCGTGAAGTAGGGAAGGACATAATAAAGAATTGTCCAAAGGGGGACAAATACTGTGCAGAGCAGAACATAGTGTGAAGAATCCATCGTGGAAAACGATTGCAAAGCGAAAAGAGGAAGATCTTACCATGACAGGAGATCACTCACCTTTTTCTATCGACATGGTCTCTCAAGAACTTGTTGCCGGGACGAATATAGCACAAGACGTGGAGTTGTTGGGTATTGCCCCCACTCTTTGTGCGACTGCTGTTTATCAAGAGATTGGCCATATCGTGAGGGGAACGTCAGCGCTTATCACAGAGCTTGAATGGAGAAGCGACGTGCTTGCTCATTGGACGCGGATGAGTATATCCTCAGCGTGTGCGACATCTTGTGCCTTACTAGATCATGATACAGAATTGATTGGGAAGACGCCGATGCCACAAGAAGAATCGCGTCGAAAACAAGTCTTGATAAGGTATCGAGGGGTCAGACAAACGAATCGCGACAGCCAGCGGTAGTTCTGCCAGCTCAGTGCTTCGCTGTAAAGTCCATACACAGTCCACGCACTTGGGATCTGTGTTGCGACATAACAAGTATGATGTTTTGAGATAGTAAGTCGTTCTTGTTGCTGTTCATCGTTGACAGCCTTGCATTTTCGCCGCAGTTGCCGAAATTTTGCCAGCAAGTGAGTCGCCAGATTGCCCCACGTCATCGACCTCCGTGTTCCTTCATCACGCAACATTCCATCAACATTTCATCTTCGATTTGGCATGAAACAAGCTCAAGCTTGAATGCTATCTGGAGCGACAACGATTCTGCCTCCATCTTTCGTCAGGCCATCAGCACGATCGGAATCAGAGCCCGTCTGTTCACTCCAAGCGCGTGTGACATCCTTGACTTGTAATGCGCTCCACGTAGTTGTAGGCACTGCAGCAATCCACACAACAAAAGCCACGATCAAGTTCGTCATCAAAGACGCCGAAGATGTCGAGCCGACCGCATATGACATGGTCGAGCCAAACGATTCTCCACTGCGAAGAAGAGCAGACGTCAAAGCCAGCTTATCAATTTCAGCGTCGTACTGGAGAAGATGTCAGCTCTCTATTTCGACGAAAGAAGTTGACCAGGACTTACTGTTCCGAGTATCCAGTACATCCAGGTTCCGCATGCCTCGTACGCAATTCTGTATACCATGTACGCGCCGACACCTCGTCCATATCCGCCATCTACAAAGTCAAGCTCAGGTTCGTGTTTTGAAAAGTCGACTTCGTTGATGAATTGGTATATCCATGAGATGATATAGATTGTGGCAATGATGCCCCAAAGATATCTCGCACGATTCGACCGACGAACAAATTCGCTGTCCATGGCAAACCCCATCAGAAGATTGACGATGATGGCGACGATGGTGACGACGAATCCGGCAAGTGTACGACCCCTGACGCTGAAGTACGCAGCCAGGTAATTTCCGTTGTATGTCTGACCCCACTGAGCAGTGATGAAGATGGGAATCAGCATGTAAATATGCTTCGTTTCACATACTGCCCAGAAGTCTCTACAACCTTGCTTCAAGGTGGTCTGCCGTGAGGTGAAGACAGGCTTTGTGCCATCTCGGCGGATGACTTTCTCGGGCGGGGAAATGAGGAGGGATAATGGCAGGCCAGCACAAGTCAGACCGATGAGTACGAGATAAACCTGAGGATCGATAGCTCCGGCCTTGTTGCTATCTTCCTGGTTTACGCTGATGCCCAGCTGGATCGAGCTGGCAATGAGGCGACCGATTTTGTTCAAGGACATCCAGATGGCCACTTTGACGTCGTTAGTACGTGTCTGGCATTGCTTCTTCCAACACTCACCACAAGTTCCACATCGATTCGCTTCCGGATATCCAACTGCAATGGCACCTTCTGCAGTCCACAGTGCCGAAGCAGAAAAGCCACAAGTTGCAGCACCAAAGATCATGAACCACTGTGTTCCATATACCGAGTTGCAATACAGAGCGGCACAATATGGTACGTAGCCAAGGGTCCCGAAGACGAGAACCCACTTGAGGCTGTACTTGTTACCGACGATGGCCGTGAGAGGCGAGAAAAGTACCATGATGGCGAAGGTAATAGCATTGGCTTTCGGAAGATGTCAGCTTCTTTGGCCTCTGATCATGATCAGAGGTACTCACCAGCATTCACGACATATGGTTTGGCTTGACCACCAGCCCCCAGACCTGTTTTGTAAATCAGTATCGGACGGAAAAACATGCTGCTGAGACGACATACTATTCAGAGCATCCCAGATACCGGGTTGAGTAAAGCTGACGAGGCCAAGAATGATAGCCTGGAACGTAGTACCACGGTAGAAGCGATGCAAACGTTGGGTCTGGTACCAAAGCTTTCGGCGACATGATGTTTTCTCAAAACCCCGGAGACAGAACTGAAGAATCTAGCTGGCTTTATATTCAACTTCCCCTGGACTGCCCTTACATTTCGGTGAATCACATCATCGCAATTGGACTACCGCGACCCACTATCCATTCACCATAACAATCTACTGTTGAAGTGGGACTTGCAACCTCCCTGGGATGATCTTTGCCTAGTTTTCCATGCGAGCATTCGGTAGATACACGAGTTTGGGCATCTTTCCAGAGATATCGAAGGCAAATCCCAAAGCATCACCTTATGTTCAACATCGCCGTAAGGATGGATATTATGCTTGTGTTGAAATCGTAGAGACGCAGCATCAACAAGACGAAGGATGAGATGAGATCAGATTCGCGAACAAATGCTGAGATGTCGCAATTCACTTGGCATTACTCAATACCAGCCAGTCGGATCCCCTCATCTTTTCGAGTTGGTTATGACTTGCTTTCAGCAATAATGGGAGTGAACACATGAATAAGGAGCTTTCCTCTCGATTTCTGGACACGTACAAGGCCGTATCATAAACATCTTGCTACGAATTTTGACAACATCAACCACTCCAAGTGTACTGTCTGGAAGGATGCCAATTTCTAGCCCGAGCATCACCTCCGTCCTGCAGATAGTTCTCACGCATCGAAGAACCTGCATACTTCTCTTGCAACACTCCCCTCTTCTTCAACTCTGGCCATAAAAACTTTACCAAATCTTCAAACGTGCCTGGAGTGGTCGCATAACTGATGTTGAAGCCATCCACGCCAGCCTCCTTGACCCAACGCTCCAAGATATCTGCGACAGTCGTCGGACTTCCGATGGCTCTTGGATGAGCCCCAGAAATGGCAAGATGCTCCAATACGTGCTTCTTGGTCCATTTGAGGTCTTTGGTACCAGGAACAGTCTCGGTCCACGAAGCAATCATCGACTGAATAGCAGGAGCCTTCGTGCTAAAGGCAAAATCTTCATCGTCAGTGAAGGTTGACAAATCAGTTCCAGTCCAGCCTCCAAAAAGTGCAGCCGTGCCTTCAGTATCTGCATATTGCAGTAGATCTTCAAACTTGGCTTGCGCCTTTTCGTCTGTTTCGTCAACACAGATGAACACGCCAGCGATGAATTTGATACTGTCTTCGGGACGTCCGGTTTGGCGGAGTAGCGCTTTGGTTTCTTGAACCACTTTTGCAGTTTTTGCGGGTACTAAGCCGGGGAGGAACATTGCTTCTGCGTGTTTGGCGGCGAAGTCTTTGCCTGCTTTCGATGCACCGGCTTGGAGGAGGAAGGGTGTGCGTTGGGGCGATGGATCTACCAGATTGGGTCCTGCCGATTTGAAGTATTTGCTGATGACCCGTCAGTTTGATCCCGATAAAACTGCTAAGAAGGGAATACTCACCCTTCGTGATTGATCTTTTTGACTTTGTCAGGGTTTGTCCAGACGCCAGTAGACTTATCCGCTTCCACAGCGGAGTCCTGCCAACTTCCCTCCAACAGCTTATAGAAGACATCCATGAACTCGTCAGCAATCCTGTAGCGTTCATCATGCTCGATATTCTGCTCCAAACCATACGACTTTGCAGCACTCTCCAAATAACTAGTCACGATATTCCAACCCACTCTCCCTCCAGTGATCTGATCAAGCGTCGAAAACTTTCTCGCCAAAGCGTAAGGGTTTTCATAGGTGGTGGAAGCTGTGATACCGAATGATAGATTCTTAGTCGCGTACGCCAGTGCAGAGATCAGTAAGTCGATCTGTAAAATGGGGATTTGAGCGCCGCTGCTAAGGGCTGGGCCGTTGCCTTTGTAGACGTCGTAGATGCCTAGGACGTCGGCGAAGAAGATACCGTGGAAGCCGCTTTGGTCTAGGAATTTCGCTAGCTTTACCCAATGGTCTAGTGTTTGTTTTTCCTGGGAAGGATGTCTCCAGAGGCCTTTTCTACAGTCAGTATGAGGGATTGAAGGCTTGGACGTGTAGTGTACCGGGTGCTAGATGGCCTGGCGCAGTCATGGCGAAAGCGTTCATGATCCATGGCTTTTTGGCAGAGCCAGTTTTTTGTTGCGAAGCCATTGCGAAACGATGTCTTTCCAGATACCAAGTGCTGTGAGGTGTGTGTGCAGAGAATCAACAAGTGTTGAGGTCAAATTGCGAGATCTGTTGTTATAACGTAGGATTCTCGGATTTGGTGGAGATAAGAAGATATGGCGTGCTTGCGCATCACAAGCACGCATCCTCACCACCCCTCTATTGACCAAGGTGCACTGTATGTCGTCTTCTCAACAGGACTGACTGGTCTCGTATCTGATGCCTTGTTTTGAGTGGATGCGAGGAGTAAGTGTGTTTCGAAAATGTACCCTGAGCTAGTCTGAAACTCTGTGTTTGGATGTCTACCTTCTATTTAAGTTCGCTACCTTCTGATCGCTGTACTCAACCTCGTGTCTTGATGATTGCTGCTTGTTCTTCTTGTGCACCCAGATATATACGAATGGATATATCGTCTCAGGAATCATTGTCAACACAATGACTGCAATGCTCACGTTCGAACCCACATATGACCAATTCTGCGGCACGTTCAGATATCTCCATGCAAAGACTCCATACGCAGTCCAGCAGCCCAGATATCTCGTTAACCTATTACGACGTCAGCCCGTGATTTGATCTCTTCACTTAGGATGGATCTTACCAAATCTCCAAAGAATGGCCCTTGGCGTGTCTGTTCTTGATCAGTAAATACAAACTGCCCCAGCCGATCGGAAACTGCAAAGCTAATCCAGTCCAGTATGCAGTGATTTGTTCGCGCTCATCTGGATACATCTGCGCAACTTTCCAGAAAAATGCCAGAAATGCTAGAACGCCAAAAATCATCCTTTTGACCACCGGTGCGCGGGTACCTGGTGCTCGGGTGCTGAGAATAGTGACCACGGCGAATGTAAAGTCGAGAAGAAACCACATTGAAAAGCTGACACGCTCGAATGCCGTAGTGGTTGTTGCATAGGCGTAGAATATCTCATACGCCATCGTGCCACAACTTTTTTGTATGTCAGTAGATTTGTGAAAGGGAGTGGATGATAGATTGGTACTTACGTGAACTCGATAAAGCCGGCACATGTCTTGTCGCGGTAGGTACGGATCATGTAAAAGACATAACAAAGGGCGTAGAGAACTCCGCAGGAAATTATGAGGCCATCTTGTATGTACATATAGCTCTCGGGCGGGTTGAGTGCTAGATCCGCAGGTTGGACCACAAGATGTGCATGTCGATAGTTGTTTGCCAGTTCGAAAGTCATGATTTCGAATTTGCAAGATGTTCCGGAAGATTGCTAGGTGTTTCGAACAAAGGATACGAAGCCGGCAGTGTGCGAACTATGGATTATATGGATTGGCTGGCCGGGCCAAGAGTCAACCGTGGACTAAAGACATCTGTGATCTCATGGAGGCATCCGAGATTCTTTGGAATAGGCTCTCCGCAGACTTCCGACTCGGAGACTCAGTCATTGCTGATGCGGCAAATTGCTGCAATCCATCTATTGGCACCGTGTATGCACATCGGCGACAGCAAAGTTTCAGTCATTGAGTAGTTGCATCTTGGAATGAGCTAATCTCACTCGTTTTGAAGACGTTCTGCGAGATTGATGCAATGGACGCCAACCACATAAGAGTTGATGGGCAAAAGTAGAGTTTGTTTGGTATACCGATGACGTAGCTGAGCCGGACGCGACGGAAGTGTCAAATGCTTGGCGCCACCGAGCTCAGTCACGGGTTACTGCGAGGTCGAACTCGAACCGAAACCATAGAAGTCGAGAACGTGACCTCCTCTAATACACCAATGCGTGTCGAGCCTGTTGTCTGACTGCCCTTCTTCCAAAGTGAAGAACACTCTTCGGTCAAATTCCCGTAAAACCCAGCGACCCCTTCCCTGAAGGACCCCAATGCTTCTCCCAGCTGCTGTCTCTCAGGATCAAGCATTGCTGTCGAGAGAATACAGTCCTTGCCAAAACGCGACTCTTCCATCTCCACAGCTTTTATGTAGTTTTTCTGATACATCAGCGTCTGCACCAAATCTTGTGGTATGGCGTTACCATCAGCATCGTAATTCCACGGTGCATCAGCTACACGCGGCATTGAGAAGAGATTCTTCGGGAAGCTAGCTGCAATCTCCCATGGGCCCGCAAACGCATACTCGAAGTCGATGACGCCTTTGACACGGTAGTCATCGTCGACCAGGATGTTGTGGTGTCCAAAGTCGCCATGAATCAAAGGGAAAGGTCCACGATTGTTGGTAGGCGTAGATATCTTATCCGCCAAGTCGGCGATGGACTTCTTGAACAACGCGGTCGAGGCGACGACTTCCTCCGCGAATTTTCCAGACGCTTGTCGTAGCCGCTCCTCCTCGAGACCGAAAGAAACGTTTTTCGACCATGCTGTGTAGTATTCTGCTGCAGTATCAAAAGGTCCACCTATACCAGGTATAGCCCCTTGCTGGTATGTGCCGTCCTCGTTGATATCAATAACTATGCCAATTCTCGGTAATCGTATGCAGGAGAGACGGACCTATTGGCACTCATTAGTCCATCGAAGCTGCCGAGCTACTTTCCTACATACTCACATGTATTCTCGCCATTTCGGAGAACAAGTCGTTCTCGTACTGCAACGGTATCTCGAGGCCAAGATCAAGTCCTGAATTCCCCTCCAGACGATTCATCAAGACGTATGGGGCGCCTACTTCACCGTCGGCGCTAGTATCAGAGGCGTAGACTTGAGGAACTACAATATCTGTATGTTCTGCGATGGCGTGTAGGGTGCAGATCTCACTCCTCATGGCGATATCCACAGCATTTGAATCCGGGTACAGTCCGTTATCTGAGAAACGAGGAAGTCGGAGGCGGGCTACAAGATGTGTGCCGTCCGCGAACTGAATGTCTCGGACCATGTGATTGTAGCCAAGTCCAATGTCAGCCGTCAGCTTGCAGCTGATCCCGCCTCGTATTCTGCTCGCCACATCTTCCAGCGCTGGCCAGGACACAGATTCGAGGAACGTAGTCGCTCGAGAGAGCTGTTTTGGATCTGTAACTGTTTTGAAGTGATCCCATTTGAATCCAGAAGAGACTGGATCCTCAGTTGTAACAGACATTTTCGAGATGTGGATGATCAAACGAAACAAGTCAGATTCTTGGTTGTCTGCAAAAGAAGCAAATCGTGTTCGGAAAAGTGAAGGATGAAAAAATCATGCTGAGGAGTCCTGATGGCCAAACTGTGGTAGGTGAGACTCTGTTTTGCCTCACCGCTTTTCTGTTACCGGGTTGGATACGGCGGCGCTTCGCAGGCGCCGAGCTCCTCGATCCATGGCCAGTGGCTCAACATGGAAGTCGCAACTTGGCGACCTAGTGGCTTTGATATTTCATGTGCCTTTTCTAGCACGCTCGAGTACGAGAACATGAAGCCTTGTTGGGGGGAGTGTAGGGTAAGAAATTGCGAGGAGCTGGCAAGCGCCCGGTAGCGATGGCTTTATTCATCGAGATGGCAATGAGGCAATGAGATATACTGTTCTGTAGGAGATTCGCCGGTAAAGCTAAAGATGGCAGTGTTATCGCATCTAAGGACTGGAAGTGGACTCGAGCCAAGAGGTCCTATGTCGTACTCCAGATCACCCCAGATCCACTTTGCGGCCGTCTGTTCAGGTTTCATCTCAATCTTGTAGCTTCTCCCATAGACCAAGACATCTTGGTATCGTTCACTGAGCTGGCTGTCCTTAAAGATTACGGTACGAACAACCTTCTCACCGGGTCGGAGCGTGAGAATCTGGTGTCGGGCAGTCGAGGTGGTAGAGAAGAAGAAAGATAGAGCTTGAAGTTGTTCGACACTTAACGCCCGAGATTCTCCGTGGCAAGATTGTGGAGGCGGTACTAGGACTTCTGTGTTGGTCTCCACGTCTATGATGCGCAGGAAGGTGTCCCAGAGATAGATGTTCGGAGTCAAGATTGTGTCTTGTGTGTGTATACTCACCGCACGTGTAGCATCATCATCCAGAGCCAGAGTGAGGGTGAGATGTGTTTGCTCAGATGATCGACAAGGACCAGACAGTGGATGACCATCTGTCAAAGACACTGAAGCCATGATCGAGGGCGGCGTACAATCTCTTGTCAGAGCAATTATGCTGTGCACAAATTAGCCCAAGTCCAGATCTTGACACTGTCAGTGAAGCATACCCTGGCGTTTCGCCACATAAGACCATACAAGTGAAAAGCATCTGTGTAGCATCTTCCCAACCTCCTGGGAACGTGACCTCGAGGGCTATTCCTTGCGAGGTTGAGTTGTTGTCAGTCATGGTGACTATCCTTGGACCGGTCTCTAGACTTGTGTGCTCGTCGATGTAAAGAAACACGTGTGGTAAAGGTTGCTCTGGCGGTCTGGCATAGCTCCTCGGCAGTCTTCTAGAGACATCTCGAGTTGCCATCTCAGTACTACAATGTGAAAGTGCTTCTGGAAGATTTCCCACTTCGTAGACGTGAAGCATCCAAGGGAGAGGCGCAAGAAATTTGCAATTCAGAAGAGCAAAGAGCGTATCTGGCGAGTACGTCTTCTTCCCAAGAACGTAGAGGTTGTACGAGAAGTGAACTGGGGATGACGTATGACTGATATGTTGGCAGTCGAAACACCTTGTGCCCACACTATCAACGCTTTCATGAATGTTGATGTTCGGGAGATCAAGTGATAGCAAAACTTCAGGCTCAGACGGAATGGATCTCCTGATAACGTGCAAGATGCTCTTAGGCACTGCAGTATCTGGATCACATAGCTCGCCATACGTTGCAAGAGCTTCGACGTCAAATTTGCTGAAGATCTCATCATCTTCGTCATCCTCGTCTTGATTTTCATCTTCATAGTCCTCTCGCGGTCTCTTCTCGCCGCAAATGTAACCACGTGTGATGTTCTTAGCGACCGGAGTACTCGGGAGAGTGTTGTATCGGATTAGATCAGGGTCAGTCTCCCATCCCAATGCAATGTTGCGTTCCATTAGAGGCCCGAGAACCCATTCATGGCCCTCATCGTACCAGATGAAGTTCAAGACCTCAACAAGTGCATCGGCATCTCTGTGGCGCCGCACGACAAGGTCCTGTCGCAGATTCGGAAGTGCGAGCTCTTCTCCCTCATCTAACCCAGATTCATGATGAACATGGTTTTCAAACTCACGCTCGCTTCCATCGCGACCAAGGAGTTGGGCAGTGTACTCGATGGAAAGCAGCCCCTTTGACTCCCAATGTATGTTGTCAACGACAAGTAGCTCCTTCCGATTGAGCATGACGGGTCCTCGGCCTAACAGCTTACGGTGATGCTTTTCCTTCTCGTGGTGGTCGATGCAGTCTAGTATGCTAGCCTGAGGCAGAGTGTAGATTTCCAGATGCCACCGACAATTTTCGTTGAATCTGATGCAGCCGTCATTTCCCTGAATGTACTCTCTCAGCTTGTCCGGAAACTCGTCGTCTGTCGCAAGGTCCGCAGCAGCCGACAAAATGTAGACTTGGAACGGAAAAGCGCTTAAGCCTGAATGTGATGACATTCGTTCTCCAAGTAGGAGAATTTTGTTGCCAGTGTGGTCGAAGGTTGTCAATGTCTTGGGAGATTCCCTTGTTAATCGTCTTCGGGGTGCTTTGTCTCCAATCGACTTTCTAGCCACTTGTTTCGTTCTCGCCATGTTGTCTTGTCGTAGAAGTTGATGTGGAAGGAAGGAAAATTGTTCGTTGAATTTGTTTCATATGCACACCTGTTGCCTAGACGTCCGGCCGACGCGGGGCTTTGGACGCGACAGTGACACGACTTTGATTCATCTCACTTCTTGACATACTTACCAAGGTAATTGCTACCTTCCAAGATGAAGCGCTAGTGATTTCGGACGGAGCATGGCGAGCAGCTGCGTCCATTGGCAACCACAAACACAATGCGCGTGTCCAGAGAGGCAAGTGGCGTAGCTGCCAGGCTGACACGTCAAGACGCTCCAGCGTTTGATCTCAAGGCCAAGCTCCCACTCGGCTGAAAGAAGATCATGCTTAATTCTCATAACATCCGCCTGTAGATGTTGTTTGATGTCTTATTTTCGACATGGTCGAGTATATGATGGCCGGGATATCTTTTCACCGAGGTGTTTTGCACGAAACTCACTTTTGTGGGCTGCTTCAAAATCTTGGCGAATCGCTCCACAGCTCCTGCTTCAGCTACGTCTTCATCACGCAGTCAGCTCCCACTGTCGTCGCATGCTTTTCCCAATCGGCGTCATCTCCTGTGATATGATCTTCTCGATCATCATTTCACCGCTGGTGGGTAACACCGGCAAAGACACTTTTGATCGAGGTTGCATCCCGTAACAAAACCCCGCAGACGAACATCTAGGAACCATGGGATGATCGGCCATCCAAGCCCCTCCCGAAGCCCTCGATGCTTCTTTGCTTTAGGCTGAATATTAAGAAGAAGATCAACGTCAGTACACGACATCTCGCGACAAGCAAATGCAAGATATAAGCAATGCAGTTCAAGGTCAGCATGAAGGATCCTCGATTCATCTACATTTGACACGCAATGGGTCTTTGGCATTCAGTTTTCACTTCTTTGGCTACTGTCCTAGTAGCCTGCGATTTGGTATTGGGCTACAATGTGAGCACAGGATACATTGCCCCGAATTCGACAGGTGTTCGCATTCAGCATGGCTTCGAGACTGTGTTGGTGCAGCCTTATGGATATGACGGCTTTCGTGTTCGAGCGTGGGCCTTTCGACCACCTACTGGCAATGAGATCAGTTTTCTTTACGATCCCCCTGTTGAAGGACCTGAGAACGGCAAAGCTCGTGGAATGAGTTACGACACGAAATCAAATGGCAATACCTCTGTGTCTATACGCAACGGCAATGCGATTTTCAGGACTTACGGGCTAGACAAAGGTCACTATCGACTTGCCTTCTATCGTGTTGAGCCCAATGGTTCTGAAACACTACTCACAAACGAGTACAATCCTGTCAAGTCACTCAATCCTAGATACTACTCTTGGAAAGGATCTGGAAGCGAGTTCTCTGCAGCATTCTCCTTCAGCACCGATCCGGATGAGCAAATTTACGGCACTGGTACGCAGCAAGACCATTTGGTAAACAAGAAAGGCTCGGTGATTGATCTGATCAACTTCAATACTCATATCCCCACGCCTATGTTTATGAGCAGCCGAGGATATGGGTTCGTCTGGAATTCCGCTGCGGAAGGGCGCATGGAGTTTGGCCCCTTACGCAACCGCTTCACTTCCGAATCGACAACAGTTGTGGACTATGCCATCGTCAGCGCTCCTCAAGGTGATTACGATGGTCTGCAACAAAGACTCTCTGCCATCACTGGTCGAGCACCCACACCTCCGGACTTCTCTCTCGGCTATCTGCACTCAAAACTACGCTATGAGAACCAGACCGAGGTCTTACTGCTTGCACAGAATTTCCACAACAGAAGTATTCCAGTATCAATGATCGTCATTGATTATCAGTCATGGGCACATCAGGGAGATTGGGGTCTGGATCCTGCACTGTGGCCGAATGTCTCACACATGGCTCAGCAAGTAAAGCGACTTACTGGAGCCGAGATGATGGCCTCTCTCTGGCCCAGTGTCGAAGATGCAAGCGTGAACTACATCGAAATGCAGGCCGATGGTTATCTTTCTGCGACCCGTTCTGGACCGGGTATCACTGACTCTTGGAACGGAACATACATCCGCAACTACGACTCTACGAACCCTGGCGCGCGTCAATTCTTATGGGATACTTTGAGACGCAACTACTATGACAAAGGCATCAAAAACTTCTGGATTGATCAAGCAGATGGTGGTGCACTAGGAGAAGCTTGGGAGAACAATGGACAGCAATCGTATATTCAGAGCATTCCTTATCCTTTGCCTGATGTGTTGTACCACGCTGGCACACAAAGCAGTGTCGGAAAGCTGTATCCCTGGGCCCATCAACAAGCAATTGAAGAAGGCCAGCGTAATGCTTCAAACACCCAGCAAGGATCTGCATGCGACTCCCTCTCGCTTTCTCGGTCTGGCTATATCGGGTCTCAACGTTTCTGCAGTATGATCTGGTCGGGCGATACTGTCGCAAATTGGGAGACTCTAGGTTCTCAGATTCCCAATGCTCTTTCGGCTTCTGCAACAGGATGGGGTTGGTTTACTGTTGATGCTGGTGGCTTTCAAGCTGACTCCTCAATCGAGTGGAGCAACAACATTGACAGACCTCAGTACCGCGAATTGTATGTCCGTTGGTTGCAATGGACTACCTTCATACCTTTTATGCGCAACCACGGAAGCAGGAGCTGCGATACTCAGAGCGCTTTCACCTGCGACAACGAGCCATGGACGTACGGTGCAGAAAATACGCCAATCATTGTTTCGTACATCAACCTTCGCTATCAGCTGTCGGCTTACCTCCGCAACACGTTTGCCAAGTTCTCTCAGACTGGCAGAATGATTATGCGACCCCTGTACATGGATTTCAGCACGACTGACTCCAACATCAGCCAATGGACGAAGACAAACAACAACATCACTACACAGCAGTATATGTTTGGACCTAGATTGCTTGTCACACCCGTCACCTTGCCCAATGTCACTAGCTGGGAAGTTTATCTACCCAAGACTGCTGCTGGTGTGGACAAGCCCTGGACATACTGGTGGAGTAATGTCACTTACGCTGGTGGGCAGAAAGTCAATGTGAGTGCGCCTCTGGAGCATATCCCTCTTTTCCATCTTGGTTCGCGGGAAGACGTTATGAGCGGAAATGTCTTTTAGGTCACTGTATGCAAAATTGCATGTCTAGCCAATCAGCTACATATTACCAAGCCAAGATCAGCTACTTCCGAAGGATCAGAATCCTCATGAGTCATGTACCCTGGCGTTCAATGACATTTGCCAAATTCAACTCTCCGTGTTCGTTTGCCTTACCTTCCATAGCCTTGGGGTTTAAAGAAACATCGATCATAATGCGTGACTTCTTCGCTTCATTACCGGCACCTTTACCGCTGTACATTCTTCTGGACCTCACTGACCTGAAAGCATTATATGCCGCCATTGTATCTTCACCACACCTTTACGCTGTCTTTCACCTCGATGCCGGCCTGATCTTCTCGACCATCGTCAGAAGGACAATGCCAGATGAATTGGTCACTCCAATGATCATGTACATGCGTCTCCACCAACGCAGCAAACCCACAGCCTCGACAACATTCAAAATTCTCGAAGCAATAATGCTGGTTGATGACGCAAACCGATATACTTGGGATGATATATCTCCAGCAACTTTCTTCCAAGCTATTTCACAATATGTGAGGATACACGATCTGGCATACTCAATCCTTCGCTCAAAGCTAGATTACCTTGCCACATTGCAATTTGAAAAATTGGCGAATCTTCCGCACAAGTACATTCACAAGTCGATGGCTAAGCAAAATCCCCAAAGTGTGGCTTTGGATGTCCCAGCTCGGTTCCAAGATCCCAGTTGGGTGGAAGAAAATCGTGCTGTTCGTGCGCTGTGGTTTTTGACTTTGGGCTGGCGAGTTTCTTGTATGCTGGGCTTGGATGAATTGGAGTCTATTGGTTTTGCGAAAAGACTTGTTGGTGAGAAAACATGGAAACATGAGGAGATTGTGGAAATGGTGAGGAGTGTGTTGGATGGTCCGACTTTGCAACCATCAACACCGAGTCTGGCTTCCAACACTGAAATGGCCAACGAATCGTTTTCGGTACTCCAAAGCTACCCCATACTACGACGTTCCCGAGTCACATGTCCAGAGTCATCGACAAACACCTCAAGAGTCCCTCTATACGCACAATCCCCTCTCACACCTCCACATTCCACCCCCGCCTCACTAGCTTGGGATCAAGCCCCCCAACGCCTTTCCACCATGCCTCGTGTATACAGGATCCTCCTCATGCTACGAGATCGCCCAGACTCGCCCTTCCGTAACCCTGGCACACGATCTCACAACGCTCGTACACTCCAAATGGATCATTTCATCCGCTTGGGCTTTGGATTCTGGGATCTGTGGCGTGTGAGTGTTGAGATGAGATTGTGGTCGATGCCATATTCTATTCGAGAGGAGTTGAAGGGGGAAGGGCAAGGGAAGGTGGAAGTCGTGGGCCAGAGTGATTCGATATTCCGGCATTGGGTGATATGGAGACAGGAGAAGCAGAGGGAGGAAGGGGGATGGAGGAGAGGGTTCAATACCCGATGCTAGCAAGAGATATGGATATCTACGAGATTCCGAGAATCAGCTAACCACGCATCTACAGCATAATCATCACAACAAAGCACTCCCCCTCTCCCACCTTAAATACTCCACCACCTCCCCCCACTGCTTATCTTCCAACCCCGTCCCCGCAATCAATCTCCTCGTATACGCCGATTCCAACCCCTGTTGTTCTTTCAACCCATGGTTCCCAGGCTCTCGATATCTACTCGGACATATAATTCCCTTGACCACACCTCCTCCCTCATCCGCACTTTCGAATTCCGCTCGTCGAATCCTAGAGCCGGGGTTTATGGCAAGCATTCCTGTTGCTGCGACTAAATCGTCGTCATTGTGCACCTTCATCACGACGCCGTAGTAGGAAGGTAAAGCTTGGAAATCGGAGTATGTGCAGAGGCTTACAGAAGGGTTGAAAAGGGGTATCTTATCCCAAATCCTTTCTATCCTGAGGATTCTTGAGAGATGTTGAGTTTGGGACGGTTGATCTTGCTCGAGGAAGGTGGCGAGAGGTATGATTTCCTCCTCCTCTGTTCCATCATCTCGCGAGCTCGAAATCACGAGTTGTAGATTTTCGACATCGATCCTATCGTCCCATTTCAACTGCCCAAGTACATTTTTTCGCAAGTCCGGCGTTATGAGCGAGATTCTTCTTTTTCGTTTCCTTTCCGTACCATTGGTTGTAGGGAAAGAGATCTTGCGGCTTATCCAAGAATAAATCATACTCCACACAACTCGCAGTCCACCCAGTAAGTTTTGCTGGATAGTAGATGGGGGGAAGAGAGTCGAGTCTGCGGGGCCACCGTGGATCATCGATATCGAAGAGGTAGATTGGATATGTGAGATCCAAAGAGTGGAGTTTTTGATCGCGTAGATCTTTTGCGCGTTGTTCGGCCATTTTTGTGTTGCTGTTGTCCGTAAAAGGAATGGGGGGCTGTGTGTTATGTATAGTAGATGGTGTTTATTTGGATGAAGAAGTCTGGTGGTTCATGGGATTTTGCAAGGAGTAACTGGGTTGCGGCTGTAAGGCGACAACTAGAGTTGGGGAGGAGGTTGTTGTTTTTACAATAATCCCTTACTTAAAGACAATTGTGTTTGCGGTGACTGTTTCAAGGCCATTCGAAATGCAACATTAGTCTCATAACTAGTCAAACCGGTATAACATCATTACTCAAAAGTAGACATCGGGGTTTGATTCCATCTCTCGCAATCGGCTGAGATTGGTAGAAAACACGGGCCAAGAGATTTGTAGCTTTCTTGAAGAAAAGCTTAAACGGGAATGTTCTGATTGGTCTGAAATACGACCATGATTCTATCAAAGAAACAATAGCAGAACTACTCGAGTACAAAGAAATTGACTTCAGGTAGAGGATACTTTCAGAGATTTCATTGTCAATGCAATATACTCTATCATTCTCGCATGCCAAATCGAAGCCCGGGGCAAAACGCTCAAGATGCCATGTACTTATTTCTGCTGTATTGTCGACTCCTTTTGCTCGAAATGTACCCTTTTCAATAGCCATCACCATCACCATCACCATACCCATCATTGCCACCTCCGTAATCATCATCGTCCATGCCAAAGTCACCATTGATATCTTCAGTAGCGACCGCAAAGTCTTCTTCTTCCTCGTAGGTCGGAGATGGTGGTTGTGTTTCTTCTTGGGGCCAGTAGTCGTCTTCGTCTTCCTCCTCCTCTTCATCCTCTTCATCTGGTTCTTCTGCTCCTCCTGCTGTGGTGGGTTGTTCTGATGATTCAGGGAGTGGTTGTTGGGGGTTTTCGGGGTGCGCGGCGAGTTGTGTGGCGGCGGGAGTGGGGAGGGGGTTCTGTTCCATTTCTGGGGAGTCGGAAGCGGTGGATGGAGAAACAGCGCGCACACTCTCTGGCGCGGGAGTGGAAACTTCTGAACTAGCTCTTGATTCGCCATGTCTGCGGTCACCATAGATCTTGCCCAACGCAGCGTAGTTAACACGTTGTGAGAAACCCTTTGGTGCTCTCTTCTCCAGCATGCGCAAGGAAGCATCGGCAGGCGACTCGACAGGAGTACCAGCATCGGTGAGAACCGTTCCATCACCCATCTTACCGCGCTTCTTGCGTTTGGTCGTCTTCTTTTCCTTGCCTTCTGCTTCTTCAAGTGCCTTTTTCAGTTGCTTGGCTTGTTGTGCACGGAGCCAGTCTTCGTTGTGTGCGACCCAGATCATCTCTTTCACGCGGACTTGTTCTTCCGACAACAGGGCGTTGGCGACTTCCGGGTCATCAGCAAATTCATCTTCGCCGATGATCTCACTGTCCGAGACAAGAGTATGTGTGCGACCCATGGCTTCCAGACGCTGTGCATTTTGCTGGACAATTGCAGCACGCTGTTGTTCTGCCAGCGTCTTTGCACGGTCCTCGATCTTCTCCTTTTCGGCTTGCTCTTTTGAGGAGATGCACTCGCGCTCGGAGAGGATGTTCTGGATCTCGCCTTCGAGTTCTTCCTCGGCCATGAAGTCGGCGTCGGTAAGGGGAGGAGGTGCAACCTTCTCCTTCTTCTTACGGCCGCTCTTGACCTTGATAATCTCCATTGCATCTGGCGTGGATAGTGAGGCGGCATTTGCAGCTGTGTCGGAAACGACGCTGGCACTGCGACGAAGGGCGGGATCGAGAGGCATGTCGGGGATTGCAAAGCCGTCTGCATCACGGCGAGGCTGTTGCTGTGTTGCTGCTTGGACGACGACATTACTGCGAGAGCTTGATGTCTTTGTGCGTTTGGCGAGTTGCACTGTCTGTGCTTGTGGATAGGAGGCAGGCTCAAGGGCGGCGGATGTTTGGCGAGATGAATCTCTGCTCATCTCATAGGCTTTGCGCTTCAACTGCTTCCTCAAGAAGTTTTGCTTTCTCAGTTCGGCATCCAATATAGCAGGAGGGTCGGCTTGCTCTCTGATTCTCACACCCTTCTCGCGGAATTCATTAATCTTGAGGTGGGCGGCACGAGTACGCTTGAACTCCTCGAGACGTTTTGCGATGGTAAGGTCGGCAACTTTGACGACAAAGACAACCTCTCTGACAGTACGGCGGAAGTTGTTCATGCGTGCAGCGAGAATGAGGCAGGCACCACAGAGACCAGCTGGGTGTCTTCCCGTGACGATCCAGTCACGCTTCATGCGACGAATGATCTTGACGGCATCTTCGGCAACTTGGCGTGTCTTCTCTCCAAACTCAAGCTTGCTTGCATACTTCAATATCAACGGCTCAATCTCGATCATCTTTGTGGTTTCCTTGAGATCAACAAAGAGTTTGGCCAGTAGCCCTTTGTAGGTATCTCCCAAGCTGAAGACGTTGACCGAGATGACTTCGGCAATGTCCATGAGCAGGATGGTGTTTTCGGGGTTGTGGCGACAAGCAATGTACAAACAGGCACCGGCAACCTCATCAGCACGACGACCTTGGGTAAAGTTATCGTTGGAAGCAAGTTTCCAGATACCCATGGCTTTGTCCGAAATGTCAGGAGCGATAGGCAGGCGAGCTGTGAACAGACGTAGAGATTCACGACCATTGTTCTCGCTATCCTCTCTGCTCTGCATCGAAGCGCCAAGTCTGCGGGCAGCAGCAGCACCCAACGTCTTTGCGTGACGGGAGTTCTCATTGACAATACCACCCTCGACTGTAGCAGCGCCAGTGGATGACTCTCCGAAAGTGACTTCTGCGACAATGTTCTGTTCACTGACTTGAGTACCGCAATTCAAGCAAATCTTGGCACCATCGATGACTTCGAAACTCGGGGCGTCGCAACCACATTCTGATCGCTTTGCCGGACGGGGAATTGGTTTGAAGGAGCCAGGAGTCTTTCCTCCAAGACTTGACAGACGCTGTGGTCGACGTGGTGGAGCGATCCCAGGCATGTTGAAGGGGAAGGTGAATTAATATTGGTGTTATGAGAAAGTCAAGAGTGGTGAAAAGAAGACCAGAATTAGTGGTGAGAAGATGAAGGTGGTCAAGTTGTCGACTTGTATCAACTCGAGATGGCAGTGGTGAATCAAGTCTTCATGAGTGGTAGCACTAGCATGCAGTGAAGAAATGCGACCGAGGCAAACAGCAGCTGCGAAGGTCGGAAGAGCAGTGCTTGGCAGATGGTGGTATACGACGTGGTGGGGGCGATGTGCAGAGAGGCAATGGACGGCACAGATAAATGGCAGTATACACGTGCAGGCTGATGGTATCCGAGCAGTCCCTTGGTGGATGGACTGAGGTCGGCGCTGGCGCGGTGTCGCAGTGCGTGTGTCAGAATTTTGCAGATGAGCGGTCGCGCACTTTCACGGTTCGTTGGCGCGGTGGGAGAGCGCGCCTTTTCGGTAACGCACAGACCCTCTTGGCGTCCAACAAACTTCGCCGCTTGTGTTCGACTCTGGACGTGGGCAACCACATTTGACTGCACTTTCCACGAAGCTTTTGTTTATCGCAACTTCTTGTTCCTGACTTGTCCATCTGAGCCCGCAATAACCTATTGTCAACGCGCTCCGTATTTGCTCCTGCTCTGGGACTTGCATCTGCGTTGCTGCGAGACTATCTACTTGCACACTTCATGTGTCCACGTGCACGGTCGTCTTTGCAGCCGCGGGCAATCTACACGTCGTCGCCAGTGAAAAACATACCATCGCGTCTTCTTCAGCCCAAACTCCCTTGTCGCATGTCACCTTTCCCGCTGACTCGGATGATATGACCTGCCGCCATGAGCTGCCTCACGAGAAAAGTCTTGACCAGTCGCAGGCCAGTGGGTTTCACGCCCTTGTCTTTGCAGAATTTTCCTGTACACCGTCAGAAAGTGGACTCCACACGGGCCAGAGTTCAGGAGGATCCTGGAGCCCGAAGGAAACGTCTGGACTCCGGCCACAATAGGTTGACTTCGGAGGAGTTCCTTTGCAACAGATGTTATACAAAGCCAAGTTGGTCTGAAGTTATGCCCGAAGGTTATGAAGATGTCACGACCATGAGAGGGCTTGCCAAACGACGGAAAGAGCTCGACATTGTAGCTCCTGCTTCAACAAACCACACACCTCCGGCATCTCCGCTACTTTTGCAGTCCACTCTGAATCGTCCAAAATCCACAAAGCCAGTCAGCCCATCTCAAATCCCATTCTCCCGAGCCTTCTCCACCTCCCCTAGAAGCAAAGACCTCGTCGCTCGGAAGAAAGAGCTCGATGGACTGGTAGCTGGCGACATGCTCGCTGGTCCTTCCTCTCACCATCAGCACCGACCAGAAATGTCTCGCTCGATCCCAAAACATCCTACCACAAGTCCATCGACCAACACATCCGTCTCACCACCTCGAAGTTTTTCCACCACCGCCGTTCATCCCAGAACAAGCAAACTACCCAGCATCACACTCATGTCCACGCGAAGCTTCTCTCACAGCTCTGCCAAAGATTTAACCAAAACTTCACCCAAGCTTTGGGAATACCACAGAGTCAAAGGGGATCCAGAAGCTCTCCGCGAGTACTACGACAGAAAGGCCGAGCGAATGAAAAAACGCTACGACGAAAATCCTGATGTGCGCGAAAGGACCAAAATATATTCAAGACGTCGATGGGATGTCACTCGGACTAACGAGGGCTTTCGCATGGCCATGCGCATAGGAGCTTGGGTTCGCACGCATGCTTGGGTACGCGAGCATCTGCCATGGAAGACCCACCATCCACTCCGATACGATAAGCCCGTCGAGCACTATTGCATGGGCTGTAAACATATCAGAAGTGGTGGTTCGTATCTTTGGTGGCAAGCCAAACGCGATGTCCCAGAGACCGGGACTGACGCCGCCAGCTATCTTTGCCATGGGTGTTACGTGCCAAAAGATAATTGGCGTGCAGCAATGCCTCAAGGCTACGAGGACGTCAATACTTACGATGAAATGAAGGCACGCGGAAAACGGCTTGGAGTGACTGGAGTTGCAGAACACATGGCGTTGGATGATGGGATCTAGAGAAGAGTGAACATTCAGTCATGGTGCCTCCGACCTTGGGTACGTGATTTACCCTGGAAGACTTACCGACCCGTCTACTTCGAAAACCCGGCACAATTGAAATGCGCAACTTGTGATTTTGTCAGAACCAAATCATCGAAGATTTGGTGGCGAAAGGTAGCTGAGAATCAAGGAGCTGGCCAGTCAACAGAAACGCACATCTGTCACAACTGTTACACAAGTCCCGACTGGACTGAGATTATGCCCGAAGGATATGAAGACGTGCGAAGATACAGGGACTTGTTGGCACGCAACACACAAATCCGCGGCCCAGACTCTGCAGGAAAGCACATGAGACACAACCGTGATCGGGTGAGGGCTAATATACGCAATTGGATCTTGCGTCACCCTTGGGTTAGGCAATTGCCCTGGAAGACTTACCAGCCTCTATGTTTCAAAGATACGGCACTGTTCAGATGCTCAAAGTGCAGCCCGGCAAGATATCGAAGCTTGAAGATGTGGTGGAGGTTGCGGGATGATACAAGAGACGAGACTCTCTGTCATTCTTGCTACATAGAGACCCACCGGACTTCACTTATGCCTGAAGGGTATGAAGACGTAGAAACATACAAGGATTTTGTGGCGCGGAAGAAGCAGCTTGACAATCAAGGATGCAAGCATTAGCTGCCTTGTCGCCCCAGTCAAATTGAGTATCAGCCCATGATAGCTCTCTCTCCCTAGAGGACTTTACTATCGCAGCTGAACGTCCTTCTTCAGCTGTCAAGCTTTTTGTTCTCGTGAAAACTGCAGACAACCTTTTACCAACACTCCACTACTCTTTTCGTACAAAATTTTTACAACATCTCTCGCAGATCTATCATGCTCTCCTGCTAGTCTCCAGTTGTCGCCACTGTAGCTTCATGCGTTCACTTATTGCTCAGTTCTCATCAGCCTCGTCTGTATCATGTTCACAATTCTCCTCCTTTTGTTGTTAGCCCAGATCATCTCGCCATCATCGCTAGAAGAAAATATTCCTCGGTACACGTATCTGCTTTTACTCATCTCTAGCTTTTTCACGATCTTGCTTCTTTGTTTCCATCTGGGTTTCCCGTCATGTTTATGTTGTGGCTTCTTTTGTGTTGGTTGTCTCTTGCTGTTGGTTGCTAATCACTATAGTCGCCTGGCTGCTTGTTGTCTGCCTTCTTCTCTCACATCTAGCTTTTTTCACAGAGTTCTCCCCAATCCTATTTATTACAGCGCAATGATTACCCCCATCTCTTTTGCATTTTGATTGTTTGCGTCTGCTGTTTCTTTTACTTTTCCAAAACCCCCAACTTCTTCTAGACCTTTTGTATCTCGTTTCTTTTCTTCTCTTTTTTTGTTTAGTCATGATACTTCGTTATTTTCCGTCCTTGGAAACTTGGGAACGAGATTTTTTATCAGGTTGTTTTCTCCTGGTTTGGAAAAAGATTCGGATCAAATCTGTTTCTCGGCGTTTGCTGTCTCTTTTTGTTACAAGGATGTTTACTATACTTGAATCCATTGTTTACTCGAAGCTCTTCTCTACTTGATCTTGATCCGATTGAGTGTGGGAAATTACCCCCTTATTGTGAATCATTCAAAGAGTAAAAACGGGATTTTAAGAGACGAACCAGGACAGAAAAAAGGCACGAAGAACTTGCAAAAAGTGAGATGGGACAAAAATAGAATAGATTCTTATCAATTTTCAATTCCTGCATTGAAGAAAAGCTACTACAGCAGAATTTCTGTTTTCATCGTCCATACATTTCCTTACCATATCCTGCCATTTCCAAGCCGATCCCCGTAAAGCCCGATATTCCTCATACAACATAAACCCCATACATCAGACATCCTTACTTCTTCTCATCCAAATTCATGATGGGCTCGCCACCGGGGACATCTCTCTCCTTGGCCAACTTTGCATCAGCAGCTGCATCGCCCTTGTCGGCAGTCTCCTCAAGCCCTTCCTCCACATCATCCACCTCATCAAGACTCTTCTCCTTGGGCACTACACCGCGCTTGTTGCTCTTTGCTGCTGCGGCGGGACCGCCTTTGGTTGCGGTGGTTGAAGCTTCTTCATCTTCGTCACCGCCGGATGCTTCGTCATCGTCTTCGAGGTCTGCGGCTTCTACCTCGTCTTCATCGGCGGCGGACTCGTCGTCATCGTCGACTTCGGCGGGAGCGGAGGCGGTGGTCTTGCGTTTTTTGGCCGAGGGTGCTGTGGGGTGGGGAGGTTAGCGTGAGTGATTGAAAGGGATGATGGCCATGGCGGTGAAAATGCTAGAGCTGGTTCTGATGATTGTATCGAGCGATTGAGATGGCCTTTGCTACCACAAAGGATGGAATAGTTTCATGGAGTGGAAAAGGGGAAAGTTACTCACCAGCGGGCTTAGCAGCGACTTCCTCGTCATCATCCTCGGAAGCGACATCACCCTCTGCCTCGGAGGAATCATACCTATCATGCCAATTAGTTTTGATCCTTGCCGCAGAACTCCTCTTCTTGGTTCATCAAGGCCTCCTCGTCAACACGGCATGCGGTATCAATGGATTGATGAGCTGGAAAGAACGCGACGTGCTCGCGACTCCGAGAAGATGACGTCAAACAAGTAAAACTCACTCTTCTTCCTCCTCACTATCCTCAGGAAGCGACTGCAACTCCTCCTCCTCGGACTCTTCAGCTCTACGTTTGCGTGTTCCGACCATCGTGTATTATTGCTGCGTTTCGTATATTTGTTGGACGTGTGAAAGGGGAGAAGGAAAGAGAGGAGCAGGAGCGAAGGTCTGGCGCGGCTGAACGACGCGGATAATCCGGGGAAAGCTATGAAGCCGTTCGGCTCGCGTTCTTGATTTGGAAACAAGGGAGCTTGGGCCATCAGGTTGCTGCGATCACGTCTGTCGATTGTGGCATGTAATTGGTTGGCAAGGTGTACCTGTGTGGTTGGAGGGTTGGGTTGTGTTTACTGCTTTTGTCTGTTGTTTTTGTTGCTGGGTGACAACAAACATAACGTGTTCCAGGGTGCTTTAAGTTGACAGGGGAAGTGATTTGACGGCCAAAACGCTCTACTCGGCGATCCCCGAGCCGCTTTTTTCGCGCGGGCGATTTGAGGCCATTCCTCTAGTTAAATCGTCAATATCACCTGCTTAGAGGGAAAATCGGGAAGTTCTTTTAGGCGTTCATGGTATAGACTCATTTATTTATACAAAAGGTAGTAGTGACGACCTTAGATAGTTTATGGCCATCTAATCTACCTTATCGTCGTCATTACCGGCCTTAAAGAAGGCCTCTTTAATGGTTAGTTACGTTAGCTTATAGGGGTCGTCGACGGTCCCCCCTCTAACAATTGTATTTTTAAGAGTTTAAAGCTCTTTAAGCTTAGTCTCTAGTCGCTTAAAGAGCTCTATATAATGCTATCTGATACGCTAAATCTAAGGCTCCTATTACGCTATAATATTCTTTAGATTAGCGATAGATTGTTTATATGTTTAAGTGGCCTAATTAAGCTAGTATTAGAAGTCCTTAGGGAAGCGATTATATAGCAATAGGGCGTCCTTTTAACGACCTTAAACAAAGGTCTTATTAGCGTAGGCAGACTTCTTAAATTACTCTACTTATTATATAGGTTCGCAAGCAGTAGTAAGCTCCTAAGCTCTTAATATCCTAGCCTTCTTAATTTCCTCCTTCTTTATACGAATATCCTTAGTTTTCTAAGCTACCTTAAGTAACAATACCGCGCTACCTAAGGGGTTATACTTAGTAGAAATAGGTCTCTTCTTTCGCTTCTTATTATGCTCCTTATAGACCTTAATCTAGCCGGCTAAAAGGATGTTAATAGATAGGGCTTAGGTAACATAGCTAACTACGTAATTCTTAGTTTTTTAACGGTCCTCGGGGGTTAGTCTATCGTTGCTAATGTTATTAATAAATCTAATCGCCTATTTGCTCGAGGTAATGTCATTAGGTACGACGTCGTTACTAAACAATAAATTGACCTTAGAAGCTACTTAATTGCGAGCAGGTGTAACTAGCGACGGAGTAATAGCAATAATCTAGTTAAGTCTCTTAATGACTAGAGCTCTGTCCTATAGCACTAATCTAACCGCTTTAAAGGCCGCCTTCTAGTCCTCGATATTAAAGACGCTATAGTAAATAGAGCTATAAATCTTAAGGAAAGCAAGCCGATTAATTACGTCGTATCCTAGCGAGGACTATAAGTAAACTTAAGTGCTATATTCTCTTTTAAGCTAACTAAATAGGCTAACGTCGAGGGGTTATAAGAGGTAAGTTAAATAAGGTAGGAACTTAATATAGATAATGTTATGCGCCTCTACCTTTTTAATAAAGTTAAGACTAACATAAGTTAGATGTCCGTCGAGTAGTAGTATACGAGGAAGTAGAGCTTCCTTAGCGCATAGATTACCCTTGTCGTTATAAGGGTGCGAGAATTTATTAAATAAATCTAGCTACTTAACTACGTGCTCTATAGAACTCTAGCTATTTAGCGAACACTCGACGATAGCGCCCTCTATCTTACTAATATACGACTGCTAGCTTAGATCTCTACGCGCGCCTTTAAGTATAATGTATAGAGGGATATCGCGACTAATAGCATTAGTAGCGCTAATAATAGTCGCCCATTCCCTCTAGCTAGGGTTATTATGGAATCGGTGTTTATCCTTATAGGGAACAATATAGATAAGTCCCTTAGCTATGCCGAGCATAAAACTAGTCTTATCTATGTTGCTAATGTCTCTATTAAGGACCTAATAGTTATCGATAACACCCTTAAAGAAATCGAACTATACGTTAATAGTAGTTAGGTCGTTATTTTTCTACGTATAAACATCCTTAAGAGCTTATAGATACTTAGTCTTAAACTCTAGATAGCGAGTAAGGTATTAAGTAGTCTAGTTTACGCCTAGTCGATTAATATGCTCGCGGTGTCGCTATCGAGATATAAAGTTAGCCTTATGCTACTTCTTTTCCTCCTTATATAACTTATCGACTAACTATTATACCTAGTCTTATAGTTCCCTCTACGTTGGCGGGAAGCCTCGTTTATACGTAAGGTATATATATTTAATAAGAGCGAGCTCGGCGTCCTTAGGAAGCATCTATTTGTATTTATACGTAAGGGCGTAGGCCTTATAAGTACCTTAATGACGACGTTATAAGGTAATAGAGCTAATACCGAAGTAAGTAGCGGTCTTAACGAACAAGGTTAGCCTCTAACCCTAACTATTCTAATGCGACATCTATAGGTCGTAGTATTAAAGGGCCTTAAGAAGGTCTTGCTCTTATTATTCTTCGAGTTCGATAGGGATCTTACGTTTATATGTTATAGCGACGACGACGACGGTAAATTAGCTAACCTATTGCGACGAGAGTAGGCTTTAAATACTAGAGGTTAGGGTAGTAACACGATCGAGAACCGACTAACTATATAGAGGCGACGACGAGGTCGAGAACTAACTATATATAGCTACATGTAGAGACCGAGGCCGAGAAGGTAGCGAGGGTAGCGAGGGTAGCGAGGTTAAGCCAAGTTACTATAAAAGGTTAGTTAACTTAAAGGCCCTATTAACTTAAAGCACCCTAGAACACGTTAGATTAGATCCGAGTGGACTCTTAAACAGTATCTGCTGTTTTGCGGCCATGGATAGAAAGCACCTCGAGACTTGTAGTTTATAAGTAGGAATTTTAAATGCACATTCGCGACGCGAAAGACTGGAGAGGCTAAGGAACACCAGGTTCTCTTGCTCTTCTTGGCAAGAAGTGCTTTGTTAACGACTCCGACCAAAAAAACAGTGCTAATCATTTGTTTTCCTTTCCAGAAACAATGCTCAAATAGCTGGATTCTTCCAAATGACCGTATTCCCATGAGCCGCCCGAGGAAGAATGGGGGCGGGGATGACCCTGCCTATCCCGAGATCTGATGACCATCTATTCCGAACTCCGGCATCACCCAACTCTCCATCCCTCGACGCACAAACACTTCATCAACCTTTGGGGTCAAGAACAAAGGTTCTAACGGGAAATGATCATTGCGTTAATTCGATCATTATACTGCTTAACACAAGCCCGTCACAAGAGCATATCATACTTCCTTCAGCACCTCGAATTCGCCCATCCACTGATCCTCTCACACAAAGACCACCTCACCGCATAGCCATATACATAAACATAGCTTCCCTGTTAACCTTATCTACCATTTCCGCAGCACTAATTTTGCCTACATTCCTTGACTGCTGCTTCCTCTTCTTCGACTCCAATGTACAGGATTTAGATTGCGATCTTTTGCTCGTAGATGCATTCGCAGGTGCTGCAATGCCAGTTTCTTGGATGATTTGATAGCGCTCAGACTATACATCCAAATGTCAGTATACATATCGTAGGGCCAAAAACTGGGAGAAGGTAGAAGGATAGACTCACATCTTTACTGATCGATGCGATGGATTGGCGGAGGAAGGAGTGGTTGCTCGTGTTGTTTGAGGAGAAAAGCATGATGGAAAGTTGCAAGGGAGATGTAGTATAGAAGTAGAGGTTTCGATGTACGACGTGGATGCTCTAAGGGTCTGTAGAGTGGAATCGCGATGTCGTGGAATCTGATGGTGAAGAGTAGAGGAGATAACGAGGTAGTCGGAGTCGAAGAATTCAGAAAGTTGATAGTGGGGATGCAAAATAGCAAGGCGGGACCGCTGTATTTATGGTATTGGGATGACATGGTGTCTGCTGAGAGTATTCCGACTTCTTTCAATGTGATGTCGGGATAGAGAGCAAGACATATGCTATCGGAATGAAATGTCGGAATACATTTTCGGGATAAACGGAGTTGCCTTCCGGTTGAAGTGCTGCTGCCCCAGCAAGTCATTCCGAGCTTTCTCACTCGGTACAAATGCATGCAAGACGCGTGATATACCACCGGACTGGAATTGCAAGTCGCGATGCGGGATAGACACGGGATTAATTCTTGTTGAGATATCGGGGCTCATTCTGGACGTCGGCGATCCGGGCTTGCGCTCGGGGATCACTACCAGATCTTGACACAGCCTTCGGGGATGGAAGTTGTAGATGGCTCAAATCATGTAGAGATCATACTGATCTATACTCCGCCACTTGCATTCGTCCAATCAATACTTTCCATCCAATTATTCATGTCCATGAAACTGGTCGTATCCCAGTCGAGCAGATTCAGATCTCCTAGCGAGTCATTGTCGGCATTCCCCATTGCTGCCATACCATCACTCGATATTGGATGTTGCGTTCCAGTTGCGAAGTTGCCTGTGAGTCCAGGATCTGGTTGAAGTATCGTGTCATTGGCGGCGAGTAACAGCAGATACTCGATAATTCCATCCAAAGCACTGGATATAAGTCCCGAAGCTTTGATGCAAAGTGCGTAATTTGCATTTTCTGGACGATATACACCCTCCAGAAAAGTCACGAATACTGAAAGACGTCGTATTGACACGAGGCGCACCAAGTCGGCGAATCGCGTCCGATGCATAGTTCTCTTTGCAGTCTTCAGCGCATTCATGAGAGTAATTGCACTTGGCAAACCGTAGCACAGAACCTTTATTTCAAGTCAGTCGCAGCACAACAAAACAGTAGGCTCAGTTTGACCTACAATACTAGCCCTGAAGCTGTTGTGTAAATGATAAACAGCTTGGTCGTGGAATCCACCAATCTGGAGAGTCGTCTCGATTATACTCGAGCAGGTCTGTACCAGTTCCGATGAGTAGTTCCCACCAGGCTTTTCCATCAAGCGATAGATGTGAAATAGTGTCTGCAAGTAGGTGAGATAAACTTCTGCTAATCTCAGACATGATATGGGCGCCAGATCGGACTTCCAACATGCAGAGTCGTAATGGACACGGCTGGGGAGATGGTCCCACGTTTGCTTGCATCGGTTTGCTAGTTCTCTGGTACGATCATTAGATGTTGTATTTCAGGTTCCATGATCTACGAGGATCGAAGCGGATAGGACCGTACTGACTCTAACTTTGATCTTGTCTCGTCATCAACAGGTTTATGGTGGTGCAAAAGTGTTTCATCCTTGAATTTCGCAAGGAGATACAGCGCTCGAATCCAAGTAGTACTGCAAGAAGAGCTTCCAGTTGACCATCCCTCATATCGTTCGTATGACGCCCGCTCTTCTTCGCTGAGTCCAGTCAGACAGAGCTGATCATCAGTAAGTTCAAGTGGCGGTCGACAATCAGCATAGTAGCTAGGAATCCGCGGCGGGCGACCGAAAAGTGTGGCGAGAAACTTGTCCCAATGGAATGCAGCCGTGAAGACCCTTCTACGACATTCGGCAAGAAAGAAAGGAGCTTTTGTAATGATCGCCTCTCGATGTATCTCCAGGGCGAAAATATCAGTGGACAGATCACCAAGTCGACGCCAAACATTGGGACCTACAAATGTGCAAGCCAAGAATCAGTGTCTAACAGATCAAGGACAGAAGATCTCTAGAAAACTGTTGCACTCACCGGCATAGCCTTGGATACTCGTAGTCAGACGCAAGTTCTCGTACGACAACCACACCATCACATCACTCATCTCCGTCGCTAATTCTCGGGCGAGGTGCAAGCATCGTGCACTGCACTGGAACATGGCTTGGACAAAATAGTGATTATCTCCAGTATCCGCAGTAAGTCCTAGACGAGAAGCACGAGCCGCCATGGTGAAGATCAAACCAATGGTTTCCACTCGCAGATTTGGACCGCTGTAGAAGCCTCTGAACTCGGCCAGGGGAGTGGCTGAGGTGATGGGACTTTTCGATTTCGTAGCATGCAAAATCGTTTGAGCTACCCCCCGTAGAGTGCTTCTACAAGCGGCATCATCACTCATCGCTCGTTGATGCAGAATGTTCTCATGGAGTTGTTCAAGGTCGGACAGGACAGGCAGCACGAGTTGGCTTGGCACGACAGCGATCTGACCCAAACGATAGTATTCCAAGACGAGCTTCCTGATAATTCCAGAGTGTTCAAGGAGCTCTAGGATTTGTATTATAGAAAGCAAGTCTCCCTCCAGTGTTTCATTGCCGCGGTCGTCGTATACCGCAGTCGCTGGAACAAATCGTGCACTCGTGTCATCGAGGCTTTGAAGCGATAGCAATGGCAGCGTTGCAGGAGGCGTTGCATTCGCATCAGGGACTGAGTGCAACCGAGTTTCGAGGTCGGCCTGCCTCCCACCAGCATCTACACAGGTATCATCGCGGGGTGGGATAATAGCCACCGAACCCGCTTGTCCGACTGTGCCTGCTGTATCTACTGCATCATCCTCCAATGAGGACAATCTCATCCGTTTCGACGGTCGTGTAAGAGGAGCAGGATGATAATAGCACTCGCTGCTCATGTTGCGACGACGGCAGCGATCACAGGTGGGCACGTGGTGATCGCAGCGCACTTTGCCTCTGCGGCAAGGCTCACAAGACGCTTGTTTGCCATTTTTGCGGCTTGCACTCGCCGACATGGGCATCTGAAGATAGGAACAGGACTAGGGTGTTGTGCTCATCATTGGCCTTGTCGTGATGGGTTTGTGGTTGGGGGGGCGGCTGTAGTGTGTCCTTCGGAGTTCCCCGTTGGCAAAAGATGCAGGTACAACCCTGGCAATCCCCTCGAGCCATTCCTGTCATCGACCGCTAGGTTCTAGAATCTGTTTTCCGGGATACATGAGACGCGTGATGAGCGTAAATGCTGAATGCAAGTACATGTGCGTGATGATCGATCCTCGAAACAACAAGAGGACGAGGACAGACAGAAGCGCAGCCGGAGTTTGGGAGAGAAAGCAAACGGAGCAACGAGTTGCTCTCCAGGTGCGATCAACCGATGTAACATGCACGCGATCTTCGAAAATCGACAGTTGTAGCGAATAAAGAGCGATTTCATTTTTCCGTACCTGGGTATCTAATGCTTGTTTCTCCTTCAACCTTCCTCGTGACTACGAATGATCTCCAGTTTGTACAACAACATCCACAAGACCACGCTCAATATGGATTGTATATGCCTCTTGCACATGTCCGTTCCTCTATGGCGTCTTTCCTGCGCTTTTCGTATCGCCTGGCGTACTAAGCCATACGCGCAGCGACGCCGGCTTCAGCTCCTGGATCGGGCTCTTCGGCCTCTTCTTCTTCTTCATCCTCCATCTCGACATCATCTGCTTCCTCGACTTCAGGCTCAGGATCGACTTCAGCTTCTTCGCCGCCTTCGTCGTCGATTTCCTCTTCTTCATCACCTTCTTGTCCGTAGCCTTCGCCGTCTTCAGCACCTTCAACAACGTCCTCATGTTCATCCTCGCTGTCAGTGATCATGTCAATGTCCTTGACGCTCGACAAGCGCGAAGCAAGATTAGGGAACATTGTGGGCTGTTGGCCTTGTGGTCCGGGTCCAGAATTGACCACGTCTTCGTCAATATCGCTGAGCTCACTATCGCTCTCGTCATCAGCAGAGTCGTGGATGCTACCCGCAACACTACCTTCTGCCGTGTCAACGCCTGACTGCTCGGCCAACTTGGGCGGGCGTCGTGTTTCTATCACGACTGATACTTCTTGCCGAGGACGTGCGAGTTCATTGGCGGCCGGCGTGGTAGTTCCGGCGCCAATCTTGGCGATACAGGCGTCTGCGCAGAGACGCACTTCGCGTCTTCCAACGCCAATCTTGCGGCGTGATTGTGCTGGTACTTGGTCACCTGTCGGCGGTGTGGCAGTACCGTCAAGGCCAGAAGTAGCAACCGAAAGACCAGGATGCTTGATTAAAGAATCTGTCGCAACATCTCCATTCATCAGATGCGACAGGTTCATCATCGGGTTGCGTTCTGACGTGGAAGCAGAAGGTGTAGCTGCTTGCTCCTTTGCCAACTCTTCCCTCTTGATCTGTTGGTCCCTTGCCTCTTCTGCAACCCAGAGCCTTCGACCGACAGTATCATAGAGATATGCATAGGCATCTCCAATGAGATCATCAATTGTCGCCGCCTTCATCAAGCCGCCGTTAATTTTCTTGAGCTCAACAACTTCTTGCATGGTTTCTAACACCGGGTGGCTGACGTTTGTAGGGTTCTGACACCAGGTTTCCAAATAGTCCTTGCGACGCAAGAAGTCCTCGTGATTGATACCACTGAAGATAGCAGTTTCTTGAGCTATCGGAATCTGTCCATGGCGACGTAGCACCTTGAGATAGGCAGTGCAAAGATACTGCCAGAGATTTCCATGCTCGAAGAACTCGCCAGTCTTCTTACGAACTCTGCGCGCAAGAGCGTCGAGCAGCGGACGGTCTTCCAAAAACTCAAGGATTTTGATGAACATATCGGCATATCTTGTTGTGTAGACAAAGTGACGACCAGGGCGTTCGTTTTCCGGCTTCCAGACATTCATCATCATGGTCTTGGTAAACATTTGCTGCATAAGCTCGTGTTTCGCAGCCACGCAATAAGACTCTTGACTGCCGTCACGGTAGAGGATGGCAGCTGTTCTGTAGATCATGCGATGATGCCAATGCACCTTGTCTGCAGCTCGAAGACTTCTCAGGACCTTGAGGATATATGGTTCCCATGATTCGAAATTCGAAACAGAATCGATCTTCGAAGCATATGGCGTAGCGGTAAGGATACTGCATCCTTCAGTGGGGTCGATATAGCGGCGAGTGACCATCTTGTGCACAATAGAGACAAGCTTGTAGTGCGGCTCGAGAACTGGCTCGCGCTTCGTGTCTTTCTTTCTTGGGAGCAAGTTGATAGACTCGCAAAACTCGTTGATGATGGCATCGATACTTGGTCGATCTAACTGCTTGGGAGCATTGCAGTACATCTTCCACAGGCACTTGCCCAGATAGAAGTGAAGCTTCCACTTGTGAGGATTAATGCGAATAGCACGTCGGAAGAGTTCTCTAGCAAGCTTCCAGGCTGCGAAAGGAGTCAACGCCTTGAAGGATGGGACTTTTGTGATGGTCTCCCGACTCAAGAATCGCTCAGCATCATCAAGTGCAAACGCCTTCATGCCGAAGGGCTCTCTGGAAGAAGAGTAGATTCTCATGGCAAAGTCGGCGTACATCTCTCCAAACTTGGCTCGGGTTTCAGCACTGGGTTCGGCATAACGCATCGCCAAGGAGACGGCCATAGTATAGCAATGTATAGCTGCACGTTGCCATGTGACAAGCTCGTCCATGTCTCCATTGATTTTGTCAGCAGTCCACGAGACAGCCTCCTCAATCTTGGAGTCATAAGCCTGAGCCAAGCGGAACCACAACTCCCAGTCATCCATGCTGTACTCAAGAGCTTGCACGAAGAACGCCACAGAGATGTTGAGATCCTCAGTAGCAGTGGGGCCGATGCGCTTCTGAGCCCTGAACTTGCTCAATGAGATATGACCCATGAGGAAGTACCAACCATTTGCAGCAAGAACAGCATGCTCAGCTGGAACAGGTGCCAAGGCAAGCTCGCACTCTCCTCTCAAGCATCGATACATGTCGAGTGGGTTGATGTTCGACTTAAGGTAAGCTCTGTAAACATCACGATTGCGAAGAATAGCTTCTGATGGCTTTTTGCGATTGATGATACCATGTACCTTCTCGATTGTGTCTTTGAGAGGATGCTTCGGCAGCTCGGACATCTTAATTCTGGAGGCCAGATTCAACAACAAATCGACGGCTTGCATCCCAGATGCTTTGTCAACAAAAGCATCGTGCATGCAATTGTGCTCCCGAAGCGCATAACTCGGGTTGAGGAAACACTTGAGACCAAACATGTCATAGAGAATCTGAGCAAACTCGAGGTCGAAGTCGTCGTTTTGCTCTTCGGCGTCATTGCGGAAGCGAAGCACTTCCAATTTGGCGAGTTTGAGAAAAACTCGATCCGATCCACCGCACAAGCTTCGAGCTCCCAAAACCTGGTGAACAGCACGGAGGAATTCGAACAGTGCTTTATTAGGCTTCTCAACCTTGTCCTTGTTTTGATCCAGGCTCTCACGATATAGCTTGTACATGAGAGTCCACGACTGTAATTGCAAGTCTTGTAGAACTTTGCTGACAGCGGTGAACGATCTGAGAGGTGCGCCATTGTTGGACGCAGGTGTTTGCTTCATGCCAATCTTGATCTCATCCTGTAACATCGTTGAAGCATGCAACATCTTCTGCAGGTCAACCAGACAATTCATTGAATTTTGAAGGCGTTCATCGTCCATACAGTCGAGCGCGTCGGAGTGTGATGAGACAGAGAGACAGATCTTGCTGATAAGGTCATTGATGAGACGCATGTACTTGAGCAGAACCGTTTGACGCTCGCTCAGGGACTTCTCAGAGTACGAAGGCGATTTGAGGTCGGAGAGCAAGAGTTCGATTACACGGAAGTAGCAGCAGAGGACCATGGGTTGGTAATCGATGCTCTCATACGCCTCGCGGAGTCTTTGCCAGAGCGAGACTTGCATACCAATGTTACTGTTCTGCAAGAAGTTCAGCAGCTCAGAAGGAGTGGAAGCAGATGTGGCAGGTTCGCTATCGGCGTCGGACACTGGAATGTCGCCTTGGTTGACGTCCTGATGCAAAGTTTCCAAAAGTGGCTCCAATCCTTCGATCACTACGGTGGGATCATTTTGAGTAGGATCAAACACTTTGGTGAAGAAGTCCTGCGTTGTGAGTCTAGACAACTCTCTGTCAATGGCCTCGATGGACAACTGCGGCATAACCGTGTTGTTGGGTAGGTCAATGACAGACTCTCCGACAGCCTTGAAGATTGATCTGAGTTCCGACCAACAAGCAATGACATGGTCTTGGGACACATTATTCGAAACACTAATGTGATGTGTAACAGTCCAAAGATGACGCAAATTGAGCTCATCCTTCAAGCTCGGCGTGTCTAGCATGCTGGTCCGCAGGTTCATGGCGTCACGAGCAAGGTTGCTCCATCTTTCAGCGCGATCTTCTTGGACTTGGAGAGTCTCAGCATCAACACCACTGTTGGGTTCCTTGACTAGAGAGTAGACATCTACATGGAGTTCGAACAGAGTCTGGATAACTTCGATAAATGGAAGAGCTTCATCGAGCTGTTCAGCGCTGGTGTCAGAAAGCAGAAACTTATCCCACTTCAGAACAAAATCGGCGAGAGTCTCAAAGATAAAGGCATCTGTCGTGATAAGAACTCGGACAAGAAGAGCTTTGAAATCTGTTGACCACGTATGCCCGGGGTAGCTTGACATGCCCACAGGCAGTTCAGGACGCAGATGAGATCCATGGTCAGGGATGAGAAACTCGATGACCCAGTCATAGAGGACCTCGTTGATGTGCAGAAAGTCCGAGTTTGTTCGGGATATGAAGCGGTCAAGCTCGCCTTGCTGGTCCAGGTCTGGCTTGGTGACGGCACGAGACTGAGTACCTGGAGTAGCAGAGAAGCGGCCACTAGGCTTGACGTGAGCATCAGAGGTCGTGTCAAGATCGCTGTTAGCGTGTAGTAACACCCGAGCTCGTTCTTCAGAATACTCATTGAGGAAAGTAAACATGTCCACGCAGGCCAGGTCTACACCCTCGACATTAGGACGGTGGCTAGTGGCAGCGTCACGAAGGTCTTTGCGAGCATTAGGGGAGACGTTGAACTTGGGAAGATCGACCTTTTCGAACAGCTCGTCCAAAGACTCGAAAAGTTGGTTGTCGACATAATCGAGATCAGCCAGAGCATCGTCGGCTTGAGCCGGATCAATCATGGTGTCATCCTCGAGTTGGCTCTGGTCGACGATGGATTCTCTGGCGCGTAAACGCTTGCTCTTGGATCTTGCGCCTTCCGCAGAGTTGCTGTCTATGAGACCGGCGGCATCGCTAGAACGCTTGCGAGTGGGCAAGACGGTAACAGGTGAGGTCTGAATGGTCGCGTCCAGTTCTGGTGATGGCTTGAATGCAGGAGGAGGCACGTTGGGCTGGCCTCCATCTGTGCCGGGGAATTGGGCGTCAACCAAGGACGACATGTTCGGCGATTGAACAGACAGGTCGCGAGGCGAAGGGTGATCGACTTCGATAGTCTCAACATCCGGAGACTGGCGGTCGAGGTTGAAAGAGATACCAAGAGCAGGTAGAGCAGAGGTGGTGCCGGCTTGTTCGGCAAGGTAGTGACGATGAAGAATGTCGCCGAGGTCTAGCCATGACTTGGGAGCGCTCAGAACACAGCGTAGGGCCTGCCGAGTCGAGACGGGTGGTGTGGGATGCTTGCTCTGGTAGTTGTGGATGATGGAGTAGTTGGCCAGCTTCTGCTTGAGCATAGTAGACAGCTGACGGCGCTTCATGGTAGACAACGGGGCCTGCAGTACCGAGAGCTCGTCTTCTAGTTTAGCGACCAGTTCACGCAGTTGTTGGCCAGCCAGAGTTTCTGTGATGCCTGGAATGGATAGCACCGAGTCCAGGCCTTGAGAGTCATCGTCCAGGACAGCCTCGAGGCAGAAGCGAGCGATGCGATGGCTTCCCAGCATTTCTCCAACCGCAGCGGAGCGTCTCCACAGGTCCAAATCACTATCATCCTTGTCTATCGCTTCGACAAAGCACTCCAGGGCAGCAGCTGATGCTTTGAGGATGTGCTTGGTGTTGATCTGAACGTCTTCAGTTGAGTGACGCAGCTTGTGTTGTAGAGACTCCAGTAAGAACTGGCCGTGGTTCTTGTAGGCCAGGTGGATGATCTGAGGCAGAGTACTGGGCGCGTTTTCTCCCGTCGGCACAACATGGACTTCGTGATGCGAGTAATAGTCGTCTGTCTCTGGCTGCGGACCGTAAAGTTCGAGACGCTTAAGCTCTTGTTGCGACTCGGGGTATTTGAAGATGTCGGATTCGAACAGGGCGCTGTATGCTTCGGCAGCTTGTGTGTAGGAAGGCGGGCCATCCGAGTGGAATTTCAGGGCAGTCTGGTATAACTTGAGAGCTTCTTCGATCTGGATTTCCTTGGTGTCGTCGATCTCGATGTCTTCTTCATCATCTGATTCGAGGTTGAGGGCTTTGAAGGTAGCCATGATGAGTGATGGCAGGCCTAGATGGCCACGCTGATGTTGTGAAGGTCTCAAGGTCCGGCATGCGATGTGGTGTACACAAAAGGCAGGCGCGCATTGGATGCGACAATCAAGGTGGTTTTGCTTGTTGGAGAAGGCGCGACCAATCGGATGATGAACAGGCCGCAGGAGGCCCGAGCTTTAAAGATGATGGAGACGGGGCGCGCGTTGCAGCAACAGCAACAGCGACCTGCCACTTTGTAACAAAGACAAGGAAGGTGCTTGATTTGGAAGGAGCCTTGTCGAATCTTGTCGCCCTGATTTACATTCCAACTTGTGCATGGTTGATTACAAAACTCCACGCAAGCGACCATGATCCAGACAGCTGTCCCCGAGTTCGTCATGGCCTTGCTGGAACAAGACGATCGAATGGACAACTAACAATAACAAACAGGATCTTCGAGGACGATTCGACCTCGGTAGTAGAAATCCGCACAGAAAACTTGCAGGCGCTCAGGGAATTGGGTCCCCCGGATCTTGTGCACCTGGTCAAGCAGCCCGTCAAATCGACAAGCAAGTCGGTACGCAATGCGCCTAGACCTCCTGAAGCTGCTCCAGGCTGACCAGCAACTTGTAACAGGTCGGAGTATATCACCACGTTAGCGGCACAGACGCATCTTCCTCTGCCAGTCTTGCAGCCTACATCAACACGCTCGTCTACTCTCCCCACGACAAGACCAACAAAGTCACATCCGGTCTCTACTGTTGTTACAATGCCTTCTCCCGCCTCGACATGCGCGTTCAAGTCCAGATCCCCGGAACGGTAGAGAGCTACTGCGTCAACGAGCGCGGCGACAAGCTCGAAGCTTCGGAGGAACACTGGCTGGAAACATACTTGTGCAGTGTCTTGCGCGCCTACTCGTACGCCGACGACGGCTCGGGCGACACCATCAAGAAGATTGTTGGCGTCCGTCGCTTCAACCCAATCACAAACACTGAGGCCGAGCACAAGTTCCTGGATGCTGCTGAGCGCCTCTTCTTCGCTGGTGAGTCTTGCCCGTACACAACCTTGACTCAATCATAACCTGACATGGCTGCACAACCTTCACTCAATCATATCCTGACACTCCTGCACAGGCTGGCAACTCGGCTCCGACCCCGAGATCCAAGTACCGAACCTCGTCTCGAATCACCTCACTACCGGTCTCCTCAACTACATCCGTACCACCGGCCGTTACGCCTCCGGCATCAACCTCTTCGAGAAGTTACGCACGCGCGACCCCGAGATATCATCCCTGCTTGCCCGTGTCTACATCATGGGAGATGAAGAAGTCAAGGCTGTACAATTGCTCCGCGACGCCATCCATCAGATGCCCATGGACTATCCTCTACTCGATTGCCAGGCAGAATACTGTCTGTCCAAGGGCAGAAGCGACCTGGCCCTTGAGATTGCTAAGCGCAGTGTCATCTCGGCCCCCAGCGAGTTCGCTACTTGGGCGAGACTGGCCGAAGTCTACATCAGCATGGAGCAGTGGGACATGGCCCTCCTGACTCTCAATTCCTGCCCCATGTTCACCTACCAGGACAAGGATTCACCACGCATGCCCGAGCCCGCTCGTGTCTCTCTCCCCCTCGCTCCGGAAGCCATGTGTGATGAGATCGATGACTCTGGTGCTATGGGCGAAGAGCTTGTTCACCCCAACCTGCGCAGATTGAGCGCTGCCAACTACAAGGGCACCTTCCAAAAGGCTTATTCCCTGCTGACCGAAGTCACCAAGCGCATTGGCTGGGACCACCTTCTCAAAATCCGTAGTCAGGTTTTCGTCATGGAGGAAGAGTACCGCCACGAGAGACAGGCTGTTGTTCAGCAAGAAGCACACTCACGCAGCGCCAGTACCACTGCGCTCCGTAGCCCCGGCCTCACCGATGGACGCCCTTCAACTGCTGGCTCAGTCTTCACCAACGGCGACACTCCTCCGGGATCTGCTGCGTTGGGCGATGATGTCTCGAAACCACAACATACGGTCACAGCGGTACCATCCATGGAGACTCCCGACCCTCAACCGCCAGCAGCCGATCCGCAACATCTTCAATACACCCAGTTCCAGCACAAGCGTCTTTGCGAGCGCTGGCTTGACAATCTGTTCATGGTCTTATACGAGGACTTGCGAATCTACACCATCTGGAGAACGGAAGCTCAACAATACAAGTCTCAACAACTCGCTTACAAGAAGTCTGCCGACGAGTGGGAAATTCTTGGCGAGCTTGCAGACCGTTTGCATAGACCCGACGATGCTGCAGAGGCCTGGGAAGCATGCTTGAACATGCGCTTCTCGCCGAAGGGCATGCGCGGTATTCTCTCTGCATATGAGAGATATGGAGACGTGCGGGGAGAGCTGGGTGCTTTGATCAGACTCATCGCTTGGCAGTACAAGTGGTACTCGGAGGTAAGATTGACATGTCCTTGTGCTCATCTGTCGAGTCAACATATGCTAATCCGATCCAATAGTTCTCACCCTCTCTGGTTCACGTCATCAGAAAGTTGATCGAAGAAGAAGGCGCCGTCAAGGTCAGGAGTATCATCCAGGCAACATCCCTGCCTCAACACATTTTAGACTTGACACATCAATACGCCGGCTTGTGTGCGGCCTTCAGAAGCAGTGGAAGTGAAGCGTAGTCATGGAATGATGAAGAATACCCTTTGTTTTTATCAAACGCAGCTACAAGCAATTTATTCTCTTCCTTTTCTCTTCGAATCGATGAGAAGAGTAACCATATTCCTTCGTGCTTTTCCCAGCGACATTCAGTCTCCCGAGAACTTGCATGTCAACATTCTCAATTCAGTCATGTATAATTCGGATGGACTACCTAAAGCGGAACTTGCATATGTGCTGTACATGCAGAGTGACATGTTCCCTTCACAAACTTGGCCGGTAGACGGCGAGATGGATGACGAAGAATAAAAAGCAGCATAAAAATCATCACATGATTTCCCTCTACAATCTACCGCGCCATCCGCTATATCATGCCATCTCTACGCCTCCCTGGCGTGAGGAATGCTGGGAAAAAGCCATATCCTTTGAGGTCTCATCAGCCCTTCATGTACAACCGTTGTGTTTCATTGCTGACTCATGAGACAACACACTCAGGGCATGCAATGCATTTTTTCTCCATGTTTCTCGGCTTGAGTGTAGAATATGCCCGACCGTTATACGTATGAAACAGGAACAGCATTTTTGTGGAAAAGCATGTGTTTGATGTGAGCTTTTTGGAAGGTGGAGAGATAGGACTGGAGATGATGCGACGACGCGATGCGCGACTGCCGCAATATCCGCGAGTCAGTGTTCGCTTGCGAAACCACGGCCATCGACCGCGAGCCCCTCATTACAATCGATATATAGCGAATATTGGTCTTGCCGCTGCAAGCGAACAGAACACATGATATTGAGACATAGATAGCAATGTCTTACTCACCCCCACATGGAAACTAGCAGCGCGCGTGCGTGTGATTCCGGTTCCTTCGGCCCTTCCTACCGATAGAATAACCACATTCTTCATAATCTTTTGACGAGTCTAGGCACGGATGCTGGACTTTCCTTCCAACTACTGTTTGTATACTATTCTTCTCCACACTTCAGAGTCAACATGATTAGAGAACCTGCATGTTGCAAGTGTTTTGTTCGCGTCGCGAGCAAGCTGCACCTGTTTCTTATCAATTTAGTTAATTAATATAGGTTTTTTTCTTGCGAGTCTAGGGTACGTGCATGTGCTTTTGCAGCCAATGACAAGCGAATCTTTAGCGCTTTTCCAGACCTCCGTCCGCAGACTTGCATACGATAGCGTGCTTTTCGAGAGGGTAAGTGGGAAGATCCTTTCCCCCTCTTGGGAGTTTGACACCTCTTTCTTCCTGCTTTGCTTGGGTCTGTTTGTTTGTCTTGGCCATGCTGTCTGCTGCAGTGCTGCTGCTGCTGCTTTTCAAATCCCGATGAGACGGTGGCAGAAAGGGTCATCCAAACATTCCCACCGTTTCGCTTGTGCTAACATCTAGGGCTGGAAGTCCACCTGGTTTGGGGAGCTCGATTGTAATGGGCAAGGTGTGGAGATGCGGCAGGAAGCGGTGGTTCCTCATATGAGACGATGATGATGGCCTAGAGTCAGTAGTTTGGGCAAATCGTTTTGATGGTGTGGGAAGGCAGAGTATGTTTAAATCCTTGAACCGAGACCAAGACCTTAATCAATCGTGCTCGTCTGTTTTCCCATACCCGAGCCCTTTGCCCCCCTCCCAAAAAGGTCCCGCTAACTAATGCATTACTTGAACGAGTGATCCCTCCTTTTCCCCTCTGACCGCTTCTTGATCCTTCTTCCCTGGTTTTTGGATACCTCTGGTCGAAACATCTCCAGCAAAACCTCAAACACTAACGGTTCTTGATTCTTTTTCTTGCTTTGTACCCCGCCCTCTGGGTTTGGAAAGGGAAAGATTCCCAATTGATAATAAAGACCAGCAGACGCACGCCGCAGGTCACCCCTCTCGAGCTCTGACACCGAGAACCATTTCCCCGGGACCTGTCCGATTTCCCACCTCTGGAATCTGGTATCTTTTTTTGCATTTTCCAATCATGGCAGTCACAACATCATCATTTCTTACATCCCCCTCTTTACCCTCTTTGGACACCGTGACCGATACACTTGTATCTCACTACCTTGTCACCTTTTTTGTCTCGGTTGCTGTTGGATATGTTGTGTATCAACGAGTTTTCGCCCCGTTGGCTGGTGTGCCGGGACCTTTTTGGGCGAGTCTTGGAAAGGGCTGGTTGATTGTTAGAGCGAGGAAGGGGGATTTGCACCGGGAGTTGATTAGGTTGCATGAGGTTCATGGGGCTTTGGTGAGAGTTGGACCTAAAGAATTGTAAGTGGTTCCTTTTTTCGATTTTGTCTTGCTTTGGTGGAGGGGTTAGGTGGGTAAGGGAAGAGTGAGGGAGGGTCTGGAGTTCGATGGTCATTGTTCTGCCATTTTCTTTTTCCTGTTCCTGTCGTTGATGATCATGTCTTTTACTCTTCATCCTTCCTCCTCGCCTCATCACCATCAACCCATCCACACTTCTTCATATGTCTCGCCTCCTATCTACCACTTTCCCTGCCCGACCGCACGATACCCTTTCTAACCTTTCTTTCCCCTCCACAGGTCAATCGCCGACCTCGACGGCATAAAGCTCATCTATGGCGCCGGATCTCAGTTTCACAAATCGGCCTGGTATTCCGTCCTCAAAGGCCACCGCACCTTCGACCCCTTCGCCGAACGCGACCCTCATATCCACTCTGCACAAAAGAAACTGGTCATCCGTCCCTACGCCATGGAAACACTCAAAGACTTGGAACCGTATGTGGATTCAACGGTTTATCATTTCATCAGCCGCATGAAGGAGAAGATGACATTGGGAGAAGTCGACTTGGGAAAATGGTTCCAACTTTTCGCCTTCGATGTTATTGGGGAAATTACGTTTAGTAAGAGGTTTGGGTTTATGGATGCGGAGGAAGATGATGGAAGTTTGAAATCTGTGGAGAGTACTTTGGCTTCGGCATCTTGGCTGGGTCATGTACCTTGGGTTTTTTGGACTCATGACTATCTACGTCCTTGGATTGGGAATTGGCTGGGTGTTACCAACCGTACTGGATCCTTGATGCAACGAGCGTTGAAGGAAGTGGAAGAGAGGAAGAAGAGAGGGACGGATCGTAACGACTTCCTCGAGAAATTCTTTAGATTGCAGCGGGAGAAGCCTGATCAAGTCACTGATACGGCGGTCATCAGTATGGCTGCTGCTAACATTACCGCTGGATCTGATACCACGGCTATCAGTCTGAGATCGATCATCTACCATCTCCTCCGCAACCCCCAACATCTGGAAACTCTCCGCCAGGAAATCGACACAGCGCGCCGCGAAAACAGACTTTCGGATCCAGTCACCATGGAAGAAGCAGAACGCATGCCCTTCCTCCAAGCTTGCATAATGGAAGGCCTGCGCATCCACCCATCAATCGGCGGTCTTCTCCCCCGCGACGTCCCTCGCAGTGGTTGTGTCATCGCCGGCCGCTTCATCCCCGAAGGTCATGTAGTCGGCACCTCAGCATGGGTCATCAACCGCAACACCTCCATCTACGGCCACGACGCTGCAGAATTCAACCCTTCACGCTGGATCAAAGGCAACAAAGCCGAAATGCAGAGGTATTTCTTGACTTTCGGTGGCGCGAATAGAATGTGTTTTGGAAAAAACATTGCGTTTATGGAAATGACCAAGATGGTTCCTACCTTTTTGAGGCATTTTGATGTTCAATTGACGTATCCGGAACGTCCGTTGAAGGAGAAGAATTTGTAAGTCCAAACCTCTGCCTATCATATCAAGATCTTTACGTTTACTGACTTTTTGGGGAAACAGCTTCTTCGTCATTCAAGAAGGACTAATCGTGAATTTGAGAGAAAGAGGAGATGAGCAGAGTAATGGAGGTGCTGAGAAAGAGGTTTACTAAATGTTACAGATGCGATTTGCTTACATTTTCTTTTCTTCTTATTGCCTTTTTCCAGAGGCCTCTTATCTTATACCATGGCGGAACAGATTGCTTTCTTCGTAGACCTTGCTTCAAATAATGAGCTTCAGCTCTTCATCATTTTCAAAACATGTTTTAAGGCAGCGAAGTGGCATTTCTTCGATTCTTGGAAAGCAATAGACAGGGGCGTTGATCCCTGCTGGTCCTCAGTCCTGGAAAGCTGGAAGCTTCCGGAAAGCTCTTTGGAAGATGTACAAGCTCCCATCAAGGAGGACATATTTCGCTCTCGACTTCGAGAATGATCAGGTAAGTGTATCAGAGGTCAGCTTAGCGAGTCGAGAGTCCGAGGCCAAGGGCATGGTGTCCGAAGGTGCATGTACTGATACAATGCCTTCAATAAGCTGTCAAGCACGTGGAAGTAGCAAAGTAAATGACTTCTGGGTGTCAGATTTTTGTCAAAATGGAGAAGCTGAAGTTCAGCTTCTCTTCCGGAACCCCTTTTGAGATGCACAAGTCAGCCGGGTCATGGCGATGATTCGATAGGTATTCCATTGCGCTCGAGTGAGTGTCCATCGAGCGCTCATGCGAGTGAGCATCGCAATTTGCACATCTGTTGTGCTGAAGTATTGTACCTCAGGTCCGCGGTGTCAGATCGCCCAAAATACCCTGATGATTTTGAAGGAGCAGCGGGAAGGATCGTGGAGATCGTCGACAACCAAATTTCGCTAGTGCTCGTGCTGAACCCTACGCGGCGGCCGGATGAGAAATTCGTGACCTTCCGAGCCGCTCCCGCGAAACCCTTTTCCGCCGTCTTTCGTGCGGACATCTCATTGCGCCATCGTTTCTGCAAATCCCAGATGCGCAGGAACGACTTCTCGAGCTCTCATCTTCACGTTGTGAGACTGGCAAGCGAAGCGGATGTCCCGGTCGGACGTGTACCCAACAGCTGATGAGGATCGCCTGATCTGCGGTGTAGCGAGGTGCATTTCGGGATTTGTTGGCCCTTGTTGTGGCTTGCGGAAGCTTGCAGCAGCGTGCAGACAAGAGAGTCAGTGATTGCAGCACCATCAACCCATTTCAAGGTTTTCTGCTGTGTCGCTGTTCGGGGGTGACAACGGACAAGAGCGATACACTTGTGTTGGTCACCCTTCAAAAGATATCGCTTTCGTTCAGATACTCACTATCCAGCTGCTCTTGACTCGTAAGTGCTGGACGCCGAATTTGGCAGATTTTGTTGCTTTTATATTGGCAGGATCAGTGTTGAGACGCGATGGATCTAGAACGATGCTTCTGTGAGTTGCTGCAATATTGCTGTTTGGCTGCTGACAGTACGTCTTCGATGCTTCGGAAGTACGTGTTCCCTGACCATTGTTCGCATCTGGGTCTGACAAGACAAGTAAGTCTTCAGTACATGACCTGATAAGGTAATCATTCGTGCCCTCGGGCCCCGATTGCCATTGTACTCGATAGCAAAGATCAGCCGCAAAAAAAGGACAAGAGACGCCTTGCGATATGAGACCAGACAAGGCGGCCGGAACAGTCACCCAAGGCTCGCATGTGCGGCCAAAAGTGAGTTTTCCTGCGAGAAAGGAACAACATGCCGTCACTCCTGAAGCACCTTGCGACACTCCAGCAGCTAACCTTGATAAAGTCGAACTGCGTACACACGGCCCCATGCAACAAAGCACACATAAAGGCGTAGCTGATCCTTCTCCAAGATCACTTCGTGTTTCACCAATCCTCCCCTTGTGCATGATAGCAAAAAAGAGGCTTACACTTGCAGCATCTACCTGAACTTCTTCTCCGCATCTGTGGAAGGAACGGTCGCATAGCAAACAACCCTTTCAAGCCATGGAGTCCGATCAAACGCAGCCTCTCCATTCACCGCCTCAAACTATCATAACACCATCGCCTGCATTGTCGCAGACGTCCACCGTCTTCGAATCAACGCCAAAACCCCCACGCCAACGAGCGACTTTTGCACGACTGGCCTCGGTTGATGATGGAAGATACACGGCCATCAAGAATAACGAAGACGATATCACAGAAGCGACACCATACAACGATGACCACGATACTCATCACTCGCAATCTTATGGCCTAGGCATCAGCATCTCCAAAGATGGCAGAATGGACTCTGCACCCAATACAGCTGACTTGAAGAATGGGTTTGGGATCAGTACACGTGAAGTGCCCTTGTGGAGCCCAAAGTCTGCAATGAAGCCGTCGGCGTATAGCTCACAAGCTAGTTTACCGCAACATACAGCATATGAGCCTGACATCCAACGTCTACGCAATCGTCGCAGCTTCGCCGACTCGTTACGGATGGTTTATGATGGTGAGTTCCCGACTAAGCCACTGTCGCTTGCATGCTTCAGGGATCGAACAATTACTGATTACCATCAGACTTTGGACCCACTGACAGTTGTGCTGCTCATCAACACTTCCATCACAGTCGTAGGAATTGGCTCTCCGTGACAATCCTGGTTCTAGCAGTCTACTCAACAATCATGTCCGGCATCTTCCTTATTCTGGCTCTACGCGGACCACGATATAACTGGATAAGGAAGGGTGGTCGCATGACACCGTACAGTGCAGACATGCTGACTGCCTTCTTCGCCAAAACTATTGAGCTGTCCTTTGCGACTGTATTTGTCTCATTCCTCGGACAGGTACTATCCCGCAGAGCGTTCATGAAGAACCAAGGCCGAGGTATCACTCTTGCCGAAATGGACATGCGGAGTTGGGTAATGCAGCCCGGTACCATGATCACGCACTTTGAAGCACTCAAGTCGAGTATTTTGTCTTTGCTCGGCATACTCTCGTTAGTGGCTGCCGTGGTAGCAATGCTGTACACCACGGCTTCCGAATCACTTGTCCAGCCAATCCTCCGATACGGACCTTGGGAGCACGGATCCATGCAGGGTCTTGTCAAAACCATCTGGGCAAATCCAACATATCTTGGAGTGAATTGTGGTACGCCCATCGCCGTAAAAGAGGACGATATTGCAGGTAACACCTGCCTTCAAATCCAATATGCCGCTCATAGCTACTACAATTACCAGCGATACGTCTCTGACTGGGCCACTGTGTCGAAGAATGGCAATGGCTCAAGTAGCCCCAGCCAACGGCCCAAAGGATTTGCGATGATTTTTGAGAATACCACAGTCACCGCTCCCTGGATTGATCTCGAGAATAGCGATGTCACTGCAAACTCAAAGCAGCATCAAAGGATTATCAACAACGTCACGCTTGCTCTACCTCATGCTGGTGTGCCAGGAGCAGCATGGGACGAGGTGAATCATATTCTACAGCCCGAGGTACGTGCATAGTCTTCCTTGAAACACTATTATGCTGACAGAAAGCCAGGACTTGGATGGCATGGGTGTCTACGAACTTCGAGCCTCGGTGCCTTCCCCGGCTGTGAATGTTTTATGTGCCCTGATGACTGAGGAGGAACTCGACCCAATTGTTTACACCAAGTGGACCAATTACAGCTCAGTTGACCTCGCAAACAACACACTCAACGTCACTGATTGGCCTACTGGAGCACCACTTGCGTTTTATCAACCCGGAACTGAGGTCAACGGCACTTGGCTGAACAAAACAGTTGTGGATGACATTTTCGAATGGGGAGAGAAGTATCAGACATCGCCACCAGTGTTTCCCAAGGTCCCCGTCGCATACAACACGCTCATGAATCATACTGGAGTCTACGGTCGTAAAGCCGTCTATCTGCTTGGTCGAGATGCCACCAACAATTTCGCTCTGTGCTCGATCAAGGTATTTTCGACCCCATTTTGTTCAACAGAATACAACGCGTCTCTAGTTGGCGCAAGCTTGGAAGCAAAATGCGATGATTCTCATGAAGTCGATTTGACCAAAAACATGAGATACATCGACAGTCTGAGCAATGCGACATCCGGAAGTGACACCATCAACAAAGACTGGCCTTACATAGGGACAGAACTGTTCAACTCGCTCTCGCTGAACGCCGGCATCAACGATGGTCAAGCCAGTAATGCTCGCCTGCTTGGTGAACTCATTCTGACAAAGGAGACCCTTCAACCCGATCGACCCAGCATCGCTGAAGCCCTCGCCGTACTTGCAAGTTCTACCCTTCTGATGTCATGGCAAGACGCGCCTTTTACCCAGTTCTGGAACTACACAGCTACCACTCTCTCGCCGGGTCAATACCAACGCTTCAACGCCACCTTACGGGCCCAAGAATACGCCTCGGGCGGCTCGGGTGCAAAAGCTACCCACACCTTCTACATCGTCTTGTTCGCCATCTTCATTCTCAACATCATCTGTCTCTGCTACTTCATCTCTCAAAATGGCCTCATCACCGACTTTTCCGAGCCTCTGAATCTCTTCTCCTTGGCAGTCAACTCACCACCTAGTGATCTGATGGCGGGTAGTTGTGCTGGAGGGCCGAAGGGGCAACAATATCGTGCTGCATGGTTCGTCAATGCTGCTGGAGAACATCTGTTCATGGAGAACAAGGATGATAATAGGGAGATTGGGGATGAGCAGCAGGTGCCTGGGCCCGGGCACAGGATGCAGCATTTGAGTCCGATCAGTCCGATGAGATCGGCTTTTGAGAAGATGAGTCGGCGTAAGAGCTGGCTTTGAGGTTTCTGTACGGCATATTTGGTATGTCCAACAACAATGATGGAGATGATATATTGCTATTCAATAGGAACACAGGAACACACGTGCCCCACCTGCCGAAGTTGGCATCGATTAATACTCTGTACCACAGTGAGAGTATCAAGCTTCTGAACCTTCGGATATTTCACCGGGACATTTTCAACCCAACCAAGACACGGCCTTGGCGTGCTTTCCTGATCGACCTCGTCAGTGGCAATTTTTCTCTGCAAGAATCACTTCCTGGTGAACACATCGATTGGCAAAACAGATGATCTGTGGCTCTTTCGTGATGTTGTTCGTTGCCTCTATTCAATCGCCTTTTTGCATGGACTGCGCATAATCGAGTAGGGACCGTCATTCTTGCAGGATCTTCGGTCAGCGTATTCAAGCCCTAGCTTTGTTCTCGTTGTCGGCGCCAGATTCTGACATTTGTCAAGGTGTCGCGCCGATGTTGACCATCATCATGCAGGATCTCTACCCAAGAGCTTTTTGGTCGCCTTACTTCCCCGCGCACGTCCCGATATATTGCAGCCGATTGGCCTGACTGCACAACAATTCAGCTTTCGAAGTTCCGACAGTCGACTATCAAGTATGTTTCAAGGCAAAGAATGTTTATCATGCAAGCCAAAAACCTTTTAAGGACAGTTTTCTGCTCATCAGAACTCACTCTGACCATGATTCGCAGACATTCGCTTGAGTCCAATTCGCTGACCCATGAACGTCAAGTTCAGGTGTTATCGTCCAAGCCCATGCTCGGCCAGTGAAACTTTGCAAGCACACGGCTATGTCTCTGTAGGAGCTACGCTCTGCTCCACTCAGGAGATACAACCTAGATACATGGCGTTGTCACATGGTCATGGCGCATTCGTTCGTCTGAGCGAACGCTATCCGCTACAGCTGCAACCCACAGGAAGCTTCTTTACTGAATAACATAAGAGTCATCTCTGTCCCCGACTCCATACAATTTCCTATTGCAAATCAACCAATCTGCCACTAGAACCATGTGCCTGCCCCCTGTCCTCTGGTCTCTTGTCCTTATCGCTGTGGCCTGTTGTGCTTCGGGCCACAAAAAGCATTCTGCATGGTCAGGATGGGGTGCCAACATCTTCAACAACCGATGGGCTACCAGCAACTCATCTATAAGTCACTCTAATGCTGGCACACTCGACGAAAGCTGTTTTGTGCAATTCCCTAATGGCGTCAGTGCACCACCAGCAATTTCTGGAGACATGGCATACTTCCCAACCTGGAATGGCCGATTTGTCGCCGTTGACTACAAAACTTGTCAGGTTCATTGGAACATTAGCGTCGCTGACATTGTTACCGATTATGCTCCCCTGACGGCTTTGCAAGTAAACTACACCAGAGTTGCCTCAAGATCTACTCCTCAGATCGATGGCTCGGTACTTTACTTTACCACACTTGCACACGCGCTTGTGGTTGCCGTAGATCGTGGGACCGGAGCACACTTAGCGTCCATCCAGATCAATCCTCACGAACTCGCATCACTCACAATGATTCCTACTTTCTACAAAGGCAAGCTTTTCATTGGTTCATCTAGCCAGGAAGAATTTGCCGCGGGATTTACTCCAGGTTACGTGTGCTGTTCGTTCGTCGGCAATATGGCTGCCGTGGGATATGACAAGAGTGCACGGCAATTCAAGACAGTGTTAAAGTCAGCATGATTACTGCCGGATCGACACTGCCCGGATGGTCGGGAAATGCTATCTGGGGCTCGCAACCATCCATCGATGAAGCTCGTTCGCAAGTGTTCGTGGCGACTGGGAATGTCTACTCGGTACCACCGGAGTACGAGTCTTGCTTGACAGACACAGATGCCAATGTCACTACCACCAACTCCACATGCCTACCCGAGGGGGTCCTCCAAGAAGCCATCATCGCTTTGGATCTTGAGACCGGGGCCATCAAGTGGTCACGCGTTGTATCTCCCCTCGATTCATGGAATACAGCTTGTGGGTTTATGGCCCTACCCCTGAACGCAGCCGTTTGCCCTGGCACACCAGGCCCTGACGCAGATTTCGGCATGGCTCCCACATTCGTCCCTGCTTCCATGTGGACACCGAAAGGACTTGATATCGTCGTCATAGGACAGAAGAATGGAGTCATCCACACCTTCTCTGCACAAAATGGCACACTCCTCTGGGCCAGCGCCACCAGCCCTGACGGCGGACAAGGCGGTCTAATCTGGGGCATCGCAGCCGACGACCAACGTGTCTACTTCACCGGCGTCAACGGCAATTCTGTAACTTGGCAAGTCTAGCCCTCGAACTAGACCATCTCCAACTCGGCATTCGGCGCCATTTCCCTCCTCAATGGCTCTATACTTTGGGAAACACCGGCCCCTCTTGACTCCATCGCTTTGGTGCCTCCAACCGTGGTCAATGATGTGCTGTTTACTGGCCGCACGGGAACAAACAAAACTGGTAGCTATGACCTCAATCAAGGAGGGCTTATAGCCATTGACAAACGATCGGGTCTCATAATCAGAGATTACAATCTCGAAGTCAATTTTCATGGTGGTGTTGCTGTGCAGAATGACCATGTCATGTTTGGGACTGGGTATAATGATTTTGCTGGGATTGGTGGGTTTCATGTGTATACTCTGTAGTCAACTTCGAAGAAGCAAGAAGTACGGCAGACGTCGTCTCTGCGCAATAGGAAGAATGTCTGCTTGAGGTATGCAAGATTCTGTTTTTGTTTGGTAGTCAGGAGTAATCGATGTTTACTGGGCGTTTTTATTCGGTCTTTGGACGTCTAGCGATCTCACATGTCTTGCTTGTACTTGCACAGTCGTTGACGACAGCACAATGGCGTAATGTCGAGCATCTCGTATATAGACATCGAGGATTTCCACATCTAAACTGATGCTGAGGACGCGACCCTGTTCACGAATCATCTCCAATCGACATTACAAGATATCAACCTCCCATCAGCACTTACGCGAGAAACGACGACCAACAAGACATCCACCGGTAGTTGGTCAAAAGGCCATGAGTTCCTCTGATGCCAGTAGGATCTAATCGTCTCGGGTAGGTTTGTGTTTTCCTTCTGGGACATCCGATCCATCGATACTGATTGTTACAGGCCAAGTCTGGCGGTGATATGTCATCTTCAGGTTTTGCCCTCTCGCGCTCAAGCGGGTGCGGCAAACAACCAGAACAATGATACCGGAACGAAGCCGGGCGGCGGTACTTGCTGGAGGCAAAGGAGATAAAAAGTAGCCAAAAGTGGCGGTGAGATATCAAAGACGTTACGAAGAGAAAAACCGTCGAAAATCAGGTCGTCGATGAAAAAGGAAAGAGAATGGAATCACAGTCGAGCGCAGAAAATGGGGATTGAGGGCGTGTTGAGAAAATGGCAGAGAAATGCAACTGTTGGTGTACTTGACACTTTGGGCTTGATGATCGTGCATTTGCTGTGCAGGGTGTATTGTAGTGCCGGGGGTGTTCTACGCGCGCGGCTACTATGCAGTCGTATGCAGGTATATCTGCTGTGCGACAAACACCAAACATGTGCTGACGCCCAAGAAATGCAAAAGTCAGCTTTTCAACACTCACCTCTCCGCCTCGCCGTAATTTCAAGATATACCAATGCTGTTTATCGCAGAATCACGTCTCTATCTTCAACACCATGGCGGCACTTTTCATCGCAATATACAAACCGCTGGAAGGAAATTACTACCACTGGGCACTGCACCTGCAAACCCCACACCCTCTCATATTCGAAGTCACTGGCTCTCATCCTTCATTCTCCACTCAGACTTCGCACGAGACACCAGAAACCTCGAGCCGTCGCGATCGCTTGGTCGAGAGCATACATGTCGGCGACATCAATACTGTGGATATCGAGCAACTGAAAGAGAAGATAAACATACAACACGTCGACAATGAGACTGTCGAGTGGAACTGCCAGGATTATGTTTTGGAGGCGTTGGAAAGTTTGGTTGAGGAATGTATTGTTGATGGAGATGATGAGGTGTATGTTGATGGTGTTGAGAGAGCGAAGAGGAAGTATTATGGGCCGATGTAAAGTCTTTGGTGCCAACATATCTGGATTCCAACATGTATCGCCTGAGGGAAAGAGCGACTCAAAATGGGACAATCAAAGAGCAAAAGCAAAAGAAAGCACCATGAGCAGGAATCGAACCTGCGACCTCCTCGGATCTAGACTGACACGGCGTTGAGTAACAACGAATGACTGCGCACGTGTTAAGACCACGGGTGTGTTAACCACTACACTACCACGGCTGTATTTACTAGGACAAAGAATCTCCAGAATATAATGGTTAAGGAAGACGGCTTGTGATGACGGGCTTGTCCGTGTAGCGTCGACTTGACGGGTAGAGCGAGGGAGTTGAGTTTGTTACCAGCAGATAGCATCCTCAGCTTCCTCCACATGAGCAGTGGGTGACTCGTCGCCTATAGCAATTCAACAGGAGGACAGAGGTATGTGGTTTTTGCATACTCTAAGCCCGAGGCTTAAGCGATTGAACGAGTAGCAGTTTCAGTACTTCCGGGTGATATTTGCGATATGTGAGTCCAGAGGTCTATTTCCATTGCGGCACCAGTCCAGTATTCAATAGTTGTGGGCATATCTCTCCATGCCACAGCGTCCATGAGGTTTCTCGAGATTGACAGGTCCAAGTGGTGATCACAACCACGCTGGGTGTCCAAAGTGCTCCGAAAGCGAAAGAGACCAACGGAGTCCAAAGCCGTAAATTCTTCCAAGCAGCATTTCGGGAAATTTGTGGTTCGGGAGTCATGCGGAATGGCTACATTGCGATATTCAATCTGTAAAGAGAAGTGATGAACGTCACTCAGGGCAAGCAAGACACAGTCCGAGGCTCGAGTCGAGCGCGAGCAAGAGATCATCATGTCCTCCGCTGATGTGACTCAACCATCTGTAAGAGCGCGCTCTCTGACTTGGCAAGAGTGTACATGATTAATGAGGTCGTGGAGATGAAGAACAAATGATTCTGCATGTGGGTTGGAGAGTTGGCGGGAAAGGACCACTCGGCCGAAGCTGAACCCTGAAATCAGCCGAGGTTCTCCAAGACTTCCAAGTTCTCAACAACTTGCAAAGCTGTTTCTTTCACCTTGCGCCAAAGAATCGCGACGTGAATCGATCCTGGGCAGCAACTATAATATACAGAATATGCTTTACCGACAATGTAATCAAAGTTCTTCTACAGGCGCCATCAACCTTCGATGCTTCTAAGAAGTTAAGCTTCTTGTTGAGGTTATCTCAAAGTGCCGCGACTCGTCTTCGCGTTTGCCCTAGCTGCCCAGCAAATTCCACATCCACGAAGTCCCTTCCTGACTCGGTTGCCTGTCAACGATGTCGTCGTCCCGCTCCCGGTGGCAGAAAACTCGTTCAGGCCGCCATTGAGTTCAACAACTCCTGAACACGTTCGTACCGTGAATGGACTGCTGCGACAGATCAGATTAAAATGTTTTTACAAGACCAATGCAGGTCGGTCCCATCAGAACGAGGATGCTACTACATGTAGGTTCCTCGTTGTTTCTGCGTTGTTCGTTCAACATCAGCCCTGCAAGACCCAGCTGCATGCCGACTCATGATCTGTATGATCGACTCACGATCCATATTAAGATCCACATCACTTGAGCGAGATACAACCCCAGATCTACAGAGGCTTACGCCCATGTTTCAGCGCAGTATGATTATCGACTTCCGAAGCCCACACAACGTGCTTCGCTTTCGCTTTGACCGACAGATTCGGAGCTGGGAGACTGATTGTCACGATCTACAGATATCCCGCAACTTTCCATTCGTCCGACACGCACAAATTAGCAGCATCAAGTACAGGTTTGGAAAGATATGGTAAGAGATCAGTGCGTCCGTGAACTGGAGTTAGCGAACCGTTTATGGAGCTGCAATTGCCTCTTCCGAATGAACGAAGCTATTACCAATGCTTTGACCATGCCGCTCAAGCAGGGCTTTCACTATGGCCCGCGGGTCTTGACTACTCTAGTACGTACATCTTTTTTTTCGAAGCGAGCGACATATAACAGGCGGACACCCCATGTTGGACGGTGAAGGCTTTTGGGCTCATCCTCCAGCCGTTCTTTCTTGCTTGGTCGTTGGTGAATATGTCGTCTTCTGGTGACTATCAAGTAGCCGCCTGTGCGGCTGGCTTCAGTCTCGGCTTTGGCTATCTCACAACAGTAAGAGCAATTCACCAAACCAGAGCCAATCGAGCTCCATGGCGGAGTGCCTACATCTGGATGATATGGGGAGAAATACTTGCGAATCTCTGTCTCGGGATTTTGACATGGCTTTGGCTCAAGGATATTGTCAAGAACGGGTATGTTCGATAATGATCACACTCGGGACCATGCTGACGTTTGATTCAGACCTGTCCTTCTCTTTTTCATTCTCTTTTTCTATGTTTTCGAGGTCCAGTTTCTCATGCAGATCATCATCAACCGTATCTCGATCATCTCTGAGCGCAAGGCCACTTCGCAAAAACTCAAGATTGCAACTGCTGTCGCTATATCCTGCATCAACGCTGCAGTCTTCTGCATCTTCATTCCTTCACATCTGACACCCCCACCGAGCATGGTGTTCGTCCACATCAACAAGTAAGACCAGTTCCTGACGAGCATGCTTTTGGGACATACTGACTCTTTCCAGATACTGGGATCGTTGTTCCAAGATTCTCATCATGCTTGTTGATGCCTTCCTCAACTGGTACTTCATCTATGTCGTCAAAGCTCGTCTGGTTAAGTACCATGGTCTTCGCAAGTACAAGCCGCTTGTCGCATACTATACTCGTCTTGGTATCATCTCCGTTGCCATGGATCTCATGTTGATCGGATTGATGTCTCTTCCGAACGGAATTGTGTTTGTTCAATTCCACCCTGTAGCCTGTAAGTCGTGAAAACAAACATCATTGGGAGCAATAGCTGATTATCTCAAAGACATGGTCAAGCTCAATATCGAAATGTCCATGGCCGACATGATCATCAAGGTCGCAAAGAGCAATGAGCAGGACATGAACTTCAACTCTTCATCACAAGGGACACCTTATCCAGGTCAAACTCAACGATCACAACATAATCACACCCTCAACGAAGACCACGACGACACAAAGATTCCTAGCAACGGCGTCACCAACAACACTTTCATCGGTCACACACAAGGAGACGAAGCACTCCGAGAAGACATCAAGGGCATTGCTCGCCAAACTGAAGTGCAAGTCTTCGTCGGTGACTCAGACAGCGAAAGTCGCTCCATCGACCTTGAGCAGGGCAAGCCGTCCGCTAGGGACTTCACCCGCGACAACAATCGCAACAGCCGTCTCTCAGACGATTCACAGATCCCTATGCACGATATGAGGAGTCCTACCGGTCGTGCAGCATAGTTGTCATTCGTCTCCCTTTAATTCTCTCGGAACAACAGTACTGCTTTCACTGTATCAGAGCATCCTTCCATTACACTTCTTGTACATACACTGTCAAAATATTCCTTTGTCTCCAATCATATCTCGACTTTTCCAATCCTGACTTCCCACATGACGGCTTCAAGTTTGCTCAGATGCTCAACCCAATCTCAATTTGCCGCCACATATTACCATAGCCCTGAACAATATTGCCATCGCCATCATAAATTGCGGCGCCCTGCGAACAATGCGAGTCATGGATACGTGCCGGGGTACCGACGGGGTGGACACGCAATCCTTCGCTCCAACGGGGAAATGGACCATGACTCGTACTAGCTGGGTGGACCCCTACCAAACTCCAGGAGGAGGGATGTTGTGGTGAAGGGGTCTGGCTAGCTAGTCTGTGTTTGGGTGTATTCTACGATGAAGAGGGTGGCTTCTTTTGCATGTTTCTTTTGCTGATGTGATGATTGAAGGCGGAGGATCGATATCCCAATGCCGAAGTTCAGAAACGGGTGCTGCGTGGATATCACCAGCGTGTGTGTGAGAGCTGGAGGTGGAATTCTTGAAAATTGATCTGTGTCTTTTGTTGCCATTCAAGCTTCTCATCCTATCGTGGGTCACAGTCAAGAATGCTGTGATTCTTCGGGAGAATTTTCATGTCACTGGAGTCAGTCAGGTCGCTGACCATCAGAGTTGATTCTCGAGCAGCAATATTTTGAGCCAGGGTTACGCCCGCAACCTAAAGTACATGGCTGTTCGAATAGGTCAGGCGAGATATCAAGCGGGCACCATCGTTGTCCATTAGCAGCATAACAGGTTGCTCAAGTGACAAGAATAGAGTACACCGACGTTGGAAGTATTCCAGTTGGCTCACTTAATAGTTCAACACGCATAAAGTTCTGGTCAAGCATCCTGAGGCATCTGCACGTGGCATGCGCATGGCCTCGTTGAAGCCTGAAATTTGACTCAAAGACGTCCAAGAACATCGTAGAATATTAGAGTCAATACCTAGATGGGCCAAGAAGAATGAAGTCATTCTTTTCCTGTCTCACTGATTGCTTTGGCGTTGAAGATGACTACTTCAACAAAAGCTTGTCCCATTTCGAGGTCATATCGAAGCACCGAAAATCATGACCGACCAAAATATCATTCTTTCGAGTACCGAAAAGCAGGAGAAAAACATCGACGAAGTAACGCCTAGATCTACTCCAGATGTTGAATCACAAACCATACCCGATGATGGATTCTTCGCTCACGTCTCCACCCGCCTCACCACGCACCTTCAAGAGCCCGTTTGCTCGACCTCTCATTTCCTCGAAGCCGAACTCCTCCTCCTCTCCTTTGCAACCGGCATCCTCGACGGCGTATCCTTCCCCGAATTCTCCTGCTTCACCTCACGCCAAAATGGGAATACCGTTCTCTTCGCCATCGCCGCTTTGAAAATCCCAACACATGGGTCCGAAGCCCTGATTGATGCCTCTCATGCTGCAATCGCGTTATCTATGTTTTCCGCTGCAGTATTTTTGCAAGGGCAGGCGGCGAATTGGTTGGGGTGTAGGGGGAGGAGATGGTGGCTGCTACTTTCTAATTTCGTGCAGGTGGTGTTGGTGGTTGGAGCGGCGGTGATCGCTTTCTTCAACACTCACGCGGATACAAGACTTACACAGTCGACTCTGGCGTTGCTGGCGTTATGTTCAGGCATGCAAGTCGGTCTTGTCCGTGGACTGGAAGTCAAAGATATCACTACGGCGATGGTGACGGCTAGTATGGTAGACCTCCTCATCGACCCTTCCATCTTTGCATCTCTGCGCAGAAATCGAATTCGCAATAGAAGGGTTGGGTTTATATTGGCGTTGATCGCGGGGAGCTTTGTGGGGGGAAGTGTTTGGAAGTTTGTGGGTGGGGCGGCGGCGCTGGGGTTGTGTGCGGGGATCAAATTGATTGTGTTGGTTTTGTTGTGGTTCACTAATAAAGCTGCTGATGATGAGGGGGGCGGGGATGGGTTGGAAGTGGGGAGCTTTTGATCGGTATGGTGGTGTATGAAGATAGATGCATGCAAACGAATTGTTGGAAGTCTGGAAGGAGATTGCATATCGCTGCAGCGACAAGAGTGTCGGAAATCACATTTCAGAATGGAAAACCGTGCTTGTTAAACATTTGACTTGAGTTCGGGTATATAGGGTCTTCGCCAGGGTCTACAAGTTGTTCTTGATAGACGTCCTTGATATTTAGTGTAAAGAGAGCAAAGACCAACCAAACCCTTGAAGCTATCGGCTGCCTAGTCTATACGAAGCATCCCGTGTAGCCCATCGCGAGCAACAAACAACAACTACTCATCATCCTGGACATCGACAACCGTCTGAGGCCACTTGCGAGGATTGACCTTGCGAGTGAACAAGATGTCAATCTCACGGAAAGATCTGTCCTTCATCTCGGGGATCCAGATCCAACTCATGACCGTGCAGATCAACGCAGTACCAGCCCAGATGTAGCCACTCTTGCCTCCAAGATTCCACTTGTCGGTGTTGAGCATGTAACTCGCAAGGAAGATGCAAGGGATGTTGACCAAGTAGTATGCGGCACGTCCGACACCGGTCGTCAATGGTCTCAGGCGTACGGAAGAGGTTTCACCGATGATGGCATAGGAGGTAGGGGCGGGACCTAGACAGAAGAGGACCGAGACGAGAAGGCCAAGGGAGGCTTGTGCGTTGGAGGCTGCTGTGCTGCGACCGACAGAGGCGGCGATACCAAGCGCGACCAAGAAGCAAGTGGCGATGGCTTGGCCGTACACGTAGATGGTGCGGCGGCCCAAGTAGGTGGTTAGGACCCAGGAAATCATGACCATGATCCATTGGAGGGCAGAGGTGATAAGACCGAGTGCGAAGGCAGTATCGTCTGCCATACCAGCCTCTGCGATGGTGTCAGTTTCGTGTGAGCACGTGGGATCTCGTTGGACTTACGCTTGAAGAAATAGACAGCCTGATTGGCAATCAGGTTACCCGTCAGGTTTTGAGACGCATACACACCGCAAACGATCAGCGTGCGGTAGCGATCGGTGCCCTTCCATAATTCAACAAGACTGGGCTTCTTCACGGTCTTCTCGAGATCAATGGTACGACGCATCATGGATACTTGATCCTTGGGGTTATCGCCTGCACCCTTGCGGCCAAGACGCTGAATAGCCTTCTCTGCCTCAGCCAGCTTGCCCTTTCGTACGAGCCACCAAGGTGATTCAGGTGCCAGGAACAGGCCAATAGCGAGAGGAGTTGGGAACATCCACTGGAGTGCGATGGGAACTCTGACATCACCATTAGTACAACGATCTCCAATGGTAGACATCAGTATCAACATACCTGTAAGCAGAGGCGTCTTGCTTGGACTGGAAGTGATAAGTGATACCACCAACGATGATCGAACCGATTGCCCAGAACATCTGCAACATCTGGGTCGCAGGCGCTCTCAGTCTCATTGGCACGATCTCGGCGCAATAAGCAGGAGCATTGGCGATGAAAATGCCCCACGGGATGCCTTCCAAGATCTGAGAGGCGAGGAACATGCCCTGGCTGTTGCCGAAATAGAAGACGAAGATGAAGCCGTTCAAGGCCATAAGAGCGCCAATGGTCGTCCAGCGGTAGCCGATTGCAGAGGTGATGGGACCGGCGAGGAAGCAACCAATGAAAGCGCCAACCGGGCCAGCACATTGAAAGGCCGATTGCCAGGAGGCTTCGATGATGTATTCGCCACTGACACCGCTCTGGACGCCAAAGTCCCTGGCAAATTGCTGCGTGGCGATGAATTGTCCCATCAGGAAGACACAGTAAGATTCCATGATCTGATACAGTGTTAGAGATCTGTTGTTCCTTGTTCATGGGAAATATCTTACAATGGTGGATGACATGACAAAGGCCCACCAACTCGCAGCAGGATAAGCCTTGATGGACTGCAAAACCGTCATGTTATGCTCGATGTTCTCGGCATCGATAGCACCAGCTCTGTCCAAGCCGCTCTTCTCGTCGTAACCGTAGCCCGACTCAGCATTGTGGGTTTCGATTTCCATTGCCGAAGTCGGCTTCTCGTTGATGTTGTTCATGTTGGCGGTTTCTGGGGAAGCCTTGAGGGACACAAGACGAAAAGAACAAGCAGAGGGAGGATCGACTGGCTTTATGCACAACGATAGGACGCCAGTTGGTACTAAGCCCGATGATTCAGGTCATTTCTCTAAGCGCGCATATTGGTGTCGTTGTATTAGCCTGCATATTGCCGAAGTGAACCACGGGGGATCTTCTTCCGGTGGGTCTGGGGCTTAGTGTAACGCTGAACTCGAGAGGATGGCACGGTCAAACAGAGTGCTGGCCTCCTTCGCGGATGAATGCGGCAAGGTCGGGAGAATGTACACCGTGTGGCTTGAATCCCCGCACCGAGGGTGTGGGGCGACTGGGGTCTCCATGTGACCGGGCAAATCTTCCGAGGGCTACACTTTGACATTGCAGTTGTTTCGATGACTTGTGTTGCCCGCTACATTGGATAAAAAGAGTCTTCGGCCTGCGGCACTGCTGATAATGTGTAATATTAGGTGTGAAATAGTTTGAAGCGTACTGGGCTCGGCTGATAAGCCACGTGTACGTAGCGAAAGCTTCCCCAAGAAATTGTGCTGATAAGGTTGTGACAAGCCGGCGGGGGAGCGGGGGACACACTGGATTGTGAGATCGCGTGACGGATCTAGGCCCATTCAGGCCTGGCCAACCGCGTAAAATGACGGAGTAGAAAAATACTAAGAACTTACACGAGGTAGCTATAGGGGTGTTATGGCCGCCGGCGGCGACATGTCGATTACTGTCGCTCTAGTTTTGGCGGCCTTAGTAGCAATTTTAGCCTCCTTGTCGGCGACTGTCGCTCTCGTTCCTCGTATAGAGCACTTAGCTAACGTAGATGGCGTATTTAAGGCTTAAAAACCGTGCTCTTCCCCTCTCTTGTGCGTACTTAGTTAATTTAGCTATAGGGACCGATTAGTGTTATACCTTAGAGTAATTCGACGATACTAAGGGGGGGTCTTCGAAGACGAGGAAGGTGTTTTATAAGTAGTGTCGAACTAAGGGAATTCCTAGAGATAAGACGAATAGGAAGGTCCTACACCTAAAGGAATGTTAGCCATTTATTACGCATGTTTAGGACCTTATAAAACATAAGGCCGACGACGACAATACTATGCGCGCTATTATAACTGCTAAGATAGCAAGGATGTCTTATAAGTTGTACCTAGACCTGTTCGAAAGCATTAGTAGTAGCACCCTAGGACTACTAGACAAGAAGGCCGTTAGTAAGCTATACGCTATAGCAATGTTTGACTCTAGGTTACCGTTTAGTACGCTCGAGAGGAGCCCGTCATTTCGCGCATTTATTAAGGCCCTAAGGCCTAACTTCGAATTGCCGACACGATAGAGACTATCTACTAAGCTGCTAGATGCTTGTAATTAGGAGGTTAAGGAACAGGTTTAGCAGGTTATTGACACTTACTATTCGTTTAAGACTAAGGATCTACATCTTAACACCATTAGCGACGAGTCTACGTTAATGAATAGGGCTAGAATAGTAAACATTTCGGTTAATACTAGTAATAGGCAGTCGTTCTATATCGACTATGTCGATAGCGGCCCTACAACTTAGTTAGCTAAATACCTTAAAGAACTCCTTAAACAACGAGTAATAGGACTTACTAGAAACACCGGCGGCCTTGCCTCTTAGAATAGCCATTATATAGATACCTATAAAACGTAGAGGAGCCTCTATCGACTAATCTAAAGCGACCCTAATATAAGCTATATGTTCTACGTCCTCTACGACTCGTATAGCATCTAGCTCGTCGTCTACGACATTATAAAGATCGATTACTACGCTAGAGCGGCGAAGGAGGTAGCCGAGGTAAATAACTTTATGCGTAATTCGCTAAAAGTTTAGGCAAATCTCTGTTATTAGGCCTAGCGCGACGGTATTACTATTAAGGCCCTAGTAAGGTTAGTCTTAACTCGATAGGGCAGTAAGTTCTCTACGCTAGATACACTTACCGATAACATTAATCCTTTAACCGATCCGTCGTTTACTAAGCGCGCTAATCTGCTCGGTTTAGAAGGTAGAAGGAAGGTTAGAGAACTCCTAAAATCGCTAAGCTTTTAGCGAAGGACTCGTCACCTGCGCGTAGCTCTTAAACCTCTCTATAACGCTCAAATTGCTTCTAAATCTAACTGTTTAACTGTTAGCATAGTAATAGCTCGATAGCGCGATATTAGAGCTAACCTAGTTGCGACCGAGGGTCTGCCTTTTAAACCGTAGATTTTAAAGGCCTTTAACGAGCGGTTCAAAATTTAGACGACTAATATCTACTAGGTAGCATTTGCTCTAAATTCTCATTACCTAGTAGTATATAACACCTTCTTAAGCGACGAGAAGGAAGCTGCTTAGCGCTTCTTTAAGAAGCATGTTTAAGGCGACTTTAATAAGTTCCTTAATTAGTTCGGTTACTTTATTAAGCGTAGAGGACGCACCTTTAGTCGACCCTCGGTCTAGGAACTAAACAATTAACGCTCTTTTTAGACACTAATTCGACAAGAGGCTCCTTCTCTAGCTTAGCTCGCCTCTCGACTAGCTTATATACCTACGAACTTAGTGCTATCTAAGCGTGCCTTCTCGAGCATGAATTTTATCTAGAATAAGTTCCGTAACAAGCTATCTAGTAGCAAGACTAGTTAGCTTATCGGCATCTATCGTAATTTAAGAGCCCTCCGGCGTAATCTAGTTCTTAAGAAGCGTCAAAAGTAGAGGGCAAAATAGAGGCGAGAAATCGTAGATGCTTAAGGCGAGTAGAGGAAGCGACTTCGACTATAATAACTTAAGTCGTTTATTTAACCCTTAGATGAACTAATAGCTAAGTAGGAAATGGATAACGAGGCTGTAGAGGATGTTATTACTAATTCCCTCGTATTTTATGATACTTAGCTAATGCCTCTACCTCCTCGACCATTACATTAAGTTTAGCCTTAGAAAACACCTCGCAAGCAAGCTTCTAAGGCACCTTCTTAATCCCCTTCAAAACGACGAACTTAGCAATTAACACTAACCCCTATTAGCATCTATTCTTCGCTAATTTAGTTACTAATTCTAGACCCTCTAGCATCGCCATATTAACCCCTAATATAGCACTAAAGTTAGCCCTCGTAGCAGTTACTACACCTTCCCTTTTTAGCAGTCTTCGAAGGCTCATCTATTAAGTAACCCCCCTTCCTCTCGTCGACACTAGGACCCTAAAACCTTCGCTAATTATAGCAGTTTTTAAGCTCGATACGACAGAGCTTAGCACCTCTAACATTAGCAATATCCTTCTCTTAACCCTTCAATTTCTAGCCCTCTTAGCTATACCGTCCTTCTAAGCAACCTACGCTCTTATACGACGACCCTAATGCTTACGTAGCATACTACGCATACTACGCTAACTAATAAGCTAACAAAGAAAACTAGAGACCCTTATTGCCATTTAAGTACGATAGCTAGCCATGGGAAAGTCAGAGATAGTCACCCTTAAATATATTTTGAGTTGTCCAAAATTTGCAGTTTAGACCCACTAAAATGACGATTTAACTAGCAGAATCACCTGTTTCGCGGGGGCGCTGTAACATTACAAAGTACGCGCACGGGGACGCCGCCGCGGCGACCTGGCGACCACTGTCGGCGACATGTCGTGTCGCCGACTGGCGGTCTCAGATAACACCCCTAGGTAGCCAAGACAACAAGCAACTCGAGTAAGATTATGGGGCATCTTCACAAAAAAGCCCGCGCGTGCCGAACGCGGGTAAAAGACCGTTCCTGGATCTCGGCCCAAATGCTCGGGATTTCTTGATCGATCTGATACCCGACAGCATTGATAAGCTCTCTCATCGTCGAAATGCGGTCCACGGCTAGGGGCATGGTGTGAATTTGAGGATAGTATGTCGGTAGAAGTCTAGCATACAGGGCGCTTCTGCATGCGACGGTCAGGGTGCACTTTGGACCTGGTTGACGAACCGCATCGGCGAAATACCGTTTCAGTGCAAGAAAGTGGGCTCTCGCGCTGTCCGTCGGGTGTGAAAGCACCATGTCCCTTCGCTCGTCGAAGTTCTTCTGCCTTACCACCAGTTGGTCCCTGCCCTACAGAGTGATCAGACTCCGACGAGCGAAATGATCGACAAATGGGTATTAGTCCATTGTGATATACTAGTAGGGCTGCTGATCCCAAGATGAATAGGAATGCGCTGGAACCAGGTGTCTTCCATTCTTTGCTATTGATGTGTGGAGATGTAATCTTCGAGCATCAAAGGAGGTAGAATTTTGTCGTCGCGACAATAGTGTTCGGAATGATTTTTTTCGGAATGAGGACTTGGCTTCCCTCACCATATCTTACTCAGATTGGTATAGGCTGAGAAGAAAGATCAAGGCTGTGGGTCTAGCAGTCGGAGAGGTCATCACATGTATAACCACATAACCGATGCTGAAATTCTTGGAATATTGCCCACGTGTGCTATGGTGGCTGGGTGCGCCAGGCACTCAAGAGGTTAGCACAAGACTATAACCTTGACCCATACTGTCGTGTTTGGCCGTAGTCAGGTACTGTAGTCCAACTTGATCAGTATGACTAGTTCTCTAACGGTAACATGCAGTGTCGTGCATATGCATCAATCTGCCACATCCAAGCACTTGTTCCCAGCCCAGAGTATTGCTAATCCAAGATATTTATGTTGAGAATCAGTAGCCAATCCCATAGAACAACACAATCAAAAGTTCGAAGTTCTGTCAAGCTTCGAAAGCCAAGAAACTCGGCCGACATCAGTCGTCGCAACTGCGGCATTGCCAAAATTAAAGCTTGAAAACTCGATCGCTTTGTCAAAGCTCTGGAAGGTTGATTGGAAGATACACGAGCGGTGGAGTATTGATCTGTTTGACAGGTCAGCGAGCTTTGATCTGGTTGGATGGATTTTCGAGCTGGCCAATGAGATGGTCTAGAGATGGACCATCGTCTTTCTATATGTATGGTATACGCGTATGTTGCTCGAGGACGAGGACATCATTGTCCTGAGGGGGTGTGCTCTGGAAAAAGATTAGTAAAATGTGGTTCTTCTCATGTGTGTGGTTTCTCGCACGTCTTGCTCGAAGTTTCTCGGAGTCTCAGCTTCACTTTTATCGACAATGCTATCTTGCAGTCGGCCGTGGTTGAGATCAATCGTCCTGTTTGTGACCCTAGTCGCATCTTTCTGTGTTTATGGCCATTACAATTTCTATCGGGATCCTGGAAGCATTTTCTTTGACGAACATCGTGCATTCCAGCGACAGTACAGTACATATCGGCAAGCAGAGATTGCAGGCTTCTCGGATGTACGACAAGATACTCATGCCATCTCGCGAACCAAGAAGACGGCATCCATTTGTGCCAGCTTCCCATCGGTGAAAAGGCAAGGCTCTCAATATCTGCCTGTAAGTGCAATCTCACCTATCTTGTCTCTCTGCTAAGATCATCAGATTGCTGTCGCTAGTGCCTTGCAAGGGCTTTCCGACTGTGAGAGACAAGACCTTTTTCTCAACATCCTCATCGCTCACACGAATACAACCGAACATCCTTCTTCCTCACTGAAATGGCTCGCAGATTCCGTCGACTCATTACACGGGTATGAAGTATCGAATCAACAGCTTGAACACTTGCAAGAGCTCGAATTGAACAAAGACTTTTCGACTAAGGCTGTCTTTGATTACATTCATGCTCTAAGTGATTGTTACGAGACTCAAGCAGATTGGATCATCATCTTTGAAGATGATATCCTACTCGCAGATGGCTGGTTTGCGAAGACGAAGCAAGCGGTGCTGAGTTTTTCCGAGGAGGCAAAGGACGATTTGCTCTTTATGCGATTGTTCAATCAAGAACGCTCGACGGGATGGGGATCTCGTGAGGTGGGTGGGAACCATGAGTTTTCGATCTCGATCTCAATCTCATTGGTGGTCTTTGCGATCCTCACCTTCTTGTGCAAACGATCTCGAATTGTTCGAAAGCTTGTGGACGATGGGACAGTCTTCGTGGTCTGTATCTTGGCAATACCGACTTTTGTTGTATTGTTCTTCCAGGCAGGAAAAGCTTCCATGCTTCCTCCTCATCCTGGTGTTCGAAAGGAGCGCTTCGGTTGCTGCGCGCAAGGTCTGGTGTTCCCGAGAGCCAAGGCACCTCGAGTGGTAGAGTATCTGAACGCCAAACAAAGTGGCCAGATTGATCTGATGCTCGATGACCTTGCGAGGGAAGACAAGTTGGATCGCTATGCATTGTATCCGGTACAAGTACAGCATATTGGTATGACTCTACCCAGAACATATGTTTTGAAATCAGACTGACAGTTGAGAGCAGGCCAAAGTTCCGTAAGAGGTACGACAGCGCACGAGGCCCAAGCGATTTGGAGCATGACATTTGAAGACCTAGACCCAAAAGCGCTGCGCATGTCTCATGCCAAGATGCTGAAAGACCTCTATCCAAGCGAATGTGCCATTGGATAATGTTCAACCAATACGACGACCAATAGCTACTCCTCTCGACCAGCTACATCAGATATTTCTAGTCGAAAATCTTCTCTAGCAGCTTTCATTCATTGTGGCCATAGAAAAACAATCTCGCATCATCTTTACTCGTCCCGCTGATGACATACAGAAATTGGTAGCCACCGTCATCTCGAGTGATTGATAAACTGAGTGCGGCATCCTCTGTGACTTTTGCAGATAGATATTCAACGATCGTACGTAGATTCGGGTATCGCGACTTGACAGCAAACATGAGACGGTTCTGCTGTTGATCAACGACCGTGATCTCGATTCTCGGGTCTGTCTGCAGCAAAGTATGAGCAAGCGTGTGAATTTCAGGGTGGTGAAGTAGGTACAATAGGCCCTGTACGATCGTATCCACCAGCTGGAATGTCGGCTTGCGTATCTTCAGACATATTGGTAGGCGGTGACATTCTCCCGATAGACCACAGACGTAGGGCTGGGGACTAAGTCTTCGAGACAATTTCCAGTGTGAGGTATTTTGAGTGAAAGCGGAAGGAAGAGAGAGTTGAGGAAGTAAAGTAGAACAAAACAGAGAAGAGTTGCCTGCTTGCTATGGTTAATATCTTCCACGATAAGGACCGTGCCAAGGAATTTCAAGGACCTTCCACATTTGAACGGAGATAAGCAGTTCACTTGTGATTCTCCGAACGGCATCAGAAACCGACACATAAGATCGCGACTCTCGGGTGCAGTGTCAGAAAGATTTTGGTCTCGGGACTTGTGAAAACTTAGGGATCAATCTACCAGGGTATCCCGCTTGGAAACGAATGCCCATGGTGGGGCTTTAAGGCGTTTACCAAAGTCGTACATCCGGCGATATTGTTGCTGTGCTTCAATAAAAGATAGGAGTGAGGCTCTCGGCAGTCGTATCCAGGACAGGGTGAAGGTCTGGCCCACGAGGAGTTGCTAGCACTAGGCTCCATTCTGGTATGGAATACAAGTTTCTGGACTTGGTCAGGAAGTCTGAGTGTTGTCAAAATCTCATTTTAGCGGGCAGCAGACTGCTCGGTAGGTAGCAGGCGGACGCTGTGGAAGAGTCGGGGCGCAACAGATGAGAGAATTGGTTAGAGACTTGGCACAGGAATTGGAGGCTGAAGGTATCCGATCGTGTGGTCATGGCGAACATCTTGTTGTAGATGCTCAAGCCAGGATATTTTGGGCCGATAATGATCCTGTATTGACTAAACTCTCGCGACCGTTGAGCCCGCGAATATCTGTAACTTGCGGCTGTTTACCGGCATCCACGAAGCCGATAATATGTGTGAGGAACTCTGGCGGAAATGATTGAGTCTGATCATACGTTATGTTCGGAATGGGGTAGTTTAGAAGTCATGCGAGATGAGGTGTAGCAAAAGCTACGATTCAAACGGCAGTGAAAGGACCACGAGCGCCATCTTGAAGGGTCGTTGGATGTCTCGTTCACGCATGAAGTGGCTGCCTGCTTGAACTCTCACTTCCTTCGAGTCGGAAGCAAGATACGAGCAATTCAGCGACTCGGGTCCGAATCGTTTGTGCGTATTGGCTGCAGCAAGGACAAAGATGATAGACGCGACGCGACGGTAAACCGGCGTTCTTGCTTAGTCATCAGCTTTGTAGCCAATTTGTGAGTCTCTTTCTTTGCGCTACTGATCGGCCTCTCCATTCATCTCGTCGCAGGTCCACGCACTTCAACAATAAATCGAAGTATGGCGGCCTGTGAAATCCGAGGTCTCTTTCATCATGTTTCTGTTTCTATCGGCAATGACATTTGATCGTTTCATGGCTGGGTGCTCGTCAAAGCTTTCTCCGTGTTCCCAACATTGTCCGCAACCGAAGCGCCCACGTTAATTTCGTCCTTTATTCCGCCATCGACGCTCTTGCGACATCGTCCATGAGCGGCGATCGTCTTTGATATCACTTTTCTTCCTTCTCCCACATTCTCCAGCCACACAGTTTCGGCATAGATGCTGATGGATGGGCCTGTGGAACTGCACAGCAATACTCGCTCACTTCTCCTGAGGAGCCGCGCAATATGTTCTTCAGTCCGCCCACCTCCGTTCAGACCCAGCAGCCGGCCAACGTGCATGGCAAAAACAACGTAGAGCTGATACGACAACCACAGAGTCTGAGCATCGTCGTCTAGCCATAACAACGCGATCAGGCCAGCTGGAAAGTACCCGACAAACAGGTAGACCAATGCCATGGACATGACCTCGCGCAACCTGTTTGCCGTTATGTCTCTGCCACGAATTGGATGTCCATAATGACGGCAGAACTGTCGCACAGCATAATCAGGTCCTTGGATGAGCACAAACCCGTGATTGAGGTCGTCCAGCTCAAATATTGTGTCGACTCTACTTTCTCTCTCGCCAGCAATCTTGAAGGACTCTCGTCGAACGCTGGTGGCGAATGAAGCCAGCTTGAACAACAATGGCAGGATGAAATACACGCTGAGCCACGTCGAGTGTGTATAGATACCTGCAACCACCGCTGCGATCACGGCGGTCAATTCGCTCGCGATGACACCAATGAAACACTTCCATGTGAGGTGGTCCTCAGACACAATTGCGACGTCTTTGGGCATCTGCCTCTGTCCTTCGTAGCACTCAAGGGATATGTGGTGCATAGGAATGTGAGCTCGTTTCGACGTTCCCGGAGCAGACGTATATTTCTCCGTGTCGTTCTTCTCTGCCGCACGACCGTGCTTCAGCAAACGCGAGATCTCAACGAGAAATCCGTTTCTCGATTCTTTTGCTTTGTTCCCCTCACCTTCCAAGGTTCTGGCAAAATAAGATACATGCTGGCGACGGTAGAAAGCACTACCAAGCATATTGCCACGAGCCTTGCCCAGGTACAGGCCATTCTCCTGGAATTTGCTCAGGGTTTGAAGAGCTGCGCGATGTAGCGGACCACCGGATGGCATTAGGAAAACCAACTGGAAGAAGACCCTCGGGCTGAGGTCGTTGTAATAGCGTTGCGGCCATAGCAATCGCTCAAAGGTGCTTTCTTCTGCTACTTCTGCTCCAAGGTAGCCCAAGATGGTACCCAAGGCACCAGTAATGTCCTTAAAAGACACCATAACCAGGGTCGAGTCAGCTATCCACAGATCATGAGGGTTGTGTCAAGAGGTTGATGAAATCTTAAGACGGCTGGTGTGGCAGAGCTTTTGCAGATATTAATTAATATATGCAAAGTAAGCAGCGTGGCTGAAGGCGCAATCCTCGAGGGCTGAGTCGGCTTCCGAAGATCCGCCAATCACCATACGCGGCTTATCTGAGAACCTGCCAGACGACAGTTCGCCGATGAACCACTGCGAGGACAGATCCGCAACAACATACCGTGAAGAATCTTTTGCTGGGCATCAGACATCTCACATTGTCGTTGACACGAAAATCATTTTGTCGGATTGCTATGAGCTACCATGGGGATAAGAGGACCGAGAATTTCTGGAGGGATGTCATGCCCCTCTGGCCGCTACGTCTGCTCCACATCCCTACCATGACTTCTTTGCAACGCGCTGGGGAAAGTACATATGGCGGAGTCGTTTCCCCAAAGTACGCCATCCTCACTTATACCTGGGGCCGGTTCAGGGCACCATCGGGAAGTCCAGCTCTGAAAATCAAGGGTGTGACATGGCGAGTTCCACCAATTCAGGAGCAGCACTTCACTGTAAACGCTTTTCAGAACTTAATCGCTGTCATGGGCAGAACTGTCGACTTTGCCTGGATAGACGTCTGTTGCATCGATCAGGAGGACACGGCCACCAAGATGTTCGAGGTGGGAAGACAGGCTGGTATCTTCAAGCAAGCCACACATGCCTATGCTTGGCTCAACTTTCACACCCATGATCAGCTGCAAAGCCTTTTCGACAACATTTTTGACCTCGACAGTGTCATCTCTGGATGGGATCTCTGGGAACTTACCGAGATTGAGAAGCAGTCGGTGTTGCCAAAATTGCAACGGGTTTTCTCTGACTTGCAGTCACTTATGCAAGACCCCTGGTTCACTTCTCTCTGGACATTGCAAGAAGCTGTGCTCAGAAGAGATGCCATGATTCTCTCGTCTGAGGGCCGACCGCTGAGCCTCAAGTTTCGCCGTGAACACAGCATCCGATTAGAGATGTTTTGCAACTCATGTTGGAACATGCATGAAGATATCGTCGGCCTCGCCGCGGAATGGCCCTCGAATGCAATTTCACTTACTCAGCAACTTCAGCATCTAATTCGAAAGTCTGGCTTGTTCTTCACTATGACCAATAATCCGAACGTGCAGTACGGCATGGCTCATCATCGGGTTACAAGACATCCGCTCGACCGTGTGTATGCAATCATGCAGATATACGGCTTCCGACTCGGCGAATCACTCCACCCTGAAATCCCAGTCACTCTTGATGAGTTGGAATTACAGTTGGCAGAACAGTTAACATTTCGATCACCTATGTTGTCGCAATGGTTCGTACACACCGCGCAGCCATCGAAAGGTAGGAGCTGGATGATCAGTCAGCGCTCACACGTCCCGGACGAGTTGATTCTGTACCCTAGCTACAGCGACAACATGATGCTACGCGTATTTGGGACTATTACTCCAACCGCAACAAGGTCGGCAGTCTTCTCTGGCTTCACTCGACCACTTTCTGAATTTGACGCCATGTGCCGTACCGAGCTGAATAGATTTCATGCTCTGTACTTTGCTCTGGACATCGTTTCTCCGGGCGCCGCAGACACCGTTAGAACACCTCGAAAATTGGAGTCCGATCTGAGTCATATTCCGCAAGGCTCTTTCCGGGACATGTGGGAAGAGGAGACATCCACACCACTGGAAGATGACGTCCTGGCATTCTTGCTCGGCGACAGTAGCAGTATCAATATTCCTCGCGACTTCCATCGTACATACGCCGTGATCTTGGCTAGAGACCAAGAAAGTAGCAAGTGGAAGAGGATTGGTCTCGTGTATTGGTATACCTTACATTGCGATGTCAAGCCAGACTATCGTAATTTTATTTCCTTCGAAGCTGAGGTGCATTGAAAGTTCTACCTTCTCCTTCTCACCACGGCAAGCAATCTTTCCAAGGCTTGCCAGTCTTCCTCATCGCAATCGGGTCTTCGCACAACAATTCGGTCGTCTTCATTCTCCTCCCAATCAGCAAACACGAGTACTTCATCTGGATCCTCGTCCTCAAATTCGTGCCATACAATTTCGTTAAACGCTGCGTAGCGCTTTTCTTCTAAAGCACTTCCCAGCGAATCCGCCACGTCAAAAGCATGATCCTCCAGATCGCTATGATTGATAGCAAAATGCTTCAATTTCGGCAGGCCATGTTGCAAACGGTGGAAAATGTGATGCCAACGTGTAGGATCAAGCCAAATTTGATGCTCTCGTAGCGGTCGACCTCTTCCTCTATCCTTGGGTCCGAAGCCAGGCCGTCCGACGATGTCTTGCCTCTCGTAAACAACCTTTCGCGTGGGGATGTCGACGAATGTCTCGTGTATTTGCACAGCCACTCCAATAATTGCATCATCGAGAATCAACTCCTCCAGTGTATCTCCATGCTCTAAAATCCAGTCGACTTGATCCTCGCTGCAAATACTGATGCCTCCTAATATCATCGTCCTCAATTTTGGAAAATGAGGTAAATTGCAAGCAGGGAAGAAACCCCAATACACCTCATCATCTTCATACAACTTGAGGTAGACAATATTTCCAGCAATCGGCTTCAACCAACACTCTTGCAACTCGAAAATGAAGAACGAATGCATGAATCCACATTCCAAGTTGTGTGCCGGCTCAGGCCAACAATCTTCCGAGATGATCCTCAGACTCAAATGCGTGAGCCTCTTCATCACGACTTCGAAATCCTTCTTGAACTCGATATCTGCTGCTGAAGTCGCTGTTCCCATGATCGCAGCGGGAGTAACATTCTGCAGATTCTTGATCGATAAATTGACCACTTTTGTCGCAGGAACCAAGCCTCTGAAGAAGGTCGCAAGAACTTCTTCGCGGAATTCGGGTGTCTCAATAGCGTCGATATCGCTACCAGGACTCTCGCACGTCACGGAGAAGACCAACTCCGCGTGTGTGAGATTCTCGAAATCCGCGACCTGCTTCATGGCTGAGAGGAAAAACTCATGAGGAGTTTCGTATTGGTCTTCTGCTTCTTCTGATTCAACACGGTAGCATGATCTTCCATGTTTGCTCATATGAGGTTGATGGCGGGTTTGGAAGATCACTTTTCGGACATGGCTGTTCAGTTTCTCCGATTCCAGAATTTGCATATAGCGCTCTGCGGACTCCGCTCGAGGCAATACCCTTACACACTGGAATAGTAGAGGTGTACAGAGTCCTTCGAAGCATTTTGAAACCAGACGCAGGTCTTGCAAGCTGGCAACATCTGGACGAGGGTTAGTGGCCATCTTGCTATTCTGGTAGCTGAGACCACGATAGGTAGGTCCATTTTTGACCTTGCAGATGTTCTCCTTGTTCTCGCCTGAGCTGTGGTATGTGGGTTGGATGTTGGGTTCCGATCTGGAAGGAGTGGCCACAAAGTCCACGATTCGTGAGAGAAGCTCTGATGGAAGGCTTGTGAGTTGCAGCATTGTGTATGAAATGGTCAATTGAACAGGAACGTAAGTGAACCATTCTGTGGTAGATGGGCTGGTATAAGTGTTACAAAAAAGGGTGACTGACTCGTGGTCAATGCACGGGCATGATGGCTGCCTCTGCTGAAATGAGCATTTCTGCTTTCGGAAATTTTGCTATTTTGTCTGATCTCATGAACAGAAAGATCGTCTACCATTTTCTGTGGTGTAGGTGTAAGACCGCAAACAATGTCGCAATATGGAACAATGTTCTCGCAAGCGCCGACACTAATGCGGAGGCGTCGACGTGGAGGCGAGGCTGGACGATAACGCGAAGTCGGACGCCACCATATGTACCTCGAGGCTGAGCTGCAGCAGTACTGTCAGCATCTACTTATCTCCTACCAAATCCCAGGCGGTCTACTATAAAGGGCTCGCTCAGAGTAAAACGTTTTAACGTGTCGGATCAATAACCAGACTGGTTTATCGACATATTCACGCTGATTGACCCAGATTTCGGCAGATCGCTGAGTATTGACTGTCAAGCTGTCAGGATGACCAGACTGGAGGCCCTGTCGATTATAAGCTCTGCTGTTGGCATCGCACAATTGGCATACCGACTGGTCGAGACTATCGTCCTACATTATGCTCTGGGATCCTACCTCACTTTGAAAGATGAACATGGCGCTTTTCGAGCTGCAATATTACTAGTGTTGTTCCCCGACGCTCGGCAGGTCATGAAACGCATCGAGACCCATCTTTTGGAATCGCAGTCAGATAATGCAATGGTCATGAAGAAGGCTCTGGCTGAGGATTGCACCATGCTTGCGGTCGCTGTAAGTTTACTTCAATCGTGGGTGACCAATGGATCGAAGACACGGCTGATGTATATCCTCCAGGCTGCCATCATTGCCCAGATCGCAATCACAGCACTTTCTCTTGGCAGTTCGGATACTATTCATTGGACAGCGAACGCAGCATTCGTGATCAGCTTGGTGACTGCATCGCTCTCTGTGTTCTACGCTTGTCTACTTCAACAACACATCTCTGGTCTGTTCACATCTGAAGACGTAAAGAGCTGGCTCAGTAAGCCTGCATCAAAGTACGAGATGGAGACGCTGGAGATCATGGCCTCAGAGTTGCGCAGGGCCCGATATAGATGGCAAGACTTGGGACCACTCAGTGACGCAAGACAATCAGCACTTGAGACATTTCGCAAACAGATCGAAGGTTTCGCACGGGAGTGCAAATGGAAGACTGCAACATTCAACGCAGCCTTTATGATCAAGGTACCATCGCTACTGTTGAACTGGTCAGTTGGCGCTTTCATACTCGGACTCGGAGTATACCTGGGCTGTGTCTGTAGGCCCGATGGAATCTCCGACCCATCGCGTAATGGCTCGTTGGGCGTTTTGATTACCTACCTTATTACGACCGTTGGGGGGTTACTACTCTATTATGTCCCAAAAGCTGGCAAGATCCTCGAAAGCTCTACACTCAGACGACTGGACTGGACCTACAACCGCAACAAAGACCCAACAAAGCCTCAATTTGAGGCCATGTTCACATCTGATGCAGCACCAACGTTGGATCAAGTAATGACTATTGTAAACGAAACCACGGCTCAATATGAACTTCCTGCTCGTCGGTCGCGCTGGTTCACTAGCCAACATGTCAAGCCTGTAGCCACCGGTGCTGCCAATGTTAACGCTATCACCGACTCAAACGAAGTCGCTCGACAGCCTACAGAAGACGCGATTAAACCATCTCAAGTTGTCTCTGCGGTGGACCAGCCAGATAATCAGCGTGAAAAGACAGATGGCGAATCTCCGCGTTCAAGCACAACTTCATCCGGACCCCGGAGTCAGTACGACCCACTGATCGCAGCGCTTCAAGCATCAATTGGAGCGCAAGAACAAAGCACTGCAGCTCTGAAAGCAGTCTTGAATGCACATCTGGCCGCATCAACAGTAGACCAAACTTTGAACGACCAAGGCCTAACAACGGCGGTGAATAAACACGAGGGCCTAAGTTCTACTGATTGAAAAGTTCCATTCCATCACTTCTAGGTCTTTGAAGTTCTCCTATCAAGTAATACAGCCTCATTATGTTACTGCTCGAGTCGTCTTCCTCGAGTGAATTTTGGAGCAAGCGAGATTGTCTAGAAGGGCATATCTCGAATGTTGCATAGGTCTGTTATGCCTAATGGCTAAATATCAAGCAAACATATCGTGATGCAACAAAGATTGTTCACCGAGAAGGATGAATGTCGTCAAACATAGCTTTGCGTGTCGAAAATGGCGTTGGACTGCAATTCTAGCGTTGTTGCATAACGCGCCTTGTCCTGCGTGTCGCTGCCTGATAGGCGCGCGCGTGCGAAAGCCGAGATACTGACAGCAACCGCTTGAACACAGGTCTTGATCTTTGTCTTGTATGTGACCCTCCATGTATGCCACAAATAGCTCCCGGACAAACATCTATAACAAGCACACCTATGTACGTCGAATGTCATGCTGAATCTCCATTCTGGTGTCCCCCAAAGACCGACATTGGCCACAGACGCCAAAATGCTCACTCTATAATCATCTAATAACCCTCATTGCCACTAATATACCCCAATTGCACAAAAGCATTCCTCAAAATCTTCTTGATGACCTCCGTCTTTCTCGCAGTATATTCATTCATATCCCCACCATCTTCCCTGGTCTCCCTCGCCGCTACATCCTTGCACTCAGCATACATGGCCAAATCTCCAGGATGTCCGAGTAAACGTTGACGGAAGATCTGATGTCGTGCCACTTCCGCACAATCTGGACCCCAAACGTGTAGGTTTATCGCTTGCGGCGCAGAAGTGTAGAAGAATCGATGTTCATGCCAATGACGCTCGCGGAGCAGGAAATTAAATCCTGCAGACTCGAGAGCTTTTACATAAGCGCTTTCATCGGTGGAGTCTTGGACCACTAGGTCGATGTCGATGATGTCTTTGGCGGAGAGACCGGGCACACTGGTTGATCCGACGTGGTTTACAGAGAGAGCGGTTTCGCCCAGCGCGGCAATGATGCGATTTCTGATTCCGAGAAATATCTGGGGCCACGCTGGGTTTGGAGGATGGATCTTTATGGGGGTAGCGACGTCACGGTAAGAGATGCGTTCGACAAGTTCAGGTTGCCAGTCGTAGTCTGCTAGGATTTCTTCGATTGGCGGTGACATCGGGAGATGGTATGTTGAATCCTATGGAAAACAAAGGCCTTTGGTTATTCTGGTTTTTCCGATGTTTGATTTTTGATGTTTGATGTTTGTTTTGTCCGCAAGGATGTAGATGCGACGTTGAACGTGTAGACATCACCTGATAGATGTGAGTATGCTGACTGATGGGAGTTAGTGAAGCGGTGTCCCAATGTGGGATAGATCGGCATAATCAGGCTAAACAGGCTGTAGCAAACAATTAATCTTGTTATATAAGAAGCATGCGACATGGGCCCAGGATAAGATGGAGAGGCTGTCAAAATCGCGATCTACCTCAATGCACACAGTCACTTGACACAAAACGATAGACAGAAACCCCAGCTCAATGATCACAAGTGTTCCACCCACAACCATGAGTTACGAATCAACACCGCTTCAATTCTGGGAGATCGATGAATACATCAAATTGCGTTTCGACACCTTTGCTGCAAGCGATGGAAGCCTGAGTGCCGCTTTCTGGCCGGGAGGATACAACCAATCCATCCACATGTTCCTTCGTCGTGGTCCAGAAAAGGACTTCTCCGACCCAAACGATCACGTTCAGCTCATCCGCGACATCAAAACCAAAGCTGTGATAGGCGCCGCGCAATGGGAGGTCAATCCAATGCCACCAATGAATGCGCAACAAGAACAACCGTCGTCGCTTCCGGATGTTTCGTTGAACGTGGAGGGCGGAAACATGCTTGCGCTGAATACCTTCCGCACGATGCAGGCGGATTGTCATCAGCGAATCATGGAGAAACAACCGCATGTTTATCTGGGTATCATGGTTGTAAAACCAGGATATCAGGGTCGTGGCGTCGGGTCTTTCGCAATGAAATGGGGCGTTGATCTTGCAGATCGATTAGGGCTGCCCATATACGTGGAGGCGACGCTACCAGGCAGACGACTGTACGAGAGATGGGGCTTCGAGGTGCAGGAAACAATGCCATTCGATGCGAGAGTCTTTGGCGCCCCCTCCAAAGCGGAGCATTACTGCATGGTGAGACCAGCAAGGAAAGCAGATGAGTCGGCAATCTAGCGTATTGGAATTAGGTTTGAGAACTCGGAGCCGGTACCAAACGAATTGGTTCTGATGCATCAAGAGCGATCACAGAGTCTGCAGATGCACCATTGAGTCGCCACAGATGCTCCACCAGAAGATGAGTGCTCATCGTGTGAGAGGGACGTGACAGAACAGATGATCAGGGGGTCGGTAGGGTCATACATTTTGGAAAGTCCTCAGTATAGATCCATTCGTTAAGGTCAAAATCTGTGTCCAGATCATTTGATATCTCTTCGTCGGAGATATGTGTATGCGTGTTGGTGTCGGCAATCGCGTTCGGCGAATCTTTAGCGACTCCCGCAACAATGCTTTCCTCCGTCAGTGTCGGTGTGTAAGCCATTCCTGCTTCATAAACGGATGGCATTACGATGATGTTCTCACCCTTTCCCCCTGTCTCAAACTCTTTGACATACTCGCCTATCGTCATGCCCATGACACTCTTAAACACTCTGCACAGATAACTCTTAGTGACTCCAACCTCCTTACTCAGTGCGTCAAGTCCCCTGATCTTCCTTCCCAGTGCGTCCAATAGCTTCATCACTACCTCCTCGGCATCGCCTATAAACAACTCATCGTCAGGCTTGCACCTCAGACATGCCTTGTAACCTGCTGCTTTGGCGGCTGATGGAGTGGGGAAATACCGGACATTGACGCGACGAGCAAGACGAGCGGTGCAGGTTGGTCGGCAAAAGATGTTTGTCGTCAAGACACCGTAGTAGAAGGGGGTCTTGGGGGTGATGCGACGGGTCAGAGCATGCCAGTTTGAGGAGGGTTGATGAAGCGGCTGTATAGCTAAAGGTGGCTGACATCGTTCTTTTGGGTTGGAGAGAATCATGATCAGGCAGCGACACTGTTGTTTAGATTTGTTTGTAGTTTGTCCTTGATCCGGACTACTGGTAGTAGAAAAGAGCTCGAAGATCAAAGCAAGAAGGTACACGAGTATGTCTCTCTCGAAAGGGCCAGGGCACTTCAGCTCGGTGACAACGCGTCTTTGGCGTGCATTCTGGTGAGCCAAAGAAGAGTTTCCAGAGCATAAGACTACTTTTGACTCCGCTGTGTTTCGGTGACAGAACGTCTCGAGGTGATAAAGCAGTCGAAGAAAGAAGCAATAGGCAAGATTAGTCAGCGGGACGACGCCAAGAATGACGATCACGCTTGCCAGACAAAGATTGCTTGCGGCTTTCGTCCCTTTCCCCTTCTCGTCTCGTTGACAACATTGAGCTGAGGTTGTGAAGCATAGATATGATGTCGCAATTCGATATTAATCTCGATGGCGGCTTGAGATTGAGTTTCTCATCAGAACTGTGTACGATCGAAGGAAGATCCCGATGACGAGACGCTCATTGGTCAGTTTGAGTACACTCGCTGCTGATTGGTTAATTCCAGTACAATGATCCATGATTGGTTGATTCGAGTACAACGACCAGTATCCTGAACATTACAGGTATGCTATATGTAAGCCAGGTGATTCAGTCTTCTGTCTGTCTTCATGACTTCAGAGATTATTAGCAAGATCAATCGCAGTATACACCTGTCCCAAAACTGTCCTGCTCATCCATCGATACTTGGATCTTCGACACGAACACCCGCAATTTTCAAACCCTCCAATCCTCTTTCTCTACTCGCTTCCTGTGTTAAAGCCCATCAATTTTCCAGATACGGCTATGTCTCTCACATCTACCACGGCCATGCCGCCGCCGCCTCCAGACCTGGAGAACTCTAGCGCGCCAGTGCCCGATCCCTCCGATCTTACATCATACCCGGAAGGTGGAACAAGAGCTTGGCTAGTAGTACTAGGTGCTTGGTGCGGCCTTACTGCCTCTATTGGCCTTTACAACACGACTGGTGTCTTCTCAGTCATAATCTCCAACACTATATTCACATCCTCATCTTCCACTTCCACTGGATGGATCTTCTCTATCTATGCTTTCATGGTATGGATCGTGGGTGTGTGGGTGGGACCATGTTTTGATGTCTTTGGGCCTAGGATGTTGATGATGGCGGGCATGTTTTGTACTGTGCTTGGGATGATATGTTTGAGTTTCTGTACAGGTTAGTTTGTCGCTTGTTCTGCATGTTTGCACCGCACTGACACGCAGTAGAATATTATCAGATCTTCCTGGCATTTTCTCTGCTCACAGGGCTGGGGTCGAGTTTATTGCTTACTCCTTCGATGGCTTGCGTGGCTCATTGGTTCGATGCTCGACGTGGTCTTGCAAGCGGTATTGCCTGGACAGGAGGTGGCGTCGGTGGTGTCCTATTCCCACTTCTGATCCAAGGTCTACTACCACATCTTGGCTGGGCCTGGTGCATCCGTATCACAGCCTTCATCCTGCTTTCTCTCTGCATCATCAGTATCCTTCTCTGCCGCAGCAGAATCCCTCCCCCAACACGCAAAGATGCCACTTCCCTCTGGCGAGCCACCCTCCCCGACTACCGCATCTTCCTCGATGGCACAGGAGCCATGGCCTTCACAACTCTCGGCGTCCTCTTCGTCGACCTCGCCTACTTTATCCCAATAACCTATCTACCTTCTTACTACCTCTCCCGCCAAAACCTCCCTACCTCCTCTACAATCTCCGGTTCTGCAGCTTTCGGCTACCAACTCCTCGCCATCCTGAACGCTGCATCTTGTTTCGGCCGCCTCATCTCTGGCTCCCTAGGCGACCACTTTGGCCACTACAACACCATGATAATATCCCTTTTCCTGTGCGTGGTTTCAATCTTTGCTCTTTGGCTTCCTGATGTTGTCATCCCTTCTTCTGACTCCCCGGTTCTACTCATCATCTTCGTCATCATTTTTGGTTTCGTAAGCGGCAGTAATGTATCCCTTACCCCTATCTGTTTGGGCCAGCTTTGTGGAGTCGGCGATTATGGCAGGTATTATGCTAGTTGTTATACCGTTGTTGCGTTTGGAGTTTTGGTTTCTTTGCCGGCGGCTGGGGGCATATTGGATGTTTGTGGTGGCGGGGGTGGGAAAGATGGCAAGGGGGATTTTTGGGGTGTGGCTGTTTTTACGGGTGGGTGTTATGGTATTGCTTTGGGGTGTTTTGTTTGGGTTAGGGGTAGGGTTGTGGGGTGGAGGTGGTGTAAATGGTGAAGTTGGAGGAAGGTACTGAAATGGCGGTACTGCTCTTGCATCATAGCTTGTCGAGGAATACAGCTATCAAAATGCAAAGAGATATTCGGGAAAGCGGAAAGGTTGGAAGGGAGAGTTCTTCTACCATATGGGTATCTGTCTCTGTGTTCAACTCGCTATGTTACATTGATCTCGTGCATTATCGTAACTTCAACCTGTGTCAGTGCACTCCATGAGATGCTTGCCCCTAACGCCGTGATTAAAGTTGCTCCATGCCCACAACGCCGTAGTTTCAGTCGCTTCATGCCAGTATATTGTCCATGTTATGTACCATTCAATGCACCGCTCCAATGCTCCTATTCCATGCTCCGATTCAAATGCGCCAATTCAATGCGCCAATGATGCGCCAGTTCAATGCAAACCATCGTGACTCAACGGATCTCGTTCCGCTTCTGCTGCTTGATCGACGGCAGCAACGGCAGGCTCAGCTCTTGCGGTCGGTCTGGGCGATGGGCTTGGGGTCCTCTCCGGCTCTGTCTCTGTCTCTCGATCATGTTGCTGCTGCTCTCTGGCTTTGTGTATGCCTCGGTTTTTGGCTTTGCGGTTTGCCCCTGGAATTTCCCTTCCTTGGCGGCGCATGTTGGTTCTTGATACGTCGCTCGTAACCAGCGACTGCAGCATCGTTGACGTTGCACTTGGGATGCCACGAGGGTTGTAGATTGTGCCGTCGGCAAACTCGCTGTCCTAAGCAGAGCGAAGCCCCTTCAAAGAAAGATGGGTGCCGAGTTTGACGCGTAGTCTGCAACCCCGGCCCAGTGCTTTACCAGGGCTTCCTGCATGTCTCTACCGGCAGTCATGAAGACATCGGCGTTGTTCCATTTGGCAATGCTCAACAACACCTTCACCTTCTGTTCGATGGTCAAGTGACCTTGATGGTAGTGTTGAAAGAGCCTGGCTGCTTCTTGCGTGCTGTTCTTGCCGCCAGCTTCGGTGTCTACAGTGTCTCTGGGGTCTTTGGTGTATTGAGGGGGCGAAGCATCAATTCGTGCCTTGGACGCCTCTTCGAACTCGGTAAACTTGTCAGCGAGATCGACAAACAAATCGTCCTTGAGGGTCTCCATCTTCTCCTTGAAGTCTTCGTACGAGGTCAGTGACTCGTCTTGTATGTCCTTCAGGACTTTCTCGCGTTCGGAGTGTATGTCTGTGATAGCCTCGTCTTTGACTTCGTGCAGATCTTGAGCGGCCGAGCCCCACTCGTCCTGGAGTTCAGACAAGTAGCCTCGCATAAGGGGTGGCATGTGTGAGGCGAGGTAGTTTGCAATGGATTCTTGTGCCAGAGCTCTCATGTGGGCAGTCAGGACGTGTTGCTGAACTTGAGCAGCAATGGCGGGAATGTGGGCTTGCACGGCTGCGGTGATAAGATCGCCGAGGCCTGCCAACGTAAGTGCTGGGAGGTCATGGTTTTGAGTGCCTCTGGTAAAGAGGGTCGGCTTGATGTCGTGTTGGTGATCGGACTCAGAGGAAGTGATCGAAGCGGCATAGGGAGGGAGTTGGGCTTCATGTAAGGGGGACAAGGGGTCTGCCTGGTTCGAACGTTGGGCATGACCCCTCGTGTACTGAGCAGCCTGAGGTAGGTGCTGTTCTTGAGTGGCTTCGTGGCCGTGGGTGAGTTGACTGCTCTCAGATGACTGGCCGTCTTGGGTTGACTTGTCGTCCCGGACGCCATTGTCGTCCTGAGCGAGCTCCTTGTCCTGAGTTGCGTGATGTAGTTGGATTGGCTGATCGTCCTGGGTTGACTGTTGGGAGGGATGTCCGCGGGTTGTACTGGGCGTGATCGGTTCGGTGGGGGAGAAATCAGAGAATTGCGACTTGTATTCTCGGAACCGCTTTTGGGAGGAACTCTCTTCCTGAGATTCAGCGGCGCGCTTGAAAGATGGCGGAGATGGAAGGGCTTGAAAGCTACCAGACGGCTCTACTAAAGTCTTGCTATAACTTGGTAGAGCTTCTGTCCTTGAGGTTAACTTAACTTGCGAGCAGAGAACAAATGGAACAACTCACCTGCGTCTTTGGACGTATCCAATTTGTGCGGGCCAGCCACTTCCTTGCCATACTGCGCCCATGAATCCCAGACGCCCCCCGAGGCATACGCATTGCGGAGGATGACCTCGGACTGAGGGATGCGGCTTGAGAACTCGTGCTTCAATGTGTTCAAGACTTTGCGAACGTTTCTATCGTCCTTGAGGTGAATGTTGAACCGATCAGCTCGAGACAGTGCTCGGAGCTGCATGAGAAGATGCAAGGAGGTGCCATCAAAGTTTGTACCCTTTTGGTCCATCAAAACTTGCATAGGTTTGTCGCGCATGGTCCCTTGTTGAACAGAAGCACGGAGCCATCCTTTTACAGGTGGTACTGGAAAGATCTTGGGGAGCAAAGTGAGAACACTCGGCGACGCTGCATGAAGTTAGCATAGTCTAATGTGGCGACCAAGCAGTGTCGAATTTTTTGATACTCTCCATCGCGAAGGTCAGGAATGTCAAGATAGAAGACTTACGAATGACAGGCTCATTATCACTGTCGAGTTGAATCTGGTGCGGATCGACGAACAAGAAGAAGTCGAAGAACTTTGCTCTTCCTGAGAACTTTTTCTTGATAGTGACTTGCAGTAAAGCAACACAAGAATCATCAGAGACTCTAGAGCCAATCCACAGGGTGATTGAGCATGGTTGTCCAAGGAGTTGCTCCTCAGAGTTGTCAAGGTCGTTGTTCCACGAGATGACGCACGACTCCTTGAGAGACCAGTCTACATCTATCGCTGACACGAGCGCTGAGGGGGGCGAGATCATTTCAGAGCCGCAAAACTAATTCAGTTCAGTCTACTTGTTTCGAGTTGAGTGGGCAGGAGTAGCATGTCCGTGAGCTGCCTTGATCCAAAGACGTTCAGTCGAGATTGATCACTGAGCACTCGCTGAGACGCTCGCAGTATCATACTTCCGCTGACTATGATCTGTCTCCGAATATCTTTCTGCTTCGCGACGAAATCAAAACGACTGGAGCAGGGCAAGAAGAAGACTTACTAATGATTACATCAATCTACTTGAGTGTGCTGTGACTCTGGAGAGAGAGCGCGCAAATATTCGCTGCAACTTTGATAAGAAAACGGCAACAAATCATAACAAAATCTGTCGACGGTAAATTGGGCGTGGAGCTCGAAGGTCGCGGTCGTTGTCGCTTGACAATGCCAAGAGATATCTCGGGTCCCGGAACTCTCCAGCGGTGTGAGCTTTGACCACCCGCTCCTCCTCACTGACGCACCTTTGCGCGCACCCGCTGCTCACATTCCCACCTTCTTCTTCCACTCCACCATCAACACCATCCACATACCCATCACCATCCATCTCCATCACACTCATTCCTCATTTTTATCACCATCATCGCAGCTACGTGACCTCGCTCTCCGCTGTCGCATCTTGAGTCGTTCCTTTCGTGCCCCGGCGGCTGGTGCGACTCTTTGATACGGCAGTGGTCTTGCTCGGCGGTAGCGACTCCCCTCCCATCCCCATCACACTCTCACACCAGCTATGTGACCTCGCTCTTCACTATCACGTCTTTGAGTTGCGCATGTCGTGCCCGGGCGGCAGGCACCTCTCTCTGGTGTGGTAGGGATCTTGCAGGGCGGTAGCGCATCTCCTTTGTCTTTCCTTTGCTGTGTACGATCTCGCTTTACACTGTCCCGGCCTTCGCCCCCTACATGGCCTGGTGACTAGGGTCCCCTGTAGGGCGCCATTGTTGTGGCAGTGTTCTTGCTTGACTGCAGCCCTCTCTTCTTCCCACTGGATCTCCTTTGCTGTGTGAGTCTTTTGGTTGACGCTATCCTGACTTTGGACACGCTTCAGCGCTCTGCACACCACAATGGGGTCGCCAACAGGGTTATCTTGGTGTGTGCAGGTTCATAGCTTGGGGTAGCCATTGCTTGAGGCCGCAGCCCCGTCTACTCTCCTATCCTTCTTGTTCTCTCCCATCTTGTATCCTTCTCCTTCCTCACATCCTCCACCTCCTGTATTAGTACTAAGGAGCCAGGGCTGCTTCAACCAAAGCCCGGGTGGGTGGGGACTCGTACCTTTCATGGTATGGGGGTATACATCTCTTCTTTAACAACAATGCCTTCTTCACTCTCTCCTGTGCCAGCTCTCCGTTCATGTCTTGCGACAAAGAATCCCATGTGTTGCGTGCTCTTTGTCTTATCTCTTTGACGCACACACAAAGCGACGATCAGCTCATCAACCGTTCGTATCACCTTCACTGAGAACATCGCTTCGCAGGAGGCAGCTGATTTGCAAGCAAGTGAAGTCGCAATAAGGTGTGAGCACTCAGAGCACCCCAGTGCCCGACTCCACCTACCGAACAGCCGGATATGACGGCACAGGCTACTCGAGATTTCGCCGCAGCCGCTTCGGCAGTACCATGACAAGTAGTTTTTTTCTCTCTCACTTCGGTATTGGAAATGAGGGGGTAATGGTCGAACGGCAAAGAGGACTGTTTCTACCTACACAAGACTACTGCTTTCCCTCTATTTTCTCCCTTCTGTTGCAAACTCTCCTGTCGTAAACTCCCTCACTGGTCGTAAACTCCCTCGCCGGCACGTAAACTTTGTCTCAAAAACATCCTTCCTTGGCGACAACGCGAAAACCTGGGGCGACACAACGACATCCGTCATGGATAAACACGCACAACAACCTACGCCATCGCAGCGTACGTCGACAAAGGAGGAATACGAAGACCATGATTCTTCCGTGTCGTCGACGACAGCAGATGTGGAGAAAGAGATTATTGCGGCGAATGCTTTGAACGAGGGCGCAACACAACCGTACGATGACCCCAATGTTGCCGAGGCACAAGCACAACCACATGGAATTGGACATGGAGAAGAGGTGGACGGAGTGGGCTCGCAGCAGTTCGCAGATGGAGGAGAAGTAGAGAAACAAGTCACGAGGAGGTCGATACGGCCGGGAAAGGCAGTGTCGGTAAACAATGTCGCTGCTATTCCCAATGGTGGCACAAAGGCTTGGTTGCAGGTGCTTGGGGCTTTCTTCTTGTTCTTCAACTCCTGGGGAATCAGTGAGTCCCAAGCATTGAATTTGGGAGATATGGCAGTATACTGACTCGTTCACAGTTAACACATTCGGCGCATATCAGACATACTATCAATCCGGCATCCTTGCCTCCTCCTCGCCCTCGGATATCTCATGGATTGGATCTGTCCAAGCTTTCCTGCTCATGCTTGTTGGAGCATTGACTGGACCTATCTATGATGCTGGATATTTCCGCGCTCTGCTGAGTGTTGGCTCATTCGCCGTCGTCTTTGGATTCATGATGCTTTCGCTGGCTACAACGTACTGGCAGGTCATTCTGGCCCAGGGAATTTGTGTTGGTCTGGGTGCTGGATGCTTGTTTGTGCCGTCGGTTGCCATCTTGAGCACATACTTTAGCACAAAGATTGCTACGGCTATGGGTCTCGCTGCTGCTGGAAGTAGTTTGGGTAAGCACCTCCATTCATTCCTCGCTGGACAACTACTGATAGATATACAGGCGGTGTCATCTACCCCATCGTCTTCTACCGTCTCGAACCTCGCATTGGCTTTCCATGGGCCACTCGCGTCATCGGTTTCATCGCTCTGGCTACTCTCATCGTCGCAAACTCAGTCATGAGAGTCCGTGTCCTGCCAGCCGCTCGCCGCGCCGTCTTCGACTTGAAGGCTTTCACAGAACTCCCCTACCTGTCTTTCGTTCTTGGCGGCTTCCTCGCCTTCATGGGTCTATACGCACCGTTCTTCTACATCGAAAGCTACGGCATCACCTATAACATCACCTCTGAGAGTTTGGGCTTCTACACCTTGTCCATCATCAACTCGGCCTCGGTGTTTGGTCGTATCGTGCCCAATCTCATCGCCGACCGTACTGGACCTCTGAACATGATTATCCCTTGCTGCATCATCTCCGGTATCATCGCACTCTGCCTTATCCCAGTCCGCAGCGAGGCCGCACTGATTGTCGAGTGCATACTCTACGGCTTCTTCTCTGGCGCTTTGGTATCTCTGCCACCTACTGTGTTCGTCTCGCTATCACCAAACAGAGGACTCATTGGCACAAGAATGGGACAGGGCTTCAGTATCATTAGTATTGGACTGTTGCTGGGTACACCTATCTGCGGATGGATCTTGGATGGCAGTGGATTTACAGATGTGTGGGTGTTTGCTGGAGTGTTGGTGCTCGGAGGAGGAAGTTTGATGAGTTTGAGCAGGTTCTTCAAGGCTGGACCGAAGTTTGTGCAGAGGGTTTAGGAGATGGGGAAAGGGGGGAGCCGTCAGCTTTTGCCTGGGCAAGCATAAGACAGTATTGCATTGCTCATAACATATACATAATTACAAGTCGAAACAGCGACTTCAACAAGACATGCTAACAATTTCGATGAGTATCTATCTGTTACTGAATACGTGAAGCAAACTTGAGTTGTTGCCTGTCAAGACAAAGAAAGAAGGTTTGGCGGCATCTGAGACAGTGAGACACATGGCAATTGCCGAGAATTATCCGAAGCGGAGGAGGGTTTGATGCGGCGTCTTTGTATACCGTCAAGAACACCTCACAGCCGCTCCTAGAAGGAAGCGCATCCGTAAACACACCATCTCGCGCAAGCTACATCACCGACCGAATCCTTGTCGACTTGCTGGACTCCACCGACATCCGCCGGACCTTCACCCACGCGATCCGTCGTGCGCCAGTCGCGCAGTGACATCACCCGGTCGAATTGTTGATGACTCGTCCGCTTCACATGTCCTTCCAGCACCGATAGAGGAGCATGCCCGGTCGCATCGTCATGGAAAGCGATGCCGCACCAAAGACCAACGGATTGAACACCCTTCCAACCACCGCCGCCATGACTTCGACCGCGCCCACCAAACCGATCGACACTTCGAACGGCTACACCAATGGCGCAATCAAACAGGAAGAGAAGGCATCGCCACCTGAATTGGAGCACTGGTCACATACGTATTCGTCATTCGGCACGCTGCTCGACCGCATGGCACAGCAATGTTATTTTGAGTTGAGCGAAGTCATTGAACAAATGGCCGACCTGAGCATTGCCTCTCCTCAAACAAATGGCGCATCCGGTTCCGCACCAGATGTCTCCAAAGCGAGCGTTGATAAGAAACTGCGACTTATGAACTTCGCAAACACTCAACAGGCTCGGTTTATCAAGGCTCTGGTCCTGTCCGACTGGGCGCGCAACATGGGAGACATGGACAAGTTGATTGAGTTGAGGATGTACTTGACACAGCAAGATGAGGCTTCATCTCTCGTCAGCGATGCCATCATGCAGATGAAACACAACATGATTGGCGCAAAGATGCCCAACCCGAATATTCAAGGAGCCCTCGAATTGCTGTCCACATCTAAAGCGCCATGGCTACCAGATCTCGGTTACCTCCCGCCGGAACCCCTGTCTGCTCAGAAACTGCTCAAGACATTGCGAGACATGAACTTTGTCCTTTCCGTGCGACTGAACCTGCATGAACAACTACCTTCACATTTCTGCAATTACTCAATAGCAAATGGACGTGCTACTTTTGTTGTGCCGAATGAGTTTGAACTCGATCTTGCTGTTACTGACGAAGACACGACTTCTCCATTCTACTTCATCGACATTCGATTCCTCTTCTCCGATGCGCCTCCACTTCCTGATGGCTTTGCTCGAGTGAATCTCGAAGGCAAGGTCAATCAAATCCTCCAACTGGAAGGACTTTCTGCCGCCTACGATTTCCTCCATGGATTCGTCTTGACTCACAAGATCACTCTACTACGACGACAAGCCTTTGAACTCTCACGCACAAGGTGGACGGAATGTTTACATATCGAGCCCATTCACAGATCGCTCATCGTACAATACTGGACTGGCCAACCTGGAGGCAAGAGCTGGATCGAGATTGGCATCGTCAAAGGAAAGAAAGCAGAGAATTCAGACCAACCCCACACACCTGCAAGATTGAACATACGTTGGTTCAGATCAGGAAAGGAGGTCTTCGACACACGCTTTGATGTCGACCCGGCCAATCCTTCAATGGAGCATATTCTGGGTCAGGTTACAGCCGCCCACATGAACGTCCGTCTTGCTACAGCCAGAGACCAACTTCTTACCATCTCCCCACCAAAGTCCGCGCTGGACATGAACTTGAACTCCTCACCGACAGACCCAAACGCTTGCTCCTTGAGCATGAAACTAGGCCAACACGGTCTACAAACCACCCTCCGTATCATTCCCGTCAACGGCAATATCTCAATCTCCCCCGTCTCCGCCGCCTCAATAGATGTAGAAAGACGACTCAACGCCGATCCTACCATCGATGCTGCACAAATCGTCTCTTACCTCAACTGCAAACTCGTCCAAGACCACATCACCCGCCAAGCTGTTCAAGCCGGCTGGCTTCTTATGCCTACCGACAAACAACCCGACGTGCAAAAGGTCTTCTCCGAGCAAGTCATTCGCAGAAGCACATTTACTCGCCACGGATGGGGAGAAGACTGGGCCATTGCACTCACAATCTCTCGCAGTGGCGTGAAGTGGTGGATTGTGAAACTCCTCTCGACGCCTACCTCAAGAGTCATCTCTACAGCGGAGACATTGGCGCTGCCACCTTCGACAAAGATATTTGACCGCAATACACTGATGCTTATCGAGTCGCGTGCTGTCGCGCAAGTCTCACTTTCGAATATCTCCCTCCAACTCCGCAACTCCAAAATCAGCCACGAGATTCGCCATGTTGCTCCTTCTGCAACCTCTTCCAACACATCCCCTCTTTCCACATCAAAAACCACTGCAATCGTCGGCATCAAATTCGAAGATGTCATGCAACCATCTTCCACCACTGAACGCAAGGCTTGGAAACCATGGTGTCATAGCACTATGGTCTTGACACATCATGGTATCGATGAAACCGAAAGAGATGCAGTAAAAGTGGTGCATATTCTGAAAACCACACTATCACCACAAACAGCAGAGGTGCTTGCCCCTCTAGTCGGCAAAGGCAATGCATCCTCTGACATCGTTTTCGGCCCTAATGGTGTTTTGGCTCTTCAACTACGAACGCATTTCGGAGTCGCTCTGGTCGACCAAGTAGTGCAGAAATTGGCACGCGTCCAAAGACTTGCGAATTGTCTCTCCGCAATCAAAAGCCGAAACTTCTCCATCGAAAAAGTAGCGATTGGAGGACTGGTGTTTGCATATCAGGTTGAGCCGAAATTATCTGCGGCGGTTCTGTTCGCTGAGGCTGCAGGTTCGCCACTGCAATTACGCTTCACAAACGATACGGCGGCCACGAATCCCCATCGCAGAATTCTACCACTGCTGCAGAATCTTCTTTCTACCGGTGCGACGGCTTCGGCCTTGGAAGAAGCGAGAAAATTCGAAAATCTACTGGATCTGATGACGGCCACGTTACCTGTGCTGACTGCTATCTCTTCCATCGAAGCTGCAGACCCATCGGGCAAGATGTGTAAAGTGGGTGTGAGGTCACTTGCGCATTTCCGTCTGAGCTATGATACAGCTCTTACTACCATGACGTTGGAAATAGAATTGAAGAGGGTCAAAGGAACAGACGTATGGACGATCACTCTTCAAAAAGACGGTATGGCAAAAGAAGATGTGGAAAAATCTTTGGATCTGCTGGAGAAGGCGTGGAAAGGCAAAGGGTTGGAGAGTAAAGGCGTCAAGGGGTTTAGAAGTGGTGTTGTTGCTGAAATCCAAGGGGTGCGGGAGGTTCTTGTGAATCTGGAGCAGGTCGTTAGAGTAACGAGCCAGGGGGATGGTGATGAAGGGAGGGAAGTCATTCTTCTGGATTGATGGGGCTATCTAGCCTAAGGGAAAAGACTAGATGGAGGCCGCTTATGCAAAGATCGCCAAGGCAGAAAGACGGAGGAGGGAAGACATATCGCTCATCACCTTCTATCACTTGCTTCATGCGCAGCGGAACTAACACAACACAATACAATACACATATCCTTTGATTAAACACACTAAGCACATATTTCCATTCATCACATCATCGTACCATCAACGAGATACCAACGTCAACATTTCCAAAAATCGTGTTTCGCGGGCCGAAAGTCTAGAGTTCGCGGAGTTGCTAAAATGGGTTCAGGTGTGTTGATTTGGACATTTTGAAATGACTCGTCTGTTGCTAGTATCACACATGACATCGACAAGAAGTAGTAGCATAATGAGGGAAATCGCTAACTCTATGCAACCGAAGAGAACGCCAGTCGCCGACAGTCGGTGCAAGATGTAGCCGGCAGGGACACGTCACCTTACGGTTTCTCTTCTCGCGCACAACGTATCCGTAGAAACGAGGGTTGGTGGAAGTACTGCCGGTAGCAAAGATTTTGGGTAGTATCCGTTTCGGCGCTAGTGGAGATAGGAAGTAGTAGTAAGAAGATAAGAGATAGAAAACAAGACCGCAGACCTAGCAGCTGTATAAGGGGTGACTTTTGTCATCCCATGACTACGTAGATCTATGAGTCATGGGCGGTTTCGAACAGAAATCTAAGACAAAAATTGGCAAGTGCATCCCATCGTTCGTCATTCGTATATCGTCTTCTGCTTCTTTGTCTTCGCGTGTTTCCTTTTATTGGTTGTTCCTCCCGTCGTCGGTCCTGAGGTATCAGATGTACCTGCGGCCTCCAGCAACCTTATAATGCCAGCATGTGAGCCACGTCTTGCCATATCGAGTGCGGTCTTGCCAAGAGGACCTCTCCAGTGGACGTCGACCCCCTCAGCCGCTAATAGTGCCTTAACCACCCGTTCATGCCCGTATCTTACCGCATGAATTAGAGGGGTCCGGCCACCCAGATCTTTCGAGTTGACATCAACCCCCTTAGTCGCTAAGAGCACTTTGATTACCCCTTCGTGTCCATTTCCCGCCGCATCACGCAGTGGGTCGCCACCCCAGTCGTCTGCCTTACTGATGCTGAGATGCCCAGTATTCAGCAGTATCTGAACTATGTCTTCATGTCCTCTGTTCGCCGCAATTGATAGTGGGGTGCACGTTCTGGACCGGTTCTTCACGTCCCCCTTGTTGAGATTGACACTCTGGGTGCCTGACAGTGTCTTGACCAGGCCTGCAAACCCGTTGTTCGCTGCCCACCACAGTGGTGTTCGTCCATGGCTGTCCCGGATGTCTGCATCTTGTTGCTTCTCGATGAGAAGCATTGTCAGATGCTCAAGGCCGAAAAATGCTGCCAAGTGAACACCATACATGCCCTCGTGAAATATTATTAGGGCTTTTGTTTTGTTTCCTTGACCTCCGCTGTGAGCACCATGCAAGCGCTCGTGTAATTCTACCACTGTCATGTCCATTGCTTGACTACCACTGAGTGTCAATGGTGTGTCTTCTAGAAAAGACAAAACTGTTTCTGTCGTCGTCCTGTCAGTCTCTGCCAGGGAGTCTTGATCTCTGAGATGGTGTCCCCAATTCCTCGCAGCATAGCCGAGGAGCTTATATTGGTTGAGTCTTGACTTGAGGCTGTCGTCGTTCCTGCAAGGACCTTCCTTAAATACGTCAAATGACAGATACGTGATACATGTATCCACGATTGCAGTAGTCTCGTTTGGAAGCCACTGCATCCAGTTGTCGCGAAAGAATTCCTGAGCCGTATAATGAATCAGGCGGAGTGTTTCCACATCCAAGGTTATTAGACCGACGCATACCGAGAGGATCACTTCTTTGGCATACATGTCGCCAGACTCAATCGATCTTTTTCCAGGTCGTGTAGCGAGTGCATGGTTCAATTCCTCGAAGCTGAGTGGACGTTTTGCATGTACGACCCAAGCCAGAATGCGCTTGCCAAGATCACTATGTCGCTTTTGCTGCTGATTTATTCTCTTCATAGTAGCTTCATAAGCAGAGCTGTAAGAGCCAGTGTCCTTTCGTAGTCCATTCAGCGTATCTTTGACCTCATTTGCGGTTAACTGATCATTGATGGAATTCATGTGGAGGCGAGCTAACAAGAACCTGATTTGGATGTGTCAGAAATGAGGAGTAGCAGACTGATGGAGGCTTGAATGTACTTACACGCCATCGGAAGCATCGATCACTCCTTTGATCACATTGTCGACCAGCCCTACATCATGTCTTATGTTCGGCGCGAGCTCCGCGGCTCGTGTTGTTGTGTAGAGCGTCAGGTCTTCGACATGAGCCTGTATCCTGACAGTAGGATTACCATCGAAGAGCGTATGCACCTCATGATCATCTCGTGTTGTAGCAAGTAGATGGACAACACATTGTGATAGACAACCACGGAGCATATTGGCGCACTCCGTACGCTTGACAGACTCGCACTCATCCCAAGCATCAATGACGACAAAAACGCCAGTGATGGTTTTGAACGCGCTTCGAAGCTCCGATTGCAGGTCATCCAAGGACGGTCGTCGGCTCTGGAGTACAAATCTGTTGTGAAACTTTTCGACAGCACTGAATACTTCCTGTGACAGAGATGCGAGCTGTCGCAACAAAGTTGCCACAAAATCATCCACCGTCTGCTCTTCCTGCCGCTGATAGTCAAAAAAGAAGTGTATCACAGGCTTCTGTAACCTTGACTCATTTCTGAGATGATCAATTACGTGGGTAGATATGGTGGTTTTACCGCAGCCGGGTCCGCCAGGACAAACCAGAGTGGAAGATCGATCTGCCTGAACCCAACTGAGAAATGTACTATCTTCGAGGAACCACTGTCCGGTCCCACGTAGGTGTTTAGCGCGGCGTGTTTCAAATTGTGTCGAGTAGTCGTTCGAGCACAGCCAGTCAAGTATATGCGAGCGTCGATGGGCATCCGCACTCATCTTCAAGTGAGAAACATCTTCTCGATTTCGTTCGACTGCTTGATGAATTGTATCGACTATGTCACTTAGTATATATGAAGATCCAACAGATGTGTCGTAGACTCACGTCTCTTCAAGATCAAATTTCCTATCCCCTGAGTCCCTTGAACCTGCTGAACATTGACACATCGCAAGAGCTCTTTGGCGACTCCAGCAGCGGTGATGGCTGCATAGTTCTGCCAGTGATCGTTTTTGTGTTCGTCACCGTAGTCACAGATACCTCGGATCACCAGACAAGGAAAGTTGTTCATGAGTCCTGCGGCTTCCATTTCGAAGCACGAGGGGTTGATCTTCTCTTTTGCCAGTCTGATCAGTACTGCGTCTCGATGACGTGCTGACTTCTCGAGGGTGTTGCTCGAAGCTACAGTGCCGTAATGGATCTTTGGACTTCTTCTGGCCTCGTTCGAGATTGAGGTCCCACCACGCGAGTGATAGGTATCCGTCCTTCTATTAGTCTCGTTTCCCTCCAACCCTGGGTGGTAGAACTTGCCTTTCATCTCTGACCATTTCTCGAAAGCTTCAGCTATGATCGCATTTATCGTTGAGCCTTTCTTGAAGTACGAAGCCTGTAATTTGGCCAAGGCGGTGCGAAGAGCTAGTGGTGGACTGTTCAAGGAGCCTTGACGTTGTAAGACCTCGCTACCATCTACAGTCTGCGCTTTGACGAGATCGCATTGTACGACACCGCCGATGGTGCCTTCGGGACTACTGACAACAACATCACCAAGACGTATGTCGCGCTGATCGACAGTCGTGCCCTCCTTGTCAAGTATCTCCCGTACGGCTGCGCCGATCCCGACCAACAGACCAATGCGGACATGAGGAAGTGATGAGCGAAGTCCTTGAGCCACTATGGCTGTGGGCGTCAACCCGTATTCTCCACTCGGAAGCGCTGCAACTACGACGTAGTGCTTTCCAATTTTGCCCCAAGAATAAGCATTGGGGTCGCCGCTATTCTGTATGAAATCTGCTGGTGGATCTTCATATTCCTCGTCAAACATAGCTTCTCCCGCCGCTCGTTCGTGTGGTAGTGCCGCGATCCATGCCACGGTGTAAGCCTCGGTGTGCTCGGGACCGCAAGACTGAGACATATCGTCGAAGAAGCGGTACTCGAAAGAGACAAGTAATCTCTGATTGTTCGTACGCTCTAGGCCGACAGAGTGTTCGGGGTAAGACCTTTCGTGAATGTGGTCATGTCGATATATACCTCAACATTATGCTTGTGGGAGCAGGACATGCGTGAGAAGGAAGGATGCGAGAGCAGATTTCCAGGCTTCCTTATCGCCGACCTTGTTCGGTGGATGTGGCTTAAAACACATGTGATTGACGCTCTAGGGTTGTGCATGCCAGTCACAGGTCAATCAAAATCCCGCCAATGAGAGACACTCCACTGACGCCCAACGATTCTTGACCGGTCGTTGCGTGTCGAAACCTTGTGGTGATGGAGATTCTTGGTCGGACTGGACATCGTCGGACTGTGTCAAGGACGATTGTTGCAAAGCAATGGGGCCGATTGTAGTGGTAATGATGAAGCTGTTGTCTTGAACATCGTTGGTGAAGGAGCGAATGATGAAGATGTTTCGGCCCCCCAAAATGGCTTGGCATCTGGTTTCGGGTAGTCGCGATACATGTAGATAGACACACTCATCCGCACTGCTGACATGTGAATAACTTTCGAACACAAGTCAGCTTTTCTGTCTGATTGCATGTGCTTCCGAAGCGTTCTTGCCTTGTTTTGGGCGAGCAGGCTACAACCAAAGATGCACAAATATTTCTCCTTACTCTTACCATAGCCTGATTTAAACTCGACCGGGCTACTTTTTTCAGCACATAAGTGCACCGCAAAGACATTCATCCCTTCAAATCCCGAATATCATGCTTTCGCTCGCGCAACTCCACCCTAGAACCTATCTGTCCGTCAAGTCCAAAAGCCGTACCCACCTCACCAGTACCATCGCTAATTAAACTTCCAAATCTCAATTTCGTCTTTTCGATCACTTCTGGAAGAGGGTTGGCTCCTAACTGTGCCCCCCTGAACAGCCGATTGGGCTCTGGCCCATCAATTCTGGTGGTACGCAAGATGGCAGAGAAGCGAAAATCGGATACAATGCCATTGGAAAAGAGTGCGATGATGCCGAAGGAGATGATGGTGAGGGTGATGAATACGCCTGCTGCGTATGGCAGAACCAGTATTTTCCAGGTGTATTTGAAAACCAAGACGTCGCTTGTGAATGTCACGGGGGTATTCTGAGTAAAATGCATGCTAGATTGGAGAAAAGTTAGTGTTACTTGCTTACTTTCATGATAACTGAGGTCACTCAAATAGATCCTATGGGAAGACTCTTGCGTCGCAAAAGCCGCCATATCCATTGTCGGAATGCAATACCCGCAGCGAGTGTCAGTAACATGGAGACAATTCGAGCCAATGCGAGACCCCCAAAGTGGAGTCTCTCTTGGTCGGTCGGGAGTGCTGGTTTGCCATCATAATGGCTGTACAGAAAATGATGAGCCGTAGCCGCCCCAACACCAATAACCAAGCTTGCGACTAGTAACGAAGGCCCTTTCCAGTGTAACTTCCTTTGATCCGAAGACGCTTCATCCGAGCGGAGGAGTGTGCTGTGTTGACCAAAAGCCAGGTCATGTTGATCTTCCCTGAGATTTTGTTTGTGAACGACAGTATTCGGCATCATGCATAAGACGCAGGTTGTAAATTGTCAAAATTGGTAGGCAACTTGTTAAAGACTTCCAAATTCACTGAGAGTGGATGAATGGAACTTATAGGTTTTCTCATATCCTTGATGCGGTGAGGTTATCTGCGTTTAGAAGGATGTGATCGGTTTAATTCAAGGCTACTTCTGCAGTCCAACAGTAGTTGAGGGTAGGATTCGAGATGGCCATGACTTGGTCCTTCAATAGAGTGTTTAGGGCTTGATATTCGCTTAAGCATGCAGCGAGAAGTCTCCCCGAGTGTTAGCGCGTTATAGCGGCGTTTTATTAGAAGACTCGACATGATCCCCAACTGTGGACAACAAGCGACGACTTCCTCGATGGACCTCTTGGTATCTGTCTTTCAAGAGGCGTGTATGCTCGTCTGAATACGCCAAAATAATTGTCGATGTCCGGAAGCGTGATTGCTCCAGTACAACCTTCCCATAGTGCAAAATATTGATGTAAATGCGATGCCCGTGAATGCCAACAGAAAGCTGTTCTGTCTCTTGCGGCCCGTGCGAAGCCGTTCGCTCCTTCCACCAGCATGCACAAGGGCAAAGTCATCCTTCGTGTATTTGCCAAATAATCCCAGTAGTATCTTGCGCTCAAGTCGAAGTTGCAAACAAATCAAGCTCAAATGTCAAGACCATCATGCATTGCGACAACTGGCTATAGAGGACTTCACCAAGGGGCAAGAAAATTCGATACTGCTAGGCTTATATTTGTGTCACTTCGACATTATACACACATGCGACTACTCATAATTAGCCATTCAGAGCGCACTGCTAACAATACCCCAAGGTCTCAAAGGTCTTCCGTCTTCAAGCTCGACCAGGAACCACAATGCCTCTCTTGCGCGTTCCATTTGCCCACTCTCTTCATGTGCTCTAGCAAGTAGACTCCAAGCCTCACTGTCATCCCAGCCTTCTCCGCTCTTGGTCAACGAGGTAAGTAAGAAGTATGCTCTATCTCTTGCCGCCAACCTCGTTTGTACCTCGACACTAGGGGTAGGGTCTGTAGGCAACACTTTCGGATTCGTGGCTGGCAGGGGAGATTTGACGATGGAGTTAGGGAGAGGCACCTCAGCAGGGATCTTCTGCGCGTAGATATCGAGCAGAATGGTGCTGATGCCTACAATTGCTGCGGGATGATCCGGATAATGCGATAGTGATTTCTCGTAAGCGGCGAGTGCATCGTGGGGGTAGTTCTTAGCTGCTGCCAGAGCGCCGCGCTAGAAACAATGTTAGCATGTCGTCAGCTTATTTGAGAGAGAGCGATTTCACATACCTCAGCCCATACGTCTGCCCATAATCTGTTCACACTGCGACCACCACCCCAGCCTCTCTCGTCGAATGCACGGGCAGAGGAATCCTCCTTTGCAACGGCGTGCTGGAAGCGCTCAGCGAGTTTGTGTGCTTCGTCTATTGCGCCTTCAGCGTCATCAAAGAATTCACCTCGTGTGTATTGGCCTGCAATGTGCAACCAGACTTCAACCAGTAGAGATGTTATGTGGCGCTTTTGTCTGGCAGAGTTATAGCGAGGACGAGGTGCCGCTGAGGCGGTGCTCGGGTGTGGCACGGGCAGACGTAGATCTTGCGATGGCGGTTGATCTGAGTGCCCAAGAGGAGCCGGTTGTATTGAGTGATCAAGATTATGTGCGACACCACGTAACGATTGGTTTTGGTCGGAACCATCTTTCTGGGGTACGGGAGGGGCTTGCTGTTGAGCAAGAGCATTCTTCTCGGGATCAGTCGCATGATCATGGTGGTGCAGATGCTTCAGAGGGTGATGTGGTAAATGGATTTTGTGATGTTTCTCATAAGCAGCACTGTTCTCATTAGTAGTCTGTGCTGGTGTCGACATGGCGCTCGCTCCATTGTTGGCTGTAGGGAGCGGGGGCACGTCCTTTTCTTGTGTAAGACCGTCTGTGTTCTTTCTCGTAGACTTTGAACGTCTCAGAATGCTGCCACTGACACTCTTGAATGTTCCTTGCGTTTTGAGAGAAGGGGCGACGAACGATGCCGCAGAAGGAGCGACCACATCGTTGGGTGGCGGTGATGTACCACTGGTCGAACTAAAAAGTTTGTTGTAGAGAGCAAGCACTTGGGAACCAGCGTCAACTGCTGTTTCAGAGCCATCCAGCATCTCCGTGAGAGCCAGCTGTGTCAGGCGAAGTTGTAGGAGTCCTTCTTTCTCCGAGTCTTCCATCTGCAAAATCATACTTTCACCTTCTGATTCTCCGAACATGATGTCTGAACCACCGAACTGTTCGAAAGCGACGTCACAGAACTCCAATGCATGTTCGTAGTCACCTCGAGCAGTCAAGAGCAAAGACATGAGGTGGTATAGGGGTATCATCTTACTCTTTTCAACAACACCGCCGGATTCTTCCACTGATGCCGATGAAGCCAGAGCAAACTTGACAATCTGAGTGGCGGGTAACAATTGACGATTTTCAGCCAGTGTCGTGCCTAGCAAGAGAGCAGTCTCGGTATCCAAGTTGCCGTTGGGTGAAAGTTCGGCAGCTTTCCGTAGTGACTTGATTGCCTTTTCTCTAAACTCTGATCGTTGTGCTGGGTCATGGGTCAATCTTGCAAAATTTGCTTGGCTTTCGCCAATGGCACGATATGCGGCTACAGAAGACTCGGCGGAGATAAGAGCGCCTGTCGATATCTCGGCGTCAGTGGCGGCCTTGTCTGGCTGGCGTCCGTCTTCATCCTTCCTAGAGACAGTCATGGACGAGGCCGGACGGGGTTGTTTGAGCCAGTCAGACAGACGTTTGGCAACCTCGATGGCCTTCTCGCCCTCTGCTTGTGACCCATATCTGCAGAGCACACCGATGGCCTGGGCGGCCGTCAGAACCACAAGATCGTCACCGTCGAGACCTGGCTCGTTGTGACCAGTCTTTTCGGCTCTTGACTTTGCTCTGCTGGTGATCTCCGTGTACGAATCAAAGGCCTTGATGGCAAGATCAAACTCGGCCAGCGAGGCATGAACAGAGAAGAGATGACGTAGGATGGAAGTTGAGTGGAAAGTCTTAGTCGCGGCACGGTAGAGAATGTCCAAGGTACTGCGGCCAACAGCAGCTTTTCCACCTTCTCCCAAGTCAATGTCACGCCATCTCGGACCGCACAGGATAGACCAGTTGGCAATGACAGAATCAGCCCATCGTTCAACCTCTTCATTAGATTGGCTGGCTTGTGGGAACTTGGTCTTGTACAGAAGCAAGCTCTCATAGGCAGCTTCGACCTGTTTCAACTCTGTTCTTTGACGCAAGCGCATCTTTGGCAGATCGTTGATGGTATGATCAGAGTTCTGGAAGGCCAATGGTGACTCGTTTGAGGAAGTATAGACCAGGTCCGTACCGAGCACGAAAGAGAGGAAGTTGTAGTACATGCCCCAAACATCTTTGTTGGAGATGTCGTATGGGCCCAGGGAGTAGCTTGGTGAGGTTGTCCTCACGGAAGAGTCGCCGTTCCAGATACGGGCCCATGCTCTGTATGAGATCAATGCAGCGTTGGCGGTGGCAAGAGTGGATGTGTGGCCTTGTTTAGACTGGAGAGTACAGATGCGACCGAGCAGACGAGCAGCCCAGGTTCGATATTCAGATAGGGCGGCCAGATTGACAGGAGCTTGATCAATGGCCGATAAGGCTTGGCTGTATGCAGGCAGAGCACTCTCCAGGGAGACCTTTTGTTCTCTTGCAACACCCAGGAAATAGCGGCTCTTGATCAAAGCCAGACGAGTGTTGGGGCTCAGGTCTGCGGGAGAGTTTGCGAAAGGAGCGACTTGTTGCCAGACGTCCTTGTCCAGACCACCCAGTACTGTTGACCACTCGGCGCGGAGGAAGTAGATCTCATGAAGGGCGACATTGGCCTGGAAGGCGTCTTCTAGTAGGTTGTGTTCAGTCTCGATAGCCTGGACGAGCTTGGGAGTCTGGTCGAGGAGGCTGGTGTGGGAAGCGGCCGATGTTTGGGTTCCAGGACGGCGGTTGGACGATGTCGCGGTTTGCGCCTCGGAGGTAGCGGCGAGAGTGAGGCATCTTCTGTGCGAGGCGTGTTTGTCGACCTTGCGGACCAGTTCGGGCACGTCGGACCATGCGCCATTCAGACGGGCGGCATTGAGGCTGCTGATGTAGCGTTGAGCCTTGTCGCTTTCTGACACCTGGACGCTTGGATATCAGTCTACAATCTTAGTCCCTTGCACATAACATGACCTACACTCATGGCGACTATTGTCTATGTCAAGTCATGAAGCTGATCACAAACAATTTCCCAAACATGGACGCTGCTTCGTCATCTGGATACACCCCCCGACTCCCGACTGCCGGCTCGCGTCCGTGCGCTCCGTGAAACGGGCCCATCCCTGATTTCCCCACGTTTTGCTCAGAAAATATTGCCTGTCACCGAAAACTATCAAAGGGTCTGGCATTCTTGTTTTTTCCATCAGGATAACACAACCCCGGACTGGACTGGAAAGACGTTGACTTGGATACATGATCATGGCACCTCAAGCGACCTCAATTTCGCTGCTCAGAGCAGCTTCATTTCGCATCTCGAATGCATCAAAAGCTGAGCTTCCTCAGGTTGCTGCATTGACTGCTCAGTCTCTACTCTCCTGCAAAGACATCTTCACTAGCCCGGACCTAGCCAACCAAAAGGACTCGGATGCTGCCATTGCTCTTCACCGTTTCAACACTCAGCTTACTTCCCTGCTTGGAGACCGTCATGTCGAGGGTCGGTGGGCTGCCGTCGTTCTGATCAAGGCTGCTATCGAAGCCGGTGGATGGGAAACCCTCAAAAAGTCCATCGGTTGGGTCCGTGGTCTGCTGATCATTCTCAAGAAGCCTGACCCTCCTCTTCTGAGATGCTTGACCATTGTGACTCTGACTCGCATCTTCATGCTTACCTGGGAATTCCCAACTCTGATCAGAGAAATCACCACTCCTTCGCTACCCACCTTTGTCTCTACATGCCTCAACAACCTAACTGTTCGTCCCTCCACTCCCCAGGAACTCAAGGCTACTCTGGAATGTTTTGCTCAACTCTTGCCTCGCCACCCTACCATTTTCCGCCAACACCAAGATGCTGTCGCGAAGCTTCTTACCACTACCTTTGAGAACAAGGCTTCGGGTGACCAAATCATGGATCTCGCTTCCCGTGTCTCGGTACTGCTCCATCAATGCGAGCCCAAGAACGGTGCCAGCGACAAGTGGGACGCTACCCTCATTGCCACTCTCCACAGCGCACATTCCATGGCCGACAGGACTTTTATGAGCATCGAAGAAGACTGGCAATCTGTTACTGGCACAAACTTTATCAACAAGAACATCCTGTCTGACCTTTATTCCAAAGCTCAGGCTGCGAGAACTCCTGCAGATGGTCCTGTTGGTCAATTCATCACTCCCGGCTACCAAGGACTGATGAACCATCTTCGCTTGCTTACTGCCTACTTTGCATCCGCCACCTCCGCTTCCGTCGTTGGTTCCGTTGGTGCTGTGACGGACTTGCTTACCAGATTGATGTCCAACACCATCTCGACCAGCTCGACAAAGAGCACCATCCGTTTCAAGCGCGATGCTGTCAGAGAGGAGCGTGATGCATTGACCGAAATTCTTCCCCAAATTCACGTTGCATGCATTGAAGTCTTGTCCATCATCTTGGACCGTTACGGCAACGCTATCACTCCTGCTTTGCAACCCTTCCTCGATCAGATCATGTGGATCTTCCACGCTTCATCTGCCAACGTTGAGGTCAGAACCGCCACTTACATTGTTGGCAAGAAGATCTTGGATCTCAATGGTCAGTCCCTTAACAAGGAGGCTATTGGTGGGCTGAAGAAGTACATCGTTGCATGCTGTGAAGATCTGCTGCCTACAATCGAGGAAAAGGACCCCTCGAACAGCAATGGCAACAAGCAACAGTCTACCATGAATGCCGATACTTTCCTTAAGCAAGGCACTACCAAGCCTTCTGCAAAGACAGAGCTGGCAGGTCTGAAGTCGGCTGCATGGGATCTGCTTCCTACCCTTCTTGGTCAGCTTCCTGCAGAACACTGTCCCATTGCTCTGCGTGCAACCATGGATCGTACAGCAGTTCTGTCTCGCCACAAGAATGCCGTCATGGCAAGCACACTCAACCACACTTCCACAGCCAAGGCTGCTCGCAAGGGCAACAGTCTGCTTCCTCTCCTCGCTCGCGAATATCCCACCGATCCTCAAGTCGAAGTTCTTCTTCGCCCCAGAATGCCAATTCTCCAGACTGGTCGCAAGGCTACTGAAGCTGAAGCTGAAGCCGACGCAATGGACGAGGATGACGAGTCAGCCTCTGACGACGAAGAAGAGCAAGAGCAAACTGATTATGAAAAAGTTGTCGCAGAAACTTCACGCGTTGCGGAATCGTCTCACAGTGGGAACAGCAACGACACAGTCCACAAAGAGCAAAATCTCGTAAACTGGGCATTGAAGGAATACGTCCAAGAAGGACTCGGTCAAACAAACACCAATGCCGCTGGCTCAGGTGGTGCGACAAAGGGAAGCGAGGATGCTGCTGAAGCAGCTCTTGGACAAGTGGCAGCTGGAGCAGACCCGACTGAGGTGAACATTAACAAGAGACAACGCGAGGAAGATGAGGGTAGAATGGCGGATAAGAGGCAGAAGTCGATTGAGCCCCAAGCTGCTGCCGCTGACGACAGCGACGATGATGAGTTTGTGGTGCCGGAGATCGTTATGGGTGATAGTGATGATGAGGATGAGTAGACATTTATTAGTCTCTCGATTGATGATCACAGTATAAGTATACTCTCATTGATATCAATCTTCGTCACCCGCAATGATCCCAATCATTTGCTTCCGTCCAGCAAGTTACCACGACATCAACCGGTATCGTCTAGCACAAACCAGCCATGACAGCTCGTGGCTTCTCACCTTAACAGCAATTTGTTGTCATTATAGACAGCTTCACCATCTCAAGGAGACATTAGCATGAAGTGCCGAAAACAACAAGACGAGATGATTGTTGACAGGCCAGGGTGTCCCGAAAGACGTGTCTTCTTGGTGACGCAGGCAGTCGCGCGGGGTCTTGGCAAAAGCTAATAACAGCTTGGAGGATTGGACCAGGAGTTAACTGTCTTGTCCAAACATCCACGACAACATTTCTTCACCACGCCCGACCTGTCGCAATGGCATACTACAACCCGCAGCAACAGCAGCAGCCGTACGGCAATGCGCAAAACCTGCAATTCTACCCATCATCATACTCGAACCAGCCCGTCTCTGGCACGTCAACACCCTTCCAGGCATTCAATGGCGGAGCGCAGACATCAGCATATCCGTCTAGCTATGGCGCAGGCTTTGGTGGACAGTCGGCTGTATCTGGACGTATGGGTGAACAAGGAGGCTTGACAATGGGATGGCTGGCTGCATTTGGCACTGAGGGATACCCGGGAGAGCCTCCGTTGTTGGAAGAATTGGGTGTCAACTTTGGGCACATCAAGACAAAGGTGTGTTTTGAATATACGACGCTATGATGCAGTCTACTGACGCGATGAGACAGACTCTTACCGTCTTGAACCCTTTGGCTCGAATTGATCAGCATATCATGGACGACTCTGATCTGGCAGGACCAATCCTCTTCTTCCTGCTGTTCGGCACGTTTTTGCTCTTGGTAAGCATTTCATAGAAAGGACACGTATAGCAGTCGCTAATATCGTCACAGTCTGGCAAGCTTCACTTTGGCTACATTTACGGACTTGCAGCTATGGGCAGCATCTCACTCCACTGGATCCTGTCGCTCATGTCACCACCTCTCTCTCCCGCCGACGCCTCAGCTCAACAGCAAGATGCCTCATCCGCACACGGTGGCCACTTCTCAGCAACCTTGACCATCTGGCGTTCCGCCTCTGTTCTCGGCTACTGCCTTCTCCCTCTTGTCTTGACGTCTTTCGTCGGCATCGCACTCCCTCTCGATGGACTGTTTGGCTACATCTTGACGAGTCTGGCAATCTCGTGGTGCACATACAGTAGCAGTGCTATGTTCTGTGCTGTCGGAAGAATGACCGGTATGCGAGGTTTAGTCGCATACCCTCTGGCTCTGTTCTACGTGGGCTTTGGCATCATGGCCATTTTCTCAAGCAGAGGTACCGGTACTCTTGCCACCAACCTCAAGGCTGGATCGTAAAAAGGAAGGCTGTCAGCAGCATAAAGTAGAGGGGCATTTTGTATGAGCCGCTTAGAAAATGTATTCATGAATTCATCATAACATCTGTTCAAGGACAAGATTAGATAAGATGGCTCGAAAAGATCTAAAGAGGTTTTGCACGAGTCAAGCAAGTTTCGGGTCAGCAAAGCGATGGCGGCCGAAGACTCCCGAGCTCCGCGTCTTTATCTTTATTTACGCATCATCCAACTTTTTTTCGCCTGCCTACTTGAACACGACTTTTGCCTTGCTCGCATAAACATCTCTTCTGCATACACACGTCAAGCAATCACAATGGGTTGGTTCTGGGCAGATTCGACACCTTCGGCAGCCGTGGCACCTCATCCCATGCCAGCGTCAGCCAGCGCCGCTCCTCCTGTATGCCTCCACTTGTCGCAATCACTTGCACTCGACTGACACCTCTTGCAGCCAGGATGTCCCATGCACAAGCCCGCCGGTGATTCCGCAGCTACCGCACCACCGCCTTCGATTATCACCAAGCCCACGAACTCAGCACAAGCATGTCCCTACGTGCCACCCACCGCCGACCAAAAGACCCAACAAGTCCAACCCGCCGAACCCTCAGCCGGCTCGCCCTCCTACATCAGCAAGCTCAACCCCCTCAACTACATGCCCAAATCCATCTCCAACCAACGCGACCACGACGAACAAAGCGTAGACCTCCCCTTGAGCAGAGAAGCCTCCACCATCCCCCGCGGCGACGGCCAAGGGACTTGGGAATACCCTTCCCCGCAGCAAATGTACAATGCCATGTTACGCAAAGGCTACACCGACACGCCGGCCGAACACGTGGAATCCATGGTCGCCGTCCACAATTTCCTGAACGAAGGCGCGTGGCAGGAAATCGTGGAATGGGAAAAACGCTTTTCCGCTGGCTTGAAACGGGGGTGGGAGGTTTGTCGCCGTGGAGAGGAAAACGCGGGTGTTTTTGCGGAAATGATGGCGCGTAGGGATGCGATTGCTGGGAATGGCGAGGCTAGGGATCCTTCTCTTGTTCGCTTTATGGGACGGCCTTCGGAATTGACGCCAAAAGCCCGTATGCTGCAAGTGATGGGTTGGCTTTACCCATCCAAATACGAAACCGAACCGCCATTTGACCGCCACGATTGGTTTGTCCGCAGAGTGCATCCTGACGGCACAGAGAGGGAAAAGAGATATGTTATTGATTATTACTCGGCGCCCGAGGACGAGAGTACAGGAGAGCCAGTCTTCTACTTGGATGTCAGACCCGCCGTCGATGGCCCACTTGATGCAGCCGAGAGGGTGGTGCGATGGGGCGGAGATGTTTGGTGGAGGGCTAGTGGGGGTAGTGTCAGGGAGGAGTTAGCCAAGTTGAAGAAGTGAATGAGCATGAAAGATGTGATGAAATAGGGGTGACTGGGACTTTGTATTGAGGAGTCGGTGTCAGGAGCGTTTGGTGATGCTCTTTTTCCTGTTATGTATTTCTTGAAGCTTTGGAAGTCTGTACGCTTTCTGCATAATGATCATCTCCACTTTCACATGTTAGCTCAGATTTCACATCTGTTGCACCGCAAAATCACGAGATCTGACCTCAGACCTCATGCTTCCCTCTTGAAGAGACTCCTCGGCCTCCGTTTCTTCTCGGAATAACAATCTTATGGTCGTAACAGGTCTAAAAGCATTGACGTCACAGATCGATCCTTCATAGCACAGCACGATGCCGACTTCCGAACGACCGACATCTATCAACCTTGATAAAGATGGGACTCCCTCTTTTCCCTATCCCCAGCAACAAGACCAACAGAAACATGATCGATTTGTAATCACGAGCAGTAACATCAAATGATCATGTCTATCAAATTTCTGGACGTCGCACCCGCACTGCCTGCAAGCATAGCATTGATTTACGTTCTCTCCTTCACAAACGCTTGGGACCTTGTCCTACCTCGACGGGTCTTCCAAACGGTCAATGCCACTACTGTCGACGGCCAGATTCAACCATCTGATGAAGAAGCCAATAGGCAGAACTCTGGATCCCTAAAGAACCGAGTCGGCACGCTAGACGTTCCCTCATATCTACTGTATATGGGACATTGGCATCTCACCACCGGCAAGCTCTTCAGCGATAAACAATGCAGCTCCAACGATGTCTGTATTGGCCAAATCGCGCTCGTCGCTGCCGAGCTCGGTGTCTACTATTATTGCACTGGGCACTGGCTTCAACGCCAGCTTATCCTGTTGGCGGCAGCGTGGGTCTGTATGATTGTGCGGTCGCCTTGGCCGACTCAGCATACGGTGTTCGATGCAATGTTGTCTTTGATCATCACGGCTACAGCTATCAGAGCTATACTACCACAGAGGCGCCCACGTGCAGATCCCTACCCTGTGGATCTTGCGATCAGCAAGTCCAGCAGCACACCTTTGGCAAGCGAATCCGGGAAGAAGTCACGGCATTTACTGGTTCACTTCCACATCTTCAGCGTTGCTCTGCTGTTGGTGATTTTACTCGACGGACATTCCATTCTGGAGAAATTACCGGGATCTCCAGTCTTTCAGAACGTCTGTGTGTCTGTTGCCCTTCTCGGGCTTCGGCAACAGGTCGAAGATTGGCGCGCATCATCTCAACGTGGTCAAAATCTTACTCAACACGTACGAGCATACCTCTGCCGCAGCTACACTACTTTACCCCAATTCGTCCGCGAAGGTTTCCTACGCCCTCTGCTTGGTCTAGCGCCATTGTTCATCTTTGGTGCTTTGACCAGTTTTCTGACCTCGTGTTGTGGATTCCGGTATCTGATACTTGGACTCCCACGCACGGGCCCTTCGTTTAGGGATGGTGGGATATTAGGTGCATTTATATATATGATTGTCGCTTGTGCGAACTTGGTGCTGAGGAGACGGGAGATCGGTGAGGACGAGTCTTTGCGTATGAGGAGATTCAACATTGCTGTTCTGGCAGCTTTCGGACAGACTGTTACGGGGTTTGCAGGTGTTGCCGGAGTCTTGTGCGCCATCCGCGTATTGAAGGATTGGGATCTATCATGAATTGTTTGGACACGACCAACTTCACATGCACACATGGCCTCGGTCTCAGAGTCTGCGGAAACGCAAAAGGGAAAAGGTCGTGTCGCCACCTGGGAAAGAATGCATGATTTGGTCTGTGATGTAAGTCTAAGATCATCCTCAACATAGGAGAACTCAATGGCATCAGAAGTTGCTGAAGCTCAGTATGTGTAAGGGGAACTCGGAATCCGGAACATGAGCCGTGCGAAATCGCACCAATGATGACTGGAGCATACAACCATATCCAACCACGCAAGCGTGCCTCGAGCGTCCTTGTCGTACAACAGGGCCCTATTGAATATTTCTACACGGATCTGTTGAATTTGATGCATGGCGGCTACGAGTACGGCGCGTAGGCACGCGGCTTCCCACAGCCATGCAAAACTGCCAGATGTCCCTTCGCGGTATAGTGCGTTTCCTCAATTAGTTTCACTTACTGGTAGTTGTCCTCCATAATTTGCATCACGGTGTACACTGACGAGAATCGCGCATCGGACAGAAATTTGCACTAGGAAAGAGCCGCGGACAGCAACACCGAAGAAGAAACCAATCAACGACCGAAGTCTAAGATTACCATGTCGATTCGATCAACTGAGACACCATGTCTATGTGCGTCCTGGAACCCTGGCGAGAGGCTTCTAGCCAGACTTGCGAACAGATTAAGAACCTTTGTGCCCTAGAATCTCCGCCTATCGTCATTGCTTGTATCCGTCGAGTTGTCTTGCAGCACTGATCTCGACTATGGTAGTACTTATGGATTTTTTAAATGAAGGAAAAGGACTGGCAACAACTACGGAGTACGAGGGCTACTTATGGAAGTACCATCCTACTACTAGTAAGTAGCTAGATACCTTGGCACGACCTGAACCACACTATACCCGTATGGTATCGCAGAATACGACCGAGCTTGCGCTAACAATAACAATACTATCAGTCATAGCAATATACTAGAGTAATCTCGAATATCACAGCAAGGTCCTGATGCCCTGGACACGTTTTGACGGAGAAAGAATTAATCGGGAGAAATTACTCTACGGCTGGACTTCGTATCTCTCAACTCCATTGTCGCATTATGGACATTAATTCGTCGTCGACATTATCTTGTCATCACCGTAGCTGTTTGGTCTTTGGCTATTGTTTTTGTCATCGTCGTTTCCACGGGACTCTACAGATCTGGAGAGGAGCATCACAATGACAGTCACGAGCAGCTTCGGTGATACGGGACTTGATCACAGCACCAACGAGTATTGCTGCTCAGGCTGATTTACTGGCTGACTCAAAGGTTTTGGCTCTTATTCCTCCGGGCCCGGAACATGCTACTACGAAGGAGTTGATGGAGATGACGCCGTTCAAAGATCATTTGTTCAGCATGGGGTGGAGGACCAACGAAGATGGTACGAAGAGATATGGTATCGATGTGGGAGAAGCTGATCATAAAGATGACGGGAAGAAGGTGACAAATCGGTAACGAGGAAGTAGTCAGAGCGGTGTGTTGAGATTGTTATTGATATTGTTTCGATACATGAGATCACATCAGACAGATAGGTAGAGAGAAGGAATTCGATAGTTGAGTCCTGTGGGCTCTCCTTGAAGTGTTTTTTCATTCCTAGTCCACTGTACTTTCGGATGGTTTCACCACGAACTCTCGCGGATGCTTACACCAGACTTTATGCGTCATAATCCATTGCGCATGTTGCGAGAGATCCTTGCTGCGAGGCACAGAGTTTCCAACTTCTCACAGTTGTCCATTGGAATTGGTGGGATTTGGTTATCATGAGGAAGCGCGTTTGGAACTGGCGAGAGGGGTATAGGTGGTAATGGCAGAGGGAAGAGCACTTGTCGGTTCGAAGTGATCTGCAAGACTTTCACAAGATGTGTACTGCGAATCATAAACGGGATTTCTTAGTACTCCCAAATCAGTTGCGGTGGAAAATGCCATGGTAGCCTTGAAGGATTTACCCGGTACTTGTACCTGGCTGAATGGCAAGATGCGGGGATTTCGCGCAACTACAAGCCTTGCAGGCAGCAGCGAGGTATCCCAAAGCGTCACCGCCGACATATAAATCACCACCTGTCGCATCTAATATCTACAGAGCAAATTTCCCTCTATACTTTGTGAATTCGTCCTCCATCTCACAACATTACCTTAAAATGACAGTCCCAACACAGACCACCCCTGTCCGTACCCCCTTCCCAACTCCCTACTATCTCCTTCCACTAACCATCACACAGCTCGATCCCAACTCCTCAACGCCCTCTCATCCACCCTGGCGTCGCGATCCAAACGGCGTGTCCCATCTCGGTCGCGATGGTGTCCTACGCTCCCTGAACGCCGACCGCACAGTTGTATTGGACGTCCGTCGCTTGTCGCCAGAGGAGATCAAGAATTTTGCAGGGCCTGCTGGTCAAGCTACCAGAGATGCTTTGGAAGGTGTGGATGGGAGGGATGTGGTAGATGAGGAGGTGCTGTGGGCTGTGCCTGAGGATCAGAAGGGGTGGGCTGCTAGAGGGGAAGGGGATGGGAAGGAGGGGGAGGGGAAGGTGGAGGGCAGGTGAGCATGATTGGTTTGCAGACGTGCTGGGAGTGTGAGAGGAGAAGTTCTCTTTTGGTGTGGAATCAATTGCAAGTTTGGTCAGTCCACAACTGAGTGAGCTCGCACATGAGGCGGTATCTGCTCAATATCACCATCATTACGTGTGAATATGGTTGCGCCGAAAGGGTGTTTCGAATCCTTCGAATCTGAGCCGGCCGGCTTCATACTCAGTGGTGTACAATGACCAGACTCGACTAGAAGTAGAAATATGTTCGTCTTGGTGAGTACCAAGTCTGCTTCTTGTCGAAGTCGTCAATCTTGCCCAGGACAAAACGCGCAGTCTTGAGATACCAAGATTCCTTGGCTTTTGGGCCCATTATCTTTGGCCCCGGTGGCGTTGCCACCGGTGCAGCGGCTTGAGCTTCTTGATCTGTGATAACCCGAAAGCCATGCTGATAAACCTTAGCTTGCGCATTGTCCTTGGCTTGCTCCCCATCCTCAAAGGCCGAGCTTTGTGCATGCTTCGGAGAGTTGCAGCAGATCTCGCTGGTCACGTGTGGCATAGAAAACTTGGGTAGGTACCTCGAATAAATCGAAAAATGTAAGCTCGCGTAGGTGGCTCTAAGCTACCCCTAGCTTTAAGCCAGTTCGCGCGTCGTTTCTTAACACTAACACTACTAAAACAACTCCAATTTTAACTATAACGATGCTAGTTAACGAATAACAAATGGAATAGGCTATTAAGGCCTAGTTTGCTATCGCTATACCTATAGATCGGCCCTTAATACGTTAACACGCGTACGAGTACGCCGTTAATTAAACTACATTTTTGCGTCGCGTTAACGGAGGCCGTACGATAGCTAATTCTTATAAACACTAGTAGCGACTAAGTAATACATAAGAGGACTAGCTTCTTTAATAGATAAAAGAGATAGATAAACGTAGATACCCCCCCTCTTACGCGCACGCGCGCGAGATAGCTACTTAACTCTACCTCGCTAATAGCAATACTAGACCTCTTAGCTAGAAATAGCTAAATTCGTTTATGCACCGTAACCCCTTAGTTTGTAGTGTTATTAGTAGGGTTATTAAGGCCGCTCGTATTAATAGGACACGCCCTAAAGTTCTATAGGCTCATTTTAAGTTATTCTATTATATAAAGGTCGCGTACGAGGTTACTTAGGCTAACTGTTAGAATATAGATAAATATAGTATTACTATAGGCAAATGTGTTAATTCCCTAGTTCTTTTAACATTAAACAAGAAGCGTACATACGTTAAATTACTAGAATCGCGCGAATAGGTATCTATCCTCGAGTGTATTAACGTAAACGGCAATTCTACTACCCCCCTTATCATTTTTAAGGGTTAGAACCTTTAAATAACCTAGTTTAATAAGACTACACCCTACTAGTAGTATACAACTTCTAAGAATAGCTAGATAAGTAACAATACCTATTTATAATAGCTTGTTTATATGTTTCTACCCTAAACTCGACCTATTTATGGCGGATACCGAATTCTACTTTACGATAGCTATAGAAGCTACGTAACAACTAAATTCATGTATTAATGTAAGATTAACAAAGTTAAGCTTATTTATCTACCTACGCATTCATCTTATATATTATAACTACTTAATGTAGGTGCTTTTTTACCTCTTAAAGGCAAATACCGTTAAATTATCTAAAATCTAGCCTTCCTCGACGATGCTACCCCTACTAAGAAGAAGGAGTTTATTTAAGTGTATATATAGGCCCGTTAAGAGGCCTAGAAACTAGATATGCTTCGAAAAGGCTAGGAAACTGCTAGGTTATTCCTATAGAATCCACATAAGAGCATTAACTTAAGCTAAGTCAAAAATCACCTAATACGCGCAACTATACTACTAAATTAACTTAAATTACTAGCCATTTATACGCTAGTAAGCCATTAAGCCTTATATAGGATTATAGCTCCAAAAATTAGAGATCTACCCTTATTAAGTAGCGATAAACGTATGATTTTCTAGGGCTTCTAAAAAGCTAGAAAAGCTATTAATAACGGTAACATTTAGAAGGCTTAACATACGGCCGTATAACGCTAATTTAAAGCTTAAATAGAGAACATATCTAGTTCTAAGAGGAAGAGGGTTAAGAAGAACCTAAATACAACATTTGCTAGTATAGAAGAGATTATAGCTACGTAAGAGGCTTAGGCTAAGGAAGAGCGTCTTAAGGCTATAAAACAGGCTCGTATTAACTATAAGAAGCTAGAAAACGCTGCTAAATTAGCTACGAGGGCCGTACGCGCGAAGGACTTTAAAAGCTATTAAAATAGCTAGTAGATAGATGATTATCTTTAATAATTGCTATATATAGTGTTTTGCGATCGTCGCATTAAGCTAGCTTAAAGCTAGGGGTAGCTTAGAGCTACCTACGCGAGCTTATCCTACCCTAAGTTTTAAGACTCTATAGCCGAAGTGTTAAAGGGAGTAAAGTAGCTCTACGCTATTTATAGTCGTTAGGATACTTATAAGTCCTAAGATTAGTAACGGTTTATAAAGCTATCTCGATTCTAGTATTACTATAAAACTAGACTATAGTATAGTATAATATATTATATCTTACGTAGTGTCTACGTCTAATTGTCCTAAACCGATAATAGTTCTAAGATCCTAGTATAGCCTTTAAGAGAATCGCGTCGGAGTACTACTTAGAGTAGTAACAAATCTTAGTAGAGTTATTATCGAACCTTAGATCTTCTAGGAAGACTACTAGTAAGAAGCCCGAGCTCTAATTTAAGTGTTAACAATATACTAGAGGACGGTAAACAACTCCTTCTAGTAGCGTGCTCTATATGTCTATAGGATACTATAAGCGCTAGACGGCTCGTAATATTAGATAGTACTATTTAATCTTAGCCGTTACGTCCATTTTCGTTAGGGTGTCTTTATAACTATTTAGAGTCTTTCCTTCGCTTCTACTTGTTTCTCTGTCGTTATGTGTGTTTATAGACGATAGGCTTTACTAATCCGTATAGGCGGCAAGAGGTTTAATGCTATCTCTATAGGGCTCTCCCTAGCGATGCCTAGTTATAACCTTATGCGCATCTTCGAATTATATATAGTAGTTCTAGGGAGGTAGGTACAACTATGCGGTATCGGGCATGCGTCTGCATGATCGCCACTTTAACTAGTCATTAGTATTATGTCCCTCCGGTGGTGAGCGCGGCGACAATGATAGTAGAAAGTCTAGTCTAGTAAGTGCCTAGAGATCGATAAAGCGAAACGCCCTGGATCGCGATGTGCTTCTAGTCTCTAAAGTCTTTGCAGCCGAGGTTCATGGTAGAGGCATTTCGTTGTTAGTGCTAACAGTGCAGCGTTCTCCGGAGGTAGCTGTTCGACTATCTGGAAGAATACTTCGGGCGGCAGGTCCAACAATTGTTTACTCGATTTGATTGATTCCAAGCTGGTGACGTCCATCGTAGATATGGGCCGCTCATTTCGAAGGAAAGGTGAAGAAAAGGTGAAGGAAAAGTTGCACATATCAGCGGGATGCAGAGATTGCAAACTTGCTCAGCTTCCTGGTAAGACTTGACCGACGAGCGTACATTGTTTGCCAGCGAGCTTAGTAGCGATATGATAATGTATTGTGACAAGTCGTACCCCAGTCGTCATACTTGTTCCTTCATTGTGGCTCAATCAGTCATGAAAGATCCGGAAGGAAAGCAAATGAGTTTCGAAATTGCGAAATTTAAAGGTTGCTTGAAATGCGTTGACTGCTTCAAGACGTTCGGAACGGTTGCCGGCAACGTAGATGATGAGGACGTTTGTAGGCTCCAGGGTTTGGTGAACAGCGTAGCAAAGATGAAGAATGGCAGATTCGGAGGCTTGTTCAGTGTCTTGGAAGCACGTTTCGATTTCAGACACTCGATAATCGGCTCCCCGCTTGGTTGTACCTGACATGTTTCGCTTCCTGAGATTGCGAGCAAGATTGCCTATATCTATATAGACATCTCCCCAGGCAATTTGTTGAGGATTTGTCTTATTCACGAAGATCCCCTACGATCACATTACAAAGAATTTTGGGACGTTGCTAAGTATAATGGGGGGACACATACGCGCTACCCCCCGCGCCCCCCCTTCCTCCCCCACCTAGGGTAAGTGAAAAAATGTATGTAAAAATAACAGTACGCTCTAACCCTGAAAAGGAATCCAGTCACCAGATTGATCCATATAAGATCCGACACTAGAGGGGGGCAGCGCGTACATGTCACCCCCCCTCATGCCGCTCGTATCCGCATGTACGTTTATAATCAACATACTGCTAGTAGGGTCTTCAAAGAGTCTTTGAAGAGTGTACGGGCCTTGGATCGCTACCTTGGCGACTCTGCAGCGAATAGTACGTACAAACACTGCATGATTTGGTTGCCGAATCCACAGCGGAACCAATCACTCAAGCCTCGCTGCCTTAAAGTGTCGAGATGCGTCTCCAAGCCAGTGGACCCGGCTTGTTTCGCTGAGTACGAGCAGCTTCAGCACTATTGACCCGTAGGAATGCCTTGACTCAATCGGCTGTCGTATCGGATCCTTCCGCTAAAAGTCGCTATCCACGGTAATATCACCGCCGGGCTTACAAGACCAACAAAAAACAAATCAGTTGTGACATCATGGGATTTTCTCCAGGTTGACGTCGATAGCTCTGTGCCACCTAGCTGCAGGATTCAACAAGTGCACCAATAAAATATCTTCCGCTTTCGCGTAAGCCAGATCCTTCGTATGTCTCTTGCTGCCTACGGCCGATAGGGCTGCGTGGTGGTCTGTGCAAACCCCCCTCCCCGAAGCAATCAAGCTCTGTTCAAGCTTTGCTCGAGGCTTGGACGAAGCTTAAATGCACTCCCATCGCTGAAATCTTAGGGCTTGACCTCCCTCCTTGCACCATGTCTCGTGATTCGTCATGGAATGCATGAGAAACAAGTCGGATCCTTTGGTGTCGTTCGCGGGGATTATGAGTTCCAACAGACAACACGAGCTTGTCCAAGAAATACGTGTCGCGCTGATCAAATGGTGCCGACATACCCGCACTCGTTTGGAACCAAGCTGCTCTTTTGTCTGTGCTGTAGCAGACGTTGAGCACGAATTCCACAAGCCGGCTGAACAGATTGTTCTCGAGTTTGGAAAGTGAACCTTTGAAGGCCAAATCATCCCTGTGCCCAAACCATCTCCGCTTTAGACTTGACTGCTCGCGGAGATCCACACGAGCCAGGAATCAATCCGATTGAGTAGATTTGACTCCTGATCTCCTACCCTCCTTCCACAATCTACTTCGACTACGTCAAATTCGAAACATCATCGAACCCCACATCTTCCCGATCACGATCCATGAGATATCTGAATCTGCCTTTCTGCTCGTATTGTTCAGAAATATAAGCAGGTACGTCTTTGTTGTCTTCGATCTTGTCATACAGCTCATTCGTTCGACCGAACAAATCAAGACCGTGTCGGACACGATTCAACAATGTATTTAGGTCGCGATTCTCTGCAGTATTCCACCCTTGGTGTGAAAAACTGTTCATTTTGGTACGCATCTCGGCTATTGTTGCGAAACAACTGGAACAGTGCCAACCTGCGTTCCAAAGAGTGCCTCTGTCCCATCAGCGACGAACGGCCGCGATGGGCCGCCATTCGTTGCCAAGTAAGCCTTGTCGTAAATCATTGGGCATGATAGTGCTTGAGCCTCGATACAGTGTTGCATCTGGATGTGCCCACTGAAGACCTCGGTGACGCCATTGGAATGAATAATAGTAAAATTGGGTGCGAAGTGTCAGACGAGTTGGGACACGGCAATGTCGCAAGAGGACCATCACTCCTGGCCTGAGAAGTTCGTCCATGTCGCTCACGATTAGGACGTCTCCAGTATTGGCGTGTCTCGTGGTATTCATCAGACTAGGACAGAGCAATATCTAACAGACTATCCACAAGACCCCTTATTACAGTAGAAACTGGGAATATACTATATGGTCTTTGCCCATAGGTTCCCTGTAACTTAAGTTTAGAACTAGTGAGTAATGAATATTCAGCTATCGCAGTTCTGGTATAGTACTAGTATGACCTACAGGGTGTTTTCACATCCGGTGGTTAGCGTAAGAGCCCACTTTCTTGCATGGCCAATGATAATTGCTACCAAGGTCGATATAAGCAGTGCTCAAAGCGCACACTAACCGTTGGATGCAGCCACACCCTGTAGGCTAGCCAAAATAAACTTCGTGGCCTACTGGGCTATACTGCGGAAGCAAACGAGTCTTCGAGCGCACGGCCCGTTGCTCGCGATGCATTGCGACTCGTGTCTTTCCATCGAATGCACCCAATTCCCTGCCAACCTTTTGCATCTTACAATACATTCTATTGACCGCCACAGACAAGTCACATAAATACTACCCAGCTGATCTGACGAGACTCTTCGGCCTTAATTCTGTATCATGGAAGTCATAACACTACTCCGACTTGGTCGACGGCGTTTGTTCCGAGGAACTAACTTACGCCGCTTGCTCATAGTGCTAGTCCTCTCCATGATCGTGGCTATGACTGAGATCTTGAGCATACACTCCGCGCTGAGCCGAGCAGCTTTGGATAGACCCGTCAATTTCGGCCCACAGAGGGTTTTTATTGTGGGTATACACTGGAACAACGAGCAAATTCTGCGAAGTCATTGGATCCATGCTTTGATCGCCCTGACAGGAGACATTGGACCGGAGAATGTCTTCGTCAGTATCTATGAAAGTGGGAGTTGGGACGATACGAAAGGAGCGCTCCGGCTGCTAGATAATTTGCTCGAGGAACGGGGAATACCAAGAAGGATAATACTGGACAACACCACACATCTTGATGAGATATCCAAATCACCGAGCGTCAGAGGTTGGATCAAGACGTCTAGGAGCAAAACAGAATTGCGACGCATACCATATCTGGCTCAGTTACGCAATGTGGCGATGCAGCCTTTGTATGATATGCAGAACGCCGCCCTTGCCTTCGACAAGATTCTCTTTTTGAACGACGTCGTGTTTGAAGTGAGATCTCTTTCTCTCATTCCATGAAATATCCGCTAAGGTTCACAGAGTTCGGATATTCACAAGTTGCTTTCGACTAACGATGGCGACTACGCTGCAGCTTGCGCATTGGACTTCTCGAAGCCGCCAGCCTTCTACGACACCTTCGCGCTTCGAGATTCCGAGGGCCACGAAGCCGTCATGCAAGAGTGGCCATACTTTCGGTCATGGACCTCGCGGAAGGCTTTGAAGAACGGACAGCCGACACCAGTAACGAGCTGCTGGAATGGAGTCGTCGCAATGAACGCCGAACCTTTCTACCGGGTCCCTCGGCTAGTTTTTCGTGGCGTCCCTGATTCACTTGCAAGTTTGCACATCGAAGGGTCGGAATGTTGTCTTATCCACGCAGACAATCCTTACTCCAGCACAGATGGCGTATGGCTGAATCCCAACGTGCGAGTGGGCTATAGTAGTCATGCCTACAGAGAAGTCCATCCTGAAGGGTCCAACTCCTGGATTCCCCTATATTGGATTGCGCGTGGTTTATGGATCAACAGGTTGATGAGATGGTTTAGCTCCCCTTGGTTGAAAGAGCTGGTCGTGAAACGTCGCGTAGACCAGTGGGTCAGGGAGCATCCTAACAGCCAAGAAGTCGGTACTTCGTGCTTGATTAACGAGATGCAAGTGTTAGCAGCCAACGGTTGGGCTCACGTTTAAGATCTCGCTCTAGTGTTCGGACTGACAACATCGAGATCATACACTGCCCGACCAAATAGCCCAGATTCACTTCGAGAATTGGCTAAGTCTCATAATCTTCATGATTGACCGCCGTTTAACTATGGCTGAGCATATCGAAGCAACTGTCTCGAAAACATGTTGGTACCCGGGGGTTAGTCGACATGCCGCTCTGTCGTGGCACAATCGTCCTAGCTGTTGATTGCATCTCGATCGGACTCGGTCGAGATTGAACTTGGGGTTGATTGCATCTCGATCGGACTCGGTCGAGATTGAACTTGGGGTTGAGCGACTCTCGATAGCTCGAGTAGGAAGAGTTCCAGAAGTGGGATGAGTGAGATGATCGTTGTCCAGTAGCTACTCCATTCACATAGAAGCCATTTGGAAAATGAAGAAAGAAGCCGGTACTGGCGTCCTCGGGCGTATAACTAAGCTCAAGGAGCCTGATGATCAAAGACAACGGCTCTAAATCTCCTAGCATATTGAACCAGTGCTCCAATGATCTCGAGAGCAGATTTTGTGATGCTCGTGAGAAGAGATCCATGTTAGTCACCACGATCCAAGTACAAAGATCGGTAGCTTTATGCTTCTTTGTTGCATTTTTCGAAACGCTGTCGACCGCTAACAAGGTATCCAAGCTTTTGTCGAATGGAAGCGGTATGCCTTATCCGATACCATATGTGATGCGGCTGGCTCGAGCTTTCGAATCAGCAGGTCGCGAGATCAAGGAGCAAATCCAGTAAGGTGGCTGAGAGGTACCAGATTCCATGACCTGTCAGTCGGTCTGTACAAGCAGAGATGAAAGGGCATCTCCACAAAACTCACCATAGCGATGCCTCGTCATAACTTTGTAGACGTCTCCGTATTGGATATGATAGTCCTAGAAATCGAGATGTAGCCATAGCCTGATAGATCACCACTGTGACTTTCCAGTAACATGGCACAAGTATGCCCACCATTTCAACCAGTTGTTGTGATCCTTGGTGTGCTTCTCCGACGGAGTATTCGATAGCGTGTGCAGCAGTGAGTCCAATTTGTTGAGTATCTCGCTACCACGTTAGCATCACGGGCTGGTCGTCCACAGCAGCTGGCTTCCAAATTTTTGATGCAGTTCGCTGTTGTACACGTTGTGATCTTTCGAGGCAAGTGCAATGACACTGTGCAGCGGGAGCTGCTCGGCGATCTGAAGCACGAGCTTTTGAGGCAATTTTGAGAAGAAGTGGGTTGGAGTAGCCTCGACCTCAGTCGACACAAGAGAGGAAGTATCGTCCATAACTTTACGTTTGGTGGATAAGTGGTCGTGTGGGAGAAGATTGAGATATTGTTGAGGTTGTGTGCAGAAAATGAGAGTTTGCTCACTACTCATAATTGGGCGGCGCCACGAGATTTGACCGCTGTGATGTTTCACATGGACCAGAGTATGGGCGCTCCTGCCTCAGTCTTCCACCGCGAACGCTCTCGGCGGAGCTTTCAACTCACCGCTAACGCGAACACTGATATCCGCGCATCGTCGGGGGACGTTTTGCACAATCCTTGACGCGAGCTTCTTTTGCGCCTGAGGTGTGCTTGCGAATCTTATCAATCTACATCTCTGCACTCAGCAGGCGGTGAGTTTTCTGCCACTTCCCCAGACGTCAATCTCCATTGCTGCCTACCCGAGTAGTATCACCTTCCTCCATCGACGACTACAAGTACCCCTTCCAATTATCATGGCCGAGCGCAAAGTAATCTCCAAATACTATGCACCCGACTTCGACCCCTCTAAGCTCCGCCCCTCACGCAAATCCAACAAACCTGCCGCCTTACCTACCATCACCGTAATGGCACCCTTCTCCATGCGCTGCACCTCCTGCTCAACCTACATCTACAAAGGCCGTAAATTCAACGCCAGAAAAGAGAAGCTTGAGGAGACCTACCTCGGCATCCCGATCATCCGACTCTACATCCGATGCACGGAATGCTCGAGCGAGATTTGCTTCAAGACTGATCCGAACAATACTGGATATGTTTGCGAGAAAGGGGCTGTGAGGAACTACGACCCCTGGAGAATGATGGGGAGGGAAGATGTCCAGGAGAGCACAGATGTCATGGCAGCAGTGGAGAACAAAATGGTGGATGCCAAGACCGAGATGGCGATTGCGGATGCTCTGGACGAAATCAGGACCAGGAATGCCAGGCGCGCGATGGCCGCTAGCCGTTTGCCCGCCTTCTCAGCAAACATCAAAGTCGACGATCAATACCAAGCATCTTTCGAAGACGACCACGCCGCCAGCAAAGCCTTCAACTCTTCAAACGAACGCATGCACCGACTTTCCAACGACACATCCGATGCCGGAGACAACGCTGTTTCTTCCAAGTCTGTTACGACCTTTCGACGATCAAAGCGACAGAAAAAGGACCACAGCGCTGCTCTCGGTATCAAGCGAAAGCTCGTCTAATGTTCTTCCAGTTGACCAAGGTAAGGTAAGCAAGCACTTACGAGAAGTTGGATCAGGTTACCACACGCTAATCAAGCTATCCGTCATCATGCACGGGTATAGGTGAACCGGGACTGGTAGCTAGGGTTCTGATTGTAGCTGCAACAAGGAGTCATCGTTTTATTGCTACCAACTCTATATTTTCGGGTCCTTTTCGTCATCGCTGTGATATGTGTCTGATCGAAAAAGCTTACTGCCTCTTGACAGGCATGTCTACTAAGGGATCACGCTAATTTGATGAAAGAGTAACGCGAGATTTCTACTGGCAAGGACTTGAAGGTATGAAGGTGATGTGAAACAGGATGAGACACCAGCGGGCATCGAGGAATTGAACCTATGCTCCCGAGATAGTAACCTAGAGATTCATCCAAAACACATATGAGAATGACTTTCGCGTGGTAACAATGGGTATTATGTCTATATGGAGCATGAACTGTGTAATGTTTCTCGTAGCTTTGCCTTAACCGTAAGATGCAAACTCCGAGTTTGATATATCCCGGCCGGACTTTATCTAGAAACATTAGCATAGGATGCGGAGGATGGAGCTACGGAGGAAAGAGCGTTTCTCAAAATCCATAGGCGACAAAATATCTGACAACATATGTTCACGGCGGCTTCTCCTTCATCGTTTTAGGTCGTCATATCAAACCCCGTATCAATTCATCCAGCCACATTCAAGTCGTTTAGCCACATCTGGAGCAGGATACATCCTTTCTAATAGGCACTTGACTTTCGTAGTGATTACTCTCAAAGGGTAGATTTATGTTTGCTAGACTAACGCAGATATCTCTCGCGTGGTCATCGATCCCTGCCTCACTTTCGTATCAGCATGCCTGGGAGTGCGCGAGGACGTCTCGGATGCCGCCGTGCTGCCTGTTCCGAACAACTTCGGTAGGCCCGTCTGACTGCTTTCCACAATTCCAGGTCTCCGGAAACATCTCCTTGAAGATCAAGCTTGTTCAGAGCACGTTCGAAAGAAGCGCACCCAATTGCGCTATAAGCTACCCGTTTGACGCTGCCGACTCTGCGGTAAGAACCCCATTCTGACAGTAGATGATAACTTGCTTCTCGGCAATAGTCAGCATCATACATATCACCTTGGTGGTGCGCTGCTGAGAACCAATGGACCTCCGTTGACTCAATGCAAGAGCCTAGATCTGTGTAGGTGTGAAGTCGAACCTCGACGCCCCATTTGCCATGATCCCAGACATCGGTTTTGTATTCTGTCGTGCAGCGGGCACAAATTCTATCCTCTGTGGTCTCATGGTGGCTTATGTTGGGTTGTTCAGTCCGCCTTAAGGAGTCAAGTACATTGAGGCATTTTCTGATGTCGCAACAGAACATTTCCGACTCTAGAGTGAGGAAGTCAGGAGCGTCTTCGCTTGTCGGTAGATTCCAGTGTTTACAGTGGCGGAAGGGATGACGCCTGACACCGTACTTCTGCATCTCCTCCCACATCTCTGGATGATACCACATACTTTGTGTGGTTTGTAGGACTAGATTGCCATCGATGATCAAAGGTATAGCATCAGATTTTGCAAGGCAGCGACCGAGGCTCAATTTGACATCACCCAGCGCATGAGAACGTCCGTCGAGGGCCTCGAGATCTGCAGGCGTCATGACCTTCCAGGCTGTGTGTGTCGCAATGGAAGAGAGATCCTCTCCAAGTTTGCCCCACCGATGTCGATTCATGACCTCATATACGTCCTCGAACTGTATATGATAATTCCAGGGGTCAAGGTGAAGCCACGTTCCAGTGCTACGTGAGCATGCCTGCCATTTCTTCCAATCTCTAGTCAACTTCGGAGTATCTCTACGAGGATGAAGGCGATGACAACATGTGCAGAGTACTGATTGTGGAACGTCCCTGGCCAGAAGAAATATCAGCTTGTTAGGCTTGCACTTGATCTTCGGCCTCCACATCTGTTGGAATTGTGAACTTTCGTACAATGACTTGGTCGTCAACGCCATCGCAGCAATACTCTCTGGTGGGACGTGTTCGGCGATGCATACGACCAGCTCCAGGGGAAGCTCTAAAAAGGAGGCGCCGGCGGCTGTCGGCATCGATGCCGTGTTACCCATTGATGTGTGGTCAGGAAGAGCAGGTTAGGCAATAGTCCCAGATAGTGAAGAGTTTTCGTTGAGCAAGAGCACAAAGTCATCGAGCTTCGAATTGAGGTGCTATGAACCGCAACGCTGGACAGTGGTTCGGCGTCAAAACTTTGAGCAAGATTGCGGTCGCTCCAACCTCCGAGAGTTTCCTTCTCTCCGTGGCTGAGAGCAAAAGAGTTTGCGTGGGTGCCACGCGGTCGTCGGGTTATTGTTGCCACTCCCGTCCATGATCTACTATACAGGTGGGTGAAGTGGAAGTCTTCATGGAGGGATTATGGAACAAGAAAAATCATTCGTCATGCATATACATATCCCAGACCACCCGAGAAGAACATCCATGAGTACAGTACAGCCCAATTCTATCCTTCCAACCAAAAATCCGCAGAAAAAACTCCAGCCAAAATCATACTCATAACATGAGCACAGAAACCAAAAAAAAACATGACACTACGAAAAGAAGAGCAAAGTGCTCGAATGCCTCGCCTCAGTCGGTAAGATCAAGGACTTCCACCAAACAAACCAACACCGAATTCCTCCTTACCCTCCCACTTCCTAGGCTTGAGCACCCTCATCTTCCTCACCGGACTCTGATTTTCCTTCTCGCGTTCAAAAGCCTGCAACTTTTCTCTAAGTCGCTGATTCTCATCTTCCAACTCTGCGATCTTTTCATCGCCTTCAGCTTCTTCATCTTCACAAACTTCAACTTCTCCCAAGCCGCGGGTGAGGATTTCAAGCTTCTTGTCGAGATGTTGTTCCACGTGCTCTTGTTCTGCTTCGCGGGCTGCGTGGTAGCGACGACGTTCTGATTCGAGTTGTGATTCGAATTCCTCCCAGATCTCATCGCGGAGTTCCAGTTCCAGGTTCTCGAGACGTTGTTCTGCGGTCAGCCATGATGATTCAGCTTCCTTGCGGCGTTGTGTTTCTTCTTCGAGTCGAAGTTGTGTAAGCTCTAGATCTTGACGAAGGAGTGCGAGTTCAGCGAGTGCGGTTTCCAGCGCTGCGTCCATGGGGGCTGGAGTGGAAGGGGTGAGACGACCTGATGCTGCAGTGCCGGGACGAGCGAGCGGGATCATTGTGCTAGTGTAGCTAGGTACGCGGGGGACGGTGACTTCTCTGGCCAAGGCAGAGTAGCGAAGAATCTGACTGGTGGCGTTGTAGTCCCCAAGGGGATCTGCTGTGACAATCATGATGCCCTTTTGCGGTGGCTTTGGCGAGCGGGCGAGGTGGTGAGAAGATGAGGATGAAGGGAAGGAGTTTGAGAAGAGCAGTTCGGTCAGCTTGCATTGGCGGAAGGGAACAATGTTGGATGATTTGGTAGGATCGGCATTGTCGCTTTGCATCTGCATGCATTGGCCAAGATACATGAGAGACTCGTTGATCTTGCCCGCCTCGGCGAGAGTCGAGCCTGCTGTTTTTGCGGCACGAGCACGTTCGGAACCTGTACTAGTTAGACAAGATTGCTTGAAAAGTGTGATTCAGGGATAACTCACCAGCAAGATCGACAATGGTCAGAGCACTACTTGACCAGTTTGATGTGGCGGCTCCTGCTAGTCTCTTCTTGACTTCGACACAGAAAAAGCCATGACTTCTACTGCTGACAGCATTGCTTCCTGTACCAGCGACTCTACGTTCTGTCAAGCCAGTCTCTAGCACCAGAAGCGCCTCATCAAGGTCCTCGCAAACAACCTTCCTCAAGCCAGCAACAACCTTGCGGTCTGGGCTTTGTTCAGTGCTCTTGTAAAGAAGGTGTCTACGTTTAGCTGTGGCCGTCTTGGAAGGTTGGTATGCGGCTGAACCTGCGAGAAGATCAAAGATGCGGTCGTTGTAAACTTCGTACATGCTGACGACAATGGCAAATTCGGCCGTCTGGTCTACATCGAGGTCGGTGCCTTGAACGATAGGAAACTGGGGCATGCTAGAAACTCGGGGCATGTGGCGCTTGGGGGCCATGGCGGAGGAGGGACGAGGGTTCGACATGAAGGAAACGTCCTTTTGTGGCTGCGTCTTAGCATGACTTCTTGTCACAGGGCGCTGGAGGAAACTGAAGATGGATGATGAAGATGAGGATGAAGATGGTGGCTTGTTGGTACAAGAAGTGACGTGTCTGCTGCCATTGGCGCACGCGGTACATGAAGTGGTTGTGATACAAGATTGATGGTTGAGAGTAGGGTATAGTCCCTGTTTTGAAGGAGAAGTGGGTCGTACCATGAGAGGAGTGGCAGCTCTCGATTGTGCTCTCGAGTGAGCGCGAGTGTCTGACGGAGCATCGCCGTAGATTGACTCGAGGTATTGGTTGGCAGCCGACATGTGCGCTTCGGAGACGTCTGACGCGAAGAGTGATTGGAGTGCGACATGGTCGCGTCTTGTTGAGATGAGCTGGTCTCCAAGGTTCTGGTAGAGTACATCGAGGGCGAGTTGGGTCAAACCACGCTGCGAGCGGGAGCCCAGAATGGTGTGACTCTGTGAAATGTCAGCCTCCCTCCTACTGTGTGCTCTTCATGTACAAGGCGCAGACCTTGCCTGAGCCCGTGACACCGAGAGTAGCGAAGAGACCGTCGCGGCCCTCTCTACCCTCGGCGCCCAGCACACCCTGCATCATGGAACCCAGACCAGTGCCATGGAACAAGTCCAGCTGTGTAGCCTCCTCTTCAAACACCCTTGTGAACTTGAAAGTCTCTACGGCCTTTCTGCGCTGATCGTGTGCTGGAGGGTGGATCGTGATGTGCGTAGGTGCAGCTTTCTCGGCGGCAGCGTCGACGTCGAGGAATCTCTCTGCATTGGGGGCGAATGATGGTCGTAGACGGAGGTAGACCTCGAACAGCGACGAGGTTGTCGGCTTGGTGGGCGCTTCCATGTCTGTTGTCTTGGACAAAGTGGTTGGTCGTGTTGATGAGAAATGTTCAAGCTGTGTATGACGTGAAGCTGTTCATGAATTTCTGTGTTGACCAAACAAAGCGTTGCTAGGGCGCTTCTTCTCCGCGTCGGCCTGATCAATCGCCATTCAGCCGTTCAGCCGCTTATGCTTTGGACTCTCTTCCACCGCTTCCATATCGAACAATAACCATTACTTTCCCTCTGAAATCATGGAGCCTGCCGTGAAACTGTGGGAGCATTTGTCTCTCCACAATTCGTCTCACTTGTTACAGCCGTGACGCCCAAAGAAGCGTCCATAACTTGACTGTCCGGATCCGGACATTTTCAACATGGCTCGGATCAGCCTAGAGCGCGGCCGGAGTATGATAATCAGAACTATCCTGGCCACACATACAGTCAGGATCTCATCAACACTGTACACCATTGTGTTAAACACCTTCTGGAGGATTGACCCTCGCCGGAAGAGCTACTGACCACAATTGAACGATTGATGGTCAATCACACAGAGGGGATGATCCGTTGGGGCACTTCCAGCTGGATCAAAAGTGAACACGACAAGCTTCGTGACGCGGACGCTGGTGCACTCGATTCTTGAAGATTTTTCCTTTGTCATGGATGCTTTCCTCGATTCAAATTCTGTGACTTCCGGATCCGGCGAGGTAAACTCATCGCAGCATGTTTCCATGTCCGAACATCCGTTGCCTGATCAGCACGGTATAGCTTCCACGTCTATCAATACCTGGTACAAGCATCGAATCAACACTTTGCCTCCATCTCTTCGATCAAAATGGCACACAGTTATCTCTCTCTCATCATGGGAGCCCCACCGGTAACACTCTTCAACAAACCCGACCCCAAAGTCCTAGCCAAACACGAATTCCGCAATCAAAAAACCGATCCTAATATCTACCGCCTCCCCACCGGCCACAAATGGATCTACGACAAAATCCTCGGCGAAGGCGGTCAAGGTGTCGCGCACCTCTGGAACCAAGTAGACCAAGACAACACAATCGTCGACCGCGTCGTGATCAAAAACTTTCAACTCCGTCCTTGGAGTGATGTTATATTCTCCGGCCCGGGAAAAGGACAAATCAGGGAAGCGTATGTGCAGCAGAAACTTGTGGATGGGAATACGCTGCCGGAAGACCAGTTTACGGTTGCTACGTTGGCTGTGCAACCCGTGCGAGGGACGAAATTGAAGGCGATGTGGCGGACGTATGCGCCGTTTTACAGTATGGGGAGTTTGAGTGACTTGATCAGGCCGGTGGGAGAGAAGAAACCGCATCCGGAGGCGTTTATTTGGTATACTTTCTGGCGGCTGGCGAAAGGGGTGGTTGCGATGGATGAGAAGTTTCGGAACGAGGACGAGGTGGATCCGGTGGTTGTTCACAATGATCTCAAGCCTGATAACGTGTTTGTCAATCATCCTGGATCGCTGGGCAAAGATGCGGATTATATCATGTTTCCCGCCGCGTATATCGGCGACTTTGGCCTGGCGTTTTTGACTTCGGAGGGTCGACCCAAGAATGGGAAATATGGAGGAACACCCGATTTTGTCGTGCCGGAAAACGAGTTTGATGAAGAAGGAGACAAGGTATTTGAGGATACTGACTGTCACTCAAAGTCAAATATTTGGGCTATTGCCTATATCATCTTACTTCTCATGGAGAGAACCACCGACAGACTACGACCACCAGCAACAGATTACGTCGAATACAACATGGAGTGTTGGGAAATGTTGGCTGTAGAGTTCCCCGGCTACAGAAAAGAATTGATCAGAACGGTAGAAAGCTGTCTCGCCCCAACAATGGAGGAACGCCCTTCTCCCCAAGAACTCTTGGAGACCATAGAAGGCTACCTGGAAAAATTCTCAGATGGCATGAAACGCTGGGGCACACTCCCTTGGGCCACAGACCTACACAACAAACTACAAGCCGAAGCCCACCCATCCTCAACCACTTCCTCCTCCTCCTCCTCCGATGAAGGCGGTACTCCCATCGCAGCACCCCCGAAAGGACTAAAAGGCCTCAAGACCTCCAAAACCTCACCACCTTCCAAATTCTCAAGACCCCCCAAATCCACCATCCCCTCGAAGCGAAAATCCGACGCACCCTTACCCCCCTCCAAACGCCCAAAAGACCAGGACTCACGACTAGACCGCCGTCTCACAAACCTCGCCTACCAAATCCTCTACGGAGCACAAGTAAAAACCCACGCCGAACCTTTCCTCTCCCACCCCTCCTTCATCCTCAAACCGCGCACAAGACGTGTAAAATACAGCACTAAACACTTCCCCCCTATCATACGGCCAGAATTGTTTTTCTACACGCCAGAGCCGGAGAAGAAAGAACATAGAATTGAGCCGAGGGTATTTGTGGATTGGTTGCATGGGATGGGGAGGGAGGAGAGGGAGTTGGTTATTGAGGATAAGTGGTGGAAGAAGCTTTTTGAGGAGGGGGAGATTATTGAGGGGGAGCCGCCTAGGAGGAAGGCGAAGAAGGGGACTGGGGTCTTGCCGTTTAGGGTTGCTAAGGATAATGGAGGGGATGATAAAGAGGGGGATGGTGTGATGCTTTGATGGTAGAGTGGTGGTGTGGGGTTTGTTGGAGGTGATGGTGGTTGTATAGAGGGATCGATGGGGAGGAGAGGAAGGTATGGAAGCTAGAGGTTGAAGCAAACATTTGTCTGAATTTCTAGGAAGGTAGTTGGCAGATGTGGAGACTGTGGTTGACTCGATTCCTCTTTCCAGTCATGACTGACTGCCACTATCAAGTCATTATCATAGTCTATTCGGAAAATGAAAATGATCATTTGAGAAATGTATTGGAATATCCATTCAGTTGATATGCTAATATAGAGAAGCGTGTCATAACGTATTCGAGTGCAAAAGGAAGGAAGAGTTCTCTAAACCCTACGCCCCTCCGTCTCCAGATATTCAACCCTTTGCTCCTTCTCCGCAACACCACCCTTCTCATCATCGAACAATGCAGGCGATGTCTCAACCTTAGCTCCATATCTACCAACCTTCCACCACGGCAACTCAAACACAGCGTCCAAACTCTCCAAACTACGTCCACTAGTCTCAGGCAGGAAGAAGTACACCCAACCCAGACCTAGCAAAGTGATGGCGGAGAAGAAAAACATAGTACCAGCAGTAGTCATACCGACAAACATCTCAGGCACAGCTTTAGAATTGCCATATTGGTTTACAAAATGGAATGCCATAGCGATAGAACCACCCAGCGCGCGGAGGCGAAGGGGGAAGATTTCGGCATTGATGAGGTATTGGATGGAGTTCCAACCCATGGCCCAGCCGAAGCCGGAGAAGTAGATCATGACGATGGCGCCCTTGGCGGCGTGTTTCTGGCTGGATGATTGGATGTCGCCTTTTGAGCCGATGGTGCTGTCGATGGCGAGGAAGAGGGCCATGTAGAGCATGGCGATGAATTGGATGGAGATGCCGATGCTCAGTGAGCGCTTGCGGCCGATGAAGTCGACGAGGAAGAAGGCACACATGATGGCAGAGATGAATTTGACGAGACCGAAGACACCAGTGGCGAGGAGCTTTTCTTGGGTTCCGGTCGTGCCCATGAGAGCAAAGTATTGAGGGGCGTAGACGGTGATTGAGCCGGCGCCACTCCATTGACCGAGTAGTTGAGCGCCAATGGCCAAGAAGATGCGGTAGCGGTTTGCTGGCATGACGAATAGTTCGCGGAGGAGACCGACTTTGGAGGCGCCCATGGTGGCTTCTTGCTCGCGTTCGAGTTGGCTGTTGATGTCGATGATTTCGGTCTGTACGAGTTCGTGATCTTGTCCAAGTCCGCGCAGTCTGCACAAATTCTCAACAGCTTTTGCCTGCTGCTTGGACTTGACTAGCCAACGAGGACTCTCGATTGCGAAGAAGCTGAAGGTGAAGATGATGGCGGCAAAGTAGAGGTGGAGTGTGTTAGGGATGACCCATTGAATAGGGTTGTGATTGCTGATGTGCAATGATGTTCCGTAAGAGGCAAAGTATCCGAGCATGATGCCCAAGTAGACTGAACCGGAGAAGATACCAACACACAGTCCACGAATTGATCGGGGAGCCACTTCGGCGAGATATGTCGGGGCGACGACTGTTGTTTGTCCAATGCCCAGGCCAGCGATGAATCTACCAGCATAAACCATACCGATACTGCCATGAGCGGCAGCACCAAGGAAGATGGAGATACCAGCAACCCAGACCAAGCAAAGCTCACGAACAGCCCACAGTCTGCCAATCTTATCGGTGATGGGGAAAGCGAAGAGAGCACCAAAGATTGAACCAAGTTGGACCATGGAGGTGATGTTGGAAAGGAGGTTGGCCTGCTCGTTCGCAGTCAAGTGTGGGTTCTTCAATCCGAACTGTGTGACGAATGATTTTTGAGAAGTGGTTGTTCCGATCAGACCTTCGTCGAGACCACGGGCAGTGCCCAGCAAGCCAAAGACTGAATTAAGCGTTAGCCACAAGGCTTGGAAAGCAAACTCAAGCAGAACCAAGCATACCAAGCACTGCATAGCCAAGACGCCAGTTGAGAACCTCTTCAGGTAGATCCTTGGCGTAGCGTTTGAACATTGTTGCGACTGAGAATCTTTTGACGGAAGAGAGAAAAGAGAGGAGTGAGAAGGAAAGAAGAAACAGGCAGCGCGAGGAATTAAAAAGGATACGAGTGCCTGCCTGACCCCAATCAACACCCTGCACTTCTCCCCGGCGTCCCCGTGGGACACCCCGGCAATTCGATCCATCCTCCTTCAGTGGAGCATCTGTGGAGCAAGGGGGTCCGAGCGAACATGTCACCTCTGTGGTGGGCGTCCTCACCTGTAGGGGTGACATGTTCGTTCGGACCCTCTTGGAGTCTCCGCTTGAATTGAGTTAGGGCAGTCGACGGCTCGTCCGATAATGGCAAGCGATCGGCAAGAAATCGTGTCTGAGTCGTGCGACCGGTACACTGCGTGGGGCACGTGGGGTTACTTGACTACATATCCTCCGGCAAGAGAAAAGATTATGACCGCAGGGAGATCTCCTCACCAGGCCTCGACGTCTACCAGTGCGAAGGGCATGATCTTGGGCTGCTGAATCTCTGTCCCGTTTATTCTGAAATGTCAAACTGGCCAAGGATGCTTGGATGGTATTGGCTCTTGCTTGTGGCTGGGACGGTGCCAAACTCTGTTCCCTTACCGCTAGTGACGCGCAGAGATGAAGTTGCATCGGCTTGTCGCAGCATTTTCGCGAGGATGACCATCGGCTGCAACGACCGGGTTTCGGCAAAATAAGAAGTCATGCTCCGTGGGCCGAGTACGGGGTACCGATGCGGAAAAGGAGAACCGGAAGCGCCCGATTTCGGAAGCAGAAGCCGACGTTCAAGGGAAACATGTCCGCATCACCAGCCAATGGCAGACTTTCAATAGACACGACCACTCATCAGTAGAATGTTCATGACACGCATCCTACATGGCCATTCAGGGCGTGGCAGTCGAAAATTACTGAATGCAGAACTTTCTCGTCTGACCGATGGATTCGGCCAGACACGGTGGGTAACGCGTTGCCAGAAATTCGCCGCACAAAGTCATTCTCTCCAGCTACTATGGCTGGACTCATGGCCCAGTCTCGCGGAATGTTACGTGACTACTTTCTTTCAAGCTCGTCGCGTTGTCATCTTTCAGCTTCCACCTCTGAGGATGAACATGGATCTTTGTATCATAGTTCTGGGCAAGCCCTTCTTTGTTTCCTCATCACCGGATGCGGCATGTGTAAGGCGCTTCTTTTATTTCAGGACCATGGAAGCCTGAATGTATCAGAAGATGCCGTGCACATCTTTACCAATCTACTTTGACGATAACACTGAAGCATCCGTCGACACCTCGAGCATTTGAACAATGTCTAGTGACGAAGAACGCGCAGCCAAGGAGCTTATCCTCGACAACAACGATCCGCCAAGAGGACCCCTCCTACCTGGTCTTACCTGGAAGTACAAGAAATCCATCGGCAAAGGAGGTCAGGGACGAGCACATCTATGGGTCCTTGTCGATAACAGCGGTAATATAATCGAGCGTCTGGTCATCAAAAATCTCGTAGCCGCGTCCAAAGCTGAGGTCGTCCAAGACGGTCCATCAAAAGGACAACTTGTAGAAGCCTATTATTCACAGATATTGGCGCCAAACGGTGCAAAAGCAGAAGATGTGTTCACAGCACCTGTTCTCGCTTGTGAACCTATTGCTGGGACGGAGAATGGGTGGAGAACTTATGCGCCATACTTCAGCCTAGGAAACTTCGAAACCTTGGTCGAAAGGCATACGGCTTCCTCTCCCTTACCAGAACCCTTCTTGTGGTTTGTACTCTACCGCATGGCTAAAGCCGCTGTCGCTATGGACGAAGTACTCAGAGAAGATGATCGGGGACCAGTCATTGTGCATAGTGATATCAAACTTGATAACATTTTTTTGGCGCACCCAGGGTCATTAGGGAAAGACGCAGATTTTATCATGTACCCACCTGCTTACTTGGCAGACTTTGGCTTTTCATATACGGCGATCAAGGGTCAATCAACACAAGGTCAAGGTGGAGGTGCATTTATGTTCAAACCGCCGGAAATGAGAGACTTGAAAGGAGAACACACTCCATGCTACTCATATACCGTGAGTTTTTCCACCTACTGCAGAGCGAATCTTGCTGACCCGACCTGTAGAACATATGGCAGATAGGATTCTCCGTCTTGCAAGCGATGGAGGGCCTCAAATACATGAATGTGGCCCCTGCCCAAGATCTTGGATACGAGAATACAAAATGGCTTCCATTCATCAAGTCGGGCACATTTTTCGATTACAGCCAGGATTTGATACAAGCAGTAGAAGCTTGTGTCCGGTTCAACCCTGAACATCGAATATCCCCACAATCGCTCCTCAAAAGAATTGAGGATATCGGAAATACTGACATGAAACGCTGGGGAACTGCTTCCTGGATCTTGGACAAACAAATTGAGCAAGCAAAAAAAGATGGAAAAGAGGTGGACTTGGAGGAAGTATACGATATCTTCAAGGACGAAGATGAACCCATTGCTGCAGCTATCAAGAGAAAACGAAAAGCTGAATCCACACTACTACCCAAGCCAAAACGGGTCAAGGAAGCGGCAACGATTGACCAAGATGTCTTGCGAAGAAGACAACAGCTAATTGCCAGACAGATGAGATTGGGCAGGACGAGTCAATCACTTGATGCACATGCAGATGATCACGAATATATTATGCCTGAAGACCTTAGGCTGCGATATTCGAGAGACAAGACTTTCGACTCCCAGGAATACTTCACTGGGTCGGATCCTGGTGTCGTTGTGTACAAGAATCTCAAGTCTGGTCTCAAATTGAAGTTGGGCAAGATAGTCGCCAAGGATTCTGGTCTCAAGCTGAAGTTGGACGATATCATAGCGAAGAAGTCTGGTCTCAAGCTGAAGTTGGGCAAGGTCGTTCCAAGGGACAAAATTAAGCCAAAGACAGTGTTGCCCCCAGTATCTGTAGCGACAGGTACGCCAGCAGTATTGGCAGCGTCTGAAATACTTGCAACTCCTCCAGCAAAGGCAGAACATACCATCGCACGACCAATATCTCCAGAAAAGAAGACCATCCTCGAGGGCGGCTCCGGACTACCGGGTGCCCTCCTTGCCGTCGAGGGAAAATCTCCAGTCACCGAGACAAAGCCGCGTGATGTGTTTGCTCCAAGCACTGATCCTACCGATCCCTTGCAAAATGAGAGGATGCGCTTACTAAGTGCCCTTATAGAATGGCGTTCGGAATGGTCAGAACCCTGGAAAAAATCCTCCTCTCACTGGGTCGGCGTGAAGAACAAATGCAAAGCAAATGCCGATGAAAACACCACCGCTCCCGAATCACACTACTGGTCATCTCGCAGCATCTGTGCTGACATGAACGCCCAGGAAAGATTGGATGCGATGCTCTACTCTAGGAGACAAATCAAGTTCTCGTTGCACATGTGGAAGGCATCTTTCTTGGATAGACAACAAGGGGGTGATGGAGAAGCAACCATCCTGAGGAAGACGCTACAAGAGCTATCCAAAGATGCGGACGAAGATGACGATCTAAACGGGCCTGTCATACCTTATACTGAGGCAGTACTTGTTCTGCCGCCTTTCAACAAATTTATAACCCTTGTTCCGAAGACTACACAGACGAAAGCAGCAGCAAAGACTTCTGGAAGTACCAAGGAAACGGCCGTGGACTTGACATCAGATCCTGCTATAACACCGACTAAATCAGCCATGGGTCCCAGTGCAGCTGCTGGAGGACCGGGGCCCGCCCTCTTTCCACCGCCTGGAAAAGGAAAAGCGAAAGCGACGGACCCTGCAATTGTTCCTGCGCCCAAGCCGACTCCGAAGCCTAGGGATCCCAGGATTAAGGCATTGGCCAAAAAACTTATGGCAAAAAAATGATCGCCCACCAAACTTCCGACCCCTCTTCTACCATTCGCTGTTGCTAAATCACCACCTGGTAAACACACTGAGTCAACAGGTGATAAGCCTGCCAGACCGCCAAGTGGTAAACCTGGTCCATCAACCAACACAGGTGCGAGAGACAGATAACTGGATAGTCCAATCAGGTTTCAACCCCTTAAGACAGGCCGAAACTCTGCATGTTAGTTTACCTTTTGGTTTCGAGCTTCGCGTAGTCCTATTGCGAACTTCCGACATTTTTTCGTGTTTTGTATTGTTTTCTTATCTTCTAAGTACTGGTGGCATTCTCTCACAAAAATTGGTGCACGCGCGTGGAAACAACTTAGTATTTCTTATCGACAGACATATTTAGTAAACAGAGGCATGATAATTTCTCCCTTATTCCAGCCGCTGAAGACTGCTTTTTCATGTTTCAAATCAGACCGCATTGATACCATGCCTTGCGAAGAATGAACTGCGGTTTCCGTGTATGGCACGACGGAAGCAGTGGAACGCCATTCTCAACGCCGAGCATGAGGTCAGCGTTGAGAACGTAATGGCCCGCGGAAAAACCTTCGACTTGTCGACCTCCACTCTGCCTCAATCACGACGACGACCAAGGTGTCGGTAGGTCGTTGCGTATCAACACAGGCTCTCACGAGTAATTTCCACACGACTTGCCTATTGAGGCCTAGCGATGGTAATTTCAACACAACTGACCAGGACGCCGCGCGTGTTGAGGCGGGCATCAGAAACCATGCGGTAACGTGTCCTAGCAACACACTCTGTTGACCAGTGTTTATTCACTAAGATGGGGCACAGCTGAAGTTCTGTAACTCGTTGATTTCAAGCTCGAATGTGCGCTGGTACTAATGTTTGCGCCCGAGATCTTTTCATCAAAGATTCGACGGACTTGGCTGCATTGTGTGATTGTTCCATCCTTTCTGCTGATCAGGTTAACATGCGGTGGACTTCCGGAAACTAATTGAGACAATGAAGTGCTCTCAGCGACTCGGTCTCGATTTTTGGGACCAAAGACACTGCATTTCTTTTCAACTTTGTCGCTGCCGCATCCGGCAAGTCCTTTGTCTAGGCTGTCAACCCCTACCCCTATGGCTTTATTCCTCCAACTGCCTCACGAGCAATCACGAGTCCGACTTATGTGTACACTTCGGACCACCGACATCAAACACTCAGAACTAATCACCACACAACCTCGACAAGCATGACAGATCGCGAAGCACGGCGTCAGGAACGCATGGAATACGAGCTCCGAGCACTTCCTCGCCGACCCACACCAGACGGACACAAATGGATGGTCGACAGTATTATAGGTGAGGGTGGCTTTGGTAGAGCCTATCTCTGGAATCTGGTCCGCCGTCGTGACCAGGTCGTAGTCGATCGCGTGGTGATCAAATACTGCGAACCAGATACCCACGATATTATCGCTAGACATGGGCCCGGATTTGGAGAAATCGCAGAAGTTTTCATGCAGAGATCTATGATGCATGATAGCGAGGATCCGCTGGACGACTTTACCGTTCCGTTGTTAGCCGCTGAGCATTGCTCATGGGCTCTGGATGCCTGGAGATTCTATACACCTTATTACAGCTTTGGCGATCTCTATAAATTCATACTCAAGCAAGGTGTAGAGAACCCGGCAACCCCCACAAAGGGCCACAGACAGGTTCCGGAACCTTTTGTGTGGTATCTGCTACACCGACTCGCTTGCGCAGCAAGAATCATGGACCAAACACTCGCCAACGAGGACATGGATTATCAAATAGTCCATTGCGACTTCAAGCCAGCCAACTTGTTCCTAGGCGCTCCGGGATCATTAGGGAGTCGCGCACAGTTCCCGATCTATCCTCCAGTCTATGTCGGCGATTTCGGAAATGCGAAAATCACGTATACTGGAGATTCCCGACGACATGAAATGGTAGGGACTTGTACGCCGGGCTGGTCAGCACCTGAGATTACGCCATTCACAAGTAATCATATGCCCAAAAGTTGGCAAGCTCCTGCCAGCTCCAAGACAGTGAGTACAATCACAGATCATGACCTGAGTGTTTGTGTTGCAAATCGACCGTGACAAATCGTTTCTCTGCACAGTGTCTCGACATCGAGAGATAGTGGGGCGATTTCTCATCGACCGGATTCTGATACAGCATTAATCACTCTTACACTCTATGTCAGAAGTAATGCTAACTTCAATTACAGAACATCTGGCAGATTGGCTATGTTCTCTTGAGCATCATGCAAGGCAAAGTCGATCATCCTGACGGCGATATCAATTGGGACACTTTGAGATCCATCGAGTATGCGCCAAGATACAAGCCGTTGCCAAAACGCACACCAGAACTCGAAGCAGAGAACCCGCTCCGAGTCAAGTACAGTACTGAGTTGTTGGACACACTTCATGCATGTGTGCAGTTCGATCCTGAGAAGCGACCAACCCCTGAGGAATTGCATGCGCACGTCAGTGCACACACACTCGACCACACTGATGGTGTAGAAGACTGGGGCACGTATGACTGGTTCCAAGACAAGTGTGAAGAGGTAGACCCCGATTCGGATCTGGACGACGTTGACGAGCATGGTCACCCCATAGCACGCGAAGAGCCAATCAAAGGTCAAGGCTCGGAACTGCTGCACAAGCTGATGCGCGCATTACACCTTCCTGGTGCTAGAAAGAGAAGTGGACGCAAGGGTAAATCGGGGAAAACTCCAATCGTCAGAACTGAATCACCAGTGAGCAGAATGGCAAGGAGGCGAAACGACTACAACCGCCGCAAAAAGATTGTGGCTCGTCAAATCAAGGAGGGTCTCGAACCGAAGCTCAACCGCTTCGTGAGCACTGAACCGAATGACGATGTCTTCAATCTCGACGACAAGTACAAGCTCATCCATCCTAGGGGCGACCACCTACTCAACAGCTACTGGGCTGCACCGCCACCTGCCAAGAGATCGTTCACATCATACATTGATGACATGTTCAGCTACTATGATGCGAAGAAGGCTTTCGAGCAAGCCCATCCCAACGCCTTTGCGCCGCTCACAGGACTGGACTCGTACGATTTCAGGCTCAATGGTCAGCGAAAGGGAGAAATTTTCAGTGACGACGAAGACTATGAGGAGTCTTTGCAGGCAGCCTTAGCCCATCAACGTGCACAAGAAGCTGGAGAAGCGGATTAGTCTCCCTGTTTGCTGACGCTTGCCGCTTCCGTTCTCGCTCTGGCGGAGCAAGGATTATGTGGCTTTACGGTTACTTGATTACAAGCTTCGCACACTGGGATGGGACTTTTCAGACGACGGTGTCTTGTCAGCTATTATCTGTCACTGCGATGTCTGATTAGGGTCTGACCTTTGAACTGTTTCCCCCCATTGACTTTAAACATTCCGTTCCCGCGTTTTTGCTTTATGTATATTGGGTCGTTTTTTGTTTGGTTTCGCGGTCCTATCTCACTGGATATAAAGTTTTCGAGTATTATATCTCAATTCATAGGAACATCAGTCCCAACTTCTCTACATTGTGCCTCTCGGTGTCAGTCACGTAGGAAGATCGTCTCGGTAGGCTGTAAGCTGGAACTAGTCCTGCTTCTATGGCCCCATGATTGCCGCAGCCTTGTGAACCTAAGTGGGATGATGAAGATGTGCAAAAGAAACGACTTCACTGCCACAACGGTTGTCTAGACAGAATGAGAAATCATAGCGACGATCTGTTAACACTTATTCATGAATGCCTTCAGTTCGATCCAGCCCTTCGTCCTACACCGCAAGACTTGGTAAAGAAAATCGAACCACTCATGCCCGGGCACTTCGACGGCATGAACAGATCGGGCACCTAGACCTGGTCGAAGAAGAAAGAAGAAGAGCTCATCCTTTTCAATTTCAGGACAGACCATTCGACCAAATCTATCCACTAACGTGATACAAATCGGAACAGAAAATCCTACAGAAGGGGGAATCCAAGACGACACCAAGATGCAAAGAAGAAATGGGGGGAGGATTGTTATCGAGCAGATCAGAGATGGAAAGAAGGGGGATCGAATGGAATAGATCAGTGCCGTTGTCGCCTTTAGAATATAGTAATTAGAGGGGTTCGTTGACCAAGGGGGCTGAGATGATGGTTGGTAAGGAGAAGAATTTGTTGTATCATGATACAATCGATAAGTGTTTTGATGTAGATGCTTACTGGGACAGGAAGGAAGAGGAACCAATTTGTTTTTGAGGTGGAGGTGGAAGTGGAGTATGCGAAGTTTGGATTGAGAACAACGTGGCTGCTGATGATGTAATTATTTCTGTTGATCCTGCCGATGTTGCTCCTGCAGTTGTGACTTATGCCGCGGCTGCTGCTGTTGATGAACTATAGAAACAATAAGGGGACATTGATTTGATAGGGCATATATTTAGATAGAGTTGTCGGTGGTACTCCCATGATATCCAAAATCCATGATCAAGCTTATGGTCATCCTCGCTCAATGAATGCACAGTATCCTCGAAGTTGATACGATACTAAGCAAAGAAGCACCAGCCTACACACCCTCGTTGTGTTCATCTTTAACGTGTGAACAATCGTGCGAATTCTATGGCTGCGTGCGTGACAATGGTAGCACTCAGGGCAAGAGAACGACTGATCGAAAGTGGAGTGAAGCCATGCGATAGATCTGCGAATCTGAATGAACTAAAAGTACATCGGTACTATCATGAGAAGAGACGCTCGAGCTCGGTCATATCGAATGTCATGATCAATGGATGGCCATTTGGTCGAACAAGTGCTACTGTGGCAATACCAACGGAACATCTGCCAAAATCGGGTCTGAAGTCAGTTGGCAACCAAAGAAATGGACTGGTGCCAAAGAAAATCCAGTCGTCCCTGATCGAGAGGAAAGAGCGATCATCTGAACATGAATGGTCGTTGGTCTGAACTCGGTGGTAGCCAAGATATGATCTGAGATACCGCCCATCTTGTGAGAAAGAGAGAAATGCGCTGTACAAAACAAGACTGTCGACCAGCATTCTGCTCTCTATATTCCAGAGCTCGATATCATGATTTACGTAATCAGCCGATGCAATCAGTTTCTCATCGGGCGAGAAAACAATAGTGTTGGTCTCATTTTGGCGCTGATGCTTGTTTAAACCACCAAGCATATTGTTCACAGTACCCGATGTTACGTCCCAGAGTTTGAGTATCCCGTCTTCTGATACAAAGACAGCTAGTCTGCCGCTGGGCGAAAAAGCGAATGTCCTTCCAAAGCTTTCATGATTATCAAGCTGGATTCGGTCCATTGTTGTGGTATTCCATATTGCAGATGTCCAAACGCCCCACAGACATGATTGAGAAGCCAAGAGCATACCGTCTGGTGAGAACACAACATTTTCGAGACCTTTTGGAGCATGGAGCGTCCAACATGGTGTTTCTGTGGCTATGTTCCACAATTCGACGACATCACTTCCCAACACAATTGCTAACAGCTTACCATCTGGCGAGAAGACAACTTCTGAGGTTGTATGTGTGCAGCTGAACTTACGGCACAGCGCCCCCGTCTCAACATCCCATAGATTGACAGATAGGTCTTGCGATGCGGACGCCAGTAGCTTGTCGTCTGGAGAAAATGCGAGCTTGGACACAAGTCCTGCATGGCTGGCGAGCGTGAGGGGAGGTGCTCGCGTTTCTAGGTTCTGCAACTTGATGATGTGATTATGTTTAGTGCACACACACGCGACCAAATTTTCATTCTGGTTGAAAGCAACCGCATCGCCTTCGAGCTCGAGACGGCCAGTATGAGCGCTCCACAGCTTCGTCGAGCCTTCATGACGCGAAGTCACTAGTTTACTGAGAGGCGAGACTGTGATATTATACACATTCGGGGCATCGGGTATGTCATGGCTTGATACTGTCGATACATCCCACAACTTGACTGCGGAGTAGGTTCTAGAAGCCAGTGTCGTACTGTCAGGTGAGAACTCAATGTCATATTTCCCCATGAAAACAGAGTGTAGTGATCTTGTTGCTGTATCAAAGAGCTTGATTTGAGAATCCGCTGTAGTGACTGCAAACAGTTTGCCGTCGGGCGAAAAAGCGGATGTGTAAGCTGTTTCCCCGGTACCGAGTTTGTTTCTCAGTGCGCCTGTTGAAGCTTCCCAGAAATTGATGTACCCATTCACGTCTGCAGAAGCAATGGTCGTGTCGTCATGCATGAACGCAATTGCCGTCACCCGGGTCGAATGGCCTTTGAACACGCAGCGCAGCTCTCCTGCCACTGCATCCCACAGACGAATCTCCCCGTCTCTTGATCCAGAGGCGACGTATTTGCCATTCTGTGAGGCTGCGAGTATCTCAACATAATCCGTGTGGCCTTGAAGTAAGGAAAGTGTCAATCCCGTGGCTGTGTCCCAAATTCTGACTGTGTGGTCGTCAGATGCAGAAGCAAGTACTTCTCCGTTGCTTAAAAAGATGATTGCATTGACCCTTTTTGAATGACCCGTGAATATTTTGCATACTTCCTGTGTTCCCAGATCCCTCAATTTGATGATACCGTCCGAATGTGTAGATCCTATAAGCCTGTTGTTAGGCGAGAAACTAATAGCTTCTGCAATATGAGAATCATCCTGTATAGTGCTATGCAGCGCTCCTGTCTTCGCACCCCAGAGTCTAATCGTTTTGTCGTTTGATGCAGAGGCGAGTATTTTACCATCTGATGAGAAGCAAACTGCGCGAATCCAATCTCGATGACCCTCAAGTGTCTGTAGACACGCGTCCCAGTTGTCTTCTACCACCGGAGCCACTTTCAGCCACTCGGCACCTAGCCAGAATTTTTGACGTGTTATGCTGTGGGTCGGAGAGAACATCAGGGCAGAATAGTACATTTGCAGTGGTGACTTGTCAATGATATATTGGTTCCGCAACACGAAACGTTTCGCGTCGTGAACAAAAGCCCGAATATGAGTACTTGCAGCTCCCTAGATTTGACATCCAAGTATCAGCACGAGTCCAAGATTCAATTCTGGACACAGTCTTACCTCAGCGAGCAGATACAACATGTCGAACATTTCGATACTCATTGCCAGGTCACCCATCAATGCAAGAGCTTCTAGCCAGTGTAGCATGTGCTGATTTAGGAAATTGTGGATGTGATCCCCGTCGTAGATAGGGTTCTTTCCCTGATCGGCATGCTGTATCCAATATCGACAAGCATAGCGAAGCTCCGCGGGTAAAAACTTCTTTAAGGTCTGTTGTCCAATTTCGTTTCGCGTCGTGCCTGGTTTCCGCAATTGACATAGGTCGCGACGAAGATGTCTGGACATCAGTTTGACGCACATGCCCGCAATCTGCGCATGTAATGCAGGCTCATTGATCAAGAAAGCCCTAGGGCATTGATTTGGATCAACAAGGTAGTCATGGAAAGAAAGATGAAAGAGGCGAACAGGCCTCCCCTTGCTCTCAGATACGTCCAGAACAGAGTGAAGAGCAGCCAATGTGAGACGGATGTCGAAGTCGTCTGGCTGCAAGAGAGTCTCCAAAGATGCTATGGACAACGGCTCAAAGACCGTGATGATGACGCCAACGACTTGGCGAAAGTCAGATGCCCATCGGCCTTGATCCTCTTTGTCGCGTCCGAGACACATCTGCTCAAGCACTGGTCTATAGGTAGCATCGAGTTTGGAGTTTCTGTGACGTTGTTCTAGAATGGCCTGTAACTGATGTACAGGATTGCGCGTCGGATCCTTCACGAATCTGCACACAGTGGAGGCGAAGATGAATAGCGGCACGGCCATATTCACCAGTTTACAAATGCTTTCGTCGCCTGGCCAGTCTTGCCTGTCGTTGTTTCTCATTGTCGAGGCGAGCTCCTCAAACTCAGATCTGAAGAAAGCCTCAATGTCATGTGCGATAATATGTTGAGGGATCTCATGAAGGATCACAACGTGATGAATGTTGTCTTGCATATCCTGGAACTCGTGTCGTATTGGTAGTTCTGGCCTGCTCGTGACGAAAACTCGCAGCCTTAGCTTTTGAGGACCATTGAAGAGGACAATCAGTTTGAGTATTGTCCGAATATCACTGGCGTCGTTGCATTCGTCCAAGGCATCGATAACAATAACGTAGACAGGTGTTTGAGTTCCGGCGCCGTCATCTTGTACGCTAGCAAGAGGTTGGTAAATTAGTTTCTCAAATTGCTCCCTGAGAGACTTAGATGGAATATCCGGCTCGGTCTCCAAAACTTCTAGTAGTTTCCCTAGGATATCCGGTATATGACGCGCCAATTGCCTTGCCAACGTTGGAAACAGCTTCTTTGCGTTTGCACGATCACCATCGCCGCGTTTGAAGAAGAAGTTCGCCCCAAGACATCCTGTTGTGTTGAACTGCTCAGCGACTGACCGCGAGATAGTGGACTTTCCAGCTCCAGCAATACCATTGAGCCAGAAGATAGATTTGCTGTGAGACGATGTACTCCAATCTTGGATATCGGCCAAGAGATCGACTCTCGTTCCGGGAAGGCACTGATTATTCTTGCGCTCGTCATATGAGTCAAAAGTGGCTTCCTTTAGAGAGTGATTATCTAGAAGCGCTAGCTTCTGGCTTATCATTTGACGCTACATAACTAATTAGCACAAGTCATATTGCCCAAAACTTTCAACTTTCCTCGGAAAGCTTTGCAATACCCTCATTGGACAGCCCAACTGCCTCCTTGATATCTGCGATGTCTGCAAAGACGTTAGCTATGTCTCAACTAACGCCGTGAGGCAAACACTACCTTGCAAAGGCACAGAGCATTCTTTGACTTTGTCTATGGGCAGATGGAAGAAAAGCTGACGGGCATAAGCCGCAGCCACGGCTGATCCAAATCCATGCCAATCATCATTCTTGTGCGAGTCTGCATAATCCGATATTCCACGCACGACAAGACAGGGAACTGATGACATTGCTCCTGCGGCCTCGCATTCGTAGCAAATGGCATCCAGTGGCTTGGCGATCGCATCTCGTTGGGCGCCGTTCTTCATCACTGTCTCTCCGGAAAGGATAGTTCCTTGGTGAATTGTGATGTCGGGTTGCTCCACAACCTGTGAGTCAAGAGTCTCATTGCTTGGTCCTCGCAAAATCCTTTTGCTATGATCACACTGCGCTTCGTCACATGTAGCTCCTTTGACGAGATGTGTATATGATGGTTCGTAAACATGATCTCTCCTTCTACCCGGGTATTGATATCTTTTGAGCCTCCTCTTGCTAGTATCAATCCGACTGAGGTGCTCAAGGAGAGGGTCGTCATCCGTCATATCCCGTTTGGCAAGGAGTGTGTTCGTAGCAGCAAGCAGAACCTGTGGTGGAGGCGCAAGTGTGCCTTTCAGCTTGAAGCCGCTAGCTTCGAATTTGCCGCGATCGTGTTGTATGACACCTTCGCTGACGACAACGTCTCCAAGTCGGACGGGACCGTCATCCGTTCTCACGGGTATCCCACCACCGATACCAACCAAGAGATAGAACCTCAATGCCTGGAAGGTACGGCTCATGTTGGTCATGACCCGAGCAGTTGGGCTATTACCAGTCTTCGGAAGCGTTGCAAGGACAACATTGTGTCCGTTGATACTCCCGAGAGTATATATATTCTCGTCCGCGACGTCTTGTCCAAGGATTTCATGCTCTTCGTCCAGCATCAAAAGTGCCGCTGTGTACTCGACGCGCATGGGACAGATCCAGCCAACAACATAATCTTCATGAGTGAGCTTTTTCTTTATGGTTGCCATGGTGAAATGCGTTCAACGATCCCAGCAATCGGGGAACACCAGCAGCGAGAACAAATGTTTTGCTGAGTCGACTAGGAGCGTGTGTGTGTTACAAAGTCGGCAGGACACTCCTATGTACACACAAGTTTTGGAGCGGGAAAGAGTCACGCGGCGACGAGCAGGTACTTCATCTCGAGTACCTCACAGCCTTGCGTGTCGAGCAGGTACTTCATCTCGAGTACCTCACAGCCTTGCGTGTTGATTCCCGGATACGCTGGCCACATTTTCGCCAGATACGCTGATTAGTGATAAGCTGCATTGCTGTGCAGCAATGTGGCGGAGGGGACACGGCAGGTCGAGGACACTTACTGGAAATGGAAGCAGCTGAAGGATACTCTGAGGCTTGAAGGATGCTTATCTTGAAGTCTCCAAGGATCTCCAATTCGCTGCAGTCCTCAATATGCAGGCTCTGAAACGCGTCAATGTGCGCGCTATCTGGCGACTATGGAAACACCCTCCTTTCCCGTGCCCTGCTACGGACACCCATACAACCCGAACTCGAATGATTTCACTGACGACCTGAAAATGAACATGCCGTAACTGGGTCGTGATATTGGTACTGAGGCGTCGAACATGATCTCTTCCTCAAATTGGATAGAGGAATGCAGGAGAATAAGAAGACATGGAAATCGCATTGGAAGCAGATATCTCTCCACGCCCTAGCGGATATCCACAGCAGGTCCCTTTCCAACACCCCTCCTTCTCTCCCCTTCATCCCCGTCCTCATCACCAAAACTCTTAGCCCTCTCCGTCGTCCTCGTGATATCCTCCAAACTCCTTCCTCTAGTCTCATCCAACCCCCACCAAGCCCCTCCCGCGATAACCAAATCCGCCAGCCCCCAGAACAAGAACGTACCCCAGCCCAAATCTTTGATCATATATGGTGTACTGATCGAGTATACGAAATTCCACAGCCATTGCGAGGATACGGCGATGCCTATACCAGGCTCTCTGATTCTAGTGGGGAAGATTTCGGAAACGTAGGGCCATGGCAAAGGTCCCCAGGAGAAATTGTAGGCGATGACGAAGAGGTAGATTAGTGCTACGGTGGCGATTCCTGAACTCGTTACCGTGGCGTCGCCGAGTGGTGGTTTTGCCTTTACAATAGCGGCGGTGGAGATCTGACAGGCGGCCATGACCAGGGCCCCGAAGGTGAGAATGTACTTGCGATTCACGCGTTCGGCGACGAAAATGACGAAGGTCAGACATGCGGCTACTTTTATGGCGCCGAAGATTGCGGTGAGCAGGAGATCATTGTTTCCTTTACTCCCAACCAACAACTTGAAATATTGTGGTCCGTATGTCGCAAAAGCTGTAGCTCCAGTGGATTGTTGCGCAATAAACACCACAGCAGCCGTTGCCGTCCTTTTCAAATTGTCAGGCTTGGTGTACAATTCTTTGAGCTGGAAGCCTTCTTTTTCGCGCAGTTCCGTCTCGACTCCAAGGCGGATCTCGTCCATTTCTAGTTGCGCGGTAGGGCTGCTGTCGGCGCGGATCCATTGCAGAGATTCCCAAGCTTCCTGGTGGCGTCCCTTGAGTGTTAGCCAGCGAACTGATTCCTTCAAGGTAAACATTCCGAGACCCAAGAGAGCGGCGGGAAGGATTTGGATGCCAATGGGGATTTGCCATTGTTTTGCTTCAGAGGTGGAGATGTTTTTGCCGACGCCGTAGTCGATCCAGTAGGAGGTGAAAATACCTGTGGTGCAGGGTTAGAAAGGTGCCATCTCAGGAGACTGGACAGTGTTTACCCAAAGTGTAGAAAAGCTGGTAAAAACTTCCAATCTGACCACGCAATTCTTTCGGAGCCATCTCACTAGAGAACATAGGCACGACAACGCTACTTCCACCCAATCCAATACCAGCAATAAACCGAGCAGCCAGAAAAGCGCCAAAAGAATGCGTATTGATCGTCTGAATAATAGCACCGACAACAAAGATGCTCGAACACAGCACCAACGCCCACTTGCGACCGAAGCGATGAGTGACAGGCCAGATGGCAAAGCACGCGAGGAAAGCTCCGAGTTGTTGTAAACCGACAGCTAGAGAACTGTTTCGCGTCGCTTCTTTTTTGGTATATCCAAAGTCGTTTTCGAAAGATGCAAGAGTTAAGACACCACCTTGATGATGCGACGTCAGTGAATGTCAAGAAGTCATGTGTTAGGTATACATACCGATGATGCCAGAGTCATAGCCAAACAAAAAGCCGCCCATGCATACAACGCATCCGAGCCAGTAAGCTCTAAAAGTACCCGCCCGTGTCATGTTGGACTCGGAATGACGACGAACAAGTGGCTCGATGATATCGGAAGTTGAGCGAGACAGAAGTGCGACCTCAGGACCGACGACATCTTCGGGGTCATCCTCCATCTTATAAGGATTGCGAAGAAATCCCAAAGGCACGTAAGCCACGTGGAGAGGAGCACGAAACCAGAAATGATTCGGGGAAGCAGAACAACAGCCTGCTTGCCGTGCTACGGGGATAGGTTGCTCCTTCCGTGTCGTAAATCGAACAAGAGAACGCTGAAAGGCTTCCCCTCCACTGACAAGACATTACCTCGCCTTCACAAAGCTTAATAGACGTGCTTGATTGGATACCAAACCTACATCTTGGCATGCAATATCTTGTCGATCCCAGATGTCGCAAATTCTCAGGGCGATGGTGTGCTTTCAGGAATACTGTATGCAGCAATGATAAGAACGCATTTGCACGCAACATCACCTTTTTCTCCAGATGAATCGATTCGAGGTTTCGCCATTCTGATCGGTGATTCTTTTGTTCCTACTGTTGCGTAGCAAGGAACAATATGAAGGCTAAAAGATAAGATGAGGCTGGAGTTTGAGGCTAAGGTTTCTCCGCAAAGGCACCCCGCAATCGCGACTGCTGGATTGGGATTGGTGTGGTGTTGCCAACAACACAACATCGTGGGCTAGTCTGGTCCTTCTTCTAACATCAGAGCAGTACATGGTCTACTCACTAGGGGAAAAGGAGTACTGGTCTCGAGTAATTACCTTACAGCGGTGGATCTCTTGCTAGATTCACACTTGACCATCAATGCCAATATTCCAGCAATCAGCATCATGACTATTATGCTCGACATGGACTCGGACACAGGAAGATTGTAAACGTCCTGAGTCCCGAAATAATAATGATTCCATTGCGGAATAGAAAGGGAATTATCCATTCCCAAGTTTCCACTCTATCTCCCCAACCCCAAATCAGAAAACCACAGTCCAAAGAATGCATCTTAACCTTACCTTTCACGCAAACAAAAATCAAAATTTCATGATCAACATCCAAAGATTCCCCTGCAGAGAAGTGTTCCCTAAAAGCCGAGGAACAGATAAAGCGGTAACTGTGATATTCTGAATATCCGAAGAAGATCTAATATAAACATCAACGACGAGAAGAACGATAAGACCCTCCATCTCTATCTACATCCCTATCCCTTCTCCTCCTCTCAGATCTATCATCATCATATCTCTCCCTCCTCGACGACGATTTTTCATAATCTCGATCTCTGGTTTTGTGATCGTGGTCGCGGTCTCTCGAGCGATCTCTGCGGCTTGATGATTTGTCGTGGTCGCGATCACGATCTCTCTTGCCTTCGCGATCTCTTGATCTTTCTCTTCTGCTATCGCGGTCTCGATCTTTCCGATCCTGACGGTCCTTGCGGTCGTAATTTCTGCTTTTGTCATGATGGTCGTACTCGCGATCTTTGCGATCGGAATCTCTTTCTCTATCCCTCCTGCGACGTCTTCTTTCCTCGTCATCAGAATACTCGTCTTTTCGTCGTCTATCTCTATCCCCATCATCCCTTCTATCCCTTTTCTTATCCCTGATTTCCAAATCACTGACCACAAATCTTTGGTTTTCAGCTTCTTCTTTATCCCTGCGTATTTTTTCTTTCAGTTCATCTTCGGTCAATGTCTCGCCCGTCTTTTTATTCTTCATGGAAACAGGGATGAACATGGTGGGTTCTTTTCTGCCGTTGGCGCGGGAAGAGGAAGTTTTGCCCCAGGCGCCTAGTTCTTCCGCTTGGGCTGCTGCGTTTGGGTCGGCGCCTATACCTAGCAATGCTGGTCGTTTTGGGGGTGGAAGTGGTTTTTTGCCGTTTCTGGTGGGCAAGGAGGGGGTGGTGGAGGGGCCTTTCCAGCCCATGCCGCGGAGCATGGCTGCGCCGTATTCTTCTACGGGGACGGCTGCGTAGTCGGAGAGGGAAGGGGCGGGTGGGGCGGAGTGGAAGGAGTCGGCGAAGGCGTCTTCTTCTGTTGCTGCGGCGGCGGCTGGGATTGTGAGGGTGGATGTGGGAGCGGCACCAGTGAGGGCATCGATGGCGAGTTGATCTGCTGTTTTCTTGACAGCTCTCTCCTCTTGCTGATCTGCCTCTTGTTCCATAGGTGTATCCTCTTCCACCGCAGCAGCAGTTGGCGCAAACACATTCAATCCATATTTGACAGCATCCGTCTCTTTGACTACTTTATCCACTCCTTGCGCATCCCCCTGGGCATTTTCCTTCCTCGCATCCAATTGTTCAGAAGTGATGCCATATTTCTGCGCTCGTTGTCGTTTGGACGCTTCCCTCCAATCGCGATTCGCCAATGCCGAAATAACCAGTGGTTTCTTCTCTTCCTTTTTGGGCGCTTTGGAATCTACAGCTCCTCCGGCAGCGGTGTCGAAATGGGTTATTGTCTGTCGTTTTGCAGTACTTGCATCTTCGTCGTCACTAGCGTCGTCGAGAAGGGCTGCGTGGTCGCGTTTCGTGCCATTTGATCTTTTGGCCGGTGGTGGAGAGCGTCGTTGTGAAGGTTTTGATGAGGACCCTCCGAGGGAGAAAGAGAGGGAGTTCATCTTGATGCGCGCGAGTTGCGGTGTTGTGTTGAATGAGTGGAAGAAATGGAGGTCTGGAAGTTTTGTCGATGCGCGCGTTGACGTAGTGTGCCGAGTCAAGTCGGCGATCTGTGCATGTCTTTCTTGGCTGCTTGGGCACCCTGGACGTCCAACTTCATCTCCTACAAGTTTACAACTTCATGTGTAACCATAACATTAACACAATGTAACGAAATCGCACCTGTGTAGACGTATAACTTTAGTGAGAGATATCCGGAAGGTTATGAACCCCAGTCGTGCTTCACGTAACCGGTCGCCGTCCCAGGTTTACATCAAATCCACGAAACATCTGATCAAGATGTGCGATTGTTTACCGAACCAAGCAGATGTCCAGAGGAAGACGAAAGATGCCAGACTTTTTGTGGACTTCTCGAGGGACCGATACAGCATTGTGCCTGGATGCAAGAGTCTGATGATTTAGTCGTTCACTAGGAGTATGGAAAAAGTGTCCAGCAGACCATATCAATTTCTTTGCTGTTAGACTAAGGCGAAAAGTTATTTTCTGCCGGGTAGGACGTCGCATACTTTTTGCGTCGCCTCATCATAGTATGGAACAAGAAAGGGTAACCTGCGTGTGCATACCCTCATCTCGCTCTCCCTGTCTCCCTGTCTCTCTCTCTCTCGCTGCAAAAGTATCGAGGTGAAAGTATCTGCCGCAATGCAAGAAGAACAACCTCAGCCCTTCCCTTCCACTGAGGACCCAATTATCTCCTGTTTCCTCCAATCCTTCGAAAGTGTTCAAGCGGTAGTGTCTCTGAGCAAGACGTAGGGCTTTGACTCGTGCGTGACAACAAGAGGGGTGTCGATCATACGCTTCTGGTTGATGGTGTGGACGGCGACAGCGAATGTGGTCTTGCCCTGGTTGATAATGCGCTCAAGACCCATGATGTTGGCCATGCTCAGAGCAAGCGACTCCTGCTTGAAACCGCTATCATCGCCGAAAATGTCAGTTGCTAGATCAGCAATGGTGATGTCATGCTCGATCTTGACAGCGTTGTCACGCTTCTGGGCCTCGTCAATGAGTCCGCGCAGACCTTTGTCATCACCCAGACCATCGAGAATAGCACGAGGAAGGATGGGAGTGACGGCGCTCTTGTCGTTGCAGTAGCCGCAGTCGACATCATGGGCGAGAGTGAAACCCTTGGCCTCGCGTGAGTACTGCATAACCAGCTCGGTCTCGTTCTCAGCACCGAAGTGAATGATCACGCTCTTGAACAGAGGGGTCTCAAGGCCGACAAGCTCCAGCCACTCCCAAACCGTGGCTTGGATCTTGAATTTGGCGTCTCTGGGCTGGTTGTCTTCGGTGACAGGGGCGTCTTCGGTGAAGACGCGGAAGGTGTTGACCTCAAGGAAGATGGGGACAACGTTTCTGCGGAGGTATCTGTTGACGCGAGCGAGAGCAGGGGTTCCGGCGTTGTCGAGCATGATAACCTCATCGGGCTCAGCAACAGCGTATTTGTAGACGATGTTCTGAAGCTCGATGGGTAGGCGGAGAAGGGGAAAGATGCCAGTGGGGACGAATTCGGTAGATGAGCTGGTGCTGGCCATTGTTGCGGTAGCTGAGGTAGTCTTGCTTTTGATGTTGTCGATGACTTTGTTGCGGATCTTGGTGCGCTCCTTAGCCTGGGATCTTGTCTCAGGCATGGTCAGTTCTGGACCAAAGATCTGTCAGCGTTCGTAGCGATATGTTCAGTACGGGAGACTTACAAGTTCGAGAAGTGTGGTTGAGTTGAAGTAGTAAAGTCAGATGAGGTGATCAAGGACTGTGAGAAAGGAAGCAGCCTTGGTTGGAGGGACTGTTGGGGAAGGAGTGATGTATGGCTCAGGTTGATGGGCGTGATAATAATGATCAAATTGCTCTGATTTCACTCTTGATGGTAGCGACTTACGGGGTGAGCGTTGGGGATGTGCGGAAAGGTGTCTTGGAGCTCAGCTTGTCCAATGGAGTCGCTGAGATATGGTTTCCAAGATCGGCGCTCAGTGTTGGTTACGGTTGAGGATGATTGTTGTGATGTGACGGCTGGATGGAACTGACGTACGCGACGCGTCGCAGCAGTTGTGATGGAATTAAGCGAACTGTATCAAAATACGCGATGTTTGAGGAGCAAGAGGAAGGAGCAACCAAGCTTTTCTCAAAACAAAGATTGGGCACCGCGGTAGGTTCAGAGGATCGAAAACGACTGACGATGAGAAGACAGTACAAAGATCACCATGAGTCGTCCGAGCCTGATAGGACCTCCCGATCGGCCTGACGCTGTAAGACGAACAACGCCGTCGTTGAGATATTGTTTTGAAGTGAACGCGAGCATGAGAAGGTCGGGTGCAATTCTACCTTGACTTGGGAAGTGCTAGTAAAAGTGCGAGACCCACGGAACCGTACGGAATCCGGACGTGTTGTTGTCTCGTTCACTCACGAAAGCGAGAGCCTGCCTATAAATTTTGACTCGACCTCGGTATCCCTCTCTTCTTCCTATACCCAACAACAACAACGACTTCCCACCAAGACGTATCCATCCGCACACAATGTCCTCGGACAACGAGTCCACCAAGGGTGGATCACCCGCTAAGACTGAGAAGAAGGCCGTGGTCTTCACCGAGAGAGAGGAGATGGTCCTGAAGGTCGCCTGGCGCTGTCTCAAGTCTGGCCCTCCCGAAGTGAGTTGCGCGCAAACGACATCTCCTGCCTCTCATCTGACATTTTCAGATCGACATCGAGAAGCTCACCAAGGCCGCCGGCTTCAACACCCAGAAGACTTGCTCCAACATGTGGTCCGGTTTGAAGAAAAAGCTTCTCACTGATGTTGACGGAAACGCTCTTCCCACCGCTCCTGGTAGGCATCGACTTTTCCACAATCTTAGCAACTTTCTGACCACAAGCGCCATAGCTACCCCCAAGCCCACCAAGGGCAAGAAGGGCACTGCCACTCCAGCAAAGAAACGCGCCAAGAAGGACGTCGATGATGACGAGGACGACGAGGATGAGGGCAGATCAATCGCCAAGAAGACCAAGCCCTCCCCTGTCAAGAAGGTCCTGGTCAAGGCCGAGGACTCGGACGAAGAGTAGGGTGTCTGTTCAAGCCCAAGCTCGTTCAACGCAACGCAAGCCATGCTAGTTGAGAATGAGGAGGAAACAGAGGTTGCTGGCATGCTCAGTCATAGCCACCACGTATCAGAGAACAAGATTTAGTCTCTCCAGTTGATCAATGGTTCGTCGGTTCTAAACCTCTGTGTGCAGCTGCTGTCCTTGATATCGGTCGTCTGGCCCATGCGGTAGGCGAGTAGACCAGCGTGAGCGATCATGATGCCGTTGTCGATACAGAAGCGTTCATCGGTTGCAAAGACGCTTCCGCCGCGCTCGCTTGCCATCATGCCCATCATGTCTTGCAATCTCACGTTGCAACCAACACCACCAACAATCAAGACTTGACTTGCGCCAACGTGGGCCATGGCGCGTTCGGTAATCTCTACCAGCATAGCAAAGACAGTCTCTTGCAAGCTGAAGCATAAATCTTCGCGAGTAATCTCTTCTCCCGTCTCTTCATCCTTCCACACATCGGTCTTGCCGTTCTGACCAGCTTCCAGCTTCTTTGCCAACTCTTCGATGCGGGCCAAAATACCAGAGAAACTGACATCCATACCCTTGACGGCGTAAGGGAGCTCTACCAGAACCTTGCCCTTCTTTGCCATCTGCTCGATGTTGTAACCAGGGGCAGGATCGTTGCTGATAGCCAAGACTCTTGCGAATCTGTCCAGACAATTTCCGACAGCAATATCGAGGGCCTCACCGAAGATACGGTAGCGTTGAGCACTGTATGCGATGATCTGAGTGTTTCCACCGGAGACGTAAAGGACGACGGGGTTCTGAGCACCGGTAATGGCACGACCCATTTCGATATGACCAACACAGTGGTTGACACCAACCAGAGGCTTGTTCCAGAGGAGCGAGAGCATACGGGCAGCGACTGCAACGGCACCGAGAGGAGCACCCATGCCGGGACCCTTCGTAAAACAGATGCAGTCGATGTCGTTGACGGAAACTCTCGCCTGCTTCATGGCTTGCTTGACCAGACGTACGACCCAGCGGCGATGGTGAGCGGCAGTATCCTTGGGCAGGAAACCTGAGCCTGGAGGCGAGACATAGGTATGACGCAGGTTGGAGAGGATTTGGACTGGTGGGCTGTCGTGCTTCGAAGGTGCTTGCTGGGTTTGAGGACTATCGGCCTGGGCAGAGGGGTGGAGGATGACACCGACACCAAGCTTGTTGGCCGAGCCTTCTAGACCTATTGAGATGGGCATGTTTGGGTAACGTGGGTGTTTGATGTATTGGTTCAGAAGGCTGACGAAGTTCTTTGGATGTCGGTGTTAAGGCCGGACTTGGCATTCTACGCAGAAGTCCAAAGTGGAAGGGACTTTGTGTCTCGGAAGCGCCAACCGAATTTGGGAAAGTGTCAGCGCTTCATGTTGGCCCATATTACCTACGCCCTGCCTACCAACCTCTGCAAAGAACAGACCCAAGACTTTTCATGCCATTGCTACCTCGTCGTCGTCCTGTCCTTCTCTCCTGCCGTCTATCTACACTACCACTCACTTTCCTTATCTTCTGCCTTTTCCAGTCGACCTCCTTCCACCGGACCAAACTAGATTACTAGTTTCACCAGTCCACAGCACCGCCTCAGCCATGCTCCTTCTCTTCGCTTCTGCTCTTCACACCCTACTACCACTCGACGAAGGCCTTTCCTAATCGTTCAACACCATCGTAGCCATTCGACTCCTCTTCTACTAGGCCCTCATACCCGTCCCCTCTTCTCGTACTACGCCCGCCCCGCTTACCGCCGAATCATCATCACACACCACTGCTGAAGAGCCCACCACGAGGACCTTGACCTTTCGCTGCACCCAATCACTTTCACCTCCCCCCCTCATGCTACCAGGCCCTGTCGGGACCATCTTCTGGACCTCCTACCTGCAGACTCGACATCCGTCAAGCGAACATCCACAACCGAAGAAATCACCGCACCGGACTTCGGACTCGACTTCAATTTGAGAGGAAAAAGTGTCTCTGGGACTGAGCAATTCTTGACGTTCATCATCTACTATACAAAAGTCGTCAAGGGAAGAAAGAAAAAAGTGGTATCACAAAAAGTTTTCGCCTGAAAAATGCTTCATCAACTTCCGCCTTCGCCCTGGCCATGACTGGTTCCATGACCTGCTGTGCCATGTCCGTTGGCCATCACCGTATCACCGCTCGACCCTGCCCGCCTTAGGTGCGCCATATGCTCGGCCGTCGGCTCCACTGGCCTTCTCGGTGCCAAAATGCTCGCCCTATAGCTGATGCCGAGTGTGTCATAACAGTCCATGGGATATACGACCGTCTCACCATCACTCTCATCGTCAGAGTCGCCTATCACACCCTTGCTCTGCACGAACATGCGTGGCTTGCGTTGTTCAATATACAAGCGCCCATTACGACCATATCGTCGCCTGTAAGCAGGTCTGTTGTAGCCTGCTTCAGGTGGTGGCGAGTTGAAGCGGAACATTGTACGGAGTGGTTGGTCTTGTGCAGCACTGACCGGTGTAGGCATCTCTGCGTCTGCATCTTTCATCTCGACATCCTTGGTATGATCTTGTGATGTCTCTGAACGCAAAGATGCAGGTGGTGTCGGAAGTTGAACCTCTTCGATGCGCGGCAGATAGCCACCCGCTGAAGAAGGTTCGGCTGGTGGTGTGATTGGTCCCCAGGTGTTGTCGACCCAGTCTTTGTTCCACTTGCGATGCTGGCCAATCTTTTCCTCGACCGATCTCTGCACCGCGGCGGCTGCTTCTTCTTGGATGTCTGACAACTGCACGAGGTCGTTTTCTGGTGCGGCACGGACTGCTTCTGTCCTTGTACCGGGAAGGCGCAGTGTTGTTGGTTTTTGTCCGTCGGCTCTTGCTGGTCGGGGCTTGGGCGTGGGCTATTCAACATCAGCACGCGAACTACGACAATGACCATGGTAAGATGGTGACTTACTCTTTGGTTGACAAGGAGTTCCTCGTCTTCTCCCTTTTCACCTTTGATGCCTTGCGCTACCTTGACCTTCTTCAACTCAGTGCGCTGTTCGAAGACCTTGCGCTCTGTTTCTATCCTCTCCTTGATCAAACGCTCGCGCTGATTGACAGAGATCAAGAGCTGTCTGGCATCCTCAAGCTCTCTCCTCAGCTTCTTCAACTTCTCGGTCACCTGAGCATCTCTACCTCTGGTCTTGCGAGCTTGTCGTACTTCACGACGTCTGAAACAGACATAAGCGTCGTTGTCATCGGTGTCAGCACCAGTCTCAAACTTGAGGTTGGACAAGAGAGAGCGATTGCCATTTGGCACTCTTCTGGACCGCCAATGGTCGTAGACCTCCTTGGTCCATTTTCGGGCTTCTACAGAAAGGTTGGTCTCGTCCTCTGGGTCGTCAAAGTAGCTTTCAGCTTCCTCGAGTGTCAAGATAGGAGCATTTGAAATATTGGCGAAGGGGTGGTTCTTGTCGGACTTGAGCTCAAAGAAGCTCATCAACTCCTCGAAGATGTCTTCTGATAGCTTCTCATCATCCTTCTTTGATGTGTTGAAGTTTAGCAGGAAGACGTCATCCTCATCGTCAATGTTGTACTGATTTCCAATGCAGTCCTCAACCGTTGAACTGAACCTAATGTAGGTAGCAGGCTCTGCAAATTGTCGTGGATACAACTGATCATAGGGAATACCACTCGACTTTGTCTCTGGTGTAGGAATAAAGACTTGGTTGACTTTGGCACCTAGTGAAGCAGCGGCAGAGGCGGAGATGACAGCTTGAAGATGGTGTTCAGTCTCTTCTGCCTTTTCCACACCAGTCTCAACATGAGGTATGTGGCGTTGAGGGTCTTCATCGATGGCAAATGTCTCTATCTCATTCTCCTTGACAACCTGTAGCGGATGCTTGGTCGAGAGTTTCCTCTGCCTGAAGCGTGCACCGGAGGCACGAGTGCTCTGCATACTCTCATGCAAAGTTGTGGTGAAATAATAATTATGCAGTCAGAAAAGGCTTGGCGCTGAATTAATGAAAAGCTGTCCTCGGCGGGAAAAATTTGCGTGTCGCGAAAGCTGGATGGGGAAAACAGCGAGAGAAAAAGAGAAAACTTCGTGTAGCCGTCAACGCAGCGCAAATAATTAATCAAGAAGAATCCAGTCGAAAATTAGAGGCGCGATTTCGATGGTCGTGTCGTTATGGTGATTTTTGGAGATGGCGGTGGTGCTTTGTTGATGGTTTTTGCGTGGTGCAGGCGCGCGTGTCGACTTCGCTGCTTTGGCGTGGGTTGACCTTGGAGAGGGCGAGTGGGATTCTTTGAGCGTCGGGCGTTGGGGTTTCTGTTTCCGCTCTGTGATGATGCCCAGTCGAAAGCTGTCTACTCCGCGCGGATGCCGTCTCCGCCGAAACAAATTAGGCAGGTACTCTTTCACAGGTTCCTTTTTCAGCAGTCGCATTCACTACCTTCGAGTGAAACACGGGTAAAGTATGTAAATACGACGGCTGCGATCGCGATCTGTCAAATGTCTGGTACTGTCGCCCTTTTGTTTTTACCCTCCAAATACTGACAAAATCATCAACGACATGCTATTCACTGCAATACGAATGTTGAAATCGAGTTTGTAGAGAGTCTGCTTTTCGAGTTCACTGGAAGAGATTCCGCACGTTCACACCATGAGGGTACCAGATCCATCACTAGCCTCGGACAATTGACGGGCCTGGGGGTGTTGTTACCATTAGCCCTTTCCATGCACGTTAACGCGCTGGCTACAACAACCTCGACATCGGTCTCAAGTGACGACCCATCCTCAACCATTCAAGCAAGAACATAATGACCGTCGAAGACTCAATTGACCTTTCGCATGCTCCCGTTTCGGACTCGCCCACTGAATCACTTCTAGTCTTTCAAATCACCGGCAATCCTGGCCTGATTGAATACTACCGCACCTTCTTGACGTTGTGCTTCGACAGTCTCCGTGCAAAGTACCCAGATCGTCGCATCAAAGTCGCAGGGACCAGTCTTCGTGGCTTTGGCGTTCAGCATCATGAACGACACCAATCTTTAAGCCACGATAGCAACCCAGAAGGACCCTATGACCTGGAACAACAAATCGAACACATAGGCCAAATGCTCGAAAGAGCGATTGAAAGCCAGACAAGGCCAAATGCTACAATAAAGGTAGTATTGATAGGTCATTCTGTTGGCTCCTATATCCTGCTCGAGGTCTTGCGGCGGCGAAAGCAGAGTCCCAGCACACAGCAGCTGAGCAATGATGCCAAAGTCATTGGTGGAATATGTCTCTTCCCAACCGTCACTCACATTGCAAAGAGCCCAAGTGGGAAGAAGTTTAGTGTAGGTGCTTCATCTTGTCCTACTTCTTTCATCTGCAAAGAACCTGTACCTCTACAAGACACATCTTGACATCCATTTGTCATTGTCTGCATCTGTTGATTTATATCTCTATAGTTGTTCTTCGCCATCCCATACTTTGCTGTCATTGCAGGACTGGTCGTACGCCTTATGTTTTCCTGGGTTCCTTTCACACCGCTCCAACGTCTCGTTGGTCTCGTCACAGGTTTTCCTTCGCCGGCCGCGGAAACCACCACTGCTTTCCTCAAGAGCCCAGGAGGTGTCAGACAAGCATTGTGAGTAGTGGTCACTTCCTTCCAATTCTCGTCCCATGTTGACATGAATCAGATCTCTTGCCGGCCATGAGATGCGAACCATAACAGCAGATGCCTGGGATGACGAACTGTGGGGTGTTTCTCAAGCACAAGATTCGAGCGACAACAAGACGAAGTTGTTCTTCTACTTTGGCACCAATGACCACTGGGTTGCGGACGAGACCAGAGACGAACTCATTGCTGCTAGGGCTGCAACAGGCACGCCCGGTGACGAAAAGAAGCCCACTATGGAAATCGATACATATGGCACACCACATGGCTTCTGCATCAGTACGCCAAACTACCAGTTTCTGAGACAGTCACGCTGACACCGAGGCAGAGCACAATGACCTGGTCGCAAAGAAGGTGGAGCAATACATCGACGAGTTGATGCGATAGTATTACGCACATCGTACCTTCAAACACATCGAACCTGGATCGGCGTCACAGGCTTGGCCAGAGCTCATGGCAGCAAATATGTGGTAATTCACTCATTCCCGCAGGCTGTGCCACGAACCACGGTAGGCAGCCATTTTCCAGCGATGAGTCTTCGAGGATGAGTTTTCCGCGATGAGTCTCCAGCGGCGAGTCCTCATTGATAAAAATCTCCTTTTTCCACTTCTGTTTTGACTTTCGCACTGCTCCATATTTCGTGTTATCGACTTCATCTTCTCTGATCTAACAAACCTGGCCAATTTGACCGGCGTATTACGCAGTAAAAATGGATCAAGTTGATCCCCGTCTATGGAGAGAGTTCAACCGAGGAAGAGAGATGGCACATTTCAAACGCCAATTAGCAGCTGCCATGGAGTCCAACGACAACGACAACAACCCCACGCCTGTCGATCTCGATGAGCACAAGTTGGCACAGCTTGAACGCGATCCATACGGCGTCATGAATCCCGAACATATCGGTCGCGATGCCAACTTCAATATCCTGAGCGCCTTGCCACCCGCCGATACCGATGCTTCAGAGTTCGTCGAATATGGTAGCGCAAATGATGATGCCGGCAGCCGCGAGACACCAATAGTCGTTGACGATGACGCTGCTTCTGCGGCCAGCTCTGAAACTCTTCGCGCAGACAGTCCGTCCCCATCTCCATACAACGATAGCGACGACGCAGGCGATGCCCACAGATCCGACGAACTCAGTCAATTGGGAGTTGAACATCTGGACGATGAGGTCGACGATGATGATATTGGAGACGATGAGAGTATCTACAGTGATGACAGCGATGGCGACAGCAATGCGGTCGACAACATGCTCCGCGAAAACGGCGAAATCTATGGCTGCGACACTGACAGTCTTATCGGCGACATCAACGGTGACAGCGAGACCGACAGCCTTAGTAATGAAGTCTCTTACCTGCTTCTTGAAAAGGTCAAAACTCTTGTGGAACAATTCGACAGAGTGAGCGAAACCATGGATATTGTTGAAACCAATCTCGTGGCCTTGGAGGATCACCTACAACGTGGCGCTAGCCTGCACGATATTTCGTACCTGCTCGAATCCTTCATCAGACTGCGCGATATGGTCGGCGAAATGGAGTCAAAAGTATCTCACCTGGGTGATGAAGCTGTTCTCCTGAGCGTAAACCCTCATGTCGGAGATATCGCCGCTGAAAAGGTCAACGACGGACTTGGAAACATGTTATTCATGGGATGGAGGCTTGGAGCACGTCACAGGATTCAGAATCTCGAATGTGGTATTCGTGACCTTGTCGAGCAACAACTCACTCCAGCCGCTGACCTTCGAAATGCACGAGGTGAACAACACGGTACCTACCCTCAACCACCCTTCCGCGCTGGGACATCAATTAACGCCAGGAACTCTTTGGCACCGATATCGACTGCGGATGCTGAACTTCGCTACTCGCCACACAATCCGGATTACCTACCGTCCACTGGTCCAAGTAACAATTGCCCCCTGTCACCAGCTCCTTTCGGATCTTCAGAAGATCTTTGTGAACCATCGGTACTGGAGTCCTATCAAGCCGGCAACTCTTCAGGCTCCAATGCACACTCACAGCGACACCAATCACCTTATGACCACCGACATCAAACTCCTAGTGGTAGGGGTCAGATGCATGGAAGTCAGACTCGCGAAGGTTTAGTCCACGCCGGTCAATCGCGTGGAAACCCTTACCCTTCCACGCCTCGCAGAAGAACTTACCATTCGGTGCATCCTGGGTTCTTGCGACGACTACGACCAGCACCTATCCGCCCACAGCCCCAAGTCCCCGCGGCAAGAGGCCAAACGTGTGATGTGAGCAGTGCAAGCTTGCACCCTGAAAATTGTACGCGCCGTCCTCGGTGTCATGAGCCCAGGGTCTGAAGATCGTAGGATTGGGTGTTTCATGCGGTTTCAACTATGCCGTTACGAAGCTCTACTGTGGATGATGTAGCACGGTACGCATATAGCTGTCGCAATGCATTGTACTTCTGGCAACGGCACTGCCGTCCACAAGAACGCAACGATCGACACACACTCGCTGGGCACTAGTCTTCTTCACAGAACACTATGCATTTCTACAGATACAAACTACAGAAATTCAGTGGTAGGAGAAGCGCGAGTAGGGTGAAGAAATGCGAACGGAAGCAAGAGGGAAGTAGAACAAAAATCAAGATACACATTGACTCAATCTCTTTTGGTGTTAACAAATTGGTCGCGTGATTTAGGCAACATGTAAAGGTTTCTCACGAAGATGACAGTACAACATCTATATCGAACGAACACTAATGACTACCAGAACATGCTTGATACCACTTCGAGCCTCTCTACCAATCACGCATTGTCCTTCACGCTGATTCTAAAATGTCGATAGAATCTCGGCTTCTCGGAAGGAAAATGCCCTGCCTGAGGTTGGCATGGCTTCATGTGCGAACTTGACCTATCACATCCCGAAAAGTCTCTTCAACCATACAATCTTCGACACCATAGGATAATAGTCATCAGCTTTCTCTTGATCTACCTCTTGCGCCTTATACTGACGAACCAGAGGACGAAGAATTCGCAGTCCCTCAAGGCAGCTAGATAGAGCACGCCTCGCTGAGTTGATTTGCGCGACTACGACTCACTGTCAAAAGAGTCATAGGATTCGTTGTTGGTACAAAATGTCTATCGATCTCGCCCTCTTCTTTGATCGCCTATTCTTCGAATCGCCCAAGCTGAGATAGACCTTATAACTCTTTTTTGAGAACTGGATTTCTAAGACCGAAAACCTCCTTCCCCCGAACAACCAACCGACCGACCAACCAACCAACCATTTTCAAACTTTCAAGTACGCTCTCACGCAACAGACTACTTGTACTTTCACGGGCAACACCCACACACATACAAAACAACCACTTTTTCGACTCGACCTTTCTTGAAAACAGAAAGTCTTTTCTATACGGCTCATCAGCTACTGTCTCACGAGACATAAAACACACGACTACAGCAAATTTACTGCTATACACCTGTTCTACCCGACACACACTTTCTACCCATTTACCTCACTTCGACAACCATCACGATGTCTGAATACACATACACCTCCACCTCCGTCACCTCAACTATCCCTTCCTCCGAACAATCCACCACCCCCACACACACCCAACTCCAAGAGAAAATCCCCCTCCACCTCACCCGCCTCGCCGACAAAGTGGACGAAACCATCAAAGCGGAAACCAAATACCACGAATGGTGCCATCACGCCATGATCCACGTATACAAACTGGAAGTCAAGCAACAATGTATCTTCGAATACGAACCTTGGAGAGCAATTGATGAAGAAATACAAATGTTTGGGTTGTGGAAACATGATATGCTGTTTGCTGTTTTGGGTCTGCAGCAACATGTCAAAGCTTTACACATGAGATTGGAGGAGATGTATGAGATATTGAAGGAGGAACAAGAAAAAAAAGAAGAGGAGGAAGATGAGGAAGATGAGGAAGATGAGCCTTGGTATAAGCCAAGATATGACAGTCCTGTTCAGCAGGATGTCATGGTCAATGTTTTGGAGTATCTGAAGGAGAGGGATGCGGTTTCTTATGACGAAGTGGAGGAGGACGAGGATGATATGTGTAGCTTTTTTGAGATTTCGGAGGAGGAGTGGTTGCAGGATATGAAACCTGTTGTGGAGTGGGTTGATAAGCTTGAGGTTGGATGGTTGGCATGATTTGTATGGGTTTGATGAAGGGGGAGGGAAGGGATGTTGACGAGATATCATCGCGGGTTTGGGATTTGGGATTTGGACATGGAACATCATCGCGTTTGCTTTTTTCCTTGTATAAAGGTTTTTTTATGCCCCGATATTGCTTCGGCTTCGAACGTAATGATGTGCCGGTGATGATCTGCTACAATAACACGGTTTTGATGTATCAGTGAGGAAATAATGAGTAGTATCGATCGAACTACATAAGACGACTTACTCAACAACAAAACCTCTGTTCGCTCGACGTGATTTATGGGTGACAAGCTGTCGCGATGCACAAATGTTTCTAAGAGTACAGTCCTGACCACGGAGAGCTCAAACAATCAGACTCTCCCTTGACCCAGCCTAGGAATCATAGCGTACTGTGCATTCTTACAGGAGCCAAAGGAGTTACCTCAGCTCCTAAAGTAAGCGCGTCAGGCATTAATATCTCTCCTACGTTCCTTCCTCACTCTACTCCTCACTCTACTCCTCATCCGGCTTCCAGCATTCACAACGCTTCGTCAGAGCAGATCCTACGCTTAAGGATATTCGGCACCAATGCTTTCAGCAGACCAAGCCCGATATTCTGAATACATTATGAACTGTGACAGACCTGTATATCCGTGCATAGCTACTGGAAAGCGATTAAATCTGGCAACTGAGATTTCCAGGACAGAGATTTCGAACGAGTTCGAACCTTTGACATGGTTTTCGATGTATCTTTTGACTTGTAATTGCAATAATGTATCTATACTGGAATCATGATGTTAAGGGCTGAATATATTGGACATCTCACCCATCAAATTTCTCATCGGACTAGAGGCTAGATGAGCATTCTGCTGGACTGTTTAACTTGGTTCGGATTTTCTCGCTCTATGAAAGAGCTTTCGATGGTCGAATAGCCTGTTAAAATGCACAATAATCTAGCCATTCATACATTCGTCTAGTGGAAGTTCCAAATCTACAATCTTCTTCTCGCGAATGTCCTGCGTAGTGTTGATTCGAAGGGTCTGCATGATGGTAAAAGAAAGCGCGATCTCCAAGGTCAAAGTAGTCAGCTTTCAGACCTTGCAGACCTGCACGATCGAATTCTAGCTTATCAACTTGTCCATGGAGAGCCCCGTTTTGACATAACCTTACCGAGCAAATCTTATATTAGGAGAAAACCTCGTGCATTGCAGCAGTAAGTAACTATGGTTATTGGCATGCACATTCGTGCTGAGTTAGTTTATACCATCATCTCGGTTTTGAAATAATTGCTGTATCTCAGTCAGCTAGAGAAGGATGTTTGATATATCGTTGACCTAAGGTTCCAATACACGTTTACCGCAATAGCAGAGATATCACAGTATCACACTTCTCGGGCGGGAGACATTCATCAAGAAAGTTGAGAGAAATATCCTCCCTCTCCGAATGATGTTGGTTTTTACAAAATCCATCACACATCATGATAAATAGTGAAATTTTCCTCACGCGAGTGAGGAAAAGAGGATATATAGACCTGAGATCAAAAGACGGCTTGATATTTGTATAGGATATTGAGGTTTCTTCTGTGTAATACTGCTACCATCTCCCCTTTTTATGTGAGATTATGAGCTTGTCAATTCGCTTTCTGGTCTGCCGGACTGTTTGGAAGTATTTTCCTATCCAGTGGTAGATGTTGTCGATGTTCATACTCTTCTTCTGCTCTGGCTGCTCATACTGCCATTGCATTTTGATATCGAGCTCTTCGTCCTCACCAATGGATGTGTTATGTTCGAAGTCTCTGCCGAATGCTTGTTCCCAGCGGTTGTAGGATGCTCGATATTCATCAGAAGGTAGGCTATTCGAGCTGAGCATCTCTTCAGGTGGTGGTGTTGGTGAGTCAGTGCCTAGCAGTGTGATGAGCATTTTCCTGTTTTCTGAGGTTTTCCAGTCTTGGATCCAGTTTAGATATCTTCCATCGAGTTCTGTGATGGGGTCTTCGAATGGTGCGGCGTCGTCTTCCTCGTCCTCATCATAACTCTCATCGGCGTCCCCATCATAAAGCTCATCCTCCGAGCCTCTTTCGTAATCTTCTTCATCCCCCTCAAGATCATAAACCCAAGCATCAGCAGATCCATCACCTTGACTTCCATCAACACCTTCCTCCCTCCTCCTCAATAACCCAATATTAGGCATCCACCCCTCCCCCTCAACATCATCATTCCTCCTCTCCTCCACACTCCCATTCAACTCATGCAACTCCGCCAAATCCAATCTCAACATCACAACCCCCTGCTTCATCCCTTCCACCTCCCTACACATTTTCATCTCTGCAATAATCAATTGCGCATATTTCTTCCTCAAAGAGGCTATCGCAACAGCATCGGCGGTTAGAGCGAGATGTTTTATCGCGGTGATTTTATGCACGTTGGAGGTGCAGAGGTTGCGGTAGGTGGAGATGGCAAGGTTTGTGGTGTGGACGGCGGAGATGATTGTGTGGATTGTCTGGCGAATTTGTGGTTCGAAGGAGTTTGTGAGGAGGTCGGGTGAGGATGGTGATGGTGGGGGTGGTGGTGGTGGGGAGATGACGCCGGTCCTGCTGTATAGAGCGCCGTCTTTGGATTCGTATACACGCATGTTGATGGTTTGGGAAATGTTTGTTGGTGCGGTTGATAGAGTTGGCAGGATCTTCTAGTGAGAAGTCGAGAGATGGGCGAACTTTCTTCTGTCTAAACTTTTGGAGATGAAGGAAGAGTAAGGGAAGGGAAGAATGGTGGTCGCAATTGTGAACTATTGGTCTCATTTCGATATGACTCCTAAGGAATAGTGAAACCCACGCAAATGCGCTCCTCGATGAGTCTTCCACTTCAATACGAGGATCGCCACGTGCTGTACTGTCATCGTCTTATAGCAACACTTAGTACACTTAACCTCATGTTCATCTGCAAGATCTAGCAGAAGTCGAAGTCGTGGAAAAGCACGATACTTGTGTCAGGCTGTATCCCGTTCACGAAGATGAGACATTCGACGTGGTCTCATTGACCACGGCTCTGATTCGTGGGTTCTGTTTTATCATCTTGATATGCGAATGAGGTTATCAGTTGCTTGTCCTGTGAAACTATAGATTGCGCGATATTTTCAAGATCTAGACATTGTTGGGAAAAGGAATGGTGGCAGCGTTTGGAGATTTGCAGGTTGTGGGGAACAACTTGTTGAAGGGGACATGGGAAGTTTGGTATGTGTGCGTGACGAGTGTGTGTGCATGGTGATGGTATTGGGTAGGCCAAGGGTCTTTGCATTGTGCGTGTGAGCAACGTTAAGAAATCGGCGTCATTAGCTGTTAACAAAGGCAACAGTCTAGCGGTCGTTTTTATACAAATGGTCTATAGTGATGGATGCAATCATCCGATCTTTCTCTTCTTGTTGTACTTGCCTCGGGCTTCGACTTTGCCATCTACGGGCAACACTCTTCTTGCCGTGAACAGATAACCCTCTGCACCGCCTCTCCATGTCATGAGCGGATGTGTGCGTCCGGGCAATACCTGCCAGGGTCTGATCTTTGTTGTCTGCAAGGTCGGCGCCAAGATCAGTCTCGGGTCTAGCGGGAAGTCCTCCTCAGGCGGTGTGGTGTCGTTGGCAATGTGGTCCAAGAATGCGGCTTTGCGATCTTTGGAGTAGAGGTCCATGATTTCTGTCAGGGGCTCCACGGTCGGTGAGTAGATGACGATGTGAGCAGAACCGCGAAGGAGATGAACGGTGTTCTTGAGGATTGTTGCAGGGTTCATCGAAGAGGCAATGACTATGCCGTCAAAGCCACCTTCGCGGGTTTCGTCAACAATCTGCTTGCAACGGGTCCAGCGACGACGTTTGCGGTAGTAGGCACCGCGTTTGCCGGACTTCCACGTGTCGAGTTCGGCTTGCGGTACATTTTCCGGCTCGTCGTAGGTAGGGTCTGCTGAGGGGTCGATAAGTTGCAGCCATGTAAGTGTCTTGAGGTGTGTGTGTAGGGGGTGAGTAGCGGTGGGGTTGTTTGTGTCGTAAGAGAAATATTTCAAGAGCGAGACGTTTGGTTGGGCGTTTGCGTGGATGACTGTGAGGGTATTTGTCGATGAGAGATTGGTGTTGTGGCGGTTTTGAGGACGCTTTCTGCCGTTCCCTCGTACTTCCTCCCCTTCTTGTAGCTCTCCGTTCGTTGTCTCTTCTTTTGAGGCATCTTGCATCTCCACATCGGCCTTTTCTTCAGCTTGGGCTGCCTGTTCCGTACTGGTGGTAGCTTCTGTACCATCGTCCTCCGAATCTTCATCTTCGTTATCCGGGTGGTAGAGGAGACCCATCTTCTCAGCCATAGATGCCACAACCAAGCCACCAGTGTCGTCAACGACCAACCATCTTCCACCACCAAGTTGTGTGCCCTCTTCGGTCAGAGCGGGTTCTGCGTCAGGGTGATAATGGACGTTGGCCCAGCTTCCCACAAGACCAAGCGATTCTTCCCTTAGTTCCATGACTCTTGAGGCCTCCTTCTCGGCGATCATGTATTCGGTCAACATGGAGACATTCATGGGCAGGACGGTGAATCTGCGTAGGTATTTCTTGTGCTTCCTCAAGGTGTATTTGGCCAGGGCGAAGGACGTCTTCTCGTTGAGATGGGTATGCGATTTGAGGATTTTCTCGATAATGTCCCTTCCAGAACCAGTTCCAGCCTTCTTCAACTGTTCAATCTCTTCCATACTGAGGGCTTGACGGGAGGCATCATCGATTGTAAGGCGGTTGTTCTTCAGCAAGACTGAGCCATCATCGGCGACAATATCGAACGAGTCGTCGGCTTTCTCGGCAGGGTTTTCGGAGGAGGGAGCATCTTCGGCGAGGATCTCAGCATTTAGCTCTGAGGCTGGTACGACGCGAAGGCGGGAGGCATCTGATTCTGATTGTTTATCGGTGATCTCGAAGGTGAGGTAGTATGGGCGTCCGATCAAAAGATTGCAAGGGAAGGAGCCGTATTTGCCGATTGACACAAGACTGCGATGCGAAAGAGAGCTTAGCGATTGACGGTGCTGTGGGAGGATAGAGCAGGGTCGTACGTATTTGGAACAATTTGGACCAGCTTCAGGGTGTCGGAAGGTAGGCGTAAGAGCACATACTCGCCGGCATGAACGCGCGAGTGCATGGTGTGTTGTGATGTAGTTGCGACAAAAGAGTATTCGACCATCGTACTTTTTTCCTTGCCCTTGGATAATCTGGATGCTCCATCCCGGCTTGTGGGGTAGGCCGACCTTTCCTCTTTGGGGCTAAAGTAAAATCGACACGCTCCCGCGTCAGTTGAACGCGTCTCTCAATTTCACAGGCAGCGTCAATCGACGAGACAGACAATATTGTCACTCAAGTTCAATCACCTTCAACCCGTATCACATTACCAATCATGTCAGACTACGAAGATGAAATGGACGTTGATGCGCCTGCCGCTCAGCCTTCAATCCAATTCTCGTCAAAATCAGATGAGAAGGGCAAGAGAAGTGCTGCCAATCTGCCCGTCGAGCTGCAAGACACACTACCATGGTATGCTCTATCACAAACTCTCTCGAACACCATCTGACATTGAAATAGGGTGGAAAAGTACCGACCAAACACCCTCGACGACGTCTCAGGTCATCAAGACATCTTAGCAACCATCAACAAGTTTGTCGACAGTAACAGACTCCCCCATCTCCTCCTCTATGGCCCTCCCGGTACCGGAAAGACGTCGACCGTCCTCGCACTTGCCCGTCGTATCTATGGAAACAAGAACATGCGTCAGATGGTCCTCGAACTCAACGCCTCAGATGATCGTGGTATCGATGTCGTCCGTGAGCAGATCAAGACCTTCTCCAGCACAAAACAAATCTTCACCTCGTTTGGTGACAAGGACAATGGCAGCAGTCCGGCCAACTTCAAGCTTATCATTCTTGACGAGGCCGATGCCATGACCTCAACCGCTCAAATGGCTTTGCGAAGAATCATGGAGAAATACACTTCCAACACTCGTTTCTGCATCATCGCCAACTACACACACAAGCTGTCGCCTGCTCTGCTATCACGTTGTACTCGCTTCCGCTTCTCGCCACTCAAAGAGCCTGATATTCGCCGTCTTGTTGACATCGTCATTGAAAAGGAAGACGTCAACATTGCAGCTGATGCTACTGACTCTCTTGTTACTCTGTCTAAGGGTGACATGCGCCGCGCTCTCAATGTTCTGCAAGCTTGCCACGCTTCATCAACACCGCTCCATCTACCAGGCCAAGCACCTGCCGAAGGTTCGAAGATCGACCGTGACTTGATCACGAACGAGACCATCTTCGACTGCATCGCCGCACCTCATCCTGCTGACATCGCAACCATTCGCGACACACTACTCTCCAATCCTGATGTGACTTCGTGTCTAGCAACCATCAACACACTCAAGGCAAACAAAGGTCTTGCCTTGGCCGACATTCTGACTGCTCTAGGCGAAGAGCTTGCCAATCTGGAGGTCCCTGCCCACACAAAGGTCTCTTGGCTACAAGGTTTGGCTGAGATTGAGCACAGATTGAGTGGTGGTGGCAGCGAGAACCTACAGACCGGTGGACTGGTCGGTACAGTCAGAAACGGTTGTGAAATCATGGAGAACGGCAAATGATCAAAAGTTCGAACAGGCATGGAAGGGATGTCAAGCATGGAGTCATGGAGTTAGATGGAAGCCTTAATTGGGTTTGTATAAATATGTCTCGGGACAGGTGGAGGCCGATCGGAATGCTCAGACTTATGACTTGCTTTAGCCAGAGATATTTCAAAACACAACTTTTTGTATGCTCTGCTTCTTGAGCCATTGTCCCTGGGCTTATTGCTAAGCAAACACCTTTCCTCTAGTCAGCGAACAGTGGCTGTCATCTTGACTTTTCAGAGAATAGAGCAGTGGCTCGGCCACGAGATGGCTCCTCCTCCATCTCCCTTGGTATTGGGAGTTGCAGTTCCTCGTATTTGATGCTTCAGCCTTCACTTGACGTATTCTTTGATTAGTTTCTCGTATCGTTGTGGTGTGAGAAATACTGTTGAGAAGGAAGCCAAGAAATTGGGATCAATATCAGTACCTTGATATGCTCCAAGGTAAAGCTTATCGAGAGTTCTCGGCCGAGTGCTTCTTATGCATATCGAGGCTCCAACATCATTGATGTCTCCTATTCTGTGCTCAAGAAGGAGGGAAGACAGTGTTCTGTACATTCACCATTAGCAAGACATATAGTCACCACACTCAAAATACCAAAACTTACAATGAAGCTCTCCAAAGCGCCTTCGAACAGTTCGTTTGCAACTCCAACACCACCTGCATGCTCAACAGGTGAGATTGGGCTCTTGACGACGTATTCAACATAGAGATTCGCCCATATTTGATAGAGCACAGTACGCATGCTCGCTATGCGCGTATCTGTAAGCATTACAAACTTGAGATTTGTCGCCGTCTCAAAGTAATGCAACTTGTACTCTCCAGTGCGGTAAGAAAGGAAACTTGATGTCGTCAGTAATCGTCTTTATCGTCTGGGTGGGTTACAAAGGGGCAATACCTGTCGTCTTCACCGCCCAGTTGCCGCACCATGCGACGGAGAGAAAAGATGGCACCGAAGATTAGTTTTGCATCATCTTCATTTGACAAGGCTTTTTGGTTGACTCCTGGTAAGTCGCCATTGCTGATGGCACTGGCTCCTGATTGACGTTGGACTGATCTGGCACTTTGAGATACGGGCCGCTGAGCCCATCGTTTGCTGTATATGCATTCGGCTGGACTTCTGTTAGTTCTATTCTTTCCGAAAGAGTTGCGACACACTCACTATGCCTGTCAAAGATGTAAAAAGAGTATACGGTCATGATGTATGGGTTGATATGATGGATATCAAGGATGTTGGTTGGTGATTCGTTCTAGCCCTTTGGTTGATGATGTGGGGAGGTGGCAGGAAGCTTGGCAGGCGCAAGATTCGGCGTGAGTGTCGCAACGCGTGCTTTCCTTTCTGATAAGTCTTCGGATAGTCGGGGCCTAGCGTTCACCTTCATCGAAGGTAATATATTGGTAGAACTCGAAGCAAAGCAGCAATGTTATACAAGCATCTTCATTTTGACTTTTACTGCGCATGAGAAAAGCTTCTTTGTTCCCCTTCCCTTCTCCTCCCAGTCTCCCATGGCAGATTCTCACAATCATCCGTCCGCGGCGCCTGACGCCGGCTCAGCATCAGAAGCGGGGCACCACCACCATGTTCTGCCTTCTCGCGGCATTTCTCTCAACATCGGCAGCACAAATACCAGCCATGGACGGCCCGCAGCTGTCAAACACATGTAGGGCTGAACTCTGAAGTAAACCCTCTTCTTACCACGGTACTGAGCAATCGTCTCGTCGTGCAGGTCCCTGCCGGCATACCAAAGCCCCATAAGACACCATCAACGAACTCCCTCGAGAACAACCACGGTCAAGGTCAGCTCGGACATTGCCTCTTCCGAGTCGCAACACAATCTGACACTCAATCCGTAGGAAACGCTCAATGCGCGAACACACTACGGTTCCAGCGACGATGACGGCGCCGCAGTCCACCGAATCAACCAATACACCATCAAGCAAGAGATAGGTCGCGGTTCCTTTGGCGCAGTACACCTAGCTGTAGACCAGTTCGGCAACGAATATGCCGTCAAGGAATTCTCCAAATCGCGCCTGCGCAAGCGCGCGCAATCCAATCTCCTACGCCGGCCGAATCAGAAGAGACAAGCTAGCAGAGGCTTCAATTCACCGTTGCATAGAATGTCGACGTCGGATAGACTGACTCCGCAAGCGAACAACTCTCTGGATTTGATCAAAGAGGAGATTGCGATTATGAAGAAATTACACCATACCAACCTTGTTGCGCTGATCGAGGTCTTGGACGACCCGGAAGAGGATTCGCTATATATGGTCCTGGAGATGTGCAAGAAGGGTGTTGTCATGAAGGTTGGCATCGACGATAGAGCGGACCCATATGATGAAGAGACGTGCAGATGCTGGTTCCGCGACATGATCCTGGGCATTGAGTACCGTAAGGAGCTAGTCTGTGAGAGTCTATCTGTGATCGTAGCTAACATGCTATACAGTACATGCACAGGGTATCGTACATCGAGACATCAAGCCTGACAACTGCCTCGTAAACGAAGATGACGTCCTCAAAATTGTCGACTTTGGCGTATCAGAAATGTTCGAGAAAGAGTCTGATATGACCACAGCAAAATCAGCTGGCTCGCCCGCATTCATGCCTCCGGAGTTGTGTGTTGCCAAACATGGTCATGTTTCTGGCCGAGCAGCTGATATCTGGTCCATGGGCGTTACGCTCTACTGTCTCAGATATGGTAGAATTCCATTCGAAAAGACTGGTCTACTCGAGATGTACGAATCGATTCGCGGTGATGGATTCTCATTATCTGAAGAACAGAATCCACAGTTCAAGGATCTTATGTGTAAGATTTTGGAGAAGGATCCCGATCGCAGGATCAAGATGGAGGAGCTTAGAGTATGACAACATCCGTCTGTTGCGATGATGACATTCTAGCTAACAACACCCAGGCCCATCCGTGGGTGACCAAGAACGGAGAAGACCCTCTGCTTTCAATACAGGAAAATTGTGCAGATCTAGTCGACATGCCGACCGAAGAGGAAATGAACCACGCCATTACAGGCAATATGAAGCAACTCTTGGTCGTGGTACGTGCAGACTGAAAGCAACGTGTAATCACGCGACTGACGTCTCTTCTCCAGATGAAAGCTGTGAAACGCTTCAAGAAGCTCCTCTTCCGTAAGCGTCCAGAGTTGATGGACGGCTTGTTTGGTCGCGCTTCTCGCATAGTAGCACCTCCCGGTAGTATCGAGACGAAACACAGAAAAACACGCAGCAGCGATGCGGATGACAGAAAACCGATGGAGAGGGTCCTGGCTGCTGAGGGAATCCACCACGACATTGTGGTCTCTGACGATATGGTCTGCAGTCCGGGAGAGATGGACGAGTCAAACTCTATGCACACAGAGACACCCGATGACGTTGAACACGCACAACACGCAGACAAGGACGCTCAGCAGGAATCAGTTGACCGCGCACTAGAAGAGCCTCATATCAAAGGCCACGCTCATGACCCCCTGTCGGAAACGACATATCTAGGTATAGGAACCGGGAGCAACTCTCCATCAGCTTACACCTCGGACGAGATCCAAGACGACAAGCCGATAGAACACATTGTTTGCGAATCACCTGGTGCCGACGACAGCAACTTCTTCGAGCAGGCCTACCAGGAAGAAATGCAGCGTATCCACTCGAGAAGAGGACGCGAGCCTACCATTTACCTTACCCGCCGCGTCGAAAACATCAAGGCTATCGCCGAGCACGAAAGTGTCATCCGCGATTCTTCACAAGCCGAGCCTGAGAGCGCGAAGAGCAAGTGGGCAGGGCTGGCGAGTAAAATTCGCGGCACCGACGTCGGCGAGGCCGCACAATCAGGAGCAGAGGACGGCGACGATAAAGATAAGGAGTGATTGCAACTTTCCCATCAATCGTTTGGAAGATCATCGCTGGACGGTTGTATCTTACCGCCGGATGTTGTTATTCGGAATCATTCATAAATTCTTTTCCTTTTTTTCCCTAAAGTCAAGGGAGGTAATGAATGCCAAGCGTGGACACAGGGAAGAATTGGTATTCAGGCAAAATTATTCCAACTTTCCTATATTTCCATAGCAGGGCACACACATACGATTATCCTACATAACAAAAGGACCTGCAAAAAACTCATTACAAACTTGACTCTTTGGATTTCTATTGCAATGTGATATTTGAAACCGTATGTTGGATTTTGAGTTTCGACTGGTGACTGATGGCTTTTTGGGACAGGGTTGTGCTCTTAACTATGCTTGTAAGGACAATTGATGATATTGCGGCAGCACCATCATGTTTTTTGCCGATGTTTTGATGTAGAGATATGTGGTGGATAGAATTCCATCGATTGGGGGGGTTTTGTTCTGCTTCATGGCTTCGTTGGTACGATATCGCTGGATATCACTTTTCAACTGTGCTTTCCTAGAAAATGACTTCCGGCTGCACATTCGACAAGTGACTTGAGAGAGAGCGTGAAAGCAAGTATTTGAAACTAAGAACAGTGTGCTTCGATATAAACACGTAGTCGTGACTGATCTAGCTAGTCAATATTAAAGAAGTTTCACTCCACTCCATTACTATAAAATAGTCGTTCTATGCATCTTATTAAGCGGTATCCTCGAGACGAGGTGTTTTAAAGCTAGCCGCGATTCTAACAAGCGCTCTAACTATCTTACAACACTCCCTTAAGATCTAATGAGAGACGATTTAAACTATACAAATCATCTATTGACACGCTTTAGACGGTGTTCGAAGTTATGCAATTTGATCTAATCCATGTTGCATAAAGGTGGATTTACTTTTATGCTTCCGCTGTCTCGGCTAGAGCTTGGGGCAAGAGTCGGCATGGGGAAGCCGTCGTTCTCCCCGGACGAACTCGGGGCGTACAGTATGCCGTAAGTGACATCCGGTACGGCTTCCGATCCCAGATACCGAAAAGGAACGACAGAGCCGTGACCGCGAGGGGGGAAGGCTAGCCATATTTCTATATACCGAGAAAGCACACTTCCTTCTTTTCCTTTTCTTCCTTCAAGATTTCTTGAGGTCTCGCATTTACACATCTCACATCACAATGGCAGCGACAAGACGTTCATGCATGCGGCTTTCGGCGTTATTGCCTTCGTCGTCAAACGCTTTGCTTAGAACACAATTGCCGCGTGTATCAGCGCGTGTGGCATTGAGCAGACGCACAGCGGGAGTTGCTGGATTGACGTTTACCCGTGGCTTCATCAACGATGTCAAGACTGGCGGCAGCGATGCAAGCAGTGGTGTCGAGGATATCGGATTGAATGAGAGTTTGGCGCCCACGATTGATCGCTCGAGATCAAAGGTTTACGCTTCTGCTGATGAGGCTGTTGCTGATATCAAGAGTGGTTCTACTATTTTGAGTGCTGGGTTTGGTCTTTGCGGTACTGCTGGTATGTGTTTTGATTTGATGTGTTGTCGATGATGGATGCTTTTGAAGACGGGGATGCTGACGTGCATGGCAGATACTATCATCAAGGCTATGGCGAAGAGGGGAGTTGAGAGTTTGCACTCGCTAAAGGCTGTTTCCAACAACGCCGGTGCTGGTCCCTATGGTCTTGCCGAGCTCGTTCAAAATGGCCAACTTACCTCCGTCATTCTGTCTTTCCTCGGAACAAACAAGGCTATTGAGAAGAAGTACCTTTCTGGAGAATTGGACGTCGAACTCACACCTCAAGGCACAATTGCCGAGCGTATCAGAGCTGGTGGTGCCGGTATCCCTGCCTTCTACACCCCCACTGGTGTCCACACATGGATCGAAACTGGAGAAATCCCCATCAGAATGGGTCCTCCTAAGGAAGGTTCCAAGATGCCCACCACCCTGCAACCTGGCAACCGACGTGAGACCCGTGAATTCAAGGGCAAGAAGTTCAACTTGGAACATGCTATCCAAGGTGATGTTGCCATCTTGCGCGCCTACAAGGTCGACGAGGCAGGCAACTGCGTCTTCCGCTACACTACTGGAAACTTTGGTCCTATGATGGCAAAAGCAGCCGCCTGCAGTATCGTAGAGGCCGAACACATCGTCCCTATCGGCGAGATCAAGCCCGACGAGGTTGACCTCCCTGGCATCTATATCGACCGCATCGTCCCCGCAACAGAGGAGAAGAAACTCGAAGTCAAGAAATTGCGTGAAGTCGAAGGCGGCGACCAATCCAACAAATCCGAAGGCGAGAAACGTCGCGAGAGAATCGCCCGTCGTGCAGCCAAAGAGCTCAAGCAAGGCTACTACGTCAACTTGGGTGTCGGCATGCCCACACTCGCCCCTTCCTTCTTGGACCCCAAGATCAAGGTCTGGATCCACTCGGAAAACGGACTCATGGGTATGGGCCCCTACCCCACCGAAGAAGAAGTCGACGTGGACATCATCAACGCCGGCAAAGAAACCGTCACCATCCTGCCCGGTGGCTCCACCTTTGATTCTGCCGAGTCGTTCGCTATGATCAGAGGTGGTCACATCGATGTCTCCATGTTGGGAGCTCTGCAGGTCAGCGCTAACGGTGACTTGGCAAACTACATGATTCCTGGAAAAGTGCTCAAGGGAATGGGCGGTGCCATGGATCTGGTCTCCAACCCTGACCAGACGAAGATTGTGGTGCTCACCGATCATGTGGACAAGAACGGTGTCAGCAAGATTCAGCAGGAGTGCAGTTTGCCGTTGACCGGTGCTCGTTGTGTGTCGACTATTATCACTGAGTTGGTAAGTCATTGCTTGTGTTTCAATTCAAGCTGGTTTCTGCAGAATGCTAATGATTGTTATAGTGTGTCTTCCAGGTTGACCGTAAGAATGGAGGTCTTACTCTCACTGAAGTTGCACCTGGCGTTAGCGTCGAGCAAGTGCAAGAAAAGACCGCCGCCAAGTTCAAGGTGGCCGACGATCTCCACGAGATGGAGTAGAGGAATAACCTCATACCCCAGAATCTTCATTCGCATGTTTCACAGCAATTTATTCTATACCAACAATTCATCAAGCACATGTACAAACTTTTTCTAGACATCAAAAACCCAAATGTACAAAAGATTCTTTCTCATCTATCATGCACGCCTAATCTCGTCTGTTCCACCTTCAAGCACAAAGCGTCATCTAAAGCTTCGCCTTGATGGATCCAGGCGCATAACTTGACCCCTTGCCCCCACTCAAAACCTCCACAATCCCATCCACCTTCTCCAACAACCACACACTCCCCTCATCCCCAGCCAACCACTCACCCCCCTCCACATCACCCTCAGCACTCCCATCTTTAAACGCCTTCCTCAATCCAAACACATGACTCAACACCTGCGGGCCCACCCCCGTCTGCGTCCTCAAACAACTGACCGCAACCACAGACGTCAACACCCTGCCAACCTTGCCCTGCACTTTTTCCTCCGGGTCGGCGAAAAGAGCACCGTATTCGGAGTGCAGAATGTGGACGGGCAGGTCCGGATGCGAATCCGCGAGTTTGGAGTATAGTTTCTTGTCGAAGGGGTCGTAGATGCTTTTCCAGAGGTCTTGGCCACGGGCGGACATTGAGGTTATGTTTTGAGGGGAAGGGATGCGCGTGGGTGTGGTGGAGAGGGAGGATGTCACTTTTTCGGGCAGGGAGGCGCGGAAGGCGTTGAGCATGTTGATTGTACGGGGCACCTGTTTTTTTTGCATGACCTTTGATCAGTACTTTCGTCTCTTTGAGAGGTGGGGGAAGAGGAAGGGAAAGGAAGAAAAACTTACGCCATTGAATCCGATACATTTTAATCCGACTTCCCTCATCAGTTCCGCCGTTTGAACCGCATCTCCCTCCGGCGAAGCGGCTTGGTACAGCTCAGATAGCGAGTCCGGCGAATTCATAGTCATGGTCGTTGCTGTCTATTATACCTCATATCAGTTTCTAGCACCCTCACTTGGATGTTTGGAAGGGGTGTGTATCACATACAGCCATGGATAACCAAGCAGGCACACCGACACCTCTGGCCTTTGCATCCTTGGCCAAGTTCTGGTAAAATGCCTTGATGCCCGGTGGAGCGGGCAGAGCACCGGGTCGCGCGAATGGCGCATTGATGAGTTCTTTGAGAGCGGGCGAGAGCTTAGACATGATTGCTGCTTGTCTTTGTTGCCAATTGAAGTATTGAGAGGTAAAGGAGCAAAAAAGGTGTCAGGTTGTGAGTTGCAACCATGTCAGTTCATGGGCCATCATCATCAATTGCCGAGCAGCCGTCTATCTCCGTGCTTTAACTGCGTGTTTGTGACGTAGATAATTTGGGGGACTTCGGCAAAGTCGTGAAGATACCGGACTGTGCCCTAGCTCCCACTGCTGGCCTCGTCTCGAGGCAGACGCTCGAATGGGATAGGTACTCGAGTAGAGTAGACACAGCAAGTGTATTGACAGAATGTGGGTTTATAGAATGTTGGTTTTATGTACTGGGACTCTTATGATCAGAACATATCCCATCTCCATTCACCATCATCAAAAAAGCTGACACTACACACAACTCCCTTTCCTTCCCTTTGAACGAAATCCACGTCTCGGCTCTCTTTGCTTTGCAATGCTTATGAAAATAAAATGAACCAGACGCTGTGCTTTGCATATCAATCAATTCAATCCTGTACAACCGTAATCGTCGTAACTCCGGGTCCAGCCGCGGAAAGGCCCCTTTGGTCGGTGCCATTCGTGCCATTGACTCGCTCCTTGTCGTTGTCGTTCGTGCCGTTGACTGTCTTGATATCCGATGAGAAAGGGAATGGGTCGAGACAGCAATCGAATCTCATCTGAAGGTCCAGTCCATCCAGGTGTGGGCATTCGGCTGATGTCGCAATCTTGTAAAAGTCACTGAATCGCATCCATCTCAAAGAGCCCATGCTCAAGAATTTTGCTCGGTCTTCCTTGATACGATGTTGGATCCTCTCGGCTTCGGCAAGCTCGGCCAACAAGTTTCCTGGTCCTTCTGTTTCGCTGTCTTCGTTTGAAGGAAGTCCATGGACCAGACTCGTTGACTGTAGGCATGCTAGCATCAATCGGCGCTGCTCCTCAGTCACCTTAGATGTCGTTGATCCGGAGAGCAAGGACGGCTTTGTCTTGGCATCGATAGGGAGATCCAAGAGAATGTTTGCGTCTTTTCCAGTAAGGATTGCAGCAGCCTGATAGCTGAGCATCCAAAGGTCGTCAGGCTTGCCCTCTTCTCCGACGTCTCCCAAATCGGCTCGTTTGACGACCTGGACTGGAAGGAAGTGTCTCTGGATGTAGGCCTGTCTCTCCTTACCGTGGACATCTACCAGGCCGAGGACGTGACTCAAAGCGCTTGGAAGCGCTTGAACCTTTCTCTCTCGATCCAGACGACGGTCTTCGGCCAACTTTCGCTCGTGTTGCTGACGGATTTCTTCGGCCTTACGTTCGGCCTCCTTGCGACGCGCAGCTTCCTCCTCTTTTCGGGTCTGTTCGTCTTTGCGCAACTTGTCTGCTAGCTTCTGCGCATCAGCCTTTGCGTCGAGATCGGCCTTGCGAGTGGCCTCGGCTTCTGCAGCTTCGCGATCGGGTTCCTCCATCTTGATATCCTCATCATCCTCATGTTGAGCGTCGTCCTCGGAGTCGTATGGAGTATGGTCTTCTTCGGCAGGCTCAATCATAGAGGACGAACGCTGTCGTTTAGGTTGTGGTTCGGAGAGATGGGAATTACTGTGCTTTCTTGGACGTCCAACCTTACGTGGTCCAGGTGGTTTGAGATTCTGATCCGAGAGTCGTTCGCCGTGTCTTCTAGGAGGCGCGACATCTGAGAGTTCCGAGGATGATCGCTGTCGGCTAGCTGTACGCATGTCTTTCTTAGATACAAGGCGTCTTCTGCTTCGTGCTCTCTCCGGTGAGTCAGCGTCTTCCATTTCCACATCAGAGTCGTTGTGGCGCTCTGCGCTTCTTCGTCGTTTCTTCGTGGGTTCGCGTCGAGCAACGGGACTGGAGCTCAGCTTATGAGCGCTATCAGCCTTCTCGTACAACTTTTCGAGGAGCGCCTTCTCTTCTCTCCATCTCGGACCCTGCTTGGACTCTGCGATCTCGAACCAGGTCAGGTTGCTACTCTTAGAGCGCCATCTAGGTTCGAATTGATCGAGTTCGGTAAGGGCCTTGACCATTTCGAAGTGAGAGGTTCCAATAACAGAGAGCATGGGTCTATCAGCTCTCTGACGAGCCTTCTTAGGGGTCATCTCAGCGAGAAGCATGTTCACAAGATATAGGTCGCCAGTCTTTGCTGCCGCCGCCACAACGTTATTGTCGACGGGCACCCGAGCATCGAGGAACTCCTGAACGGCTGTCCTGTCATTCTCGCTAACAAGCTTGAGCAAATTCTCGTAGGTGCGTGCAAGAAATTGCAGGCCTTGCTTTGGTCCAGGCCTTGAAGCGGGTTCTTCGACATTGTACGTTTGCTCAGATCTGCCGTTTTTGTTCCAGTCTTCGATTGCTTCGCGCAAAGCAGCACGGATCTCGGTTGCGTTGTCGGTCTCCTTGGTGATGACATCGAGCGCCTGCTGGCCTTTCAGGTTGCAATGTAAAGGGTTGATTCCGGCTTTGAGGAGGATTTGAACAACATCAAGATGGCCGTTCTCGACCGCGTCAATGAGGGGGGTATCCTTGTCTGCATTTGCGCAATGTGGATTGCAACCTTGCTCGAGCAAATAGCTGACGATCTCGGGGTATCCATTCAGGGAGGCGACTTGGAGGGGAGTGTTGCCTGCAAATTCGCGCTGTTCCAGTTGTTCGGGGTCCTTTGCGCGCCATTCCTTGACACCGTCAAGATCGCCATTCTCGCATGCCTCGGCCAGGCGAGTGAAGCCGTATTTGTTGACGTGCCGCTTTGCTAAACCCATTGGTCGACCTGGTGTTGAAACAGCCCTGCTGGTGTTTCGGGTAAGTCTGCTTTTAGGATATTGATGTGATGTTTCGGAAGAAGTATCCGAATCCCAGACGTTCCTTGCAAGCATTGTTTCGCGGACGGGAATATGAGTAGCGGCGCGTCGTTGCCGTGCAACGCCCGCTGTATGTAAATGTTGTCCACTGTTGCTCCGGCTCTGGCTGGGGCGTGCGGATTGCGCTGATGCAGTCCGTCGGTGTCTGCGCAATTGAGGAGATGAGGAGTGCTCACCGTCATCTTGGCTGGACCTTCGTTTCCGACGTGGCTGATCTACATCTGTATGTTTGCGTTTCCGTGGATTTGAGCTTCGTTCTTGGTCGTCCTTATCTGAGGCCCACGATCTGCCGTCCTCATCATCGTCGTCATCATCGTTCTCGTTGTTTTTGACGTCGTTTCCATGCCCGTTTCCGACCTCAAATGATTCCACCGAGGATACTTCACTCAAATTGTCACTGTCACTGTCCTGGTTATCTCCATTGGCATAAGTAGTCTTTTCATCTGGCTTGACATCCTTGGCGACTGATTGGTCTTCCTGCTTTTGTAGGTCATCGCCGTTGGTTTGAGCTTTGTCTTCCGAGGCTTCACGAGCGGTCTCGGAGTGTTCCTCGTCCGGTTGGACGGCAGTCTTTTCAGGAATCTCGTCAATGCTTTCCAAGGCCTGGGCAGAATTAGACTGCTTGAGCAAGTCGCGTTTTTTGACAGGAGATACGATCAAGGTCTCGGCCTCGGAGTCATTCTCGGCATCAAGTGCATCGTTGTTCCCGGACTCGGGAAGGCGAGTTGGTGAGATTTTGGAGGCTTCAGGCGGCGGGGAGACAGATGGGCGATCTAGAGGCATGGGAGAGGTGGTCTTGACAGGTGGAAGAGGCGGCGCATTCTGGACAAGCGCGTTGTTGCTGTCGAGGATGGTGCTGTGGCTCATGCCGCGGATATGGCCATACAATAAAGGGCAAGGCGAAGACCGGCTCCGCAAGATGGACAGTCGAGGAATGTGAGTCGTAAGGGGGCGGACAGAGGTTGTTGTGGATTGGGAAGAAGCAAGTATCGGTTAACGTTAGCAAGAGCTGCAACTTGGAAAGCGGTCCGCTGTCTAGAGGCCCGCTTTGACCTCTCACAGTCACGTGCGTCTGCCGCCGCCGATCCACTTGTCTAGCAATCTCACCGACAGTCGAGGCCTGTTCTTGCCTGAATTTTGGACTTGCCATCAGGGAAGACAGCCTTGTTGTCGTGGAAGCCTTTGGCGAAGCCTGTTGCATGGTCGTGCTGTGCCCATCCAAGACCTTTGCGTGCGCCTTTTAGGACGCCATCATCCTGTAACAACCGCCTCGAGAACTTACAATATTTAGCGTCATGCTTGACCTCGTCATTATTTTGAGGGCTTCCTTCTTGCTGGCAGCCACCGCTGTGAGAGAGAAGAAAATACCTCATACCATCCGAGTAAGCCCGCTGACTCTCAGCAGGCTCTCCTCGCTCACTGCCTTCCTTCTCTTCGCACGCGTTTCTTAGCATATGGTTCTCGTCAGAATGGTCAACCGCCAAAACAACTCACTACCAATCCACTTGACGCACTTGCCACTTTCCAAGTGCCTCACAGCTGGTTTGCATCTTTCTACCTCGTCTCCACCTTGTGTTCTTTCATATGGTTCTCTCAGATCCTCCTTGATCAATCGCTCTGGCGCAACCTGGCAGCATTGACCGACATCAAGAATTCCATGACCTTGGATCAAATCATCGTCACATGGATACTGATGCTCCTGCAAGGTGTCCGTCGTTTGTATGAGAGTTTGGAATTTACTAAGCCCTCCAATGCTCGCATGTGGATCGGCCACTGGGCTTTGGGGGTCTGGTTTTATGCTAGCATGAGCATAGCCGTCTGGATCGAAGGAGCTCGTATGTTTTGGCCTGGTAGAAATCCGTGTCTTACTCCTCTGACGTTTTTCTCTTTCTCTAGCAACTCTTCTCCAAGAGTCATTCAATTTCTCGCATTTGACTATCGAGCCTCCCTGCCTTCGTACTTTTGTGGGTTGCTTGATTTTCATCCTTGCTTCTGGTGTGCAACACGACTGCCACGCATATCTTGCATCTTTGAAGAAGTACAGTGTGCCCGAGCATCCAGTGTTCCAACGATTGGTTTGCCCTCACTACTTTGTCGAGTGTCTGATCTATCTTGCTATTTCGATTGTTGCGGCTCCAGCTGGATCCCTGTTGAACTGGACGATAGTATGCGCACTCATTTTCGTAAGCGTAAATCTAGGAGTGACGGCGGATGGAACCCGGGACTGGTATGGACAAAAGTTCGGGCCGGATAGCGTGAGCGGAAAGTGGAGGATGATTCCCTTCGTCTTTTGATGTAGGGCAGGAAGTTGTAGGGGTCGGAGGATCGGTCTGGCGGGTACCATGTAGAAGCAAGCAAGCAAAGCTAGTGCAGGCAGATGCAGAATCGAGTTCAGACAGGAGGGTTGCCGCCAGTACTCTCAACGACCATTTTGATGTCTTGTTTGCAGTCGGGTAGTGCACCCGTCATCTCTCTTGCCAGAATGTCTCTGAAGTCGGCGAAGGCTTGGCTTCTACCTTTGAGCTGTTGATTGAGTCTCTGGACCAGCTCGACGAACTCGCGGGTGTAGATATCAGGGTTGCGCGATCGCTCGACGTATTCGATGATTTCTTGTGGTAGACCGGTCGGGAGGGTACGCGCGGTTTGGCAGAGGGCGAGTAGATTTTGGATTAGGCGTTTGCTGGGGTCGTGTCAACACGGCGTTTGGGTTTGGCAGAGTAGATGGATATCGCAATTACATCTCAAAGGTCATGGCCTCTTGAGTCTGGGTGCCGCGGAACTCGTGCGCCTGACAGATCAACATGTACAAGTTGTCGATGACAGCCTTGAGCTGTGCTGCGAATCCGTCAGTACTCGGTAGAAGACATGTATACAACCTTCTTCAGACTCACCATCGACCTCGTCAAGACCATCTGTGGAAGCCATGACTGGTGTAATTGACTACAAGATGGTTCGAAGCAAAGAAATGACGATCCGGTTGTTCCTCCAGATCCGGGGTGAAGGCCAGGCGCACCTGCCAGCAGGGAGCCCCACCGTAATTACCTTTATGGTTATCAACAACCTCCGTCACTTTACCTTCATAACCAATCACCGACATGTACGAATCTTTTTCAATGCCTGCGCCAAACTCATGAAGTTGCAAAGGAAATGCCCTCGAAGCAAGAATCTCTAGATGGAGTGATGGACCAAGAAACCGCCCGCGCTGCCCCTCGTGGTCATGCTAGGACCAAAAGCAACATTTCCATTGGAAGCAACAACCCATCAAGACCAAAGCACAACAGATCAAAAAGCACAAAGAAACTCGATTCCGTTTACTCCGATGAAGCTACTATCGCCTTCATCAAACGTACCTTATGCGCTCCGCAACTCGCGGGACCTGAGGGTAGCCGAGCACGAAACATCCACAAGCCGTTGTCTGAATTACTGCCGCCCTTGACTAGTTCCAATCAAGTCGACCTTCAGATATATGCTCTCATTTCCATAATAATCAAGGACTTTGTACACGCTTGGTACTCCAGGATAACACCGGACCAGGACTTCACCGACCAAGTTGTTCATATCATCGCCCACTGCACACGCGCTCTTGAGCAGCGAATCAGAGCAGTCGATCTAGAGGCATTGATACTCGACGAGCTTCCTGAGTTGATTAATCTTCATGTTACAGGTAATGGTCGCATCCAAAGGAGATATATCGTACTCGCCTAATTGACCTGGTATCAGCTTATCGAACTGCATATAACGGATCCTACACATCCTCTCTTGTAGCAGACCCGAGAGAAATCTATCACGCCATTAACCCTCATCCTGCCCTCACTCCAGTTCCGTTTGAATCCGGTTCTCTTGCATCTCTAGATCAGGCAGAGAATGAAGCTGTATGGCGCCAATTGCTGATTCAAGGAGTCTTGTCTCATGTTCTTCCTCCGGAGGATCTAAATAACCCACCTCTGAGGGTGTTGGTAACTGAAATCTTCTCTGAATTGATCATCGGCCGGGGAGTCTGCGGCAACATCTGCGAAGGCTGGTTTATTTGCGATCTCATTGCCAAGCTACTCGCCATCCTGCGTCCTCCGGAACCCGATGTACAGCAGCAACCACCAACCAGTCCTAATCGTCTGGAACAGTTTGGGCTCCTGGCAGATGACAGCGACGATGCCGAAGAAGCACCCACGGTGACAAGTCGAAGTCCAGTGGATTTCATATCCAAGGCGTTTTGGCAAATCATGCAATACGCCTTCCTTGCGTTCATGACGATACGCGCCTTCTTCACTGCTTTGTCAGATGCCGCATCTCTGCCTCCAAGGGCGAATAGCAGAGAAGACTCGACACATGATGAGCTAGATGACAGCGGCTCATTATGCCAGCAATCAACACACGACAGCATCAAACGACCAATCTTGGGGATGTCACTATGGAGTTGCTGCTCGCATTTGATTTCTTTGGACTTGCAGATGCCATGGCTTACAACCATGGGTGCATACATACAGTGGCTTATGATCTGCAGTTCATGGAAGGTGGGTTACACAAACAGCAGATTGGACAGGTGAGTTTACATTCTCTTTCCACCTTCATATTCCCCCCCTTCATGCATCGCGATATCCGCAGATCAATTGTTTCGATTGTCTTCCCTCCTCTCCGAAATTCAGCCATGTCGCCCAGTATCTTTGTACCCCCGCATGTACTTTCAGTCACTTGATCCCGGCATGAGCCAATACCCTTTCGCGACGGGCCGCCCGCCTGTCAGCCGCATTTCGAGTGCAGAACGTGGCGCTCGCAGCAACGCAATACCGACATGATGGCTCGCACTGCGTATCCTGGACGCGCACAAGGGTTTCTGAGAGGACGCCACGTCGCACTTCGAAGCGCCCATTGCAAAGAGTCGAACATTTTTGTGATTTTATCCGGTCTATACTTTCTGCTGCTACATTGGACACCTGCTTTTCCTTCTTGCTTCCTGCAGGCGAGGTCGCAGTGCGGGCCGGGGCACGCCTTCCTGATGTGGAAGCCACATATCTCTGATGTCTCCAAGACCGAGAATAAGCGATATTCGCCGAGCATTGCATCGTGTCGTCTTTGGTCTACCAATGGCTTGGGATATCGAATTTGCTCATCTGCGGCCTCGCGATTGGCCTCCTCAAAAGTTCTGGACGGACGCCCGCCTTACTTTCCTTGCTTGCGATTGCCAACCCGTGTTCATGGGCGCTTAACAAAATCCTCTTTGTGTAACCGTGGCGGATATGGCTCCCCCAGCAAAATATTGCAACCTCAACCGACGACCAATTCCAGGCCTCTCATCTCCAATCTATCGACACGCACCCACACACATGTTTTCTTTGCGCATGGCTGAATAATTTTCCTTGACCCCTCTCGATCATGTTGCAAAAGCCCTTCCAAATCACTGTCGCATCATCGAAAAACCCGATCGATTGGAAACATCCATTGGCTAACGACTTCCCATCTTCTAATCTCACCAGACTCCTCTCCCACCACATCCAAACCAAAATTCTCGATCCCTCCCGCTTACCATCCATCCTCCTTCTCATCCGCACAAACATGTTCCCCAACAATTCTTTGGGTCCCGGTCGCGTGCCACCTACTCCTTCCGAAGCTCTTGCCATCAAGACGAAATGTGCTACTGCAATCATCGCTGCTATACCTCCTGTGGTGGTGAAGCAGGTTTTTGCTGGAGCTGGTGAGGAAGAAGTACACAGGCGGGTGGAGGATATGCTCGATGCTTTTGGAGATGCATATCTGAATAAACATTTGATAGTCGGGATTGTGGATTTGGTCATTGTAAAGCTGTTTCCTGAGTTGGCAGAGCAAAGCATCAGTAGTATTCTGAAGAAGGAAGATGGGCAATAAGAAATGATAGTCGTGCACGACTAAGCACGAGTGTAACCATGTATATATGCCATTTCACTTTCAATCATTACAACATGTTTTCTTTCTTTCCGAAAATTGTCATATCTTTGTTCAGATACATACTCCTATGAACATGTTTGAAGACCTATATAATCAGAAACCGAAAGTGAGAAGAAAGAAAACCCCCCACTGATGTCAAAAAAGCTAGAAAAGCTAGACAGGCCATAAATACACAAAATGGGTGTGTTGTGTGTTTCCACTGCGTGGGCAGCTAAATGTTTGTAATCTGTCTGTTGTTGTTGATGATGTCCCCTGTCGATGTCTGGATGTCTGGATGTCTGGATGTCTGGATGTCTGGATGTTTGAATGTCTGCAAGAAAAGCAAATGCCCTGAGGCCCGGAAGAAAAACAATGATGATGGTTCAAAACCGAAAACCAAAGACGAAAAAAGAAAAGCAAAAGAATGCAAAAAGAAGAAGAAGAAGAAGAAGAAAAAGAACAAGAACAAGAAGACCAAAAACGAAAAAGGAGAACAAAGAGCCCGACCAGCAGGCAAAGCAAGCCCCCAAAAAATCCACATCCTCGAAAACCTCAAACCATACTCAAAGCCATCAGGAAAGGAGGGAAAACCTCTGAATTCACTCCCTCAATCTCAATTTCTCACCCAAGAGTTTGCCGAGCAATTTGCCCTCTTGCACTTCACTCATCCCTCCATCCTCGCCCTCGAGATATCTGACTACGATTTTCAGTGCTTCTCTCGCTTCCTCCCTCGTTGGTGCTTTGGCGGTCAAAGCATCAGGATTGATGGTCTTGCTATCGATAATAACATCTTCCATGTACTCATCTATACTGCCCAACCTCCCCAATCCACTTTCTGCATCTTCAGTATTACCAAGCGAAGAGAGAAAAGGGTGAGAAGACGAGGATAATGTTTCTTCTGCGGGAGAAGAGTCGGCCATGAAATGATCGAGTGCTGGAAATGTTTGTTGTTGTGACAGCGGCGAATGCAAAGGTCCTGCTGAGATCTGACTCGAAGGCGAAAAGAAAGGAGAGGTGGGTGATAGCAGTTGAGGGGTGAAGCAAGTGCTCGTTGATCCCATATCTGTGAATACAGTATTGATCGAGGGAGGAGATTTACGGCGTTTGTTGCTGTTGTTGGGTTTGGCGTCTTCCGCAGCCATCGCGGTGTCCATGGTAGGGTAGATTGTTTCCGGTGAGCTGGAGCTGAGGTTCTCGTCTGAAGGTGAGGTAGGCGATTGGACAGTAGCATTGTCGGAATCAGCGACGGAATCTTTGCGTAACTCTTTGGACTTGGAGGCGCGGTTGACATGATGCTTTTGCTTGAATTTCTCTAGCCAGCCGGGGATGTTCACTGGGTTCGAAGCTGGATTCTCGGGTCCGGGGATGGAGGCGAAGTAGTATGCTTGTTCGTGGATAGCGTCGTCCGTGATGGGAGAGCCTTTCTTCTGCTCTTTGATGACCCACGCTGAAAGAGTCTTTTCGATGTCCGGTAGCCTGGCCTTTGATCTTTTGTTCGGCGGTGACCGTGGAGTCTCCTTGGGTTGAGATTGATTGAGGTATATTTCCTTTTTCCTGAGAACCTTTGATACGGTGCTTCATGATCGGTCAGTATCAGAAAACTTTTTATGATTCAACCCGACGGAATTCCATACCTTCGTTCCACTCCAAAGAGATCTGAGAGATTGTTAGCATCAAGTTATGTTCATGGCTTGGACAAAGCTTACACCCTATCTCAGTTTGTTTCGCGGTTGGATTCTCCTCCGCGTACTTGCACATTCTCCTGCGGTCATCGTCTGATAGCGTCTTCCGCACAGAAGGTCCTGACCTGGATGATGAACCCGCTGATATCGGTGTCACAGTAGGAGGAGATGTCGTGCCAATTTGAGTCTGCGGTAGAAGTGGTGGATAGAATGTCTGTTGGCTCCCCAGCATACTCGGCCATGGCATCATCAGTGGTTGCAACTGTTGATGACTTGGCCTCAACGGTGGCGATTGCGAAAAGGCGGCCGAATGCATTGGAAGCGGTGGTGATCCCCAGCCAAAACCCGTATACTCTTGTGCTGGCGTGCCATGATATGAATGAGGGTACGAGTGTTGTTCAGACCACCTCATTGGCATACTATCAAAGGTGGCCGGGTGTTGTTGCTCTGAACTATCCTCCATTGTGATATGTTACACACAACAGCCTTGAGATCTGCTCGTCTGTTGAATTTGTTATTGCAAAATTTTCTGAATGGTCAGAGGTAGCAAAATGTCAGGAAACTTGAGCCTGTCAAGCATGCAAGATGTTCCTGGAAGAAGCGAGGCACAGTCCCCATGCGAGCCGAAGCATGCACCTCGACGTCGAACCTTGACAAGATGGAAAGAAAGCTTCTGCAACTTGTTAGGCATAAATGCAGATACTAAGAAGTCCCAGGGACCAAAAGGTTGCTTGCCTATGGAGAGGTGATGATCGGAGACAATAGTGTGGAAGCAGGGCTTGCCTATGAGAAATTAAGTTAACCTCATCGGGACGGTACGAGGCTGGTTTCCGAAAGGATTACCGCAATAATTCTTCAAGGATCATCAGCGGCAGGGGACAATTGACATGATGTACACAAGAGACCGATATAGTGGGTGCAGGTGCGAAATAGGGAGGGGGATGCCAACCACTAGATTCGAGGTGTTGGAGCCCTGGCAAACAAGTGCTGGGTCATGATGCATGTTGGAAGTAGAGGACCGGGGCTCGTAAAGACTCTAAAGGGCCTGCTGCTGCGGCCGCTTTGTTGGCCGCCTGCATCATTGCATGCACGGCCATAGGGAAACTCCACACGGAAGGATAACCCGCCCGCACTCGTCTCAGAAAGTCGGGACCAGGTGATCGGCTTCTTGCTTGCTGTGGGCTGAAGGAATTGATGGTGGTAGTGGATGGGGGCCCAAGCACCGACAGCACAACACAACGCAACTACCAATCGAGCCCTGGAATTGCATGTTTCGACTCTCATTGATCCGGCCGTAGTCCAGTGGTATATTAGTCCTCACAACCCGTCTGCAATCGTCCTCAAACGGACACTTTTACAATGTAAGCGCAACATCAGCGACTCTGTTGAGTACTGAAGCTCCAGGCGAACTCTCGATCGGACAGCGCCGTCGCGGACGACTGCAAACCCTCGTCATTAGGCGGCCTACAATGCAGCGCCAAAGAAGTCAAGCCGAGCGAGACATGGTGGTTCTCCACAGCAGAGACACGCCTTGCGTTATTGGATCACCTCACCAAGCGGCATGGCTGGCTTCGAAAACAACCCAGAATTGACGAATCGCAGGTCGAATCGCGCTGCTTTTTGATTAAATGTCGAATGCGGGCCGAGGCTGCGTGCGGGGCGGTTATGCACCTGCTTCGCGAGTGGAAAAAAGATAACAAATCCTTGGCCAATCAAAAAATGGCTTGCAGTGAAAATGATGAAAAGCAGAAGGAAGTTGTTGCAGAAAAAATGTAGCCATTTGACCAAAACCGTGTATTTCCATGGGCAGAAGCCGGTCTATCTGAAAGGAAATTTCCGCGAAGAAAGTAAAAAGAAAAAGAGGTCTCTTACCGGACCGGTCATTGTTCATGATACGAGTGTTGAGGAGGTGGACACTAGCGTATGTTGGAAAAGGGTATGACAAAGGCTGCTGCAAGTACTATCGGCCAACAGAAAGGTTGATCTCGATTCGAGGCAGTTTTGCAAACCCGGGATATCAAAGGTAGGGTGGGGGTTGGCGAGTGATATGCAATATTGGTGATTTATCGCTTGATGATGGTCAAGACATCCTCATCGGCGAGCTCGTGAGAGAGACCGACTCTTTGAGGCTGATGTCTGACGGACTTGCCGTAGACAATAGCGACCTTGAACTGTTCAACGATAGTCTTGTGGATAGCGTTACACTTGGCAGAAGGTTAGCTTAAAGCTTGCGGATCGGTGGAGAGGGAAACATACGAAGTCTTCAACAGTACGTGCGTTCGCTCTCAAGACGACAGGGGCAGTGTAGTCAGGAGCTTTGCCCTTGGGCTTGGTGTAGACTCTGCACAAGCTGAGTTTCTCCCACATTTGCTCCATCAGTTCGTCGACGTTCCAGCCGTGCTCGGAACTGATGGGACATGCGTTGGGAATACGGTATAGCAGGTCGAGCTCCTCGATTGAGATGGCGTCAATCTTGTTGAGGGCGTAGATGACGGGAATGTAACTTCTGCTCTTTGCTTCCAGGATATCGATCAGGTCGTCAATGGTGGCGTCGCAGCGGATGGCAATGTCGGCAGAGGAGATTTTGTATTCGTTCATGACAGCCTTGATCTCGTCGTGGTCGATGTGGGTAAGAGGGACGGTGTTGGTGATGCTGATACCGCCCTTGTCCTTCTTCTTGAAGTGGATGTTTGGCGGCGACTTGTTGATTCTAATACCGAAACCTTCCAGTTCGTTCTCGATAACGCGCTTGTCGGTAAGAGGCTTGTTGACATCGAGGACGATGAAGATCAAATGGCAAGTCTTTGCGACAGCAATGACCTGACGACCACGACCCTTTCCGTCCTTTGCACCCTGGATAATACCGGGCAAATCGAGAATCTGAATCTTTGCTCCGTTGTACATGACCTGTCCAGGCACGGTTGTAAGAGTTGTGAATTCGTAGGCGGCGGCTTCGGAATGTTGACCAGTCAATCGACTCATCAGGGTACTTTTTCCGACCGAGGGGAAACCGATGAAACCACTGTCTCGAGTCAGCTTGTGGGCAGAGACATGGGGTGGAATGCATCAACATACACACTAGCAACACCAGTTCTGGCGACATCGAAACCGGCACCACCACCACCTCCACTCGATGAAGGAGTCAGAAGTTCTCTCTTCAGCTTTGCCAACTTTGCCTTCAATTGACCTGATGTGCATGTTAGTGTCGTGATCTCTGGCTCTTTCTTTGTCGCGCGACATGATTGTATGTACCCAAATGGTAGGAAGTGGCCTTGTTCTTTTGGGTCTTGGCCATCTCATCTTCGATCTGCTTGATCTGTGGTGCAATTCGGGTCAGCGATAAAATTTCGGGGCTCTCTGGAACGGTGGTCGCGCACCTTGTCGACGGTGGTAGCCATGATGGGTGGTGGTTATTCGGGATTGGGCGACTATTGCGCGACGAAAGAGTAGTCTGGGTGACGTGTGTAGCGACAGTGGATGGTTGATTGCGGTATAGAGACACGCGGCGGGTGATGAATTGTGAGAAGTCGAAGTTGCAAATTTGGCGAATCGTCTGCGAGCAATGACGACTGCGGGGTCCAATCCATGGCCGTGTCTGCAAGGGCGCGAGTAAAGCCACCCACTCCAGTCGACCCTTGATGTTTATTGAGCACACAGGTACTCGCAATCTTGCGACATTTCCCTCACATTTCCAAAAGTCGTCTCTTTCAACAATGGGCCGACTGCGTGAGTTTTGTGCTAAGATGTGCCTCATTCAGAGAACAGAACAAAGGCAGGGTCTCCCTATTCAAGTACGGCGACTTTTCAGACGATGAGGCCCTGACTGGTGTGCTTGCGTCAAACATCGCCGACTTCTTTCGACTTGTTTGTCCAGCAATACAAATACTACATCCAGTCCATCCATGGCCGCCGTCGTCCAAACTTTCTCGAATAGCTCCAGCTTACATCTCTAATACACACATATCACCTCGACCTTTTACAGAATACATCTCCACACCATCCTCTCTGTCTCAAAATGTCCGTCGCCGCTCCACTTTCTCACATGGACCAGCCTCATGTACACTGTTGCGCCACATGCAAGTCCGCCATGTCCGATGATCCCTTCGGTCATCTAGTACGGGACATTCGCCAATACCTAGGTCCATCCTCTGGCATCGACTCGGCCCACGTCGACCCCAATCACATCAAAGCCCTCATGGCCAAATACACTTCAAACCCGAAGCACTGGGAACGATACGCACGCGCAGACAAGACCAGGGGCTACACGAGGAACATCGTCGACAACGTTAACGGCAAGGCGAACCTGATCCTCATCGTCTGGAACCCTGCCAAGGGCTCCTTGATTCACGACCATGCCGATGCTCACTGCGTCATGAAGATCCTCAAGGGCAACCTTACAGAGACTGTCTACCACAAGCCAGAGAGCGGAGACACCAGTGTCCATCCTCTGGAAGTCAAGCAAGAGACCGTATACCACCCCGATGAGGTCACATACATCTCCGACCAGATCGGTCTTCACCGTGTCTCCAACCCAGACCCCGTTGAACCTGCCATGTCGCTTCACTGTAATACCAACCCTCATCTTTCGTGATTGATAGAACCATTCTAACCATCCGCCAGTGTACACGCCTCCCAATGCTGCTGAGTTCGGCTTCCACGTCTACGATGAGCGTACAAGCAAGAGTTCCTTCGTACCACCCCAGTACTAAGTCTTCTTCAACGGGTTCCCTTTCCGACCCTCCTACTTCTAATATTGTTTAATCATGGGGCGCTAGGGTTACAGGAATATCGCGATATACCCCAGTACATTGGTTAGGACAACCAGGCGTTTGTATTCAATTGTTCAATGCTGAAATCATTTGCTAAATCTTCCCACCCACCCGCTTCGAACTTGCTATTGAGTGATATATCCTAGGAGCTCTTCTACCAGGAACATGAATATTGTAATCAAGGCTTGCTCATATCCACCACACGAGACCTCTGCTTTGACAACCATCAACACCACCCCTCCACACCCCCTCGTCCTTTCTTCCTTCGGTGTCTATTAGGGATGTTGCAGTGTGTTTCTGACATTCTTTCATGTCCGGTTAGATATCATGGAAAACTGGCAGCAAGTTGTGGTTTCCAGGCATTTCAGTCTGCGATTCATATATCGTGTCAGGCTCGCGCGGATGTGTTTTATGGATAGGGAGGATGTAGCTACGCCATTTTGCCTTGCGAACTAGAGATACCTCCTACGCTTCTATGCCTGGTTTTGTTCTTGAATGAGTGAATTGCTTAGAAGCTTACCACCATCACAAGTCGATTAGGACGTCCTTGATAATCATCTCGATCCAAGAAATAACATCGGATATCGTACAATCTATCCACTGTGGAAGTAGGCCGCCTAGTTGATCCTAGAAATCTATACCTTCGTTAGTCTATCAAGTCTCCTCTACAACATCGCCACTTCGAGATCTTTGGAACAATTGTGCAATCTAGAGTATCTATCACAAGGTACGCATTGTAATAACACCATTTCGCATCGAGATTAAAAGAAAAGTATGCAGTCCTTTTTGTTTCCCCAGACGGTATGTTTTAAGAACGCTGATACATTCTCTACTTAACTTTTTTTTTTTTTGGCTGAGTCTCGTCCTTTGTCGGTTTCTTTTGTTGGGGTGTGCAAAGAGGAATATATGGAAGCTTGGTCAACTGACTTGCCTGAATTTCCTATGTAGATATTTCTTGTTTCCAAGTATTAATTGTTTTCTCTTCTCCATTTAGTCGAAAGAAATAGATTGTTTTTTGGGGGTTAGGGTCAAGTGATGTATAGGTTGCATTGAATTCAAGATATCGGTGGATCTCCCATGTGGTGTATAGAAGGATTTATTTACCGACAGGGATATTATCCAAGATGGATAGCTTCTCGAGCCCTTAATCATCTCTGTATTGTGAAGATTCGATGTTCGTCTGGATAATTTTGTCTATATGCGTAGCGGTCTAGGAGGTGTACTTGGAGACCGCATACGTGATATGGAATGCCTCATTGTTTGCATTGTATGCTTTGTCTTACCGTCGGGGGGTGGATGGATAAAGAAAGTGTGAAATAGTCTTGTTATTGACTTAAGATGGATCAAGTGTAGATCTGAGGCAACCCATGTCTGAGATGTGCTTCGCGTTACGTTTGTGCAGATGATAGTGAGTACCTACTGATGCATGGTAGCATGGTTCGAGAACTTTGATCGCCAGGAATGTATCTTGCGAGTCTGTACAAATCAAGCGAGACAATAGAGGCTTGAACAAGGACAGCCGCCATGACCTGTCGGCGTGACAACTTAGCTCGTGGGGAAAAGAGCGAACGAGCAAAAGATCGAGAAATACTCCAATATGGATAAAAGCTCCCTTGCAAGCTTCATAGATGCTGGGAATACAGGACCGATTGTAGCAAACGGATGTGAAAGGAAGGTTTACGAGATGTGGTGGGATGAGGATAATTAGACCAGCGAGGAAGCACTGATCGAGCAGTGAAATCAGAAATGGATTACCGTGTCGTGATTGACAGAAGATGCGGCTTGACGGAGGGAATTGGCACGCTCATCCCCTTGAAGCAGTGGGACTGTGATGTCGCTACCAGTAGCTGTTGCGTTCGTTCTCGTCTCTTTGAATATCGCATCAGCGAACTAGTGCAACCTGGAATACATCCTGATATACTCCGTGACGATCGGAGTGCTAGAATGCGTTCGCTGTTCATAAAGATTGGGGTTCTGGGGCTGATAGCACTTTTGGCTGGTGGAAGTTCCTTTTTTCTGTGATGACGGACCAGTATCATGTAGTTGATTTAGATGTGTCTCCGGTTGACATTTCGTCCCCCGATCGAACTTTAGAGCTCTTCATATCAGAGTTTTCCTTGGGTTTTTCTTCGAAGGTCCTCTCCGGTAATGGTTTTATGCCTGGTGGATAGTATATCGGCGTGAATGCTGCGCAATCCGCAACGAAACAATTGAAGCAGTCAAATTCTCCATCTCCTTCTTGTCTCTGATTACCGATTTCTCTCTCACCTTCACCCCTGATTTCGTCTTTGTCGTGTGACTCGTGTCTTTTTCTCCTCCACCACAGCTTTAGTCCACGGTATCTCTTCTTGCCGCACGTGGCGCATCTGTAGTCCATCTTTTGGGAAAATATCACAGGCTCGTGTGCGTTCCAAAGGACCTCCTCTCGAAATCGTGGACTCTGCAAACGCATCCGAAAAAGTTTAGTCCATTGATATTTGGAATCGTTTTTGTACCTCGAGCTGCTGCACTCCCTGGCTCGTTCGATCCGAAGGTCTCGAGCTTCGGACTCCTCCGTCAGCTCATACCTCGACCTCCGCTCGGCGTTGATCTGTGATTGCTTCTCACGAAACCCAGCATCAGTGTGCCATTTGAATAGTTTCTGTCGCAGATGCCTTTCGCGGATACTTTTGTTTAGATTGCTGCAATATTCTTGCGCGGAACTCCGGATCTGTTGCATATTTTCGACGATGCCAATTCGCCTTTTGGATTCTCTCCTTCTTGCGCTTCTCGAGTTCTTCCGGGGTCAAAGGAGGACGACCTATGGCATATTGTCTTGGATGTGTGGTGTTTTGGAAGCTCGCCGCAAGATAGAGAGTAAGGTTGGTAAGGTTCAGTTTGAAAGAACGGAACGCAGTAGGATAGTGCCAGCTAAATTTCATGTACATATGTATCGCCAATGATTGGTGTGAATAAGGATCGTTGAGAGTCCTTCAGATCCTATCATATGACCGAAGTCAAGTCAGCCGGAGAGGCGTGCACGATGCCGGCGCGATTCGTGAGTAACAGCGGAATATGTGATCGAAGTATCATCAACGTTGTGAAAAAGATGCTGACGAGGAGTTTGGTACAGAGTGGACAGTAGATATGCGCAAATATCCTTGTTCGAGTCACGACGATCATACTGCATGAACACACCATTAGATGAAGCGGATACTTACCAGTACACCGCTAGTGATAGTAGCAACTATGATCAAGGTACATCGGAAGTACATGAGCTGGTCGTCGAGGGTTGACTGTGTTGGTCAGGGTCGTACAAGCTACATCTGATAGAAGTGGGAGGAATTGATCAGAACGACAGCAACATGACCATTAAAACGAACGTCGACATACACATGCGCCACAAAAGGCACACAGGCACTAAGTAGTTACTTTAGAAGAAGGATTTTTGTCTATCAAACGTATGTACGAGAAACAGCTCCAACAATACACAATTTCTAGACTCTGGAGTCTCGCTGACTGACCAGCGCTCTTAAGAGAGGTTGTTCTAAAACAAAAAAAAAGACGCATGGCAGCCCAAAACACCGGGGTGATGCATATGTAAGGAGAACGAAAGGAAAAAAAGGGAACAAACAAAAGAAGAGACTTGCTTAGAGAAGAGTGGCGCCCAAGAGGGTGGAGAGGGCGACGAGTCCGGTCATGACCAGAGGAGCAAAGGAGAGCTCTCCCATGCTAACGCGCGAGGCGGCACCGGTAGCAGTGGAAGAAGAGCTTGCGCTGCCAGTGCCGGTGGAAGAAGCGCCAGAGGCAGTGCGGGTAGCGGAACCGCTTCCAGCAGAGGCGGTGCTAACGGTGTCGGAGCCAGCGTCCTGAGAACCACCACCAGAAAGACCGGGACCCTTACCAGCACCAGAAGTCATGTACTTAGTAGCGTCACTGGGGATGGCGGGAAGATCCTCACCGGTGAAGTCACCAGTGTCCCAGGTGTCACTGGCGGGAGGGCAGGTCGAGGCAGTGCCGCTGGACTTGTAACCACCGTCACCAGAAGGAGCAGTGTTGTTAGAGAATGCAGCCTGGAGGTAGGTGAAGTCGTCGTTGGGGGTAACGCTGTCACCAGAGATCTGGACGAGACCGTAGTCGCTGCCCTCCTCAGAGTACTCGTACACGAGACCACCAGAGTAGACGCCAGTCATCTCAGAGTTGTACAGAGCCGAAACCTCCTCGAACTTACGGGTACCCTTGTTGCAGCCGTACTCGGAAAGGAAGAGGGGGAGACTGTAGTTGTTGTAGGTCTGAACCTTCTGGTCCCAACCAGAAATAGTGAAAGATGAGGGGTCGCACCACGAGTAGTCGTTGAAGGCGAAGAAGTCGCTGCGCTGGTCATCGGTACCGCAGTTCATGTACTGGGCAGTCTCGTAACGGTTGTCGCTGACATCAGCAGCGGAGTAACCGATGGGAATGGCGCGGTAGCCTCTGTTGTTGCGGTACTGCTTGAGATCACGAGTGACGGCCTTGATGTAGGGGGCGCAGTTGGTGGTGGTGTCGTCGTTGATGACCTCGTTACCAGAGAAGAAGAGGAGGGTGTTTGTGTAGTTGGCAAAGGCATCGACGGTAGCGAACAGACTCTGCAGGTAGACAGCGTTGTATGAGATGGCGGGCTTGTCACGTCTGAGCGAGTACAAGGGGGTGTTGACATCGAGCGCAACGTAGATGCCAGCGTCGGCAAGGGCGTTCATGCAGGTGTCGTGGTTGACAGAGTTGTCGACAGTGTAGACACGGATGGTGTTGATGCCGAGCTGCTTGAAGTACTTGATGTCTCTCATGCAGCCAGCCTCGTCGGCAAGGGGATCTTTGGCGTCCGAGGAGCCACCGGGCTGGTAGTCAACACCACGGATGTAGAAACGGTTGTTGCCAGCGAAGAAAGCGTTGCCCTTGACTGTGACGGTAGGAAGGCTGGTCGAAGAAGTGCCAGATGCTCTAGCCTGAAGAGTAGGGGTGGCGGCAGCCAGAGTTGCGCTCAAGGCGACGGATGCGGCAGCGATTGAAGCCTTCATGGTCAAATATGAGAATCCGAATATGTATCCAAAAGAAAATGTCGAATCAAAGGTCTAATGAGACAAGAAAAAAGCTCCCGGTAAACGAGTGACGGGAAACTGGTGAAAGAAGTCGAGTATTAAAAAGTCGAGTAAAGGCAGACTGCACAACGAGAGTGGCAGGAAAGATGATGGGACGAAGGCAGGCAGGGGATGATGAGTGGGTTTTGTTTGGCCCAGCAATTCAAAAGTGACAAGAAGCACGGGTCAAGCCTCAGCCGCTGTTGTCCATCGATCCGCGGCCAACCAAGCCCATCTCGGAAGCCCCTACCAAGACCTCGTTGAGTGTTCCTGTTTGATCGTCCGCTCGAGTCTTGACCAGGCAAGCAAGTTTAAGCAGCCTTGGATGTTTCTTGGAACATCCCTGCATTACCACGAAGACAACTCGAGAAGAATGCGCCTGCTTCTGATACCAAATCGTCCGGCAATGAACTTGTTTACTGATACCAAATCATCAAGTCTCTGCCACTTTCCACATCGTACAAGGTGGGGGTCTCCGTCACTCGCCTCAACGTGCTCCCCGTATTCTCCAGGGGAGCATTCTAAATTCAAATTGCGCTCCCGCCTGCTCTGAAACGCCACCGCCTTACAGTGTGATCAGCAATCCTCGGACACGATCGTCACTTCCCGCTATGTTGACCTGCAACTTCTCCGACAGTGGTGCGCGTCTTTTTGTGCTCGGCGTGAAAGCCTGTCATTGGCATTCTCGTTCTATGCTAATCTCTAATTTCGCTTGTGCGCGCTCTCCCTCCCATTTGCTCCACCACTCTGCCTTGCACAGCCATGATAGAAAATCATCCCAGCCATCCGAATGTTCAGCCAACCTAATGACACTCCGAAAATAAAAAACCCAGAAGAAAAGCAAGGTACACCTAGTAGTTGCGCCGCATGACGTTTTGAAAATCTCATGCACCATCGACCATAACATGGACGCCAAGACGGCTCCTGCAACATGCGAGTAGAAACGAAGGAAAAGGGCGATGTAGAAGGAAAAAAGAAAAAGAAAATCGTGCCCAAATACCAGTCAAAGTTTTTCACTTTGACTGGAATGGGTTACTACGAGAGTCGCTTTTGGATCTCCAGAACATTAGCTTACTCAAGCGATGCTCCTTCTTCCTCTTGCTCTCGTCGTGTACTGAAGGCGCAATGGCTGTCTGCGGACGTTGTTCTGTCCTCAAACTATGCCTGCTCTCGCCAAAGGAACCGCCCAGAAGCATGCTCAAGCTTTGAATGCTTGAACGTTTGCGACGGCGCTCAGAGGCCTGTACATCTGCCTGACCTTTGCCGCATGCTACCGATACAGGTCGCTCCATGGTCTCGCGACGGGGACTGGTCTGGTACATGGTGCTGATCATGGTGGAACGGCTGCTCGTCAATGAAGGAACGTCGTCAGTCGACATATACAGCTCGGGTGTTGGCTCTGCAGTGGTGAAGGAGCTCATGGTGCGGGCGTCGCCAATGGAAGAAGCCGATGTACCAAGACGTAGTGCATCAAATGATCCTTGATTGCGTGCAAGATCGGGAGATGAGAACGTCGATGCGACATTGGATGTAGGAGTGAGGGGAACGGTTTGTGACTGAGGAAGACCAAGACCCGTAACCTCTGCCGAGATGGTGCGGGCTCCGCTAGAATCGCTGGACTTTGTGACAGACGAGGTACGAGGCTCTTCATAGTCTGCCGCGATTCCAGACGTGGCTTCCTCGATGATAGTGTCCTCAACGACCGACGTGCGGGGCGGAGTAGGCATATGTTGGATGTAATCGTGAGACTGAGCACCCCTCAAAGAGCCTTGAGATTCAATACCCAGACCGTCGTCGAAGCTCCAATCGAAATTGTGTTCAAGTTGCTCATTGGCAGCGTCGACTACTTGGATTCCGGTGCCAAGTTCCTCATCCGCCTGGCTCGAAGTCTCGCAGATGCTGAGATCCTTGACGCCGTCAACAGCAGACTCATCTTCCTCTTCCTCGAACACGTCATCCATCGGTGATTGTGCTGGAGAGCTGGCTCTACCAGCAAACTCGAAGGGGACCAGAGCAGGGGCACTTTCCGTTCTACGATGGTAGTGCATGCCTGGTCCAACGAAATCTCTGGCCAAGCGACTGCTGTGAAGTTGTCTTCTCTTTGGAGCGGGACGTGATTGTTCCCAGCTCATAGTGGGTGTACCGTAGGGTCCAAGAGCGGCATCCAAATCAATCACAGGACTCGTGTCTTCACCGCCCGATGATGAAGATGAGAAGAAGGGGAAGAACGAGTCCGAGATCTCTGATCGTGGCGAGAGTATAGAAGGGCTGGTGATATCATCAGCATCAGTAAATGGATCCTGACCGAACAATGCATCAAGATCGGGTTCTTCTCCAAATGGTTCGGCGAGTTGAGGTCCTAGATCAGGAGTTTGCTCGCCACTCTCGCTTCCCTCTGCAGCATCACAAGTCTGCTTGAACTTCTTTGAGTCCTTGACTTTGCGGCCAAGAATAGAGGTTGCCCACTTCTTCACACGCTTTCGCGATGATTCTCTGTGCAAGCCCTGGTCGTGGATTTCGGACTTTCTACAAGGGATTTGAGAATCGTCGCTGACGACTGGCTCTTGCAGAGAAATAGTTGACGTTCCAATATCCGCTGATGCTGTCAATGAGATCAAAGGCTCACTTCGGCGGCGATCAAGCTTCAAGAATGTCTTCTTCTTGGAGAGTCGAGGGGAATCACTGGTAGCCTCCGGCGCAAAAGACAGGCTGCTGTTGTGAAGGTTGAAGCTTGGTGGAGACCTTTGAGTGATCGGCTCTGCGTTTGCAACAACTTCAGGCTCAATTGGCGGCATAGAACGAGGCGAGACTTCAGAAGCCAGGTCAGGAATCGTAATGATTGTCCTTCTAGGAGAAGGATTTCCAATACCACCAAGGCTGATGAGCGAAGACATGCTGTTTGCACCAGAGTGACCACGCACAGTTGATACAGAGCTGGCAGTGTCGGCGGAAACGGTGGAGAGTGGTCGAGGGATAAATTCGATCTTTTCTGAGAAGCCGACACGGGGCCTTGACGGGGGTCGTGCAATTGGCTCATCTGGGATACACCCAGATGGGGAAAAGACTGTCTTTAGGCTGTCGCTCGATTTACGTTCCTCGCACAGGGGTTTGGCAGGCGAAGGATATTGTGGTTGGAAAATTTGCTCAGTAGGCGTTTGTGGAACAGAAGTCTGAGGGCGTACATTGACGTCCCTCGGCTGGAGAATGCTGGCCAAGTCATGTCCAGAAATGGCGGCTGATCTACGATGGGCGTGTCCACGTCTCTTGGCTGGTGATCCACTCGTGTCTGGGAGAGGCAGTGTGTCGAGATGTCTTGAAGGGCTAGGTCCTAGCATTCCACCGATTCCCATTCGACTGTCTCCACCGACCAGCTCACTCGCTCCTCGACGATGTCCTGCGCTCTTTGGTGGGCTGGTAGGAGGTGTGAGGGTTGTCGGCGATGAAGGTTGATTGTCGAGACGGCCAGATGTGTCTGATGAGTTGAAGCTAAAGGTAGGCAGCGCCGAGGTCGACTGTCGCATTGAACGGGAACGGCCGTGATATCCACTGGGAGCCAGGTTCATTGAGGCGGGTCGTCTAGAGGTTGAGCTGGTAGATTGCTCTGTGGTGGGTCGAGGAGGGAAGACAAAGTCCGGCACGAGTTGCAAAGTCTCCTGGTCGGGTCTGTAGTGCTGGTCGCTCATGTGGTGACGGAAAGACATGGTCGTGGCCATAGCATCCAGGTCGTGAAGGCGAGTGGTGGGTGGTGAGTGGTGAGAAGGATGATATTAAAGCGAGGTAAAGTAGTGAGGCGCGCGCACGACGATGGAAGTCGTTATGATGTCGCCAGATAGCGTACAGGAATAGAAAGGATATTAATCTGTATGACCAGTCAGCACTGAAAGGTGGTGGGTGGTGGATAAGGCATACCAAACTGGAAACATGAGAGGCTCACAGAGCTAAATCACTTTGTTACGGGAGAACGAAGGCGCGCAAACAACAAATAATCAAAGCAAGCAGTATCTCGAATTAAAAAAGGAATGGACGCAGTCTCAACTACAGACAACTATTCGCAAGTCGTCCGAGAAGATCCCACAGAAAGAGGTTGTTAAACAAGAGGTCGAGGAGGAGGGGTCGCGGGAAGAGGGAGAAGCAAAGAGAAAGGTGAGGTTTGGAGGATGCAGATGCATGTACCAACTTGGAACTCGGCCTTGGCTGCCGCTTGGGCCAAACGCTAGGACAAAAATAATGAAGGCCGTTGCCCTCTGCCCGTTGCCAACTTGCCAAATCCCAGAGGGCGCCCATTTTGCATGCCATAATAACAATCGTCGTCTATTTCCCACGCGACTGCCGTGGCCTGCTCGCAAACGGTGCCTCCTGCTACTCCGAGTGATACCGCCCTGGTGATCTTCCATTGTCGCCATGTCTTTTTCCTCAGATTGCGTACCGTAGATTGCACGCTAGCCAGCGAATGACGGCGACTCGGAAACGCCCTGGTCACTTTAGATCGTTGCCGGGCAATAAAATACCAATATATTTTCGCTTTTCGCTGCCTGCCTTGCTTCCCAGCTTGGGCCGGCAGTACGAGCAGTGCCACTAACGATCCCACTACTGTATCTACGTATGCACTACGACAGACACAGCTCTCAGGCCATACGTTCCTGTCTTGTGTTATCTCGTTGCCATGATACCACAATTGCCAATCGCGTTGCCCATTCCCAATAGTAAGGCCGTTTGAACTCACGAACTACAGCAACTGTCCAAGTTTGTTGCACCTGCCAGCCAACTACGACATTGTTATCCATTATCGAATCCATCAATCATTTACCTATCTACCAGTTCAAGACCGTCTCAAAGGCGCATGGTCTGCATCCGAACTCAACACACCTGTCTCCACGCGTCAACCGACCAATCTTGTTTCAGAATGCAGGAGGCAGAGACCCTTCCCCACAGCGATCGACTCGCCCCAGGTTCCGTGCAATCAAACCATGGCGACTCTCTGACAAGTCTCTGCGGCCTCGACTGTCTGGTTCCTGAGTCGCAGAGGCAAATTCTCACGCAAAATGTTTCGGTCTGATTCATCTTCCGTCCGTCCGGTCTCTGCTTCTCGAAGGCATTACGATGCCATTACCCACGTCTTGCAGTTTCGCAATTCAGCTGGACGTCTCGGCCGAGGACTTCCGCGGCGCCTCTGACTTGCATCTGCAAGCTGCATGCTTATGCATATCGCCAGCACTCTTGGGGAGACTCGAATCCAACCAAACTCCGAGCTCGAGCCAGATTTTCACATGTTGCGCGCGCGCATGTACTCGTGACTACATGTACAGTGTGTGAGATGCTGTAACTAACTCGAATGCACACGCAAAAAGACTGCATCAGAACTGAGACATGATCTTCGTTGAGCAGTTATCTATAGCCAAAGGAATGTGTGGTATCTATGGTGTCTAGCGAGAGGGCTTGAACCGTTCAACTGCTGATAAGTAGGGTTGTAACCAAGCAGGGGATTTTTTTCTACAGTGTTGGTTCTTGCGGGATCTCGATGCCGGTGCATGCACGTTGTGCTATCTACGACAGAACACCCAGCGGATAAGCGGACGGGATTCTGTTGCCATCCTTAAGCATTATGCTAGGTACAACATCGTAGTTTCGAAAAGGTATCGACTGCCTAGCCCACACAGGTGGCTTTCTGATCTGCGTCAGAGCTTGGACCTCGTGCGCAATCTGTAGCAGTTTGGCTTCCGTCCAGGGTAAACCCATCAGCTCGAGACCGACAGGTACACCGATTGGGGCGGTCTTGGTGACAGGACTGAAGCCCGCGGGAAGCGCCAGAGATGGAAAACCAGTAACTCCAGCTAGGATCCCGTTGCGTCCGGATTGGGATGCTGCTCCAATCTTCACTGGGAGATTCTTTTGCTGTGGGTACATGATTGCGTCCAAATGGTCCGCTGCGAATGTTGCATGCAGGTGCCCGGTCAGCTCTTGAATGTTGCTCAAGGTTGTCTCATACTCTTTCTCGTCAGTACTCCCCTTCAGCACAGCCTTGATGAAGCCATACTGTTGTGGCAGCACAAGGAACGAGTTTCCCTCGCTGTAGAGATCTTCGAGTGAGGCAGGATGCTGGCCCTTAAGGCTGGCCCTCGAAAGATACTTATCAACCTCCTGCCTTAGCTCGAATATCTGAGTCTCACAAGAAGCAAGAATAGAGATTACGTTATAACTGGGATCGTTGATCGGTACAACAATGGCGCCGGCTTCTTGCAACCTCGCCATCATTGCGTCCATGGCTTCATTGACCGGATCGGTCTCATTGGTAGAGGTACGGTCGAAAAAGGTTTCGAGGACTCCGATTCTTTTACCCGTTAGGGAGCCAGAAGCAAGATCGGTGTAGTAATCTGTCCCGCGGATACCTTCAGGTACAAGTGCAGTACTGTTATCTTCCATGTCTGGCTGCGAGCTTGCAATTGCCGAAAGGGCGATGGCCAGATCTTCGACGCATCTTGCAATGGGTCCGACGGCATCTTGCGTATGCGAGTTCGGAACAACGCCGACTCGTGATATGAGGCCTCTGGTTGGACGCAGCCCGAAGAGACTGTTTGCGCTCGCTGGATTACGCACGCTATTTATCGTGTCTGTGCCCAAAGAGAGGACTGCGAATGATGCGGCAACACTGGCACCACTGCCTCCAGATGATCCGCCTGGGGTTCGCTCAGTGTCGTAGGGATTGACAGTCTGACCACCAAGCGAAGATACCGAGATGCCTTCCAAGGCGAGTTCTTGGAGATTTGTTTTTCCGAGTATGATGGCACCTGCATCTTTAAGTGCCTTGACAACCGCAGCATCGATCGAGGGCCTTGAGTCACGCAAAGCAAGGCTTCCGCTAGTTGTTGGTAGAGAGGCAGTGTCAAGATTGTCTTTCAAAAGCACGGGGACACAAAACAGCGGGCCTATGGTGGCATTCTTGGAAGCGAACAGTGCGTCTTGTTGTGAAGCAATTGACAGAGAATCCGGATCCAGAGAGATTATGGAATTGATTCTGCCGTGGTCCAAGGCTTCGATACGTGACAAGAAGCTAGAGACGATGTTTCGACAACTCTCGCCAGAATAGAGCGCATTGTGAACAGAAGCTATGGTTGCTTCTCGCGGATCAAACTGGTCTTGGCCACGTACGATAACCAGAACCGAAGCTGCAAATAATACTGCGCAGCATCTGAGAACTCGCAACTGCATTGTTGTAGCAACTACTCAGTCGTTGTCAGGACAAAGCTCAGAAGAAGTTGTTCCGGAGAGGTTGGAAGTGTATGACGATCTGCTTCGGCACATGTGCACGGCAGAGATTACTATCAACTGAGTACGGAGACTGCTGGCTCTCGCAGCCGTACGTGTAGATACCACAGACGTATGATTCATATGAATGCATGCACATTTGCTGTCAAGCGTCAGGCATGGTAGAGTTCAACGTACAAGAGAGTCATGACGATAACGTTGGACCATAACTCGGTGATGAGGGTACGCTGAGGCTCCCATACGATCACCATAACAATCATTAGAAACACAACATACACAGGCAATACAAGAAACGTGCAGCAACACATGCGAGTTCTTGGGTTGGTCATAAAGTGCTTGTGTGGCTATTTTGGTCTTCGGTGTGATGATTTACTCGGGTACTCTATGAATACAGCCTTTGCAAGCAGCGATCTCAATTTGCAACGGTTTGTGCTTGAGAAGCAGTGAATGAACCCGACTCTCCATGGTAACCGAGGCTCTTGTATATGCGAAGTGCTATCGTCCTGGACTGTCGAATACTGGCCGTAGCCTAGTTGGCTAGATGCAGCGATGCAGTCGTCGGATGGCCTGTCTACTGGTGTCTGAACTTCTTTGAACAGATGCGGTTCGTTCAAGCACCAGTCTTGGTAGTGCCAATCATTCCTTGCTCAACACCCTGAGCGCCTTCAAGACCTTCGAGTCCTTGATCTTGTAGCACATCAACATCCAGTTCCTGCATGACCTGGAGCACAACGTTGAGACTCTCGAAGAAGCCATTTACGGAGACACGAAGCATGCGGTTGGTGGTTGCACGGTAGATTGTGCGCAGTACGGTAGCATCCTCTTGTTCAGATGAAGGCTGAGTCGAGTGCACAGCGTCTAGCGAAGTGGTCGGGGCGGCATTGGTCAAGAGAGAGGCGCGAAGAGGATCGCCCTCGACAGCATTCGGTGGGTCATCTGACGGGGGATGAAGCGAAAAGTCACGGCGGACCAAAGGCGAGAGTTCCTGGTCGACTGAGAGAGTGCGAATGGCGGCGCTGGCCAGGCGGTGGGTAGGGAAGGGAATGTCGATTGTCCTAGGCCATGCGCATGAGCTTCATGGTTTCTTCCATCGGCCTGATCGGATTGATGAAGCTCACAGAGTACACGGAAACTCGTCGGACGTGGTCATGATGACTGTGAGATGGTATGTTCTGACCAAAAAGTCTTGCTCCCCGCATCCTCAGCGTGCCTTCCCAGTTGATCATGAGTTCGATCAAGCTCGCTCTTGGCGCTGTCTGTGACGTAGGCGCTTTATATGATCATTGGAGAGAACATGACTGGCTCATTGTCTTTCTTCACAAACACAACCATTGATCCTCTTTACCAACCTCTACCAATTCCTACACCTCGAGCATAATCGCAATCATGGCATCTCCCTCCGAGTTCCTCACCTTCTACCGTCGCACTGCTCGCCTTACAAGCCTGAGACAGTCTCGCATCGTACCAGCTTCTCCCCGCCGCACCTTCGTTTCGTCGACATGTCGCTACAGCAGCGGTGGTAAGCTCAGCACCGACGACAGCGTCGCGACTGAAGCATACCCCGATAGTGAGCACGCCACCGACAAGAAGGACAAGCTGGACATTCAGAGCGACACTGCCGCCAAAGGCCAAGAGTATGTGTTCCACCTTGTACAGGGATCCAAACATGACTGACGTTCCCTCAGGTCAAAGAGCCGTGGCGAGGGTGGTACTGCCACTCAGCGCAGAGATGCCAACAACAGCACCGCAAAGGCCAAGCAGGAGAACCCCGAGGCTCCAGATGTAGTCATTGGCATGCAGGATGAGAGAGGTGGAAAAGGTGCCTGAGTCTTGACGTTTAATGACCCTTTGATTCTGTACGATACTGAATGAGATGCCTCCATTGATATTTCCATTGTTTAAAAAGTCGATCCAGTGCCTGCCAACGCCTTCGCTATGCATACCAAATACAGCATCCAGTCTACAATCTCATCATGCCTTGTTCTTGGCGCTCCACTTCTTGACTCTCTTCTTGAGGTCTCCAACGCTTTGCTGCATGGGGTTGAGCTTCATGTCGCGAGCCATGCCAAGGTAGTCGTCGCCGTGCTTCTGGATCAGTCTCTCAATCCACTCTTCCTCGCGCTCACTCTGCTTTCTGGGCGCCTTCTTGATGGGTCGTGAAGCCTGTTCCTCGAGTTGTCTGACCACATCTGTTCTTGCGTCACCTCCTTGTCTTGCTCCGTCCAGGACACCGTGCTCATTGACGAATCCTTCCCAGCCTTCATGATCATTGTCCTCGACATCGTTCAGAGGGTCGTTGAGTGGGTTGGCCTTTCTCTCATCCAGAACTTGCAGAATGGCACCAGTCTCCGGGTCTCTCCTAATCTTCACTTCCGAGATGTTGATCTGAGTGGGTAGCTTTGTGCTGATGTTGAGGTTGTCGGGTGTGGGCTCGGGTGCAAGGCCATTGGCGGCCTCTTCTAAAGTCTTGGATGTCTTTTCAACACCGCCAGTAGGGTGGTTCAACTTGGACACAAGACCGAGACGACGGTAGTTTTGGCTGAGCGTTTCCTTTTGGTTCCTGGTACTGTCAGACTTTGCGCAGAAGTACGTCGTGAGTGCGCAATGCGACTTACCAGTTTGCTGCGATGATGGGGTTCTGCAACAACTTCTTCTTGGACTTTGCCTTTTTCGTGATCTTCGCGGTCGACGAGCGGTTCTTCTTCTTTTGCAATTCGCGACCCATGTTGAGTGATTTATCTGGTTGTTCAGAAAAATTATCGCCGGTCAAGCCGCCATCGAGAAAGTCGGACCCCGAAAATTTAGATCAAACACCCAAGCACTTTCCCCATGTTTGCACGCCTTATCTTATCGCTCCACCTCGGACCCCCCGTTCAGTACAAGTAGTGTACAACTTGCCAATCCACACTGACGATTGGATTTAATTGTTCTGATCGCATCGGAAATGGCAATCATGAGCCGTGTATATGCCATCCTGTTGGTCGTTCTTGTAGCTTTGTGCCAAATCATCGCTGCACAATCCGAGAAGATCCCCGTGGGAGACCTCTCATCTGCAGAGATCGAGGAACAGATCCAGGTTGGTCCATTCTTATCGAATGCTAGACATTGATCTAGATATGAATCCGTATGCTCATTATCGTTAGCAATGTCCATTGGTCCAGACTCTCAATGCACACAAGGCATCTACTGCCCATGAGGCCGCTACAGGCTTTACAGCCAGAGCATTCGCCGTCTTGTTCCCCGGCTCTCCTGCTGTCAACACACTCCTGTTCGTTTGTGCAGTCTGGCATCTCATGGTCTCCTCACTGATGACCGTATAGGAGCGTTCTTTACATTTCTGGACCTCCCAACTTCTTGCTGGCTCTGTGCCCCTCAGATATTGACCCAGCATCCTTGAACACCATGGTTGCCTTTGCCTTCGGTGGTCTAATGGGAGACACTCTTTTCCATCTCCTTCCCGAGATCTTCGTTGGCGAGGACAGTCCTGAGCATGTCACTCTGGTTGTCGCCGATGGCAACAAGAACATCTTGCTCGGCATTGCTATCATGGTGGGATTCGTCAGTTTTGTCATCCTCGACAAGGCTATCCGTATTGCCTCTGGAGGTGACGAAGGTCACGGTCACTCTCACGGTCACGCTCATGGCAAGATCGAGGGCGGCGAAAAGGCAGCTGCGTCAGCCAAAGCATCTGGTTCCGAGAAGGATCAAACCGAAGGCCTGCGTCAACGCAACGGCGAGAAGGCATCTGTCGTACCTGTTGAACAACAGCAGGAAAGTGGTCCCAGCTCCAACAGAGGTTACCTTAACATTATTGCCGATTTCACTCACAACATCACTGATGGTCTTGCCATGGCATCCTCATTCTATGCTTCTCCTACTGTCGGAGCATTGACAACCACTGCCGTCTTTTTCCACGAGGTCAGTCTCATATTCGTAAGTATCAAGAACTTTGGCTCAGAACATCACAGGTCCCTCACGAGGTCGGCGATTTCGCTCTCCTGATCCAATCCGGCTTCTCCAAGCGCGCAGCAATCGGAGCACAATTCCTGACCGCTGCAGGTGCCCTGACCGGTGCACTGATGGGCATCGCAGTTCAAGAGTACGGCGGCAATGCAGCCGATGCTATTTCCACTCCTGGACTCTTCGGTACCAGTCTTCACTGGGGTGACCTTTTGTTGCCTTGGACTGCCGGCACATTCATGTTTGTAGGCATGAGCGTTGTGCCTGAACTCATGGAGACTGGACCTAACAAGGTTGCCGAGGTCAAGAAGATTGTCACCCAGTTGGTGGCTATTGCTGCTGGAGCTGGTATCATGATTGCGTAAGTTGACCGCTATTTAATCCTACCAATCTGCAATACTGACGAAATCCTCAGCATCTCGTGGTCGTAATCGGTTCATCAAGTCAGCTTTGTACATGTCAAATATCAACAATCTCACTTCGAGTGTGAATATTGGGAATAGAAGAAGCCTGGAAAAAGGACTCATATTGAATATAGCATAACAGGGGCATTAATGCATGTCTACCTTAAGACCTGAGTCGTTGATAGGGGTATCGTAGCGAAAAGCGGGAAAATTAGACAGACAGCCAGCAGTCTTTTTACTTTCCATCAAACCGGAAAACCTGGGCCCCGTGGTGTAACGCATGTAAACAGAAACCAAACATGAAACAAGAAGACGTGGGGAAGTCGCCAGAGAGAACATTGAAAGAGATTTGTCGTGAGCAGAGCAATGGCCGGGCAATCAGTCTTCCCAGATGGTTTCGAGGTCAAGGTCTACTGTCCTCTCACCACCGCAGATGCTCCATCTCTTCCGGCCAGCGTCTCCGCCTCTTCTGCCAAAGCCGAAGCCGACGCTTCTGTGGCCTGGAAGATCCAAACTGCCCCTTCGTCGAGGCTCGTTGTCATCTCCTTGTTCCTCTGCTTCTGCTGCAGCGCGCTGCTTGGCCGCACGGTCGGCCTCAATGGCTTCCCATTCTAAATCGGGATTGTCTTCGATGGTCTCCAGGGAAGAAATACTGGGAGATCTCGAGCGGGCGGATGATGGTGTGGTAGAGATGCTCGAAAAGGAAGAATTGCTGGAGTAGTGATGTAGTTGAGGAAAGTTTTCGGTAAAGCGGGCGCTAGGTACTGAGGGCGAAGAAGTGGCAGACACTGAGCGAGAAGTTGCAGCCGAAGGAGTGAGCGAATGCAGAGGGGAAGATGGTCGTTGGCGGCGCACGGAGAGGGAACGTCCGAACGGGGCAGTTTGTGATGTGTTGTCGGGGAGTGATCGCGGGGTGATGTTGAGCTCGGCATCTTCGGAAATGCTTTGGAAGGCTCCATCGTAGGAAGAAGATTGTTGTGCGTAGGCCGACTCGTCCAGTGGAGATCGTGGTCGGAACGGAGAGGTCGGGCGCATGTTTGGTGAGTAGGGCTGTCGCGGAGACAGGGAGGACATGGGGCTCGATGGACGCAGCAATGGCGAGGCTGAAGGTGAGGAAGAATATTGGTGGCCAGCCGAGTGGACCGAAGGTAGTGAGTGGGCTCGCGGCGCCATGGGAGGAGCAAGCGCAGAGGCGTGGGATCTGGAGCGCAAATGGGGTCGTGTATAGGGGGACTGGTTCCGCGGTCGCAGAGGCAGAGGCAGGCTGTTTGTGCTGTTGTTGTCCTGGTCCTTGTCCTTGTCCTGGTTGTGGGGCAGAGACTGAGAAGATTTGTCGCTGTTTGGAGCTGCAGGCACAGGCGGCTTCTTCAGAGGACTTGCCGGATACGTCGGCGCATGCGAGCGAGGTTGCACAGCGCTTTTGTCGTCCATGGGCGTATCAACAAACTTCAGCTGGCCGCTGCCCGTCGCCCCGAGTAAGGAATCCACTCGGTCCATTATGTGACGTGGGTGGTTACGACCGTTTGCTGTCCCTCGGATCTCTCGTACAAACCGTTCCGAGATGTCTCTCCCAATACGAGTAGAATAAGTATTGAACACCCGAGAGTCTGTCTGCAGACGCTGCTTGTTTGTCGCGGCTTCGGGCGCAGAGAGAGATTCGCTCCTATGGAAGCGGGTGGCAGTCTTCGCTTATTTGAAGAAGGTGGGAGAAACTTCACCGCAGGGGTCAAGACATGAGCGCCCCATCCACGAGACTCGACAAACAGGTGCTAAATGTCTCAGCTGCGCGTCCGCCGTCGGCCTTTCCCAAATCACAGCATGGCGCTGCACGAAACCCAACAACAAAATAACAATCAAAACACGCTCCGAACTTGCCGTTCGTCATGCATCTAGAGGTCTGCACGAGGCACGTAGGAATCACTGCTCTGCTCCACATTCGTCCCTTGGAAGGTTTGCTCAAATTTGTGCCCTGAAGAAAGCCAAGCGTCTCGGCCCAGACCAAATGACCTCGAGAACGTCTTTTGCTGATGGTCATTTCTATTCATACCCGTCATCCCTTGATCTTCGAACGACTGCCTGTCTTGATCTCCTAAATAGCTACGTCTTCTATTGACTAAGCGACATGAGATAACGTGAACAACGACACTGTCAGGTACATCTCTCATCATCGTCTTGAACCTTATCCTCGATATCCAAGTGCAACAGGTACAACCTCATAAACATATCGCTAGAGATCTCGTCCTAGCAACGACTCTGAGCTGTAAAAGTCAGGTCAGCCGTGGCATCTATGGTATTCATTGTATTTCTTTTTCTTGTTCTCTGATCAACCTTGGAAGAAGAGTGTCATCACGACACAAAAGACCAAAACACGGCAAGAATCCGTCTGACCAACGCCTTGTTTCTCCCAAAGGTGTCCATACAGATTCCGTCATGAACAAGGTGGAATAATGGCACTTCCTGCCGTGCAATGTATCCGTTGGCGTGCGAGATTCATTCAGGTAGACGTCAACAGATGGACGACAGTCAAACAGGGCAGTGTCATCGAGCAAGCAGTCAGGTAAAATGGGTCGGACTATGAGATGTATTTCCAAAACTCCATCACCCCTCCGGTGAAATCGTCGTGGTGTCGTTTGTTTGCACATGGGCGTTTGCACACTATCCACGAGTCCAAGTCCGCGCCATCCACAACAAACGAACCTTTTCTCTTTTGGCTGTCTGGTTTCCGCGCATGTAAGACAAGAGCTTATCGTAGCATTACTACCTCATCATCAACATGTTCCTCACCTACATTATTCTCTTCTTCTTGTCCTTGGTCGGCGATGCACTGGGCCAGATAACAGCAGCACCTTCGTACCCAATTCTCGCAGACCCCTGGCACTCGAGGGTTGGGCTGCTGATCCAGAAGCGCGCAGCCGTGACTTGGTGTGATTCTAGCAGCAAGTGTGAGTCAACCACTGTTCTGTTCTTCAGTTGCTATATACTCAACATCTTCTAGTCTACTGCTTCCTGCCAGCCGCCTGTGTGTCTGGCCGCGATGGGTATGGGCTCCTCCCATTTCCAATCGGTTCGAAACAACGACTGACTGCATAGATTCATTGGTTGTTGCACTGCCATTGGCACCACCTGTGCGCCCCGTACAGAATGTATTGACTACACATCCGGCCTCCCAACTCCTTGCGACTACGTCACCGGATCATGTGTCTATTGGTAAGCATTTCATATTGTCTCTATCTTGCTACGCCAACTGAACATCCCTAGCTCGGACTCCAATCTTCCCTTCTGTACCACGCAATACCGAGACAACAAATACGTTCTGGGTTGCGGCACCGAGCACTTGACTACTACGTACACCAATACGGGTACTGATACGAAGAGTGCAATTCTCGCATTTCCCACAGCAGTTGCTTTGCCTACAAGCATAGCATCTGCACTCTCGACTACAAGCAGTTCTTCCACGCCTTCGGCTGCACCTAGCTCTACCTCCCTTGCCACGAAGACAAGCTCTGCTAATGATCCCGAAGCACCTTCGTCACAGCCGTCAGGAGAGTTGTCTGTATCACCATCTTTGTTGGCGTCTTCAACAACATCTCCTACGTCGCCGAGCAAAGCTATTGATACTTCTGCATCTACTCTGGCGGCTTCAAACAGTTCCATGGCCAGCTCTCGCGGACTGATAATTGGCGTAGTAATTGGAGCAGCGGCTGGCTCTATCATCCTCCTATCGGTGATCTTCATACTCTGGAAGTGCTGGAAGCGTCGTAGAGCTGCTGGAGGAAGAAGCTCAAAGGAAGAGTCAAACAAGGCCGGCTACTCCCTAGGCACAAACGAGGACAGCGTCACGGAGCACAATAATGGCCCACATGGTGTAGCTGGCGAACAAGTAGATTCACACGGTCCAGGTGAATTAGAGGAGGAACTACGTCGTGCGACCGAACGCATGCCCGGTGTTGAACATGCCTATAGTGCCACTCCTGGACTAGGATCTTCTGTCCAACACGAGAATCATCAGCCGTACTCACCTGAGGATGTTCGCGGAGCAGCTGAGGCACCTGCGGATGCTCCTGTCTGGCCTTCCCCTAATCCGACCACAATGACGAGCCCAACACCATCCAACTCATCACTGTGGATGGTGAGTCCTGCCATTGGAACACCCAGAGCTCCATCGCAGTACACTGCATACAAGCCCTTCACTCCGTCCTCGGACTATTCCAACAATGGTCAGCCACCGTCCAGCCTTCCTCGATCGAGATATGGAGGCGGAGATGTAACACAAGAGTCACCTTTGGCAGAGCTGGAGGCACATGAGGTTGGTAGAGCACAGTGAGCTGCAATTGTAAGAGGCTATATTTCCCAAAGTGCTGCAACGGAGGTATGGGATGCGTCTGGATCTGGAGGAGTTTAGGAGAGTACAGCCTACAAAGTTACGATGTTCATGAGAAGGTTTAAAGTCCTGTAGCCCGAAATGGTCTTCTCAAAGATTCTGAATTTTGTAACAATGCCAACGAGTTTTGCGACTTTATTTTGATATGCTCAGTGCAGCGAGTAGTAGGAAAAAGGTTCGATTTTGAGAATTAGACACAGGCGTAGGAAGAAGGGGGCGGGCTTCAGCGAAGCGTTTATTGTCTCATGGTTCTCAGACCGTCTCTGGTGGGGGCAGCGGCGCGCTTGAAGCTCTGTAAATGGTCAGAAGGTGTCTGAGAAGCGAGAGTGCAATGGATGGCTAGACGCACGTTGTCGCACTCCTCCCAGGCTCTACCGGCACCGAAACCAAAGCCGACGAATGCGGGCCATGCGCGGCGCTTGAAGAGGAGGACGGAGAAGATGACACCGAACGAGGCACCGAGGGTAGAGCGGATGAGCATGGTGCTCAGGCAGTGGTCCCACTAACATGGCATAGTCAGTAAGTAGATGGCAATTGATCGAGTAGGTGGTCGCATGCCTTCTCATTGAGGAGGGCCTCGCTCATGGGTCTGTTAGAGCGCAGAGAGCCAGGGGCCGAGGGCGATGAGGGAGCAACAGAGTCGGACATTGTGATGTGTGGATTGGAGAATTGATCAAGAGGAAAGAGGGAAGCTTGTCGTCGTCGCGATGAGGCCCTGGCCTGCCCTGCCAGCTCCGGGAGTCGTTCGCGCTTTCCCGCTGCAGACGCCGAGCTCGGACCCCTTCACATGCAATTGCAAAAGTTATGCGCAACTCCATCATCGAAGGAAAGAGCGTTGCCTTTTTTTTCTACATTCTGCTTGAGCCGGTCATGGCTGCCCGCGCTGACGATTCAAAGGTGTGTGAAGCCTCAGTCTCTTGTAGAGTCAAGTGCTAACAAGTCTAGTCGTCTCTGCAACGCCTTCTTTCCCTTGACAAAACCTTTGATTCATTTGAGGACCGCGTGCAGGAAGCCGCTCGAATCCTCAATATCTCTTTGCACCCTCAGGCCGAAGTCGACTCAGCTACTCCTTCCTCAACCTCGCATACTGCCCGTCTGGACTTTGTACTACGTTGGCTGCTGGACAAGCTCTCTGCAAAGCCGGAACCCTGTCAATGCCTCCCATCATGGACTCTTCTACGTCGCATCCTTGAGCGCATGCCGTCTGCTGCTCTGGCCAAGTCCCTTGCCGTTGCCAGCCCTCTGAACACCTGCTCCAAGGCTCTCGCTGAGCTCTTTCCACCTGCCTCATCTCTGGCTCCAAGTCACGTAGACGATACCAAACGCTCTAGCAAGAAAAGAAAGAGGCAAAGCGCCGCCAATGATACTGCCTCCGACCACCCTGCACTCATATTTGGAGAAATCACGGCTTCTATTCGTCTCTTGATCTCTCGTTCGACGCAGACTTCTGCTACGGATGCCGCTTCAGAGAACCGCGTCCATGCTCTTCTTCGTCTTGATCACGCCGAGCTTGTTCGCTTCGTAAAGCACACTCTCTATGGCCTGTTGCATCTGCAATCCTCCCAGAATCTTCCCACTTCTCTTGTGGCATCATCATTGACCCTCATCCAAGATCTAGCCATTCTACAACCAAATGCTTCCGTTGACCCTTTGGATATCTCCTTTTGCACCGAGTGCTTATGGCCCGCTGCACTTCTCCTTCGCTTCTTGCATTCAGAGTCGAAGCTGGATGGCACTTCTCAGAATTATGCGCAACACTCAATTCGCTCTCTGGACCGCCTCCTAGCCACACACCTCTTCGTACCAGCTAGAGTGGCTTTCTACAATTCAAAAACTCCTACACAAAAGAAACGCCCCCAGGTCGAGCTTCCCGGGCTAGCGCAAAGACTGGAACCATTGCACTTGCAAGTCACAGCTCTTCTCAATATAAACGGTGCCGATACCGTCAGAACAGAACAGCTTGTCAATGCATACGCTTGCGTGCCTTTATTGTTGGACCTGGCCGTTCGCTGTGCACCTATCGCCAACCCAAAGCAAAGGATAATAGAAGCCCCTTGGATCCATCTCCTGTTCACTTCTCTATCAGACACAATCACTTTATCCAACAATTCACCGGACTCTACCATCGTCAACCAGACCTTAAACAAGATGCTTGATGTTCTTTCAGGAAAAGGTCTGGTGCTTGATAATGATGTGCTGAGTGAGGTTCTGGACAAGCGATGTAACCTTCTACCGTCTTTGGACACGACTTCAGATGTGCTACCGGACTTCCCACTTGTCGCTAGGATCCTAAACATGAACGCTGGTATCTTCACAGATGTCAACTCTGCTCCAGCCAAGGCTTTGTTCCAGGCGCTAACGAGTAACGGCAAGGCAAAAGCAAGTGCTGTCTTGGGCTCCGTTTCTCACGATGACTGGATAAATCCTCGTAACCTTTGCTACCAGATCGCAATTCCTCTCATGCACGCATACGCACGTACCCGTAATCTTCCTGCTTTCCTCGATCAATGGTCGGATTGTCTGAGTGCTCAGACCTCTTCAAAAACGTCTCGATGGCTTCTCTGGGCAGATTCGTCATTGGAGGAATCCCTAAGATCTCTCTTGGAGACTTCTTTGACGTCTACACAAATTTCTGATTTGCTGAAATCTAGACAGGATGCACTAAGCCAATCGATCGCATCATCATCATCATCATCTAGCGCCGGCGCTCAATGTTTTGCGAACACTGTTCTGCTGAATGCAATTGTCGGCGCCGTGAAGACAGACGCAACGGTTGACGATCTCGTTGTTCATCTGGAGACACTACTTTCGGTTGTGGAAAGCGCTATTGAGCAGATCTCAGACATTAACGGTCTACTCTCTGCTCACCTCCTCGGCTTGTGCTCGAAGATATACCAGCTGTGGTACCCGATCTGGTCTACCTCTCATTCGGACGAAGAAGTCCAATCGCGAAATGCCACACTTCTCGATGGTCCAGTCACACAATATGCCCTGCAGAAGATTCAAGATGGCTCAAACGTAAAGTCTAGCACATCTGCCGGTACCGTTTCTGAAGTAGACTCCGCATTTGTCCTTGTCGCTTCAATATGCGATATGCAGAGACATTTGACTGGCCATGAATCCGATTATGCACATCTGTTCTGTCGCGCAGCTCTGCCATCAAAGGACGGGGACATCACTCACTCTTATGCTTCACAGCGTCCTGCCGCCTTTCTGACAGTCCTTACTGGGTTTCCCGAGCTGCTATCATGCATCCCTACGACTGAGAGGATACAACTTTTCAAGGATCTGTTCAGCAGTTTCTTTTCTCATTCGTCAAACTCAAGTACTGTGCTTCTCGAGTTTCTCGACTCGGTCTTTGCAACTAGTGACCTGCCTACCAAGGACGACCTTTTTAACGTCGTTTGCGAAGCTGTCGAGGGTTCTGCTGCTACAGAATCATGGCTCGAGATTCTTCTCCAATGGCCATTGAAAGGCTTCTCTCGTCAACAGCGAGAGAAAATCTTGGACATTGTTGTGGCCTCGTTGACAGAGAAAAATGTCAATGGGCAAGCCAAGCAACACGGCCTTGACCTGGTTGCGGGAATGCTCGAGCTGCCAAATGCGACCGCCAAAGTGTCGGTTACGCCTACCGTACTTTGGAATCTAGCTGGAGTACCTTACAACAGCACTGAGCTGAGTGCTTTCGAGAGCATTTGTAAGCGCCTTTTGGGACATGTTATTGATACCAAAGAGCAAGAGCGAAGCAAATTGTATCTGGAACAACTTTCGGAGCTAATGTCAAATTTTGTGAGCAAACAGAAGGACTTGGGCTTGCCGTCAGCACCAGGCAGAGTCTTGCTAGTGAACGCTCTGTTTGAGGCAACTGAAGCTCGTCTTACACAAAAGGAGCTGTCAAGCTTCCCCCATCGTTCACCATCGACGATTGATTCATTGGTGAAGAGATTATGGGACACACTGTCAAGCTCAACAGACGCTGCTTTCTCTGAGGAAAACTCTTTCAAGGCAAAGTTGGCTGTTGAGCTGTACATTGGCATCCCTGCATCTGTGTTGGAGTCTGGCGGTTCTTCGACCGAGAAATGTGAGTGTCTCTAACAGATTCATAATTGTAGGCAAAGAGACTGACTGTCCGCAGATGCGAAGCGCTTTGTAAAGAAGCTGCGTAGCCTGATTGAAGAAACAAATGATGTTCCTTTTTCCCTCTTGTTGCGATGCTTCCAGCATTTGTCTTTGGCTGCATCCAAAACAAATCCCACCGATATATGCACGAGTGCCGAGCGCCTCTTGACACAGGAAATGGATGCTGACCAGTACTGGGTCATCACGGACTCTTTCACGAAGAGTGTACAAGCAATCTCGGAGGACGACAAGATCGCCTTAATAGAACGTATCCTGCCTGTCTCAGCAGAACAGTGTACTGCAGAACGAGCTGTATTGGTTCGATGCATTATATCTGCCATGCATGGTTCCCGCAAGAATGGAGCGATCTCTTCTGAGGTTGGTTCAGTTCCGATTCTCATACGACTGCTTGAGCTACTCAATACTTGCACCGAATACAGGGTGCATCAGCAGTTAGTCGCCTGTGTTATCGCAGTCTTGAGAGAACAGGTAAGCATCTTTCACATTTGGAAAAACACGGACAGTTATACTAATGGTTTGTCTAGCCCAACCTCGTTACACAATACTCTGCAGAGATGACTATTGCCACAGTAACCACTCTTGCGTCACCCTCATCGCCAATGAAGTCTGTCAAACAAGCATCATTGATGTTTGAGGGTCTCTGTACGATCACCCAAAGTCTTTTGCAGTTCCACCGCTCAAGCCTGGGTGGACGGTTCCATCTCCTCGTTCCTTTGATGCAGAGACTTCTTGCCTGCCTCTTCTCACCTAGCAGCAGAGACGCTGGAACAATCAACCGATTCAAACATCCCGCATGGCTCGACCAAAGCAATGCGTCATTAACCCTCAAGCACGCACAGAAGTTCTCAAGAATCCTTGAGAATCTTTGCAACCCACCACAATTGAACGTGGCAGGAAACAGAGGGAAGGCGCCTGAGCTTGTTGATGAGACACGCAAGGCTCGTATGCATGTTGCTCAACATGCTCCTCACATCCTTCACTACTATTGTACTCTGATTTTGAACGGAAAACTGGGCGAGGGAATGCGCGATGCGCTCACTCCCGGAATGTGGGCCATCATTGATGTTGCAGAGATTGGTGCCGACGACACTCGTGGCGTCAAGGCGTTGAGTTCCAGCATGGGTAACGCTGATCGCGCAGTCTTGAGAGGCATCTGGGAGGACTGGCGACGATTTGGTGGAGCTTGGAAGGGTTAGATCTATACGCACAAAACACCAACTAGCGTCTCGCAATCTTAACAAACTGTGCTATCGGGCAACTGGCTGAACGTGGTACCTGTTTGCTTTCGCCTTGAGGGAACAAGCCCTAGCGATACTTGACCACATCAAGCTACTGGCACGTATGAGTGAGTGCAAACTTTCTTCACTGTGCTTCGTGGTCATGAAATGTTAAGTCGAATTGTCATTGTGGCCAGGGTTGCCCAAGAAGCAAAGTGTCAAGCACCATCGAATGAGGTTGCCATACTTGTCCGCTCCATCCCACAATTCTTCAAGCGAAAGACAAACAAACACTTGTGCCCTCCTCATCGTTCGTAGATATAACAGATAGTAAATTCTCCTCGTTGTCGCCATATCGTCCGTATCTATTTCTCCATCTCGACCAAGCCACGTGCCAAGGCGTCGATCCCACATCAAGGTTTCCGAACTCATGACTGTTTGACCAACACAACTTTTTTTTCCATCAATACCGATTTTGTCCCTGAACAATGCCTGTTGAATACTCGGAACAGTCGGCAAATGCCTATGCCAGATGGAAGGGCAATGGCAAACCAGTCGCTCTCTGGCTAGACTGCGATACAGGACACGATGTATGATGCTTCCCCCTAAAATCCAATAATGTCTGGAATACTAACAGTTCGCACAGGACGCTTTTGCAATTCTGCTTTCTGCCCAATGTCCGGCTTTGAGATTACTCGGTATCAGTACCGTTTATGGCAATGCACCTCTTGTCAAGACGACGAAGAATACTAGGTCTATTTTGAAGGCCATTGGCAGGGAGGATATCCCTGTGTATGCTGGGGCTAGTAAACCGTTTTGTCGTCCTGCTGCGTCTGCTCCAGATATCCATGGCGAATCTGGATTGGGTGTGTTTCTGATTTGAATTGGATTCTTAGTGGTATGAATTACTGATGTAGACTGTGTTAGATGGTACTACTGTTCTGCCTGAGCCTGGAGCACCGGAGCGTACGGATATGTCCGCTGTGTTGGCTATGTATAAGGCTTTGATTGCTGAGCCACCGAAGACTGCATGGTTGGTTGCAACCGGTGAGTCTGGGATTCCACTTTGCCATTGAATGGCTGGCCAATGATGAGTAAATCGCAGGTTGTCTTACAAACGCCGCATTGTTGTTTAACACTTTTCCGGATATCGTTGACCATATCGCTGGACTGACCATCATGGGCGGCGCTGTTGGAGGCGGCTTTACGAATGCACCCTTGGGCTCACTCGAGGGCGAAGGAGAACGTTTTGGTAATTGGACCCCTTGGGCTGAATTCAACATCTACATCGATCCCGAGTCTGCCCAATCTGTCTTCAGCAACCCTGTCCTCGCAGCGAAAACTACCATCGCTCCTCTGGACTTGACACATCAGATGGTGAGTGTACACTGTTCAAAGTCAGAGCCAAATCATCTAACTAGTCTACAGCTAGCAACACCCGCAATCTGCCAAGAATTGCTGTATGGCTTCGACAAGGAAGTCGATGGTTCAGAAGCGTCTGTCCTCCGCGTGCTCTTCAATCAAATCCTCACCTTCTTCGCAAAGACCTACGCCGATATCTTTGGACTGACAGAAGGACCTCCACTTCACGATCCCCTCGCCGTAGCAATGACCTTTGTCCCCGACCTCTTCGACGACAGAGGTGGAGAAAGATTTGATATCAAGGTTATCATTGATGGCGAACACGGTGTTGACGAGATTGCTAGAACTACTTCGCAGTGTGGACGTACCGTCTTGACGCCGTTGAAGGCCGGTGAGCCTGGTGTGCGGGTACCAAGAGGGCTGGATGCTGTTACCATCTGGAGAATGCTTGACTTGTGCTTGAAGCAGGCGGAGGGCGAGAAGCCGGAGACCATGGCAATGTCGGCTCTCTGGAGTGTTGCTGATGATGAGTAGTGTAATTCGCGACTTTAATATAGAGGTAGTCTAGATGTAATAGATCTGTGTGATTGAGATTCGACATTGTGTTTTCCGCCTTGTGCTGATTTATATTTCATCCTTAGGCGCATCTCCTCCAACAACTGCTTGATGGCCTTTTTGATACCTGTAATACGTCAGTCTGTCGTTATCACTTCTGGGTGTCAATGCTACTCACCAACTCCAGATGTTCAGTCCAATCTTGACCCCGCTGTGCACAGGCATGCCAGCATGAAGGCCTTGCTTCCACCCCTTGCCATCGACATCAAAGTTCTCCCAAAACACAGCGCCTCCAGCTTTGGGCAAGAACGTGACACCGTTCTGCTCAGGCTCATTGCAATCGATAAACTCACACCAACGCTTGTCCTTGGGTCTAGTGAGAAGCGGGAAGTTGGTGCCTCCACCAGTACAATTTGCTTCGATGTAGACCATGAAAGTACTGACGCGATGCGCTGTCTTGGATGCAAACGCCCAGTCGTAGTGATGGGCGTAGTGGCCAGATGTGGTGTATCTTTGTGTCCAGAATCGTTCGATGAAGGTGTCCACTGGCCAGCCTTGGAAGTCGAGGGCTCGTTTCTCGATGCATTGAACGGTATTGTCACGTTCGATCATGGCCTTGTCTGATTTGCGGATGCTCGTGTCTGAGGCTTCAACATTGTTGCTGTAAATGGTTGAAGGCTCCCATTTGTCCTCGCTGTTGGTCAATCGAAGGTAAGCATAGAAACCTGGTGCCGAATACTATCTGTGATACCTTATGTCTATCATATGCTTCAACTCTGCCTGCGATAGGAAATGCGGAACGTATATGATCAGGGGACTCCTCGAGAAAATGTGAACTCCGTAAGGATGATGATCGCATTGTAAGTTCGCCTCTGGGTAGACGAGTTGCTCTGCCTTTTCTTGAGACAATGGCATATCATAACTCTCGTCAGACGAGGATTGAGTTTGGGAGTTGCCAGAGAAAGGGCCGTTCAGGAACACATATATTGCTGCGAGAATGGCAACATATTGCAAGATGGTTGCTGGCTGGTACAGCTGGGAGTTCATGTTGGACAGATGTTGGACAGATGGGATCAATTGAGCATTGTGAATAGTTGTGATAAAATATGACCAAGGGAATGGACGTGGCAGAGTGCCTGCTCAATGGTGATGATCATGCACGGGTAGACGGCTAGGGTATTTCGGAAGGCACGGATGCGGCGTGCTCGCTCGCTGTCGAGTGTTCAGATGATCGCATACAACATTTCAGGTGGTCGATACAAGAAGTGAAGAAACACGGAAGTTCCATTCTTGAATAGATTATAGATGATGAATCACAACAATTGGTGCAGTATCAACTCTTTTCACGCAAGACAAGAGATGGTGCAACGACGTGTGAGAAGGTGTTTGACTTGTTTGACTCCAGCAGCCACGTCGGGCTAAGCGAGGCTTGGCGCACGAGAGACTTTGAGAATCCGCAGCGCACTCTGTTAAAGATTCGTCTCGCGCCGCCAAACGACTTTACAGACCGGACGTCCCTCTTTCTCGTCGACAACAGCCCATCATGTCTCACCTCAACAAGATCGCCCCCAACTCGCCTTCGCGCCAGAACCCCTCGGAGATCGAGACCAGCATTGCCAATGCTCTCTACGAGCTCGAGAACAACATCCAGGACATGCGCGCCTCTCTGCGCCCCCTGCAGTTCGTCTCTGCCCGCGAGGTAAGCAGCATCACTACATGAAGACAGCTGCCATCGCTTCGACGAACGACAATGCCGGGTCATCGAAGAATGTGAAGAAAGAAAAAAGTCAAATCCAAGGAGCAAAATGAAAAAGGCTCAAGACATGCAAGAGGAGGCTATGGGCACACACATATCAGACCAACGGCTTGATCAATCGAAGAGGCGGTGGGCACTGGGCGGCGAATCATTCGCTGACACCAGGATTCTTTAGATCGAGGTTGGTCACGGCAGAAAGGCCATTGTCATCTTCGTCCCCGTTCCCCAGCTCCAGGGCTTCCACAAGGTCCAGCAGCGGTAAGCAACACCACTTGTCGACATCCTTGTCACTTCATTCTAACACGCTCGCAGTCTGACCCGTGAGCTCGAGAAGAAGTTCTCCGACCGTCACGTCCTGATCGTCGCCTCGCGCCGCATCTTGCCCCGCCCCAAGCGCAGCAACCGCTCGCGCACCAGCCAGACCCAGAAGCGCCCTCGTTCGCGTACTCTGACTGCTGTCCACGACGCCATCCTTGCCGACCTCGTCTACCCCGTCGAGATCGTTGGCAAGCGCATGCGCACCAAGGAGGACGGCACCAAGGTCCTCAAGATCGTCCTCGACGAGAAGGAGCGTGGTGGTGTTGACTACCGCCTCGACACCTACTCTGAGGTCTACAAGAGACTCACAGGCAAGGGTGTTAACTTCGAGTTCCCCGTCGCTGCCGCCGAGTACTAAATGTATTCTAAATGAGGGATGATTTGCGTCCAAATCACAAAAAGTCTTGGTCTCTTTCAACTTCTTCATTCAAAAATGTGTTGTCACGTGGGGGCGCCTGGCGCTGGGAAACTGGAAGTCCGGGAATACTTGTTAAGGTAGACGAATACCACGCATGACACCGTCAGCTATACCTTTCACCTTTTTTTTAATCGGGTCAATCATGAGTTATGTCCTTTCATTCCTGCCCGCCGTCTCCAGCTCATATCATGTCATCCTGTTCTCGCTCGTAATACACAGGTAGGTTTGAGGCATTCACTTGGTAATGTGTTATGTTTGTTGAGTGTTCATGGAACGCGTCTATTCTAATTACATCGTAGACAGGTGTAGTCATTTTGCATAAGATACATCAAACCCAAACGCCGACATGCATGGTATCATCTACAGACTCTTCTCAATCTTCATGGCCTCGGCAATGCCTTGCTTGACCTTTTGTCTGCCCTCCTCGCTCAGTCTCTGCAGGGGACGTCTCGGGAAGCCACCGTAGCCGTACTCCATCTCTATGGCGGCCTTGGTGCCGGGAATGGCAGCCTTGGTGAGCACCCAGTCACCCTTGGATAGAATCTTCTGCAGCTCCATGGCCTCATCGTACTTGCCCTCGGTCCACAGGTTCCAGACCTTGACGCAGAGCTTGGGAAGCACGTTGGCACCACCAGCAATGATACCACTGCCACCCGAGGCGGCAGTCTGGATGGTGAAGTCGGCAATACCACCAAAGGCCATCCAGCCACTGCCCTGGCTCTTGGTCGAGGTAGCATCGGTCTCAAGGGCAACACGGGTCAGCTTTCCGGTCTGACCACAAGTGAACTTGGCACCAATGATCTTGGGGTGCTTGGCCAGCTCAATCATGAAGTCTGAGTCCATGTCGATACCAGCAACAGCACCAGGGTAGTTGTAGAGAATGACGGGGCAAGGCGATGCATCGGCAACAGAAATGTAGTACTCCTTGATGGCCTTGTCGTCCATGGCGTAGCGGTAGTATGAGGGAGGAACCAAAAGCACGTACTCGGCGCCGACCTTGTGGACCTCGTTGGTGAGCTCGAGAGTGCCACGAATGCTCATTTCTGAAGCACCGACGATGACGGGAACATTCTTGTAACCGGCCTCGTCGAGGGCCTCTCTCGTTGCCTTTGTCACAGCAACCTTCTCTTCGCGTGTGAGGTGGACTGCTTCACCGTTGCTGCCCATGCATACAAGGCCGACAAGGCCGGCTTCTGCCAATCTGACGGCATGTCTCTTGATTGTGGGGATGTCGAGGTCTTCTGTCTCGGGGTTGAAGAAGGTCATGGTAGGGGCATAAATGCCATGACGAAGAGGGGTGAGGTTGCCGTTGGCGGCCATGCTTGCAGATCTGTTTATCGAGGGATTGGTGTGAATTGGGAGCTTGAGCCCAGAAGAGAGTTCAAATGATTTGCAGAAGCAAGAAATGGGAGAAATGAGAAAAGAAGAAACAGTCGCTGGGCAAACCTTGTACTTATCAGGCGGATAAATACAATCCATCTACACACGTACCATGGCTCTCGCGATATTTACCCCCGCCATGAATGGAGCGCGAGCGTGGGGCAGCTCAGGCCACGCCTCGAAACGGCCTTGGTCGGCATATGAAGGCGGCGCACGGGGCGCTTGCTCGCGGAGGACGTCGTTTTTCCACCAATGGCAGCCAATCTTTATATCGGCAATTGAGACTCCACAAAATACACCCCGCCAACTGTTTGTCCGCCGACACTGTGTTCCTCCGTCTTGGTGATGCAATTACCCATCAATTCTCCTCTGCTCTTGCCTAGTTGCCCTCTCTGTTTTTCTCCTCTTACTCTCTGTGCTTCTGTACTCTTTGCTGCATGGTATTGACCGAGTCTCGAATCTATTGAACAAACTCGCAGATCCCACATCATGGCTCCTTTGAACGTTTGCATGGTCGGTACCGGCGAGTACACGACTGGTTTCGTCGGTGGCGGTGCCTCTGGCTCAGACAAGAAGGTCGGTGTTGTTGGCCTGACGCTCTTCGATCTGAGACGACGCGGCAAGGTTGGTAACCTGAGCATGGTGGGAACCTCTGGAAACAAGTTTCCTGCAATCCGTAAGTGTCTTTCCGTGGTCTGGGGCATGCAGGAGGCTGACACGTTCAAGGCGAGCACTTGACCAAGAACATCTCCCAAGTCTACAATGGATTGGACACATCTTTCGAGTCGTACCCGGCCAACGACCAACGCGACCCTGAAGCCTTCAAGAAGGCAATCGATGCTCTGTCACCTGGCGATGCCATCACCATCTTCACTCCCGACCCGACGCATTTCCCCATTGCCATGTACGCTATCGAGAGAGGCATACATGTCATGATCACCAAGCCTGCCGTTAAGCTTTTGTCCGAGCATCAACAACTGCTCGAGGCCAGCAAGAAGCATGGTGTCTTTGTGTATATCGAGCACCACAAGCGCTTCGACCCTGCCTACGCAGATGCTCGTCACCGCGCTCTCAAGACTTTGGGGGAATTCAACTATTTCTACAGCTACATGTCACAGCCCAAGTCGCAACTTGAGACCTTCAAGGCCTGGGCTGGCAAGGAGTCCGACATCTCGTACTATCTCAACTCTGTGAGTAATTTCAGTTACTGTGATCATGAACAAATACTGACCATCTCAAGCATCACATCGACGTAAACGAGAGCATGGTCCCAGACTACAAGCCCATCAAGGTCACTGGCAGTGCGAGCAAGGGTATTGCGACTGACTTGGGCTGTGTTGAAGAGACCGAGGACACGATCACGTTGGTCGTCGACTGGGAGAAGAAGGATGGCAGTGGAAGACGTGCTACCGGTGTTTACACTGCAAGCTGGACTGCTCCGCAAAAGGCCGGAGTGCACAGCAATCAATACTTCCACTACATGGCCAGCAAGGGTGAGGTTCGTGTCAACCAAGCCAAGAGAGGTTACGACGTTACCGAGGACGAGTCTGGCCTCACCTGGTACAACCCGTAAGTCTTTATCTCCATTTACCCCTGTTCATGAGACTAACACGTATGTACAGTTTCTACATGAAGTACGCTCCCGACGAGTCAGGTGACTTTGCTGGTCAAGGAGGTTATGGATACGTTTCATTCGAGAAGTTCGTTGATGCCATTGCGGCGCTCAAGGATGGGAAGGCATCTCTCGATGACCTTGACAAGCGTGGTCTGCCAACATTGAAGAACACTATTGCTACGGGAGCCATTCTTGAGGCCGGCAGGAGGAGTCTGGATGAGAACAGATCGATCCAGATCGTCGAGAAGGACGGTCAATGGGAGCTGAAGTAGACATGACTGACACGAAGTGATGATTTGCATGTTCTCGAATGTTAATAGTCGCATGTACTCCGTATACCTTTTATGCATATGCATGTTATGCTGCACCCCGACCCGAGTGGAGAAACGACGCTGTTCAAACGTCATTCGATGTGGAGGTGCTCATGCCATTCTTTAAGTTCGCTCGTATCCCGTCCTTCCCTTTTCCACTCATGAACGCCCTGACAGCCTATAGAATTGTTATTCGACCTTTCCCTAGGTTATCCCATATTAAAACACCCCGAGTTTCACTGCAAGGCATTCGAAGATTTACCTCAACCGTACCCATCATGGCCGAAACCAAGCACCAACGTACCGAGCCTCAGTATGAGTTGCTCTATCATCCGAGTATTCCTGGCAGAGGCGAATTTGTTCGCTTGATGTTCGAGGCAGCAGGTGTCAGCTATGCCGATGTTGCAAACGACAATCCACCAGACGACTCCGGTCCTAATGGATATGGCCTTGTACAAGCCATCTCGAGCCCTGATAGCACTGGAGATGATGATGGCAACCCGCCTGCTTTTGCACCACCTGCTCTGCGTATACGTGGAGCTGGAAAGGATGGGAAGGCTCTTGTGATTCATCAGACACCCAACCTTTTGCTATACCTGGGAGGTCCCCTCAAGCTCGCTGGTTCGGATGAACCGGAAAAGTATTATGTCAATCAGCTCGCTTTGACGGCACTTGACCTCAACAACGAGACACACGACACGCATCACCCCGTTGCGGTGGCCAAGTATTACGAAGGTAAGAGTTCCAATTATTTGAATTGTATGATGTATTAACGAATTGAATCAGACCAAAAGGATGAGGCTCTAAAGAAAGCAACCGACTTCCGCGAGAATCGCTTACCCAAGTTCCTCAGCTACTTCGAGCGCGTGCTCAAACACAACCAAGCATCGGGTAAAGGCAAATATCTTGTAGGCGAGTCTTTAACATACGCAGATCTCACCTTGTGGCAGGTCATCGATGGTCTGAAGTTTGCTTTCCCGAATGAGATGAGACACAGAAGCTCGGAGTCTCCCCTGCTGTTCGACCACTTCTATCCGAGCTTGAAGAATGAGGCTTGGATGAAGAAGTACCTGAACAGTAAGAGAAGAAAGCCTTACTCTATGGGTGTCTTTCGACACTATCCTGAGCTTGATCGTCAGTGAAAGAAGTGAAGGAATAGTCTAGGTAATGCTTAGTGATGCAACCGCAAGACATCAAAAGCGCACTTATGACAATCATTCACTGCCGAGGATCACGTCAGTGTCTCTCCTCATATTGTTTGCGATGATAAACTGTTTGATTGCTAGTGAGGCAAACCCTCCCCCTCCTTCCTTGAAATTGCAAAATCACACGGAACTCTCCAAATCAACACGCTCCCTTATAAATCTGCGAGCTGTCGCAGTCTAGCCGGAGAGAACATCCGCACAAAATGTCTGAGATTCGTCAAACCCCCATGATCACTGCGCCAAAGAAGATTCAAGGCAGGAGAAAGCCTTGGACACAACGTCATCAACAAAAGCGGGCTGCTGATTTGATAACAAGAGAGCCCCAGGGCGCGGCAGAGTTAGAGAGCGTCGCAGGATCCGAAGCCCAAATCACCTTCAACATGCCGCCTCAAGCCTCAGAGATTACTCAGCGCAGAGCGAGTGTCCAGATACTCACCCCTCCTACTATTTCCGTCGAATGGTCCTCAACCCAGAGTTGCCCACCCCCTGAGGTCGGCAATGTCCAAGTCACAGCTGGCCCAGAGCCCGCGACACCTGAGAACACCAAAGCCGCATCCCAGCACAACAATCCGACTCAAGAAACTGTAAAGACCACTTCGCAGACCACACCAAGAACCACTTTCGATCGCGATCCCACAGTCCCTAGTCGTACAGCAACAACTTCTGTAAGCACCGTTTCCAGCACAAGCCAACACCAAATCTTCACCACGCTTGCCGACCATCACTTCTTCGTTCCACCAAACGCTTCTCTCAATACCTCCTCGCTCATCCTGTTCAAACACAACACTCCATCTCTCGAACGTTTCCGCCTCCTTCACAACCAGTTGTTCATCGAGCTAGGCCGCGTGGTTGAAGAGCAGCTACAACCTTCATTGAACCCGAAGACCAACGCCGAAGCATACAGTCAAAGAGAGGAGATCATGCTGGGACTGCTCATCGACGTAGTGCCAGCCTTGAACCACCTCACCGAGACTATTGGAAAGGAGGTCAAATCGGGCATTCAAAAGCACAGAGCAGGATTGAGATTATGGGTTGGAGAGAAAGAGAGAAGCCCCAAGTGATCGGGGTTGCTATTCCTTCGAGTGTCGATTGTAGTCAGATGTCATCTCGACCCTTTCATGAGCCGAGTGCATACCTTGACGAGTACTGACAGGCAGGAGACGCCAAGTTGATGCGCGCTGCAAGACACTTTGCAGAGGATTCCAGCGCTTTGTCTGGAGAGTCCGAACCAGAGGTAGATAATGTGCTCACAGCCAACCCTCCATATATCGGACTTGGTTGTGTATGGCGAGCAGGCTTTGGAATGCAAGTATTTCGAGATTCCTCCGATGTTCAGGTCGTCAAGAAAGAAGGCTGGTAAAACATCGGTCTACATCAATTCAATCCAAGATTTATGGCCAGCCAAGCCATGATCTTCAGTTATTGTGCATACCCCTCACTCATCATGCGCCTGCCTGTCTTTGTTCCCAAAGCTCCTTCTCGAAAAGATCACAGCATAACGTGATGTAGCTCCTCGTGTTTTGTGTGCAAGCTTGGTGATAGCTTACACTTTCCTATTTCCCTTCTCCCATCATCACACCTATCTGTATCTTCTCACGTGGCTTAGCTTTGACCATCTTCCAACCCAATATGCCCTCTACATCCCTTCTCGTGTCGTTCCTCTGTCTTTTCCGCGCTCTACTAGTCACCTCCACCCAAGATTACAAAGAACCGCTGGATGCTAACGAAGAGGTGCCGTATATTCGCAACTACTTTTACGCTGGCGGCAGGTACGTATCAGACGGATCTGGTGGCCATGTGTTCCAAGATCAGATGTATGTCGAAAGACTCACTCCTCCTGGGGGTCCGAGAAAGCAAACACCGCTCGTGTTTATCCCAGGCGCCGGTCAGACAGGAACGGTACACCTCTCCCATGCTTCCTGTTGATGCAAATGCTGACATGTTATGGCAGAATTTCCTAAACAAGCCCGATGGTGGCCGCGGCTGGGCATCACTCTTTATCATGCAAGGCTTTGAGGTATACATTGTCGATCAGACATCGCGTGGCCGGTCAGCCTGGAGACCAGGCGATGGAGCTCCTGGCCTTGCAACATCCTCTGTCGAGGTTATCCAACAACGATTCACAGCACCTCAAGACTACAAGCTCTGGCCACAAGCAGTGAACCATACTCAGTGGCCCGGTACTGGACGGATGAGTGACCCAATCTTTGACGCATTTTACAGCTCCAACGTCCAGTACGTCAATAACGACACTTATCAGCAGACTACAATGCAAGCCAGTGGCGCTGATCTCCTCGATCATATCGGAAGTCCCGCCGTCCTCATCGGACACAGCCAGGCTGGTCCACAGGCAATCTTGATCGCTGATGCTCGACCAAACTTGACTGAAGCCATCATCTTGCTTGAACCAGGTGGTCCACCCTTTCGAGGTGGAGTATTCAGTAATGCTAGCGCACGACCGTGGGGACTCGCCGATGTACCGCTTCTATACTCACCACCTGTGACAGACCCTATGATTGATCTTACCACACAAATAATGCCAGCAACAAGTGACAACCTCGAAGGATGTGTATTACAAGCAACGTCGCCACCCCCTAAACGCCTTTTCAATCTAGCTCCCAAGCCGATTCTGGTCGTCACTGCTGAGGCCTCCTATCATTCGGTATACGATCATTGCACGGTTTCGTATCTTCGCCAGGCCGGATGCACACGCACCGATCATTTGGAATTGGGTAATGCTGGCGTACATGGGAATGGACATATGTTGTTCATGGAGAAGAATAGTCGTGATGTCTGGGTGTTATTGCTAGAATGGATCGAATGGCACCTGAATTGAATGTGTCGGTAATCACGAGCTTCCCGAAGCATTTGAGGAGCCAAGAGGAACGAAGCTATGGTTGAGTCATGTCATCTAGATTCATACTGGTTCCATCAACTCCTCCTTCTTGCTTCACTCTGCTTTGTCAGTCCCTTTCATCTGCCAGTCAGGCTTTTATTTTGAGTGCCTCCCGAAATCCCTCCCTGAGGAGAGAGAGCTCGTAGCTCACTTGAACTCAGAACTGACCACGTGCTCCCATACGCATAGTCCGTACTTGAGCATGTTTTATGGTGCTGATCATCACGCAGGCAGCTACAAGAGGAACCTCCACCCTCAGAGGCTTGTCCTGTCTGATTGTACCATACACGCTATCAACATGATTGGCAAGAATCACGCAATATTCCTAGCTCTTCTGGCTATTGCGTCCGCAGTTGCCTCAGGGCATCCCGCGCGTGACTATGAATATATACACCCGTCCATCGTCTCTAAAACCCTGCAGTCCCAGCACGAGAAGAGAGCTCCTCAGGGTGAAGAGCAGGATGAAGTATACCAGATTGAATGTCGTATGCGAAGAATGTGCCGTCTTGCACCAAAGACTAGCTCGCCTATCCAAGATCCCGCTGCCAAACTCACTTCGACCACTTCGATTGACCAATCGATCCTCGACTGGGTGTCCATTTTGAACGCACCTGGACCTGTTATGACCGCACACGACAACAACGAACAATATGGATCGCGATATCATTGGCGAAGACTCTTCAGCATTCAAGACCACCACCGTCACAGCTCCAGCACAGTCACCGTCACGGCTGTAGCCAATAACAGCTTGATTTGCGCCTGCTCCAACCGCAACTTCTTCTTTCGTGGACGTTGCCCTCCGAGTTTGCCCAAGAGCGCGACCAGATATTCGCCGAGGCATGGAAGTCCAGATTACATTGTGTGCTTGAGAAACAAGACACGGACGACTGTGCTGGTCGCTAAAGAGATGCCAGCAAGACGAGCGCGAGGTAGATTGGAAGAGGGATCGAATGAGAAGCGACAAGCCGTCGAGGGATTTTTAGACAGCAACAGACGAGCAAACTCGAACTACAAACATAAAGCAACGTTGATGTTTGAAAAAGTGAAAAGTGAAAAGTGAAAAAAGGAGGTATACTCCAGGGCAGTCCCCTTCCAGACCAGCTTTTGTTGATCTGCCTTCCCTTCCCTTCTTTTCCTCTGCCCAACCCAGGAGCTCGCTAGAATGATATATAAACAGGGTACCCGACATGCTTTACCAATAAACGTGTGATTAAATATGTTCAAAAACCTCCCACCATGGTTCCCAGATCAATGTAATAAAAAACAGGAAGGAGAGAGTTACTGTGCAAGATGTTCTTCTGCTTCTTCGTGGACTGGCTCGCGAGCTATGTCGGCGACGTTACGCTGTGCTGTTGCACGTCTCGGGTTGTTGTCGAAAAGGAACGGACCAGCATCGTTCATGGGCGTGTTTTGTCCATCACCCATGGGTACCAGAGTTGCGGCTGCTAGAGCAAAGGGTGCTGAAGATGTGGGTGTGGCGGACCTTGCCATGATGGACTCCGGTAAATTCCTGTTTACCGGTGCATTGGTCGAAGCAAGGATGGGTACGGGCTGTGACACTGAGCCTCGTGAAGGTCCAGCTTCACCTTCGGAGCTCGAGTCCGTGCCTGATGGGTTTGCTATAGAAACACTGTTCATCATGGCGGTCAGATCCTCGTCTTCAAGACCACCAGTCTCGATTGCAGGCAGCGGTTCTGGCTCGGGAGACCTCGGTTGGGTGGTTTCTGAGGCCTTGAGAGCGTCGGCGACGTCGTCACTTTCATACTCTTCTTCTGGTGGTTCGACATCGGCCTCCAAATCGGCATAAGCGCGACAGTTTGGACACTGGAAGCTAGGCCAGCTGGGATAAATAAGGGTGCGAACACACTTGTAATGCCAAACATGCGAACATGGAGCGACAAATAGAGCCTGGCAAGGAGCAACAGGATTCAGACATATTGAGCACTCGGAGCTGTGGGTGGATTGAGCGTCGCTGTCCTTGGTGTTGACCTTTGCCTGTTTTAGGATGTTTTTGTGAGTTGCCGTGCTATGTTGGTTAGCAAATGCACACACGTATAATTCGCAGAATATCCTAAGACTTACTTGAACTGGTTAAGACTCTTCTGCCAACCTCTGTTACATTCGATGCGAATCTTGACGCAACGGAATATGACTTCTTCTCCGCCTTTGAAGTCGATGCCTAGCTGGACGATATCACCATCGTTGAGCGGATACGCACGACTCTCCATACCCGGGCTGCTCAGACGCACATGGTTCAAGAAAGTGCCGGAACTACTCTTAACGTCCTTGATAAACCATTGACCATTGTCACACCACAATTCGCAATGTCTGCGACTGACAACCTTGCTCTTAAAACCAACAGGTGCTGCCGTCTTTGCACTTGCTTGAGCATCGGCAGCCTGGTCTCTCTCGGAATATCTGCCAACCTTTACCCGTTGACCAGCAGCAGCAATTGTGCGAGTAACGATTGGGAAGGTAAGAGAGGGTCTAGAAGCGCGGGGCTCGTGATGGGGGATGAAACGGATAGTCGGGGCCTCTTTCTTGTCTGCCGATGTGGCTTGCGCGGGGGCCGGAGCAGATTCGACAGCGACGGGTTCGGTAGTTGGAGCAGTCGGCGGCGCAGAGGAGTCGTCGTCGGTACGGAGATCCTGGTTGACCGTGGCGGCCCTCGTGCGGGTCATGGTGGGGGTAGGCGAATCGGACTGGGTAGATTGAGGCTGGGTAGCGACCCTGGATAAACCACTCTGGCCAGCGACAGTAGGGACCCAGCCGTTGGCGGCAGTATCGCTGCGGAGTGGGGGACTCGAAGTCGTCTCACGTGCGCTGCGGGCAGGAGAACTGGTACTCCGGCTGAGGGTCGGTGGACGAGTAGGAGTAGCGGGGGACGAGGGATTGTTGGTTTGGTTGGAGGACGGCGAGGTTGACGAATTGGAGTGCAAGTGGTTGTGGGTGTAGCTGCGTAGATATGAAAGACCGCGGAGTCGGGAAGGACGAGTTGGAGAAGCGGGCGTGTTGGCGGCTGAGGAAACGGTCGACAGCGACGCTGCAGCCGGTGAATAATTGCCAAACATGGTGTGATCTCAGAGACAAGACACAAGATAGTCGATAGTCGCAACTTGCGAGAGGACTCAGGACTCGAGACTCGAGCGGGCACCTCGACACTTTCGAGTCGCCAATTCAAAAGAGGCGTCTTTTTCCCGCGAAGATTATGTCACTGCCGTCGACGATCACGCTTGTCAACAGTAGCACATCCGAAGTCACGGTAATCGAGGCCTTGGTATGCTCAGGTGCGAGATGCAGTTGGCAAGAAGAAATGGAAGAGGGAAGAGGAAGAGCATGGCCTCGAGTCTATGTGCCGCACTCGCATATGCGCAGGGCGACAGTGACATGTTCACTCCTTGTCAATGCAACAACGCTTTCAATGACTTTCTAGCCTTGTCACTACTCCGTTGAAACCGCCTTCTAGCCTGAATCCTCGCTAGGACCTGACTCGACGTCTTGCTCGACAGGCCTCCCAGATACTGCTCTGTCAACCTCTGCGATCCTCCAGGATTCTGATGAGATTGCAGCACACTATCAGGATAGGGGATAGACAAATGTACTCGTGACGCATCACATGTTGGATCCAGACTTGCAGGACTTCGGGAGAGGCGTCAGCGGCATGGCCGCTTCCGAGGCCGGCACCCCCGACGTCGAGTTTGCTCGTGCTGCAAACACAAGCCGCCATGACAGAATACCGCATTGCATGCTTCTAGAAAGTCTTTCTCTATCGAAACCATAATACTATCCAAGATGCTGCGACTAAGTAGAGCCATACCGCGCTCCACTAGCCGCATCCTATCCCGCCATGTGTCGCGTCGTTCTTTTGCCTCGGTAGACGGAGTCAGCAAGGTACGAATCAGTCGTCGGTCTTGAGCGCAGCGCATTCCAACCGCCAGTTTTAGTAACGCCCATATTGTTCAGGACCCTGCCGACCTCGACCAAATCACCACCCTTGGAAATGGAGTCCGTGTCGCTAGCGAAGCCGTCCCTGGTGCCTTTTCAGGAATCGGTGTCTACGTCGATGCCGGTTCCCGATACGAAAGCGATGCCTTGCGCGGCGTCTCACACATCATCGACCGTCTGGCCTTCAAGTCTTCATCACGGCGAAGCGCCGATAGTATGCTCGAAGAGATTGAGTCACTAGGTGGAAACATCCAATGCGCTTCATCCCGCGAGTCCCTCATGTACCAGGCCGCCACTTTCAACAGTGCTGTCCCTACCGCTACCGCCCTACTCGCCGAGACCATCCGCGACCCTTTGATCACCGACGAGGAGGTTGGACGTCAACTCGAGACTGCCGAGTATGAGATTGGAGAAATCTGGAGCAAGCCCGATTTGATTCTACCCGAATTGGTCCACATGGCTGCTTACAAGGACAATACTCTTGGAAACCCTCTGCTATGTCCCGCCGATCGTTTGGGAAGTATCGACAAGCGTACAGTTGACGCCTACCGCCGTGCCTTTTTCCGTCCGGAAAGACTGGTTGTTGCTTTTGCTGGAGTCGAGCATCAGGAAGCCGTCAAGTTGGCAGAGCAGTACTTTGGTGACATGAAGGCCGAGAAGCTCGCCAGCTCAGAGACATCTTCTCAAAGACCTGTGCAACATGCCCAACAGAAGTCGACTCTAACTTCCAAAATTCCCTTCTTCAAGAACCTGTCCACCTCCGCCTCACAATCTGCTACCGTCTCACCACTCGACCCCTCGCAAATCATCCCTCACCCTCTTGACGTCCCCGTGGACACCTCATCACCGGCCCGCTACACCGGTGGCTTCCTCACATTACCGAATCTCCCTATTCCTCCCAGCCCTGCTCTTCCTCGTCTCTCTTACATCCATCTTGCCTTTGAGTCGCTTCCCATCAACTCCGACTCCATCTACGCTCTGGCAACTTTGCAGACTCTCCTTGGTGGTGGTGGTTCCTTCTCTGCTGGAGGACCTGGCAAGGGCATGTACAGCCGTCTATACACCAACGTCTTGAACCAGCACGGTTGGGTCGAGAATTGCGTCGCCTTCAACCACGCCTACACCGACAGTGGTATCTTCGGTATCAGCGCCGCATGTGCCACTCCCTATGTCAACCATATGCTCCAGGTCATGTGCTTGCAACTTGCCAATCTAGGCAAGGAGACCGGCATTGGTCGTTTGACCGAAGGTGAAGTCAAGCGTGCCAAGAACCAACTCAAGAGCAGTCTACTCATGAACCTCGAGAGCCGTATGGTGGAGCTCGAGGACCTCGGTCGTCAAGTCCAAGTCCACGGACGCAAAGTTCCTGTCAAGGACATGATTGCCCGCATCGACAAAGTCTCTATCCCTGAGCTTCGTCATGTCGCTCGCCAGGTCTTTGGCGGTATGGTCAAGAACCCTGGCGGTGGCAGCGGCGCCCCTACTGTTGTCATCCAACAAGGCGAGGAAGAGGGTGTTCAGATTCAAGAGCTCAAGTGGGATGCCATCCAGAGCACCATCCAAAAGTACGGTCTTGGTCGCCAGCAATAGGACGACTGAGCTCCAGAAATGACTTTTCCTGGTGTTCTTTCGTTTACGGTTCACTCGCCCTTTCTCCCTTCACTACTGTACAATATTCCCACCTCTTCAATATTCACCATGCGTAACTTGTAGACATACAACTCAAAATTCAATACCCTCATTACGATCAGAGGACATCAGCACCATATTGCACTTCCTCAAGGTTCCAATTTAGATCAAGAAGAAACACAGATCACTCAATCACGTTTGCGTATGTTTGACTTGCATAAACCACCTGTGCTTACATCGCACGAAGACAATCTTGAGCGCGCTCCACTGCTCAAAAACAGGTCTCGTTTGGTCAGTTATGTGACTCAAAATGCCAATGAAGACGGACTACTTCCAACCAGACATTTTGTGATAGTCCAAAGTCTCTCGACTCCAGAGAACTACATGATCTCCATTGCACGTTTTCTTTCGATACGTATTTCTTCCCCTTCTTGCTCGCAGATCAGTCGCCAATCTGATAGGGCGTGATAGGTAAGGTAGCAGTCCGCTGTTTTACCAAGACACTCCTGCATCTGACCACAGACCATAGCGCAGATAACCAGAAGGAGTAAAAACAAACAGTAGTCACATGAAGCACTTGATTGATCAAGATCATTACGATTTGCAGCCCGAGAAGCGATAACGCTTCCCCACCTGACAGTAGAGACAGCGAATGTGAGTGGGAAGAGAAGTAAGCGTGAAAGCCGAAAGTGGGTTGACGATCGCTTTTGTTTGTTTGATTCAATGCGGTCTTCTCGCTCTTGCGCAACCAGAGATTTGCAGTCCGCGTGCAGCGAGATCTCTCGCAGTGCATCGAGGTTGGTCCCAATGTAGCTAGTGCGTCATCAAATACACGTGACGTCCTAGAAATGCCTGACGTGCTTGTGTTTCGATGATGCTTGCTTGCCAGAAGAAGTTCCAACGCGTCCAATTGAATATCATTTGCGTACTCATCGAGGGTTTGCTGGGTTCTTCTCGATGAAAAGGTGTGGAGCCTTGCTGATTGTGATAAGAAAATTACCCACCTGGCTTTCCAGGCTCGAAGACGGCTTAAAGGTGGGTGAGATAAACCTCCGGTCGGACAGCAGATCAGGGCAACTCAAGGCTGAGAGTCCGCCGGCAAAAAGTCCTCCGTCAATGCATGCTTCCTTCCCTTCTTCTGTCCAGCATGTGAGAGAGGCTCATGCTGTGCTTTGCGCTTCGCACTTGGTCCAACGAAACTTGAAACCCATTCTCGAACCCTTTCGAGCTTGTGCTCGATTGCAGGGGGCAGACTCGATTGCTGCACGCTATCCGAGCGGAATTCATGCGCCTTGTGTAAGACGGTGAATGCGGTGGTGTTTTTGGTCGCCTTCCGATTAAGAGACTGGCCGAACACAGCACCCCTGAACGAGCTCAATGCCACTCGTTCGATCAACACAATGTCTTGAGGACGTAGTGATTGCAAAACTTTGCGTGACTGATCCACAGTCTTGCTGCGAGGATCTTGAGCCGAATGCCAGGAACTGATAGTGAAGCCTGCTTTGGTCTCATCTCCAACTGTGAGCTCGATGATCTCCATGTCGTAGCCTCCCTTGCGTATCGTTACCGTTCGAGCGGGAGCTATGCTGATAATGCCAACCACTAGGTTTACTGTCATGGTTTGTGGCTGCAGGTGTTGAAGATATTCGGCTTTTGGAACAGCTTTAATGCTCATAACGGGTCCTGCGATTCTGTGTGGCACGCTGATTCGAGGCCCCGAGTCTTCGGCGACAGAGATGTCAGTGGAGAGAAACGTTGTCGTCGGGTCGTCGTCCAGAAAGGTTGAGTCAATGGAGTCGTCCGTCATAAAGGTTGCCTCTTGCGAATCAGCATGCAGACTCTCGTCCTGAGGGGCTATCTGTGAGGATTGCAAATCGGCATGAAATGCGAAGGAGTGATCAAGAAAGTCATGCTCGTCCTCTTGGTTCAGAACAGGTTTGAGATTGTTGACCTGGCGTGGCAGTGCGCTGATGGATGGTCTTGATGTTTTAGTGTGCAGGATAGGGCTCTCATGAAAAGTCTTGTTGGCAGCCAAAGGTATAGCTCTCCATTTGGCTACTGGTTGAGTAGGCCCAGGCGTAGGTGGAATACCCAGGTTGCCACGGTGCAGGTGTCTTTGCAAGGCCGAAGAGAAGTTGTTGAGCAGACCTTCGTCTCGCCAGTCTAGTGATGTAGCAGTGGGGGCACCAGTGAGGAACTTTATTTCCAGTGGAGGCATCTGGCTGCCTAGTCGAAACCGCAATCGAGGGTTAATCAGGGTGGGCGGCAAGCAGAGATATGATGGGGCGTGTTGGATGGAGGAATCTAAATCCGAGGTCGATGTCCGACAAGTCCGAAGTGAGGTGAGATAAAGAGGCGAAGGCAGTCACTCATGTTCGTTGCCTTCTAACCAGACCAAGGTATACTTTTTACATTCACATGGTTGACAGATACGGAGACAGCATAAGCATAAGTTGAAGTTGGTGAGTCGGTCGTGTTGGTCTCGACTTTGCGCGGACGATGACGAACGGGAGTCTGGTCGGCAATCGGGACGTGTGGGCGGGTCGGATCTGATAAAGTTGCAGTTCCCCCTCCAAAAGTCACAATGACCAAAATGGCTTCCCTCCTTCGCGGCCTGTCGTATCGCTTCAATACGCCGACGCCCTCGACCGATTTTAAAAAGGCAAAGAACGAAGACGCTCTCTTCCCAAAGACGGATCCGGCCGTAGACGGCGAAGACTGCTTACACGACTGCGAATCATGTTCGATCAAATATCCCCGCAAGTTCGAGATTGATCAAGACGACAAACTCTATGGAAACATTGGTGGTTGGAACACGCATTTGATTGTCGCTACTGGAAAGACCGACTGGGTACGCGATGTTGCCGATGAAAAGGGCAGTGTCATGGAGGCTGTATCAAAGGCAGAGGAGCCTACCAATGGCGTAAGTTGACCCGACCTAACCCTGTCTAGAGTCCTCAATAACACCCGTCTGCAGAAGATGATGCTCTCAGCCTCCAACATGCCCATACCGCACTCTTCACACTCGGATCCGGATGGTCAAGTCCGCACCACCGTCTTGCTACTCCCTGCCTTCAAGTTCATCGACAATGTCACCCCGGCCGCTGTGCCAGACCTTATTCAACACTGCGTCAACAACGCCCCTACAAACACAAGTCCGCTTGTCGACCCTGCATCAGACAATTCTCTCACCTCGACACCACTGCCAGCAGCCCTCGACATGAGAGATTGTCCCCACAACTACCTTATTCTCCTGTGCTCTCACGCAACAAGAGATGCTAGATGTGGTCAGTCAGCCCCCCTACTGAAGAAGGAACTTGAAAGACAATTGCGACCCCTGGGGCTGGCCCGTGACTTTGACGATGAACGTCCTGGCGGTGTTGGAATCTACTTTATCAATCACGTCGGCGGTCACAAGTACTCGGCCAACGTCCTAGTCTACCGAAGACGTCTGTCACCCGATGGCAAGCCCCTAAGTGAGGCTGCTCAGTGTATATGGCTTGCCAGAATAAAGCCTTCAGACTGCGAAAATCTTGTACGCTACACCGTGCTACAAGGCAAGGTCGTCAAGCCTGGAGAGCAGCTGCGTGGAGGCTTTGACCGCTCCACTCAACTGACTAGTTGGTAGAAAGGGGAATGAAGAGGACATCGTAGAGGATGAGCTTAGATATATACGAAGCCTAACATGCTACCAGACTTTGCTCCTGAAAAAGGCGCACACCCCGAGACCCTCGTTTCCCTCAAAATGTACACCACCAACGCCCCCTGACCATATCAACCATGACCACGACACCATTAAAATGCCTTACAAGAATGAAAGAAGAGAAACTCAAAAGCAATCATAAAACCCCAGTCCCTTGTCCTCAAAGCAACCATCCATCGTTATCATTACTGGCGTTAAAAGCAGGTGTCGAGCTTGACCGATCCAGTCCGAGAGTCAATTTGGGCATCTGGATCATGGGAAGACCGAGCTGCGGCGGTGAGTCCGTCTTCTTGGGACTCTTTTTCGGGCTGGAAGCAGCCATCTCTTCCTTGCTTGGGCCGTATCGGACATACCTAATGTCCCAGCCATCGGCTTGAGCGGCTGCGATCCAGTTCTGCAAGCCAGAATGTACACCACAATAAAACTTCTCTTTGCACGTACGCATGGTACCTCCCATCATCTTCTCCCAGCCACTGGCCTTGAGCTCCGAACGAAGCTGGTTGCGATCATCTCTGGTCAGAAGTGAAGCGATGAGTCCGTTGACAAGATCCAGATGTGCTGTCATGTATGTGGTCGCATCCCATTCAACGCCACCAATATAGGGAGCAGCTGGAACGGGCGGACGGTCTCCCGGGAAGAATTTCTCAGCAAAGCTATGGGTTGAGATCAGCGTAGCGTCTGCTTGTGGCTGAGTCGGACTGCTTCCATCTAAAGGCTCCTTCTTTGGAAGTGGTATAACGTTGAGGTGATGTAAAAAGATCCAGAACACCTCCTTCGTCACGTTGCTGACCTCGGTAAACCAGACCTTGTATGGTCGTGACTGTCGCATACTAAGTACAAAGGACACTGGCTGTGCTTCTTCGGGTTTCTGTGGGTCTGCGAGATAGGCGAGAATTACACGAGCCCTGTGAGCAAGCGCTTCTGGCCCCTCATTGCGAGCTGCGCCCAAGTATGCAACTGCGAGGATACGTTAGACAAGGCATCATCGTCTCACGCGATTTCTGACTTACAAAGAATATTGACGATTATGCCCCTGGTGGTGAATTCGCTCGGGCCCTTCTTCTCCTCATCAAACAGCATTGCCAGCAATTTTGGGAACAAAGCATCCGCCAGACCAGAGAGATTCTTGAGGGCAACTTCGGTGGTGCATAGTCCCTTCAAGCAGAGCAAGGCTTCATGAAGTAGCTGATCTTCATGCTCTTCACGCCATTCAATCTGCATGATGCGATGCAGCAGATCCACAACTTGAGTCATACCACCTAGTGATATGAAGTTGTCGACCCAAGCAACAGTCTCATTGCGAAGCAAAAGTCGGAGCTTGTGTAGTCTACCAACTTCCATCTGGACAGGATCACGGACGTTCTCCAGATATGCGACAAACTCATCGGGGCATGCAGCTTGTGGACCCCTGCCTGGTGATGAAGGCGCATAGTGTCTGGGCAAAGTTCCCGATGATCTTGGTATGTGGATTGAGTTTGGTCGACTGTCTGGCTTCTGCTTCTTTGGAGATGCATCACTTCTGGTCAGGGTGAATGTCTTACTTCTTGATCTGGACCTCTTGGAGAGATCTTCTTTGACCTCTTCCTCTGCAGGGTCGACAGCCTGGGATTGTGTAGGCTCGTCATGGAAGAACGGGAGGCGAGATTCTGGTTTGGTGGGACTTGGAGGAGCACCCGTGGCACCCTTGTCTTGTTTGACAAAATCGGCCTTGACGCGTAGTGTCAGAGTACGCATCTTTTGGCGCATGTTTTCGGGGATATTGCGTGAATCCTAAGGGCATGGATCAGCAAACGAGACATGGACACTAACAAAGTGAACTTACCAAGACGGCCTCAAAAGCAGCATCGACAGTTTTTGGATCAAGCTTCTGCTCGTCTTTCAGAGGCACACCCTCTCTAGCCTTTTCATCGAAAGCAGCAACGGCGGCCATGACACGGGGACCTCGCTTTGGGATGTTTGACAGGGCCTTTGGAGCAGGACGCTCATTGCTGCTAGAGCTCACTTTTCGGTCGAAAGACTGCTTACCTGCGTCGAAGCTGCGGTCGCTCCCACGCGAACCAAGTTGAGCTCGTTCTTTTTCACGGCTGGTTGGGCGGTTGAGCACATCAAAGAAAGATGTCGATCCGGGAATGACGAGACTTTTGGGCCGGCTTGATGAGGGCGGTCTTGAAAGGACTGGCTGGCCGTATGCCGAGAAGTCTCTTTGCTTGGACGGTGTGTAGTCTTTCGGCGTGTAGCGATCAATGTCTGCGTCTCCACCCGGGGCATGCTGAGTAGTGGGAAGATGTTGAGGCCACGGCGAAGTTGTGGTGGGTTCCAAGGCAGAGGGCGGCGGGCTCTGGTTCTCCTTGTCATGGATTGTATCGCTGAGATCCTTGGACGAACGGTTCATCTTTCCGAGCAAGCCGCGTAGGCTGGTTGACGACTTTGTCTTCTTCATGCGTGAACGGCCCGTGTCGCGGTTGTCTTGGTCGTTCGCAGCACGCTGGCTTTGCTTTTCCTTTTCTCTTTCCTTTCGACTCTTCCTCTCCTTGTCCTTTTCCTTGTCTCTTCCGAGGGAGCGCAGTGACACGCTGCTTTTGGAGCGCTTGTGTGAAGCTGCATTGTCCTTTTTGGCTTGTCTGCTAGAGCGGCTGTCCTCGGTGGGCTGGGTGACTGAGTGAGGGTGATCGGGAGGCAGGAGGGGAACCATTTGCGTTTGAGTGTTGGACGGGACTCGACCAAGGTCCTTTGACTTTGATCGTCTGTGTTCTTTGGGCAATATCGACTTCAACATCTTGATGGGCGACGAGGCTGACGAGGATGCTTGCTGTTGTTGTTGTTGTCGGTCGCGAGCTTGCCCATTGACTCTCTCGTCCATGTGCTTTTGTTTTATTTGTCGACGACGATTGATTGTCGAGAGTTTAAATCGTGCTACTCGTGGACAAAAGAATTGAATTGTTGGCACAACATTTCCCCGCCGTCTTTGGTAGTCGCCTTGTTGATGTTTCCATCGTTGCCAGGCAACCCGTCCTTATCAGCCTCGTCCCCACACTTTCATCTGCTATCCCCATGCCGCCTTGCCGTTCCTGCTTCACCACACCACATCACTGAGTACTCGTACATGTCATGCATGAACATCGATTTTGAGTAATATTGTTTGTCTTGCATGTGTCTTTGGGTATCGTCTCAATGGGAATAGCTCCTTCCTACGCCGCCGCTTGTGCTGCACTCTGCTCCTCAAAGGCCTTGCGGTATTGCGCCGTCGCCTCGGCTAGTGCTTTGATCGTGGGCTGAACCATTTCCTCCACCGCCTGACTCCCTCCACTTGACATTTCCAACTCTACTTCGAGTCTCTTTCGCTTGCTTGATTTTGGGTTCATTCCCGATATCTGCTTCTTCAAGCTCTCAGCTTGTTGCAACTTTTCCTTCTCTGCCTTGTCTGATACCATCTTGATGCGGTCAACTGATCGATCAAGAGTCTCAACCAGCTTTGCCAGCTCGTTACTTCTCGCTCCGTCTCCTGACAAGAACAAGGTCCAGAAGTAATGCAGGAATTCTATCGTCGTGTTTTGTGTCAGGCTCAGCGTGTCGAATGTGCTTTGTGAGAGGCCTCGCCTGGACGAAACATCAGCCGATGCGGCTTGTCGTCGCCTGCTTATTGATGCCAGCATTTCTTGAGTCGATTGTGCAAGTGCTCCTTTGCTTCCAATTCTTGCTTTCTTATTGGGACCGTCCTCATCATCTGAGTCCTCACTGTCGGATTGTATGCCGACAACCTTTTCGAGCGTGATGCTAGCTGCCGAACGAATCTCGGTCTGGAGCAGTTGGAGCACTTGTTCGGGCGATTGTCGAGCATAAAGCTGGGCTTCTGCCGAGAGTCCATTCTCTGATTTTCCACCGAGCAATCGCTGCTGGTCTTTGATATTCAGTATGACGCGATTGTCCCCGGCTTCCGTCTGTAAATCTCGTAGTCGAAGTTCGTTGAATGCGTCTTCGGTCATGCCAATGGGTGCGTGGGCTTCGCCGTCAGTCGGTGCTACTTGCGCCATCATCTTTTCTGAAAGATTGTTGAGAATTCTCAAGATCGGCACCTTCTCTGGTCGCATGGTTTCATCTGGTCTGTTTCCTTTACGTTGACTGTGATTCTGCTCATTTCCCTCGAGATCAATGAAATGCGGAACGTGGCCGATGTTTGTTGGTCCTTTTTCTTGGAACCCCAAGTACCTGTCGAACATTGGATCCGGTGGATCTGCATCTGTAATCTTTTCGCCTTTTAATCTCTTCAGCAGTCTGCTCATGAAGAAACGAGACCAGAATGTGTTGCTATCAGTTGGAGGTACATTCTCGTTGTATGCCTGTCTGACAATAGGATATTGCTTGAAGATCAATTTGATCTGAGCACCCGCGAGACTGAGTGTCAAGGAATCCGCCTCTCCTTCCTTTTCCGCAGCAACTCGTGTAAACTTAATCTCGGGCAGCACGTTGTAATCACCCTGATTCTGGGCTTTTTCGATAGCGTGTGCGCGGAGGAGATGCAGTCGAGTCGACCAGAATTGTGTTGAGAATTGAGTTATGGTAATGGTTTCGGGCCTGTCTCTCAAACTCTCATTGAACCTTTGTCTCAAGGCAGGGTTCGCTTCAAGCAGAGACCTTTGTAATTCGATATCCGTGATGAGATGGGCATCATCGTACCAGCTTTCGTTTTGCTTTGTAGTGGTTGAAGAGACGGCCTGAGCCATGCTCATGGCTGCTGAAGGACCTGATCCATCTTGTACTGGTGCAGGTGTCGGCGTCGGTGCAGGCTTGATGGGCTCGGCGGATTTGATCGCGGCAATGGCATTTCTTAGGATATCGGTGATGGCTTCTTGTTCGGCTCGTGCTGTTGATGACGAAAAGGAAAAGACCTGATTCTCGGGCGCGGTGGCTCCTGCTGGCTGGACGACCACCTTTAGAGCGACCTTTGGGTTGCCTGCAGGAGTTTGCTGGAGATCTGGTATAAAGCTTCAGTTGCCTTTCCATACGATCAAGAGATATAGAACTGACTAGTAATGTCCTTGATTGCGATCGTCAATGAGGGCGAAGAGGCTGGGGGCTCAGAAGGTGTCCAGTATAATGATGCTCGATCAGCGCCGACCGACAGAGTGCCGTTGCGCTTCTTGTAGATTGTTGTGGCCGACGACATGTTGCGCTCTCACGCCGACGGCGATGCAACTGAGAGAAGACTGTTTTGGTAATCCTCGAAAACGAATGTAGCGCAGGTCTTCACATGCATCTCGAATACAAAGGCAAGATCGTCATCGCTTTAAACGGAAGGTGTACCGATCCCTGGGCTGGCTGCCTAACTTTTCCCTCTCGAGCGAGTCAAAGGTAGTTAGGCAGGCAACTTCACGAGCGAATGACATGGTGTTTCATGAGTGAACTGCTATTGACTCGTATCTAAACAACGCATAGTCGCAAATGAAGCCCATCCACTGAGTAGGTACTGCTCTTGTTCGTTGGTCTCGAACGAGCTGATGCCTGGGGCCCTTGTTTGAAACTGGCTTGCTTACCTATGAGGCTCAACACCAAGCATTCCCGCAATCTCGTTGGCAAACATAATAAATACACCTATGGCAGAGTCATCCGTGTAGACGGAACAATGCGAACATATTGCAGAGAGCATGTACAGACAGAGAACGATCAGATCCGAGTCTTCTGAATGAGCTACAAGTATGCATTGATCTTATAAGAATGGTCGGCAAGAATATGTAGAGTAGTCTGTACTTGAGGACGACTTGACTGCTGAAGGAGAGTTATGCCTTTTCTGCCCGAGTTCTGATGTACGTTAGCTAGCAAGTGGCGCACACATGCCTTGACGACGTGTGTCTCAATGTGCCTGGTGACCGTGTTGCGGGACTTGCGACAACAAATGACGCTCGCTGATGTTACAGAGAAAAGTTGTTTGGCTGAGAGCCGAGGGGAGGACGGATAGAGCCGGGACTTGCCTCGCGACTTCCGTTTCCTTCGCATACCTCAAAGTCACCGCCCTATGAAGCGTAGCTTCTCCTCGCACTCTTCATTCCCTACTGGCGAGCGCTCATAATGTTGAGAGCTTCTTTTTCACAGTGCGGCAAGCGCCTGGCCGCTGCCGGGAGCCGCACCAGCTTCTCTACCATTGCCAGAAGCAGACCTGTTGTTGCTCTGACCCAGTCAAGGAGAGACCTCGCTCTGAGCCAGTTCCGCAGCTATGCTGTCGCCGCTGAGGACACCAACAAGGGCGTTGTATGCTTGTCCTCTGTCTGTATTCTAGCTCATAGCTAACCACCCATATTCGCAGGACCCCAACGACTCGTTCCTCCAGGGCAATACCGCCAACTACATCGACGAGATGTACATGGAGTGGAAGCGCGACCCCAAGTCGGTGCACGTCTCATGGCAGGTCTACTTCCGCAACATGGAGAAGGGTGACATGCCCATCTCTCAGGCCTTCCAGCCCCCTCCTACCATCGTACCCGCCCCCGAGGGTGGAGCTCCTGGATTTTCTCCCACCGCCGCTGCAGGCGTTGGTGACAGCTCCGACTTGACCAACCATCTCAAGGTCCAGCTCCTGGTACGCGCATACCAGGCCCGAGGCCACCACAAGGCCAAGATCGATCCTCTCGGTATCCGCAACGAGGCCAGCCAGTTTGGCTACAGCAACCCTCCCGAGCTCAACCTTGACCACTACAACTTCACCGAGACCGACATGGAGCAGGAATTCAGCCTTGGCCCCGGTATCTTGCCTCGCTTTGCTACCGAAGGCCAAAACAAGATGAAGCTCAAGGACATTATTGCCGCTTGCGAGCGTCTCTACTGTGGTAGTTACGGTATCGAGTACATTCACATTCCCGACCGTGAGCAGTGCGACTGGCTCCGTGCCCGTATCGAGGTTCCTCAGCCCTACAAGTACTCTGTCGATGAGAAGAGACGCATTCTGGACCGTCTGATCTGGAGTTCCAGCTTTGAGAGCTTCCTCGCCACAAAGTACCCCAACGACAAGCGTTTCGGTCTCGAGGGTGGTGAATCCCTCATTCCCGGAATGAAGGCTTTGATCGATCGCAGTGTTGATTATGGTGTCAAGGATATTGTCATTGGCATGCCTCACCGTGGTCGTCTCAATGTCCTTTCCAACGTCGTCCGCAAGCCCAACGAGTCCATCTTCAGTGAGTTTGCCGGTTCCGCCGAGCCCGCCGATGAAGGATCCGGTGATGTCAAGTACCATCTTGGTATGAACTTCGAGCGCCCTACTCCTTCCGGTAAGCGTGTGCAGCTTTCTCTCGTCGCCAACCCTTCGCATTTGGAAGCCGAAGACCCCGTCGTTCTCGGAAAGACCAGAGCCATTCTGCACTACAACGGTGACGAGAAGGAGGCCAACTCCGCCATGGGTGTCTTGCTCCACGGTGACGCCGCCTTCGCTGGTCAGGGTATTGTCTACGAAACCATGGGTTTCTACGCTCTTCCCTCGTACCAGACTGGTGGTACCATCCACATTGTCGTCAACAACCAGATCGGTTTCACCACCGATCCCCGTTTCTCCCGCTCTACTCCCTACTGTTCCGACATTGCCAAGGCCATTGACGCCCCCGTCTTCCACGTCAACGGTGACGATGTCGAGGCCGTCAACTTTGTCTGCCAGCTCGCTGCCGACTGGCGTGCCGAGTTCAAGAAGGATGTCGTCATTGACATCGTTTGCTACCGTAAGCAAGGTCACAATGAGACCGACCAGCCCTCCTTCACCCAGCCTTTGATGTACAAGCGCATCAACGAGCAGAAGCCTACCCTTGAAAAGTACATCAACCAGCTTATCGAGGACAAGACCTTTACTCAGGATGACGTCGAGGAGCACAAGAAGTGGGTTTGGGGTATGCTCGAGGAGTCCTTTGCCCGCAGCAAGGACTACCAGCCTACTGCCAAGGAATGGCTTACCAGCGCCTGGAACGGATTCAAGAGTCCCAAGGAGCTCGCCACCGAGGTCCTCCCTCATCTCCCCACTGCTGTCGAGGCCGATGCTCTGAAGCACATTGGCGAGAAGATTGGAACTCCCCCAGACGGATTCAATGTTCACCGCAACCTGAAGCGTATTCTTAACAACCGTACCAAGACCGTCAACGAGGGCAAGAACATTGACATGAGCACCGCCGAGGCCCTTGCCTTTGGTACCCTCTGCATGGAGGGTCACCACGTCAGAGTTTCTGGTCAGGATGTTGAGCGTGGTACCTTCTCTCAAAGACACGCTGTCGTTCACGATCAAGAGAGCGAAAGCACCTACACTCCTCTTCAAAACCTCGGCAAGGACCAGGGCAGCTTTGTCGTCTCCAACTCAAGTTTGAGTGAGTTTGGTGTTCTCGGTTTCGAATACGGTTACTCTCTGTCTTCTCCTTCTGCTCTTGTCATGTGGGAGGCTCAGTTCGGTGACTTTGCAAACAACGCACAATGTATCATTGACCAGTTCATCGCTTCCGGTGAGGTCAAATGGCTGCAAAGATCAGGTCTCGTCATGAGCATGCCTCACGGTTACGATGGTCAAGGCCCCGAGCACAGTTCCGGCAGAATGGAAAGATTCTTGCAGCTGTGTAATGAGGTAAGCATATTGATCATGTTCCACCAAGGTTGACCCATTCGCTAACAAATCAACAGGATCCCCGCATCTTCCCTGCCCCTAACAAGCTCGACCGCCAGCACCAGGACTGCAACATGCAAATCGCCTACTGCACTACCCCTGCCAACCTTTTCCACATTCTTCGCAGACAAATGAACAGACAATTCAGAAAGCGTAAGTCATTCGAGTTTGTGGCATTTTGAGCATCACTGACAATTCCTCTAGCTCTGATCCTCTTCTTCTCCAAGTCTCTCCTTCGTCACCCTCTGGCTCGTTCATCGATTGAGGAGTTCACTGGCGAGTCTCACTTCCAGTGGATCATCCCCGACCCTGCCCACACCGAGGGTGAGCACCAAATTCAGCCCAAGGAAGAGATTGAGCGCGTGATTCTCTGTACCGGCCAGGTCTACGCTGCTCTGCACAAGTACCGCCAGCAGAACGGCATCACCAACACTGCCATCACTCGTATCGAGCAGCTCAACCCCTTCCCTTGGGCTCAGCTCAAGGAGAACCTCGACTCTTACCCCAACGCCAAGAATATCGTCTGGGCCCAGGAGGAGCCTCTGAATGCAGGTTCATGGACCTTCACACAACCGCGTATCGAGACATTGTTGAACGAGACCGAGCACCACAACAGAAGACACGTTCTGTACGCTGGTAGAAACCCCAGCGCCAGTGTCGCCACTGGTCTCAAGAGCAGCCACATGAAGGAGGAGCAAGATCTGCTCGACACTGCCTTCAACGTCAAGCAAGACAAGCTCAAGGGCGAGTAAATGGGATGTCCTTTTTCTTATTCCTGTGGGTTTCGTCGTACATAGTTGGCCTCCGGGGTTTCATCGAGGGCGTTAGCAAACAGCAGCGCCTTTTGTATTTCTAAATATTGGTTTCGCAAGTTCAACATGATTTCCTTTGTGTGTGCCTTTGATAAATTGTTTAAACTTTGATTATCAGTGACCCGGATCTTCACATGCAGATTTCAAAGTATATTCGCATGCCATGTTCCGATCGGCCTTGTACCTCGGTACCTCATGCAAGGGCGGCGTTTCCAAATGACGAAGGCGAGCCTCGGCGTATTGTTTTTATTCGATAACCGTCTGGTCAATTGCCGACGATATGATTATTGAATGTTTGTGGTTATCGCCACTTCTTCTCTTTAATCTCCAAATCTTGATTTGACTGGACTTGGGCCTTAATCACCTTGATCTCCTACCAACTCTGGCCGACATTACACAATGAGCAAGCCCGGAGATTTCGAAGCCGTCGCTGCAGACATCAAGAAGCTACTACACCAACCTGAATATGATGACGGTAGTGCTGGCCCGGTACTAGTACGTTTGGCCTGGCACAGCGCAGGCACATATTGCGCAGAAACCGACACTGGTGGTAGCAATGGAGCAGGCATGCGTTACGAGGTAATTACATGGCGACAGCACGGTGTTTCCAACCCCAGATGCTGACCAAACGCAGGCAGAAGGCGGCGATGAAGCAAACGCAGGTCTTCAACACGCCCGCGTGTTCCTGGAACCTGTCAAAGAGAAGCACTCGTGGATATCATATGCCGACTTGTGGACATTGGCCGCTGTCGTGGCCCTGAAAGAGATGGGAGGTCCCCAGATCAAGTGGCTCGCTGGCAGAACAGACTACGTCGACGACAGCAAACTTCCTCCTCGAGGTCGTCTTCCAGACGGAGCACAGGGTGCCGACCACATTCGCTTCATCTTCTACCGTATGGGCTTTACCGATCAAGAGATAGTCGCACTCAGCGGAGCACACAACCTTGGGCGCATGCACATGGACAGATCGGGCTTCCACGGCCCTTGGGTTCCCAACCCTACACGCTTCAGCAACACGTACTTCAAGATCATGACCGATTATGACTGGAAGGAGAAGACACTGGAGAATGGCGTCAAGCAATTCGTCTATGTCGATGAGGACCTCGATGAGGAATTGGCCATGCTGCCAACCGACCTCGCGCTTGTCAAGGATGAGTCGTTTGGCCCTTGGGTCCAGAAGTACGCCAAGGACAAGGATCTCTTCTTCGATCACTTTGCAAAAGCCTTTGGCAAGCTCTTGGAATTGGGCATTCAGAGAGACGCGAATGGCAATATCAAAAACACAGACAACGTCAAGGGTGGTTACCATGCCGCACCCAAGAAGTCGTCCAAGCCTGGCAAGCCGAGGACTGCCGGGGATGGTATTGCTGAGCCTTTGCAGGAGGAAAATGCTCGCTTCAAGGCTAGACTGTAGACGGAGTTTTTTCAGTCAAAGGGGTTTATACACGGTTTTATAGAGATGATATCCTTAGACTATGTTAGAATATGGTAGACCAGAATAGATAATGCTCGTAGACTTTGGTCTTTCTCGGTTCGGGAAACCCTCCATTGTATACGGACCTCACATGGATGTTGGTAAGTGACAATATGTACACAAATATCACTTCAGAGCAACAAAGAGTGGCTTAAAGAACAAGTAGTGGACTTCACACCATATTGAGATCCTCGTGGACGAGCAAAATATGGTTGATGGGATGACCCTGTCACGATGACGCCATTCGGAGATAGGAGTATCGCCGGCGAGATATATAGATGCTGGACAGGAATCTTGCCACTTTCCACACACCCTTGAATCACAAGCCCATGCCACCATTGCCATCTTCAACTCTCCCAATCTGCTCGCGATGTATGCGACCCAGATTTGCAGAGCGTGTTGTTCAGAACGTTCGACAAGTCCGCCAGTTTTCGACGCCACCTCAGGATGCCCAGACGGGACATGAAGAGAAAGAGAAGGAACAAGGTGCCATGTCTCGTAGACTGGCTGCATTGAGCGAAGAAGGTCTTGAAGCCGGTGGACGAAGTGCTCGCAAAGCCGTAGAGGAAGCAGGCTTTGACGAAGGCTTGAAGCAGGAGCTACTGGAGCGCATCGCTACTGCCTCGTTCCGCAACGAAAACGCTAGTGCTTTCGCACAGGCCGAAATGCCTGACAGTGCAAGTCGCCACAGCAGAGATATAGCTGGTGCCACACCATGGTCTGGTACCGAGAGTGTGCATGATGCATCGCTACGCATGCTCAATGATGCCTACAAGCCTTTGAAGCCTGTTCGCGGTCCTTCCCGTGGCCCTTCACGCGGACCACCAAGCAAGATCGATACTGGACGTCCAAGGAATGCACCATCATCAGGCGTCAGGCTCGCGAACGCGCGAGACAAGACGTCTGTTTATGCCCATATGAAGGAGCTACCCGACGATGAGAGAGAAAAGTTTAGAAAGGAGCTGAAGGAACGTTTCACGCCCGGCGCTCGTTCTGCACCTGTAACTCTGAAGGGTCTGGAGTCGCTTGCCAACGAGCGTATAGAAGATGCAATTGCTCGGGGCAAGTTCAAAAATTTACCTCGAGGAAAGGCCATCGAGAGAGACTACAATGCCAGTAGTCCTTTTATCAATACTACCGAATACATGCTCAATCGAATGATTCAGCGACAGGATATTGTGCCTCCCTGGATCGAGAAGCAACAGGACATTATCAGCACTTCAAATCGCTTCAAGGCCCGTCTCCGTGCTGATTGGCGAAGGCACGTTGCAAGGTCGATCGCTAGTAGAGGAGGCTCTCTCGAAAGTCAAGTAGCATTGGCTGAAGAGTATGCGCGTGCAGAAGCGATTAACAATCCTCAAGCAAAGAAAAAGGCAGAGATCATGAACACTGTCGATAACGCTGGTCACCTTACACAAGTAACACTTGAAGGCGGAATCAACCCCTCGAGTACTACAGTCACCGGAGAATCGCAACAGATCACAATCACAGAAACACCCGTCGATGAGACAGCAAACCCAACGCTGGAAGGAGGAGAGGTGCATATGTCCATCGACGCACCTTCAGAAGCCGTGGCAGAAGCTTCAATGACTCCTCCACCGCGAGTTGCGCCTTTCAGAGATGCCGACTGGTTGCGCACCGAGAAAGCCTATCACCAGGCTGCTATCGAGAACCTGAATCAATTGACACGATCCTACAACCTCATGTGTCCGGCTCTGGCTCAGCGACCATACTTCTTTCTGGACCGGGAGCTGAATGCATGCTATGCAGAAATCGCCCCTCAAGTCGCCGACGCCATCAGAGAACGTGCAGTGGCACCAAAGCCAAGGTTCGAGGCTACTTCAAATAAACCTGTCAGGATCCTGGGTAATCTAGCTGGCCCGGCCAGTAAAGTTTATGATGAGCAACGTCCACAATTCGGCTTCCGAGACCTCTGGAGGGAGTGGTTCAGTAAAAAATAGAGCCCTGGAAGCGAACGAACAAACTAGAGAAAGTTCAAACAAGTGTATTAGTTTCTTGCTGTCTGATGTGCGTCCTTCACCGGATCCCAGTAGCCGTTGCTTGTATGACCACTCGAAACCGCCTCGTCTGTCGATGTAGACTTCGAGCGTACTTGGCTGGACTTGCCAGGCTTGTTTCTGCTGTCACGGAAACGGAACACATGCCCTATACGGTGAGAGTCAGTACACTACAATCATCATGCTCGAAGACTTACACAGCATCCATCGTATGATCCAGTTTTCCTCGTTGAAGCTCTCGGTGTCATGGCCTTTCTCATACATGGTCTTGGTCTCAGGAGATGCTTCTCGGTATATCTTCAAGATCTCAGCATGAATCGCAGATTCACATATTTGAATGTTCGAGTATGGCGGTCGTATCTAAATTCGTCAATTTAGTGACCTTTTCCCCAGTGAATCTTCATGTGATACTCACATCAGGATCACCCCTCAACTGAGGCAATAGGCTGTTTGGACTGCTCAATATTCGTTCTCGTCCTTGCACTGCCTCATCCTGGATTGGGTCAGCACGACCTATGCAGGATCTCCCCCGTTTCACTCACCTTCATCAGCTCATAGAGACGGTTGTCAGACTTCCGTTCAGGAGACAGCCCAAGGCGCTGGAAAAATTTGTTCTTCGAGTCACTTCGTGCAAGCGGTGCCAGTTGAGGTGCCATGTCCATGAGATGTCACTTCAATTTGCAGGATATTTCCCGGCATGACTGATGGCGGGAGCGAGCTTTTGACACCTAGAGTTGACAAGATCCAGACCCACGTCGTAGCGGCACCGAATCTCGTGAGCATTTGTCGTCAAGGTTCGTGGAAGTTATCCGTTCTCCCCGTCGCCACTATTTCGATCTGCTTTGCAGTAACATGTGAAATGTTGATCCACTCATGACTGGCTCTTATTTGGGGTATTGTCTTTCGAAAGGGCAGACCAGGTCCAGCTCCAAGATCAATGCATCTACTTTATGGGTCAGCGCATCACTATCAGGGTATATGTACGTAATATACTTATGCGAGATTGAGTATTGAACAATGCGGTTTTGCCTGCACGAAGATCTGAGACATGAAGACGACGTTTCGTGGTGTTGGTGACTGGGCTGGACCTCGACCCCAACGCAATACTTGGCCTAGCAAGGTACCGAAAGGGAACCTATCCGACATCGTCAAATTGCAGGCTGATACCAGGGTTATCGATCAATGCATTGAATCTGTTCGATTGCTCTGCCTAAAGGGAGCTACATGGGAAAACCACATAAGCAGGATATTCGATCGGATGTTTGGTATAGAACAGTCTACTCCTTGCCGGCAGACATCGAATGCTGCAGTGGTCCACTCTGCAGCGATCTGTAGAGTACCATCGCAGCGACTAGCCATGTATGGCATATGCAGAAGTCCTGTTTGACTCGTAAGCGTTGGGCAGCAATATCTAGACTAACCTATCAAGACATCACACCACTAGGTGATGTGTAGATAGTCGTCAGCACACATAGAAATGATGAATATGAGCTCCGAAATCGCATTTTGCATTGTGAGATATCGCAAGATTGCAATCACGTTCCGTTGAGCAATGACTGACCGAAAGTGGTTCCCATACATTAGAAGTGAGTCGTGGCACAAGAAGTATGCAAACCATGATGAGATTGGTTCAACTCATGTAGGATCGGTTGCAGGAACGCAAGTCACTTTGAACGTCAGCCAGCCGTTCCTTCCTTCCAGTTTGAACCTCAAATCTCAAATCTTCAAGTTCGTGACGCACGAACCAACAAAACTCGTGAGGATTTTACAGACTGACATGGCAAAATGGGAAGGAAGGCGCTACAGGGTATGATGACAGACCACATCAGCCTCTTCCTCTCGAAACAGTCCACTCACACCCATCCTACCACAAGCAACAAATCAGTCAGCATGCTTCTTTTTCCTCCATCTTCAATTCAAGAGCCGCTTCGTGATAGCACTAATCGCAAATGTCTTACCCATTCGACAGGAAGCTGGAAAGCCAGAAACCCCCATCACCTTACCGACCTAGAAATCTCGGATATCGGCTCGTCTGACACATCGATATACAATGCATCAACAGCACCATCATACATGTCGGATCTCACATCGTCTTCTGATCGGGATCATTCCTCCGAACATTCTTTCCCTGCTCCCAAGCATCGGCTTCAACCTACCCATGCACGAGCCAAGAGTGAAGGACTTTCCCAACATGATATGGTTAGATTCGTCAATCGACCACACGGCACTCCTCTGTTCACCATTGTCGAGCAAAAGTCACTTGCTACAATTCGAGCTCAACTATCCTTTGCCTCGTTCGGGAAAAGAGGACCTGCTTATCTTGGTACCACCTCCTCTGGAAAGCCAAAGGCTGCTAGTGTCGACGACACTATGCTATTCAAAAGTCGACGCGGGTCCAGAAATACCGAGACTTCATCGAATGTAGATGTCCAAAGTCCAAGAAACGACCCTGTGCATCCTTTACAGCCACCTTTCAGACCCCCTCACCGCATCAAAACCCCTGAAGGAGTACCACAATGGCACGCAAACACACGTGTGTCTTTCCTGCGGAGGATGGCGAGGGCTCTGAGGTCCGCGAGGTCCTTGTCTCTACGCAATGGTACTCTTTTCGTTGTGAGGACTTTACGTGGAGAGATTCGATCACGTCGAAGAGTCCAATCACAACGGTGGCGTCCGCCTGTCAGTGGACACTCGACATATGGTTACACTGAACCCACGGAACATCCACTCAACAATGTGCGTTCTGCTGAGGTTCCCCAGGCGGAGAGCAACATACAAGAAGAAATCCCAGCTTTACCGATTCCTCAGCCAACCGTCGTCGAGAGACAATCTTTGGACAGGCGGTGCCGTTCATTGTCACTTGACGTTTCTCATGCTCAACGCGCTTTGGGAGCAATCGATGGCAACGCGATTCCCATCAATCCTGCTCGCGCACTTAGGGCTCGTTCAGTTCCAGTTCCTCGGAAACTCAGAGCACCCGGAACGGAGCTCAACATGAGGCCGTCCACTCAGAGCAGCCAATCGATCCAGGATAGACAACCGTATCCGTCCGATACGATGCGAACCACAGACATGATCGAGAGCTTCCCGTGTCCACCATCAAGATCGGCGACAAAGGCAAGGGCAAAGTTACAGTTCTTCGCCCCAACGCCACATCGAGCACCATCTGTTCCTTTCTTGAGTACCGTGGACATAACAGCCTGTGATCCAGGTAGCCCAGACTAGACGTCAAATGACGGCCACCCCAGCTCGCTATGCGCAGTCGGTCCATTGGTTCCAGCTGAGGGGAGAGGCGATATCGGATCATCAAGTACACCCCCTATCCGTGGCGAGCAAGCAAGGTACACTTTCTCCGGCATACCGATATACCGTGATGATGCAGCTTCGTTGCATAGTCATGATCGCTTGAGACTCAACCGGATGTCTGATGCAGATTCCGTCGATCACCAAGTCCGGCCCACAGTAGACTATGGTACGATTCAGGAAGAAGCTCAGACAGGACCATTTGAACCCGCTGGCACTGTGTTCAATCCTGTTTCACACCGCCGGATATCAAGCTTGGATTCTAAGAGTATGACTTTCCAGGATCCGGTCGGAAGTACACCTGTTGCTCAAAAATGTCCTCGACTTATTCCACAACTACAATTGGCCGTCCAGGGAACCAGTCAAGCAGGGCACATGGTCAGTCCCGCAATACAAAAGCAGAACAACAAATTTTGGAGAGTCGAGCTGGGAAAATTACGCTCCCGAGTGGTGCAGAAGAGGGACAGGTCCCAACGCTGGCGACGTGAGATCTCCAAGACTTTGGTGCGAAGCTTGCGCCAGATGGGACACATCTGTCTTTGTCAAGACGAGAGTGAGGAAGGATCAAACGACGGCGCCGGGCCACGAGCGGTCCAGCGTGTTCCGGTGTGATGGTTGGCCGCAAACGGGTAGCACTAAACACTCGAGACACCTAACTACCGAAGCAGCCCTTGTATTCTTATAGGCGGAAAGACTGGATTGTATTCATTGGTTCGAAAAGCGAAAAGTGGACCATCGTGATCGTGCATATATTGAACATGAATCGTAAAGCGTTAATTTAATACAGGCCAAGAACCAGTGTGAAAGAGGTGATTCGTGCAAAGACGAGAAATATGTACAAGGGGGTGTTACGCAGCCGCTAGAATTTGACACCAGGTCTTTTTCTCTTTGCCGGAGAAGTCAGTCCTGGCATCTCACTATCTTTCTGTGCCGTTGCCGTCCTCACTGCTGGTCTTCCAATAGCCGTCTTTACCCGCTTCTTTGCAGGACTCGACAAGCCAGGCAGAGAAGACGTGGCAGCAGGTGTCGCAGTAGATCCATCGTGTTTCGGAGGAGCGAAATCGAGTCTCGAGGATAGGGAGGTGGGCTTCAATGAACTGAACGGCGTGGAGGGCTTCTTGGGAGTTCCCAGACTGGTGGTTAGAGGTTCCGGATGTGCCGTCTGGGGCTGTGGAGGAGGTAATGTGGGTTGTGGTAGCGCGGACGTGGGTGTTGGTTTCGGTATGGCAAGTTTGGAAGAACGAGCAGGAGTTGCAATGCGAGACTTTCTTTTGCTGGGTACTGCTTTGGGACGCGGTGTTGCTTCTTCTGATGTCTGAGTAGGTTGCGCTGGCTCTTCGAGTTCCACTTCCATCTCGGTGGACTCTGGGGCAGGTTCCTCAAGGGGCTCCTCAGCAGATGTGAGAGGCACAAAGGGCTCCAACGCTCTCGCAGATACTCTCGAAGTACGGGCTTTCGACTTTGGAGGACTGTCGGGCGAGTCGGACTCGAATTCCCGGATTTGACACAACGTCTCATTCCACTGTACGCCTCTGCGCACAATCGGCCGCTCGCTCGGTACTCTTTCCATCGTGGCCCCCTCTGCCAAGCCCTCAGTCATATCCTCGAATTCCTCGCCAATGTTCAGAAGTCTGGCCTGAGGCATGGCGCTCTTTCCCTTGTTTCTTCGCGTATTGGTCCTTGTGAGGAGAGACAATTCCTGTGCTTCTGTCCTCTTCAGCGCAATATGATCGGCTGCACTTCTAATGGCGATCTTTGCGGGCTTTTTAGGGGCGGCGGCGGTCGCGCGCGTGCGTGTTGTCCTTCTGGGTGCCTTGGATTTGGCCGGGGTAAGAGCCGGGGGCTCAACAGTAGGTTCTTGCTTCGTAGTTTCGGGCCCGAGCTTGGTTTCTTCTACAGGCGACAGAGCTTTGGGAGGCGAAGAAGGGCTGTTCGGATCGAGTTCGGTCAGAACTTCAGGCTTGTCTGTGGAAGCAAGAGCGTGGCGCACGACATCCGAGTCTCTGCGATTCTCGAGAGATTCCCGCTTGTGTACGGCCATAGGCCGCTTGCTTGCAGCAGCACGACTAAGAAAGGCATGCAAGATGGCTGTGTCGTCGGTAATCCTGGGAGCAGAAACGGGCTCAGGTGTGTTTGTGTCTTCTGGCGGTGCAGATGAAGAACGCAAGTCTTGAAGAACAACGGGCGCGTCATGCTCATTGTAGCTCACGTCGGAGACGGAGTCTTGGGGGTGAAAGGGGTTCGGACCAGCATCGAGGTTAACACAGCGTTTTTTCTTTTGCGGACCCGGCGACTTGGGAATAGCGTTTAGAAGAGGGCGTGCGTGAGACTGCAAGTGATGGTATGGGGCCTTGGGAGCGCGTTGATATAGACGAGTGATAGTGATTCGCGAAGGACCAAGATGAGCGGCGTCGGCGGGGTCCCACGAAAATTGCTTTGGTCGCGACAAGAGCGAAGCAGCAGGCGCAGAGCGTGGACGATCGGGCGGCGACAGGGGCGAGGGGTCACACGCATCGGTGTCCATGTTGTTGTAAAGCAAAAGTGGAAAAAAAGAGAAAAATGACTTGAAGGCAGAAGCGACGGCGATAAGGCGCGAGGCACATGCAAGATGGCGTGGGTTTGATGACAAGCACAACAAAGCAACGGCAACGCGCCCGCAACCCGCAACCACGCTCGCCGGAGGAAGGTGCGCCGACGCCAAGCTCGAGATTTCCAGAGAGCAGCGCCGGCATCGACGAGATATTCGAGATTCCGCTCAGTCGCATACCATCGTCGCCAGCTACTCACCATGGTCGTCAAGAACACCCAAGCTGTCGCTAAGGCCACTGCGCCTCGTTTGCCTCCGCTCCACAAGTTGCGCGTACGAAAGCCCGATCAGGCCGGCGCAAACCCTTGTATCGGTGTCATGTCCTCTGTCCTCGGTATGTTTCCACATCGATGACTATCTGCCTCTTCTTCTTGCTCTAACTCTCTTCGCTAGGATGCTGGGCTTCTTCTGGTTATACCGCTCAAGGTTGTGCCGCTCTTGAACAACAGCTTCGTGCTTGCATGGACGCCCCCGTACGTTATAGCCGCCTCACTCGCCTTCTGACCATTTCTCTGACTGTCGTTCTTTCTAGAAAGCTGCCCAAAGCAAGAAGAGCTCGATCAACTACCATCTCTCGAGATTGTATCCCCAGATCATCGGCCCCCACAAACGAAACTGATCCTTACCATTCACGATTGCATTCTGGCATTACACGGCGTACCGGCGACAAGAATACACCCTCGGTCTTTGCTTCTTTTCCAGGCGGCGTCCTGTCCTTTTCCCTGTATTACAACACTATATTCACCATGTACAATTCTTCTCAAATCAGACCCGCAGCCAGGTCTTTACCATGCGCATGTCCCTTTACCAGTCACCATTCAAATACCATGCTCTTATCGTGCTCCTTGGAAAATCATCCTCGGCTCATGAGGTTATTGCCTCAGCACATGTCATTTCGAAACAGATGTGAAAAAGGTTCAGAAGCAAGCACAGGTACTCGGATCTTCAAAGGCTTCAGAGGTCTCCGTATAACCAACGACCCAGAATCGCATCTCAAGCTCTCGACAAATCTCTACAGTCTGCCTTTCAAAAGACATTATGAATTGTCACGTCAAGGCAGTCTTTAATGTTGAGAGAGTGAAGCAAAAGAAGTGCTTTATGTCCTACGCATACGGGGATGGAGTTCATTCCATTGGTCACTGTTTGATAGAATTATTTCAGGGCGCCTCTATATCAGAATACCACCTGTCAATCGCTGTAAACCGTCACATTCAATGCTCTCTCAGATCTTGTAGTCCTCAGTTCTAGCTGGTTACCCTAGGAAGACTCCCCGCATGTTTGGCCAAGACTTTGTTGCTTCTAGACGATTCGGTGTTAATATTTCCTCACTCTTCCGATCTGCTTCCGCTTGACCATCATCTTTAATACCCCTTGTGTTCTTTTCTCTACTCGTTATCTAGCTGCTGCGTCTTCTCTTCTCTTTCTACGGTTTCTCCGCATTCGTAACACGTAAGTCCCTCTTGACTGTCTGTACATGTCTTCACCCGCCTTTATATGATGAGACACCAGCTGGCACCAGTCCTAGAAAGACTTGTACTCTTTTTGCTGCGGAATAGCTTGCGGGGACACTGTCCCTAACTCTGATATCATCCCCCACCAGACACCTCTATTCAATGTGAGACTCGGGACATCTTGACTGACCATCAATCGCATAGACACGTACCACTCGGCTTCCATACTTGCTTACCTTTTACACGGCCAACATGGTTCTTCACAACCCCAACAACTGGCACTGGGTCAACAAGGACGTCTCCGGCTGGACCAAGGAATATCTGGAGAAGGACCTTGTTGGAATCAAGGCAGAGAAGGATGGCGCATCGGCTGAAATTTCGAAGCTGTTGAGCCAGGAGGGTGACGTCGAGGTCGCACAACGCAAGGGCAAAGTTATCACCATCTTCGACCTCAAGTTGCAACTCGAGTATACCGGCAAGACCAAGGAGGACGAGGCTGTCAGCGGTACCATCACCATCCCCGAGGTTGCACACGATACCGAGGAGGATGAGTACGTTGTGCGTAACCACATGCTCCTGACAGACCACGGCTGTTGCTGACATGCGTCTAGTTCGAAATTGAGATGTATTCCGAGTCTTCCTCCAAGACAGCCGTCAAAGATGTCGTCCGATCGCAAATCACATCGCAACTTCGCGCTCGTTTCCAGCAATTGGGCCATGCCCTGATGGATGCTCACGCCAAAGACATTCAGCATGCTGCTGGTCACAAGCCTGCCTTCACACCTGCCAAGGTCTACTCCAGCTCATCCGTCAACAAGTCGAGCGAAGAGTCCAAGTCCTCGACTACAACCACCACCAACGGCAAGGGCCCCGCCGTCAACGTGACCAGCCTCAGCGACCAGCAAGAATTCCGTTGCGACGCACCCATGCTCTTCCAGATCCTCACCGACCCTCAGCGTATCGCTGCCTTCACACGCGCACCCCCGAAGACCTTCGAGGGCGCCAGACCCGGCGGCAAGTTCGAAATCTTCGGCGGAAACGTCAGCGGAGAGTACGTCGAGCTATCAGAGCCTACAAAGATTGTGCAGAAGTGGCGTTTGGCCCAGTGGCCCCAGGGTCACTACAGCACCCTGAACATTGCCTTTGAGCAGAACAATGTCGACTCTGTCACCATCATGCGTGTCGATTGGACTGGTGTCCCTGTTGGCGAGGAGGAGGCCACCAAGCGCAACTGGGAGAACTACTACGTGCGCTCTATGAAGCAGACCTTCGGCATTGGCTCCATCCTGTGAGCGCAGTCCAAGTCGGCTTGTCTCTCGCAGAAATGCGGCAAGAAATTTTACGGGTACACGAAAGCATTTCAACGGACTCCATCGGTCCGTTCTCTTTGAAGAGAATCTTAGATATGATAATTATACAAATTATAGACGTCGAGTCCAACCAACTTCTGGATCTCCCTTGTGCAATCATTGGCTTGTTGCAAACTTGAAGTCCTCGTTATGCACCCAGTTTCCACGGTCGTACTTGAAAAGCGACAAGCCTAGGACTGTACCGTGGCAACCTTTCCATTCATCTTGAACCTGCTCGAATGCCTTTTGCACTTCCTTCTCATCGTCGACCTTGTTCATGATGGTGTAGTGAGCTGCGAAGCCACCCGCATCTTGGCGACTGAGAAAGTCTCCCCATGCCGCTTTCAGCTGTTGATGAACCTGTCTCGCATCATCACCGCCCGACGACTTAGGCAGGCCGATAGCAATACCCTTGTTGAGCCTAAACGGTGTTGCTGCAAGGAGATGGAATTGATTGGTTTTGCTCGAAATCTCTCTCAGGGTTGGCTTGATGGATTCCTCGAGCAAGCTTCCAGGTAGTGCGTGGAACAGAGTAATGTGGGCTTCAAGTCTGTTCAACCGAGGGGGGAAGTACTTCTTTCGTGTCTCTGTCAAGGTACGATGGTGTTTTGCGTCCGTGAGAAGGGTCAAGACATAGACCGAATCTTCAGCCGATGAAGTCTTGGGAACATGTGAAGGTGAAGGAGTGCGCTTGTGTCCTGATCTGCCGTGTTGGTACCGTTGTTGCTCGCGAGGAGCATGTTGTTGGTGGCTCGAAGACTGGTCTGCATGTGCCTCTTTGATGGGGTTTTGTCGGGGCTTCGGAATGTCTGCGGACCCTGCAGCGGCCGAGTATGAAAGTCGTGTATTTTGTGACATGATTGATCTTACTCTTCCTGGAGGTATGCTTCGAGAAAGAGTGGAAAAGCTGTACATGATCGTAAGAACAGTCTTCGAGCTGGACAGAAAGACTTTTGACCATCCAGGTTGGGATCGTTTTCCATGACGTAGCCGATGTCTGACGCGTTGTAATCAAAAGCACTGTTGTTCTGGGGGTGGCAGGCTCTAATTCAACTCGACTAGCTCGTCCAGCCCTCGAGTGATGAAGTGTTCTTGACATGCTCATTCTAGCTGCGTTGTGTATCTCCTGGTAGAGATGATTTTTTCAGCGTCTCTTTGTTGCTCAAGATGTTCTCATCCCTCTTAAGCGCATCTTTGAGATGCTGGCGCTCAGGATAACCACTTCATGGTGTTGCTGGGTACCAGACGCTTCAAAGTGTCAATATGCATCAATTGGCCCTTGAGTTTGAGGTCTCTGACGTCCGATCGAGTCTTTGTAGTGGCATCTGTACGTCTAGCATTTTCACCGTAGACAATGGTGAAGTCGGGCAGGTTTTCTGATTGAATGCTTGAAGAAGCAGTTATCTTGCAGAACTATGGTCTTGACGTTAGTAGTGATCCAATAAACTTAAGTGCATTAGGATTGTTGTTTACCTTGCCCACAACCACACCAGGTCCCAGGGTGGTGTTGGCCTCTACCACGCTGCCGGTTCCCACTTTTTCGGCTTGTACGACTGAGCCACTTTCGACGCTGACACTCTCTTCAAGCTCGACAGTTGTTCCAGCAAAAGTTCCAGGACTATCACTCAGACCCACAGTAGCACGATCGCCGACGATACAGTTCTTTCCAATGCGAACGGCTCCCGTGTTTGACGTGATTTTGGCAAACGGATGGAGTACCACATTTTCGCCAATAGAGACCGGATGTGTGCCAGTAATCACAGCTTTGTCGGAGATTATGGCAGATGGGTGAATCGAACAAGGTGGTTTGGGTCCAGGAACAGCCGAGGCCTGGCGACGGAGACTACCTGAGCCGGAGGACATGACGAGGTGCTCAGAACATCAAATTTGGTACCAGATGGATAACTCAAAACGCAAACAGTCGAGTGGTTGGGCAAGCAATGTGGAAGAGAGAGTGACCGTGCAGCGGGATGTGGGTGTTGCCGAGATTCGAAGGCTCGACCTCATGTGTCAAAACTTCAACTCTTCCCGCGTCCTTCAAGACTCCTCAATTGGTCTCCACGGCTCTTATCCTCACAGAGGTAACCAATTGCCAGCTCAAATTGTGTAGAGCGTTCGATCGTGGATTTGACCCAATTGAGTGCATCTGAACGTGCAGCCCCAATCTGTTTGTCTAGCACAACATCAACTTAAAAGGCGGCAGTCTATAAGGTTGTTTGCTAGTAAAGTGAGTTCCTTGCACTCGCATTAACCTTGGATGTCATTCCTATGTTGCAGAACATTGCTACGATTGCTTTACCGATATGCTGCAGTCCCAACATTCTTAGCGGTCCACGCTGAGCATTGTGGTAGTTGTCTCAATGTACCAGGTTGTCTCAAAAATGTCGCCCTCCAATGAAAGACTCAGAATCCGATGCTCTTACTGGCCACAATTGATTTTCAGAGGACTATATGCATCGCGACGGCTCACAGGATTACCAACGTGGAGGCTGGCAGGATCGGTCGTGCGGAGGCTTGGATTAGACGAAGGAAGGCGCGAATCAGGTAAAATGGACAGAGTGAGAACAGACCAGAAAAGGGGTTTCAACATCCGTCCCAAGAACGCAGAATGTTCCGGAGGTATCAAGAAGACTTCCGTGACCGTCGCGTCGTTTCCATGTCTTGTTTGCAGCGTCGTTTATGCGCAAACACATCGACTCGCACATAACTTGTTCATCGACAGCACTTTTCCACTGCACACCACACCACCCTAAGAATTACATGGCACGACGAAACAATGGTCAAGTCTAACAAGTTCGATTACACCGGAGTGAGTTATGCAGAGCACACGTGTAAACAGACCTGTCCTGACATGGCATTTCGCAGCGCACATCGTCTGGGCCGAAGCTGGGCAGGTCAATTGCGTCAGACCTTGAGAAGAGAGCGGAAAAGAAGCAGCGTGAAGCCACCAAGTCCTCGTCGACGTCGGCTCACAGAGCGTATTTCAAGTTGAATCCTTCATCGACGCGCACTCCCAAGAAGGAGCGTTTCAAGATCAAGGACAGAGACCGCCACGAAGCCGACAACGACCCAAAGGAAAGCACCATTCACAAGCTCGATCTGAAGGTGCCCAGCAAGTCGTTGACGGACGAAGGCCTTGCCCTTCTCGCAGATGGCCTACAAAACGCGCTGAAGACATGTCAAGATTTGGCTTTGGTTGATCTCAACCTCTCCAACAACGATCTCACCACCAGATCTCTGGCTCGCTTGGCTCCTCTTATTCTCGTATCTTGCCACACCCTACAAACTCTTGACCTGTCACAAAACAAGTTTCGAGTGTCGACGCCCTCGGAGGCTGAGGATTGGGAGCTTTTTCTCCAATCTTTCCGCTGCTGTATGACTCTGCGAAGACTCGACCTCAGTGACAACCCTTCTCTCGGCCCCCGAGCCTTTGAGATTCTCGCACGCGTATACTCGCATGAACCCCCGGTAGAGCCTCTGCCTGCAGCCGGCAACCAATCCTTCATCACCTTGCCAGACAGCTGCTCCGCTCTGAGCATCGGCAGCTTCGATGGTGCTATCCCGAGCCGTGCCGACGCTGATCTTCCACGATGTGCCAACGGCAAGACCATGGCCGACAAATGGGTGCTCAAACACCGTAGCGGCCTTCGATCGCTTCCATACTTAACCTTGTCCAACGTTGGCCTGAACGATACAGGTGCACTCTTCCTATCCTACATCCTGGAACAACACTACTATCCTATTCAGCTGGTTACGGAAAACAATGCCACCGAAGCCACAAGCACTATCCGCACCTACCGCCAAGACGCCAATACCAAAGGTGTCGACTGGGACAACAACTCCGACTTCCTGTCCAAGGATGGTCTTCACCTGTTGCAGTGTGCAGAGAGGCTCAGGATGAAGATGCTCCTCGGGGATACGGACAGCATCACCAGCTCGTATATGTCGGCAAGTCTGCCGGAAGCACATGAGACATCTCCTAGAAGGATCTCCACTGCTCATCTTCGTCGCCCGAGCATCCGATCCTTCCAGTCCACCGACTACAGCATCTACGACAAGTCCGACATCAACAGTGCTCGTAAGAAGATCCAACGCAACACCATTGTACACACCGGTTGCGAAGGCGTTGAGCTCTGGCGTGCATCTCTTACTGCAATCATTGCATCTCGCAAAGTGTTTTTACTGGCCCCTGTATTCAAGGCGTTCAACATGATCAAGTCTATTCAGAACATTAATGACCATGTTGCCGAGCACGAGACTGAAGCTGGCCTGGCGTGTGCTTCGCTTAGCACCGACGATCACCTCAATGACTCACTGGGTGCACTCTCGCTCTCTTCGAATGCGGTCGAGTTCGACGAGGGTCAAGGTAAGCGCTCATATGCCGCCACGCTTATGACTACCTCGCCCGTCGATTCTTTACACCCCGAACATGCCTTCCCAGACGCCACCAATCACTCGTACTCCCAGTCCAGCACCGTTCTCCGAACTAGCGCATCCTCTCGCGAGTCCGAGAGATACAGTTCTGACGGTACCCAAGCTCATGAAAGATGCGCCAAGGCTAAGGTCACCTCGGCGGACTTTGTGAGATACCAAGAGCGTCTAATGAAGAAGTTGAAATCATGCCATCGAGGCGAGAGTGACGGCTACAGAGATGTCAGTCTACACTGCCATCTTCCTCTTACAGCCTGCCTCCACATCCTCAGACTCAGCATGAGCGCCCAACAACTCAGTCTTCTCGGTAGGGACAAGCAAAGAAAGGCATTTGCTTGGGGGCAAAAGAGGGAGACGCTCAGCAGCGAGTACGATTGGAGAATGAAGGATGAAAGTTCTCAGCTCCTCATGCTCCTCACCAGCGCTGGATGCATCGAGTATTAAAGGATCAGAGATTGGACGAGAACGTGGCCGCTGCTTGTAAGTTAGAGGGTCGCGTGGTTGAGGTTTATGGCTGTCACAGAAGCAAGCCACCTAGATAGCAAACAAAAGAGAAGTTATTCGTTTCGTACAAAGATAGCCATGATCGCATATCCATCTTCCACTGTGTCTCGTGCTCGCAAGTCATGGTATCGGTGAAGCATTGTTGGTCTGAAAGTGGTACTACTCGTCGAGGACAACTATCACATGCTTATCAGCGGCATGACGTAGGCAGGCCAGGCATTCGAACTTTTGAACTTTTGTATCACGGCGGCGAGAAGTCAAGCCCAACTCAATCCCCAATCATTCAAGATACAGCTCAAAGGCAGAAGAGCAATACTCTCATTCGCTGGAATCATACTAGCAACAATCATCATGGTCAGAAAGGCATACAAACCGGTCGAAACAGGCGACGACACGACAACTGCCACGGCTCCGGCGTCGGAAGTCGAGGCGCCCTCATGTTTCAGCGATGGACTACCGCTGCCTCAAGTCATGGTATTCGATTTGGATTACACTCTCTGGCCGTTCTGGGTAGACACCCATGTTACAGGGCCGCTCAAGCCCACCAAGGATGGCCTTGTCGTCAAGGACCGCTATAACGACTCATACGGCTTCTACCCTGATGTAGCCGCTATTCTTGTTGCAGTCAGTTGATATCTCTGCTACTCCTTGTACCTACATATTGACATGTCGCTTAGATCAAAGAGAAGAACCTGACGCTATGCGCCGCATCACGAACCCAAGCCCCAGAACTCGCTCGCGAGATGCTCTCCTACCTTCACGTCCCGACCTCGCCTTCCTCATCTTCCTCACCAAAAGCCCTCTCCGTATTCGATGAGCTGGAAATCTATCCTGGAGACAAGAAGACGCATTTCTCGCGCATACACAAGAGAACGAATATACCATATGAGGAAATGCTCTTTTTTGACGACGAGTCAAGGAACAAGAATGTCGAGACGCTGGGTGTGGTTATGAAATTGGTAAGAGACGGTGTAAGCAGGAAAGAGGTCGATGCTGGTGTCAAGTTGTGGAGAGAAAGGAATCATAGGATGAAGAAGGAGGACTAGATTGCTGTGACCTCTTATACTGTCCTCTCCAGCAACCCACCGACCTCAATTCTCTCAAGCTGATGCTTTATGATAAGATGCATCATTCCGAATTTTGACAAAATCTTCCATGTCTAATACTGCGGGGGTCACCCTGTCTCTGGTTTTCCTCAAACCGCGACGTCGCCCTTTCTACCAAAACATGTCCTAAACTTGTGATTATAGTAACTGATTTGATGCTTCTCGGTATCGATTCCTGTGCCATTACGATGTTTGCAAAATTTGAGGCATTGGAGCGGATCTCGTGGCATTGGTACATGTCATCGCAATCGTGGTCTGACTTTGCAGGACATTTCACACACAATTGGTTACCTATCTGTCAATGTCTACTTTCAACATTGATGACGACTACTGCGTCTTTACCTGGAGGGCACAGGCTACACGGAGATTTCTGCTCGAGTCACAGCATGATATCAATCTCGAAAAAAGAACATGAGACGGGTGTGAACTAACGTGACAGGCTACGAGTCTAGAAGAATATAAGTACATCTATATCGCCCGCTCATATGACTGTACTTTCGAACTCTTCTCATCCGGTTGAAGTCCATTCTCTCTCGACCCGCTGCATGTCCCGTTGGCCCAGTCGAACCACGGGTAAGCAGTTCGCAGCTGGACAACCCAAACCTCTGCTGATACGCTGCATCGGTAGTCGTCACCTGAACTGGTTTCCAGCGTGGAAGGCGCACGCACGCGATCGCTCGAAGACGTTGAACATGGCAGAGGATCCACCAACCACAAAAGCTGCCAACCAGGTAGCTGGTGACGGTACAGGTCCCCAAAGTCAGAATGGTGGGCTCACAGTGGAGCTCATGCAATAGCAGACATCGTGGCGAGAAGCCACGCAGAAGGTGTGCAGAAAACTTTGAACTGAATTCCAGTAGAAGGCGTGGTAGAAGGATCTTTGCGGAGTATCATGCACAGAAGCTGAGCTGGATGCAGCCTCGTGCAGTAGCCACCACAGAGCACGAAGACGTCTGATAGACGCTATTCTGACTCGTGAAGTCAACCCCCTCCACAGCCGAAAAGGCCCTGATCTTACTACACAGCAGAGACAGAAACAGTCCGATACTGTAACGCCTGTGACGGGCATCAGGCGAGCGGCTTGCTCCCCAAGGCCACAACCCAGTTCCAACCTACCGTCGACACCGACATCATGAGTGATGCAATCGTATGCATCTCTAAGGAGATGACCGACTCGTTGTTTCGAAATGGAACCAATCCAGAGGTCACCATAGCCTATGCCTCAGGCCTCCCATCTTGTCGATGCAGTACTGCCCACCAAGATGAACTCTATTCCGGATCTCCGGCCGGTCCAACACAAATGACGGTGGTAGGGCGATATGGGAGAAACCTGCTAATGCAATGCAGGTGAGGAGGCACGACCAGAATGTGCAATATATTAATGGGCTGATGGTCAGTGCTATGCTCACATGGTACTCGTGTTCCTCCTTTGGGAATTGTGCAATTAGCATGGGGCTGACATGTCTGTTTCAGATAATGGAAAGGGTTGTCTCTAGAGGTGCTTTCGTGGTACGAAGGTCGATGGTTAGATCGAAAAGCCTAGGGTACCTAACTACCTGATAGTGAGATGCTTTTTGTTAAGGCACGATCCCAGACTTCCGCAAACAGGGCGTCGCAACGAATTGTGGTGTCGGTGTGAGGTGTCCCTGCTCTATATTGAACATCGTATATCTCCTTTTGATTGTGACACATGGTCGATGCATCTACATTAACCAGTAATTCTGCGGATTCGTCACTATCATTGAGCAAACACATGGCCAATTGTGGACAGATCGATTCGCATTCTACTGTACTGTACGAGAGGCGCGGTATGTGAATGCGACAGAGAATAGTTGACGGGATGCTGCTGTTCCGAACCGGGATCTCGGTTGGTGTTCGAAGAATTGACTCTGGTTGATGCATCATGCAAGTAAATGCAAGAGGCTCGTTGTGGAAGTCGGTTACGTGATCGGCTATATACGTCGCCAAGTCAGCGGCAATCTGCAGCTTCAAATCTGATAGATTGAGGTCAATCTTTTCGCAAGACGGGCAATCTGTAGTACGTGCGTATGATGTTCGAATAGATACCGCGATTGCTCTTCAGATATTACTAGCACCCCAGGATGGAAGATAGTGCCAGAGCAGGCTCGATGAGGCCGCGCGACCTCGTCCGTGGATAGCTTCCTGACTCTTTTCGTCAGTGGTTTTGAAATTCGACAATCCGCGGTGTCGTTGATGACTAGCGCGTGCTCTCTCATAAAAGATCAATGTGAGATGATCGATTTTGCTGCCAGGTTCTTCTCTCGGCCGAATGAATGCTCGTGTTCATAATACACGAATCTTAGATATGATTCGAGCGCTGTGAGATTGCCATTCAGCACTAATGACATCCGCATAGATTGGCTCCTTGGGCTATCCAGAGCGGTATATGCAAACCCTACATGACGCCGGTGGAGTACCAGCTCAGTCCTCACTCGGGCGGGCGATGGTCGCCGTTGGTCTTTGCTCCCCGAAACCTTATAAAGGCCTCAGCCTTGCGTACTGCGTGCAGGGTGCTATCCTCCGAGTGCATGATCGCTCCCGTGGCAGGAGCTCGCGGTTTCTTGTTGAGCGATGCATGCATGGAAGATTTGGAAAAACAGACCCAGCTGGTAGAGACAAGTTCCGAAGTAGTTCCCGTGAGCCCGTGAGCACGTAGCAGGTCCAAGTACTGGGAGCACTGGTCAATCACGCCGGCATCGCTAGAGTTGACTGCCGCGAGACAAGTCGTTTGACCGGCAATCTCAAAGGCCCAGATGGAAATATATCCACATGGTCTTTTGCGGTCTTGTCTAACATGACTCTGTCAAGTCAATAGCGGATGATTTTCCCCTGGAAAGGTCCACTAAAAAGAACAGACACCGACTACGACCCGCAGTTGATGCACGTTGGCAGAGCATGGCGGCGGGGAACACACGGACAGAATACTTAGCTCATGGCACGATCGCCGACGTCGACAAGCAAATCCAGGTTGCTGGGACCTCAAGAGACGAGTCCAAACGCACCGACACCTGCCACCTCTCTGGCCGTCCCATCTGGCAGTCCCGCTGTCAATGCACGTATTTTCTCCTTGCGCCATCGCTTGACAGCAAATGGCGTCACCAAACCCGGACAATCGAATAATATTGAAGTGTGAGCGCGGTCACTTTCTGATCAGAGATCGCCGCGCCGAAGAGGTCATTGCACCACTTCACCTGCTTGTCCGCACCTGACGTGTGAGGTCCGCGATTCGACGATAATTGATCAAGTCCTCGGCCAAAGTGCCTCTCGGCGGATAGATCGGGTGAGCACTGAGCAGATGGCCTCTGTGCTGCCCGCCTGACGCAACCGGAACATTGCCGTGATCGCAGGCCTCGTTGGCTGTGATAAAGGACACACACACAACAAATGAGAAGGAGCTGCCGGTGGTCGAGCGTGCATGATATTGAGAAACCACGAGTGTGGTAACCTGCAGAGGTGCATCTTCGTGCATTCTCGCGGGTGTTTCAGAATGGTTCCTAAGTCGTGAGTAGAGGTTCTCGCCCAGCAACGGTGTGCACCACAAAAGTACACGAGGGCGGCCGTTTGTGGTGATGGCTGTTGCCCGCTTCCGCATAAAAGTATGACTGTGTATCAGGCCTCTATGTGCTCCTGAACCACACAGTATCCGAACCCTTGAGCCGTTTAGATACGCTCTGGTAATGGCACTTGCTCAGAGTTCTGTCCCTGAGGCACAAGACTCGAGTGCGCACAGTGCTTGTCGAGTTCTTTTGGTTTGTATCGTTGACCGGATCTGCCAGGGCAGGGCTGGTCCGTCCCGCCGTCGCCAAAGCTTGCCTAGCACAGATGATTTGCAAAAAGGGAAATCTTTCATGCAGGTGTGCACACTTTGCAGCCACCAACTTACCAAGCCTCTGGGTTGGTGGCGGAACTGACTTGTCCCAAGTTGCGTACGCTTGCTGCAAGCATCACCATTCTGTCAACTTCTTGAGGGTCGTAGAAGAGCATCGACCACTACACGATCCTCTGGCTGGTTGAAAAGCTGCTAAGCTTGCTAGTGAACAGGTCGGCGCACTGATCTGAGAGTAGACGGCGTGGAGGATGTTGGAACATGATTCGACCGTCTCTGCCACGGCCCTCAGATCTGGGCCATTTTGAGATTGACAATGCGCTCATCAGACCCGTATCTAAGTGAGATTGATGGAGCAGCGGGTGCGGAGCATACATGCTTATTTCGAATCCGCCTGGATACTGGTCAACAGGGGGACGCTTAGATCAAGATGCAGTAGTAGAATATGGCAATGACCAGCTTGGAGCCCTCTCTTTCATCATGGTAGCAGGTGCCGCCGTTCTTGGTTACTTTTACCCGCCCGTCACCCATAACTTGACTACGTCCTGTGCATCCTCTGGATCCTTTTCTTCTACATCTTCGAAGTGTGGCCCGCATAACACCATCTGTACCACCTTGACGAGCTGTATGACGGCCGATACGAACGGGACACTCAGGCCAACCACACTGCAAAACAAACCACAAATTTCTACAAACCTCAACTACCAGATAACCGCAACACCGTTGCAGACCAAATACGCTACATCCACCAGCAGATCATCTACATCTTCCCTTGGACGACCACCATCAGCAAGTTTTGTTGTATACCGAGAAGTAAGGCGCACCCAAGGAAGAACCAAGTAAAGTTCTCATCTGACAAGACGTCAACCCCACAGACTTGTGCCGTGAAGGTCCGAGAGTGACCCAATCCACACGGAGAGAGATACGAGAACCCTGGAAGGGGAAGAAGACCGACAGCCACCACAGTTGGAACCGTACGAAAAGAGAAAACACGAAATCAGCTCCCGCAAAGTCCCGGACACGTCTGCGAGATTACGAATCAAACCAAGTTTGGAAATCGGAAACCTGGAACCAAGCAGGAAGGACTAAGTAATTCATTTCGGTCGGAAGCCTCGAAACACCGCCCAGAAATTCGGTGCAGGACACCCGTGGCTGGTTGAGAAGTGAAACGTTCTCTCGACCTTCTCGAAGACCGTGAAAGACCCGGTGACGTTGTCAGCGTTTCGAAAATAGCACGGAAAGGAGTGAAGACAAGGCGGCGCAGAGCAAAGTGCCGACTGCAAAGAACCTGACACGAAGCAATTTCCTCACAGGCAGCACACCAGGACTGTAATTCGAGCAGAATAGCAGCAGCAGGGAGAGAGAGACACGAAAATCACTCGAAGATACTTCGAGCTACTGTTTGGCGCGATACCAGCTTGGGAGACTAAGCCACAGAGTTGTCTTGGCGCAGCTTCTGCGTCTCTGCCATTAATCACCGGGCGCACGCTGGCTCGTCCTTTCCCTTCCACCATCCTGCATCTTCGACCACCAGAACATCAAATCAAAAGAGTATTCTCTTCTGATTCTTCTCCTATCGAGGCTATTGTCGTTGCTTTCGCGAATTAGGTACGTGTTATTGTCCATTGTCTCTCCTTCCCGCTCATCGCCTCCTATCCTTGCCTCCGTCGGAGTTCTTGTTTTTTTTCTTCCCATCGACACGCGTGCTGCCTTCACCCGTCACTACATACACGCATCGTACCCGTCCCCTCTCAAGCACTGTGTTTTTCCTCTGTGCCGCCGCAACCAACGCGCATCAGCCGCACGCACGCACGCCCTGACCCTTGGTCGGTCCATCCCTTCATCCATCCATCCACGTTCTTTATCGTTCGCACTCGACCCTAGACCGTTTCAATGCCCAGCAACTAACATGACCGGATTCCAGTCCTGACCGCTTTTCTCGACCACACCTCTCCACCGCCTATACCATCCACGATTGGTTTTCATCCTCGACGCGTGTGTCTCATCACTATCTGCTCTCTGCTCGTCTGTCCTCGTCCGCGCATTCCACAATAACGCGCGCCTGGTAAAAAAAACTTGCCTATCAGTCAGTAGTCCCACACACACGCCGTGTGCCGAAAGTCTTCTTGCACAAGACATTTTCTATCATACGCCCATATGTTGCTCCCTCGGATCGATTCGCTGTTGTGGCCCAGCACGAGGAGGGACAGCGGCATCGTCGGCAGAATGAAGTTGAATAGCATCTTGAATACTAACAAGTTTCCATCAGACACTTCCGACAGAGTCATGCAGTACGAAGTCCCTCACTACCCCCCTGCCGCACACCACGACATGTCGTCGTCGGCACCCGCACCGCAGTACCCCCAGAACCTCTACGTGCCTAATGGCAGAATCAAGTCCGAGAACGGTTCCGAGCGTGGTGTCTCACCTCACCCCTCGGACCCTTCGTCGCGTTACTCATCTCAAGCTCCTCCCGCCATCCATCCCGCCGCCTATCCTCCTCAAGGCATGAACAGCCTCGCTCCTGGCATGCGCTATCCTTCGCCTTCGCAGCTGCACCAGCAGATGCCTCTGATTCAACACAGCTACCACCCCGCGTCGAACGACCCGGCATACGCCCAACCACCAATGAACACAGCCCCTCCACCAGTTCAAGATACACAGCCTCAGCAGGAGGGCACCCAGCGTAGCACCGGTAGCGGCTTGCCCAAGGCCTTTGCGTGCTCTACTTGTGGCAAGGGGTTTGCTCGCAGGAGCGATCTCGCCAGACACGGTAAGTTGTTTGTCTGTTATCGGTAGCTTCACAACTGACGGACATGCAGAGCGCATTCACAGCGGAGTTCGTCCTCACGTTTGCGACTACCCAGGCTGTGGAAAGCAGTTCATCCAGCGTTCGGCCCTCACTGTACACTCTCGTGTTCACACCGGAGAGAAGCCTCACATGTGTGAGCGCTGCGGCAAGGTTTGTTCGACGCGTTGTTGTCCATCCTCGCGGCAGTTGACTAACTGTTCTTGTATAGCCCTTTAGTGACTCTTCGTCCCTCGCACGTCACCGCAGAATTCATTCTGGCAAGAGACCTTACAAGTGCCCATACGCCGACTGCCAGAAGACTTTCACGCGTCGTACCACCCTCACGCGTCACCAAAACCACCACACCGGTACTATTGAGGAGTCAGCCGCTGCTACTGCCGCCGCTCTGGCTTCGCGTGCCTCTATGCAGACGCGTGGATCGCGTTCGGACGGAGAAGAATACTCGGAGAACAAGTCGCCGCTGCCTACCCCCTCCCCTCATGACCGTCCTGTCTCGGTCTCACCTGCTGGTGGCATGAACGGCGTTGCTGCTCTTCAGCGTTCGACGTCCGACTACTACATGAACGCTATCAACGGCGGTATGACAATGCCTCCTCATATGCGCAACGAGATGGCCACCCATAGCCCGAGATCCGCCTCCCCAGCCAACTCTCACTACTCGATGCCCAGCTCGGCCAGCCAAGCTCGCCAGCCACTGACTTCTCACCCTGGTGCATACCCCCTTCCTTCAACTTTGGAGCCGCCCACTACCAACACCCCAAGCCAGAATGGCAGCGTTGGTGGCAGCCCCCACATGGGTGGTTCCGGCTGGCAGTCGCCCGCTCATCAATCAATCGGGGGTGCACAGCAGGCAGACTATTCGTACCCTGATCCCAACACCCAGCAGTACGTTCAAAACGCACAGAACCTGTATTATCAGAACCAGAACATGCGTCGCCCTCAGAGCACAGATCCCATGGACCCTTACCATGCCCAGCGCATTGGCCACGTGGGTCAGGAACTCTGGGCCCAGCACCCGCAATAAGTGTACAAGAAAAACAACAATAAGGAAAGAGCAACTAGAAGGAAGGGGAGTTTTGGCAGACAGGCGCACACGGTGTCAGAGTAGGAGTGGGTTTGTTTTCGATGGTGTTCTCGCATTTTTCCCTTTGCTTTGCACACATACGGTATACCTGCAGTACTCTTTACGAGGACTTGCATGGGCGGCGTTCTGACAAGATTGATTCAACAGTCTTTTTTCCAGCTCTGGCTTTGGCGACTCGAGGGTGTTATGGTGGGACAGGCGCAGCATTTGCTCTTCTTTGTCTTTCAGCGGCATGTGCAGGGCAAGATTGCGTCGGAGGCTGATAATGACTTGACGTTCGTGTAACCATATTATAGAGACTGCGGAAGCAGTAAAAAGGCATACATTGTTGCACACTGCAAAACACTGAATGTTGCTCGAGTATGCATGTGCACTTGTTCCTTATTCCAATGCTTGATGGTCAAAGCAACCGCAAATCAGCGTGACAGGGTTTGACAAGGGCCAAGAGGTTTCTCCTTGGGGCATGTATTGAGCACGGGCCGATGACGAAGACGTGCCAACCTCTCCACGCCTCGTCGTCGCATGCACGCCCAAGCCCATGGACTTTCTGCCTCGCTCGTAGCAATCAATCTCAACCTCGCCGCCGCCCGTCCGATCACTGCTTCTGTCTGCTTGCATTGACACGCGCACCGCGACTCTTCACCCCTCACCCTTCGCTACCATACCGCGCTCGCATAGAGCCTCGCTCGACCACACACCATGTCGCAAATGCTGAGGAGCGTCAAGAATGTCACCAAGGGATACTCGTCAGTCCAGGTCAAAGTCAGAAATGGTCAGTCTCACATGATTCCGCAATCTGCCGCCACTGACAAGATGTACAGCGACCAGCAACGATCCCTGGGGCCCAACAGGCACCGACATGGCCGACATCGCCAAGATCACCTACAACAGGTCTGCTCCCTCCAACACGCTCCGATTGCGAGCAGCACTGACAGACCGCTTTCAGTTCGACGGACTTCTATGAAGTTATGGATATGCTTGACAAGCGTCTCAACGACAAGGGCAAGAACTGGCGTCACGTCCTCAAATCGCTCAAAGTCCTGGACTACTGTCTTCACGAGGGCTCCGAGCTGTGCGTCACTTGGGCTCGCAAGAACATTTACATCATCCGCACCCTCCGCGAGTTCATCTACCTTGACGAGGAGGGACGCGACGTGGGCCAGAACAGTACGTATCTCAATCGTCTCGCCTAGGCCCCAAGCTAACACGCCTTCAGTTCGCGTTTCTGCCAAAGAATTGACATCCCTCATCATGGACGAAGAGCGCCTGCGCGCCGAGCGTCAAAACAGACACTCATGGAAGTCAAGAGTCACCGGTCTTGAAGACATGTCGGGTGGAGGAGGCTATGAGAGCGAGACACATTCGACTCCCAGAAAACCGCGCGAGCGTACCAACAGAGTGCGCACCGATGATGAAGATCTCGAATACCGACTCGCCCTCGAGGCAAGCAAGAACGAGGCCGAGGAAGATGCCAGACGACGTGCCCAGAAGAGCAGGGGCGGTGAGGAAGACGACGATCTGGCCAAGGCTCTCAGACTGAGCAAGGAAGAGGAAGAAGCACGCAAGCGCGAATTCGACGACGCAAATGCTAGTTCGCTGTTTGATGATACACCGGCCCAGACACAGCAGCCCACAGGCTTCAACCAGGGCTACCAGCAACAGACAGCCGTCGACTGGTTCGGCAATCCTATGGCACAGCAGCAACCTCAGTCCACTGGTTATCTGAACAACGCCTACAACCAACAGCCGCTTCAAGCTCAGCAAACCGCCTTCCCTTCGCAAGATTATTCAGGCTACTACCAGCAGCCTCAGCCCACCGGCTTCGACCAGTCCTTCCAGCAACAACAGCAGCCGCAACAACAGTTTCTGCAGCCTCAGGCCACTGGCTACAATCCATGGGCCACTCAAATGCAGCCTCAGCAAACCCAGCCTCAGCAGCCACAGATGACAGCCCAGCCCGGCTCCAACAATCCATGGGCTCTTTCTTCCCCTGCATCACAAGAAGCCCTGCGTCCCCAAGCGACTGGCTCCAACAACCCCTTCGCCTCGTCGTTCAATCGCCCCCAACAAACTCAACAGAGAGCACCCACTTTGTCTGCTTTGCAAGAACAAAAGACGGCAACTCAGTTCACTCAGCCCGCCTACAACCCTATCACCAGCTACCAGGCCCCTCCACCCGCAGCTGCTCCCTTCCAACAACCCGCACAGACTGCTCAGCCCATGGACCCCCACCGTGCACAGCTGAACGCCCTCCTTTCTTCCGGCGAAGGTCAAGACACGTTTGGCAACGTTGGCAATATGCGTATTCCTGCCCAACACACTGCTCCAGGCACTTTCGTCAACAGTGCCGGTCAAGGTCTGACCAAGCTCGAAGCCTCGCGCACTGGCAACAACCCATTCCTGCAAACTCAATTTACCGGCATGCCTCAACAGCAGTTCCCTGCGCAAACTGGTCCTGCTAATGGCTATGCATCATCCAATCCTTTTGGCCAAAAACAGCAAGGTCCTCAGCAATCTGGCAGTCTGATCGACCTGTGATTTGCTTTGTCGACATTTTCCTATGCCTTTTCCCTCTATCTTGTACTGTTTTTTCTCTCTGCCAAATTACCCCCTTGTCTCCCTTGTTATCTTTTTCTCTCCAGCCGTCTCGAATCATCTGTGTCATAGACTTTTTTGGAGCGGCGTGTTCCTCTTTTCTCTCTCTGCCTTTCCACACTTGAGATACCGCTAATCGTTGATTATATCTTGTACCCCTCTAAAGAAAAGAATGTTTCTTCAATAATATGACGTCCCTTTAATCGAATGTGTCTTCTTGTCTTTGAAACGTGCCGTCGTCGAAACACCGGTAGGTAGAGAAATCGCAATCGAAGCCAAACTTCCTCCTTGGGTCTGTAGATTAACCTTCCACACGTTACCACCGCGACGTTTTACGCACCCTCGAAATACAAGTATGGATTCAATACAATAAACGCTTCCACTGAAAGTCCCCGCCTCGTATCAGAGAAACATTTCTCTTGATGGCAGACTCCATTAGAACGCCAAAATCTATTACCTAAGCCATTATGAGACATAGGCTTTTCCAAAGATATCTCAAGAACACGAATCAGCAGCATGATATACTTGTCAGAATGCAAGAATGGATTCAGGATGTTGAGTGCCCCCACTGAGATGGTCCTCTTTGACAGCTCTCACTAGAGGCTTCCGATACATCAGAATGATTCTGCTTTTTGATAGTCAATGCGAGACGCAGCCGGAAGGCTAGAATTCCAGTTGTTTCCTACAAGACAGAAGCCCCATTGCTTTTCGTAGCGATCAGATGGCATAATGGGCTTTGAAAGACTCACGATAGCTTGAGACTCACTCGCATTTGGATGGAGATTCTAGATTAGTATTTGGATGTCGAGACTGAGATGAAGCATCTCCATCATATCACAAGGCGCTATTATACCCACCAACAGGCAACAAGGTTTAGTATTACTCTGAAGATGCAGGGAAAGTAATGATTATGCGAGAATAATTGTCATTTCATGATATCTGACTGATTGGCCGTAAAGCGTCATGCTATGTAGCATACAATGAATGAATGAATGCGCTTAAAAAAGAGTGGCTGTGGTTTCCTATGAAAAAATTCAAGAAATGACTCCGGCGTCCGAAGAAAAACAAAAGATCGAAACAGCAAAGAAGCTCAAACATAGAAAGTCTTCTCAGTCAGCTTACGGTGAACTCCTTGGGTCCAGTCGGCTGTCTGCGAGTTGTAGGCCGAGCCGTTCGCGCTTTGGTTCTCGTTCAAGGTCGAGTAGAGGTACATACGACCTCTCTCGCAGATCAGGTCGGCGTAGTATGCTGGAGGGCATATAGAGACAGCCTTCGTGGCGCGATTGAACATGTAACACAATTTTAGCGTGAAAGATTCGAGGCTGTCCTGGCTGAAGTTGAGCTCGTCCTTGATGACAACGTAATGGGCAGGTCTAGCAGTTCCTTGCAAGCCCTTGTGAGCCTGCAAGAAATAGTCCCAGAGGTAATGGTCAGTTACGCCTCTGTCGACGACAGTTCCTGGCATAGGATTGCCAGTCCTCTGGTCCATCGATTTGCTGTCGGTAGGATAGAATCTGGTGTGGTGACGCTTGCCGACGATGATGATAGTGATCTTTGGCCAATTTTTCTGGTCGCCGTAGAGTGTCTCGAAGGCCTTGTGGATGGGAGGCACCTCGTGCTGAAGAACAAGGTTGTACTGTCCTTCAGAGACACCGTCACGGAAAAAGATGATTTTGGAGGGCAGGCTTCTGTTGTGCTTACGCCAAAGCTCCAAACGCTCCATCATCATTTCAGTGAGACCTTGAACCATCTCCTCTCTACCCCTCTGAGAGCGTAACGAGCCAGGCCACTGAGCCACCTGGTCATTCACACTGGCGACGACGCCGGCAATACTGGGACTGCCCTCGGCAGAACCAGGCGAAGGGTGCGTGACGTCGATACCAACGAGCATGCAGGTGTTCTTACCATCAAGCGGTCCCATGTCACGTTGAGTGTGAACGACGCCACCACCCTTGATGTTGAACTTCAGAGCCAAGTTCCCAAGGTACATGTCTTGTCCCTTGGGTTTCTGGATCTTGCTACCGACGGCGTTGATGGTTTGGACTCCATGCTTGACGTCACCGTAGTACTTGATGCGACTGTAGAGCCATTTGTCAGCTTCCTTGAGGACGATGAAGAGGAGCTCGATATCGTGGCTTGACGCCTTGAAGAGGATCTCATCAAGCTTCTCATCAATGTCCTGGCGGCTCTGCTCATTGGGTCGCGAAATAGTATGATGCTGCGTGGCCAGGCGTGGACCCATTCTCACGCCGTAGGCTCCTAGATGGCGCTCAAGAGCTGCCAGAATACCGTTGTCGTCAAGAACGTCCATGCCTTGCATCTGAGCACCTTGGGGCAGCAGTGCATTGCCTCGCTGATCGTTGTAGTTCAGCACAACAGCAGCCCACTTGGAAATAGAGCCAGGCTTGGCAAACTTGACGTTCATGAGGTTCCAAGATCCTTCTCTAGCTTGCAGCTCCTTATTTCCGTAGTAGACCTTAGGTGTAGGCAAGATGCGGCCAGGCACCGAGATGAGTTCAGTACCCACATTGAAACCGAAATTGTTCAGTGTCTGGGCTGGGCCGTTGAACCCCATTGTTTTCAGGCCATTGCCGGGCGTTCCAGCGATAGACTCTGCATTGAGACGGGGGGCCCTTGCCGCGAAGTTGATCATAGCAGTTGTCTGAAGACCAGAGAGTAGACGTCTGACGGGCTGTCCAGGAAGAACTGTTGCTAGCTCAATAGGCAAGTACGTGGGATTGTTTCTCGAGCCGACATTGAGGACAGGCAAGTCTGGGTGCTGGAGAGTGATGCCGTGCTGGGACTTGAAGTAATCGAACACAGTAATGTCGCGAGCTGCGGCTTGAGGGGTCTTCGGGTCAGTCCACGAAAACTTGACCTGTTTGGCGCTACCGTTCCTAGGCCTAAGGGCCAAGCCAAAGATGCTTTTGAAGCTGGGAACAGTCTGAGGCTTTCCTTGACCATCTTTCTTTGGCTTGCCACTTGCGTCAAGAGCTTTGAGATAGTCGGTTCGAACGCGAAGCATGCGAATGAATGCTTCGGCTCTAACTACGTCTTGTGGTCTTGAAGGCTGACCAGAATAACCACCGACGTACTCGACAATCAGGTTCATGAGCGGTGCTGATTTGTAAAACGCCGCACTCGCGACGTTGAGGTTGACCAAGATTCTGTTCGAAGAGGTGCGAACACTAGCATAGTATCCACGGAGTGCTTCGAGGCCACCGCCAATTTCAGCGTGCTCGATCAATGGTGAGCCGACGCCAGGGTAATACTTGTTTTGGCCCAAAGAGTAGACGTTAGCGCTCTCGTTGGGAGTCTTGCCGATGATGATATTAAGTAGTTGCACAAGATCAGCTTTGCCTTCGAACAAGGAGCCGGATTTGACTGCTTGAAGGGCACGGACGAGCTCGGCCAAACTGAATTCCCCAGTCTTTTGCAGCTCGAATGGCTTTGTACGACGGCTTTTGGCTTCCTGAGCTTGGGCATTGTCGGGTCCCGTGAAAGCAGGTAGGTCAGGGTCGATGAGTTCGACCTTGCCTTGCTTGCGATCGGCAGGGCCTAGGTCAACCTTCTTGGTTGTCACGATGATGCTCGAGTAGTCGGTCGCAACCTGCATGCCATTGAAGCATGGGTCTTTGAGAATGTTCGACACGAAGAGACGCATCTTTGGCTTGCTGAGCTTCTCACCGCCAACGGTGCCGACAGCATAGCGGAATAGAGGCACCTCTTGCTTGCCTGTCTCAAAAGCGGTAGTCAGGCGTAAATAGTTGGCACGCAGCACGATCGGTAGACCTTTGGTACCATGGCCAGGACGTCCGGGGAACTGGTCGTCAATGATTTGGCCAGCAGTGCTCTTAACACGAATGTCTTCGAGAGCTTGGACTGCCTGATCCGGCTGAGGGACATTGCCTTCGCTACAACGCGAAATCAGAGACCGTTGACACAGACGAAGAGCAAAGATGCACGAGAACAGACAATATAGACGTAGGGGCACACGTGTCACCCTAGAAACGAGCTCTCTCACCCCGCAATGGCTGCTTCAGACCCATCGCAAGCCACAGCACTCCTGAGACAAGCGGAACCATCCAATGAAAGCAACTATCGGCGGGCTTTCAGTGGACTAGATTCCATTTCTCATAAGGACTGCATCTTGAGACAGGACCATAGCAGTTCTTGCTGGGTGAGAGAGCTCGGTTCTAGGTTGATATGTGTGCCCCTACGTCTATATTAGCTGGGGAGAAGCACGAGACTTACAGGAAAATGCTGTTGCTAGGAGGGCCAGAGTGGTATGGGACCTGGAAGCTTCCTCCACGTCCACGGCCAGCACCACCACCTCGACCACCACGATCGCTTTGGAAGCCACCACGGTCGCCTCGATAAGAACCGCCGCCGCGATCGCCTCGGAATCCACCACGGTCGCCGCGGAATGAGCCACCACCACGGTCTCCTCTGGGGGCACTACCACCACGATCTCCTCTAGAAGAGCCACCACCACGATCGCCTCTGGGAGCACCGCCTCCACGGCTGCTGCCGCCAGAGGATTCACCACGGTTAGAGTAGCCTCCACGGCTGTCTCCTCTGCCGCCTCGGCCACCTCGACCGCCTCCTCTATCTCCACGCTGTGGAGCTGACATATTGTGAATGGCTGAGTGAGTCTTGAGTCAAACTGATTGATGGAATGAGAGATAATGCTGAAAATGATGGAACAGACCAGCGTCGCTGATATATGAGCTTCTGGTGAATTGGCTCTTTTGTTTGTGTGTTGCTGCAGCGGTTGCTGAATCAATGTCGGACGCGATAAAGAAACACGCGAAAGGACGTTTCAGGAAACTTGCAATCACTGCGACAAGCTACGCCGGCGCGAGTACTGAAGCTGCTTGATTCAATGAATAAAATGGGTGTTGTCAATAAAATGGTGTTGGATACTCTGAGGTGTGGTCGTCGGTGAAGACAGGGCGATCAGTTTGGGACTTTGCAGGCAGCAATCGCGGGTCGCGTCTCATCGACACGTCCGACAAGCGCATCATCATGCATGAAATTGATTGCTGCATTTCAGCTTTCATAGGTATCTACATCAAGATTTAACGCTCGCAGGGGGGTATTGAGACAGAGGAGGAGTTAAGACACGCTACTGCAGGCCATATCCGAGGGGTCCGAGCCGTTTTTTCCGCGCAGGCTTCAGAGGTCATTTCCCTAGTTAAATCGACGAAACTGCCTGCCCATGGGAAAAAGATCAAAGATTTATTGACGTCCATGGTATAGATGTTAATATCAATGTCAAAGGTGTTTCTGATCTATCTATCTATTCACACGGAGGCGACGAGCGTACGTACGCGGCCAACTAAACTATGCCGTCGTCGCCGGCCTCCTCCTTAGCTACATCGTCGTCGCCGCCACCCTCGAGCGTAAAGGGGTCTTATTTAGTTCTATAGCTACGAACCTCTTAATCTATAAGCTCTTTAAGCTCGATCTCTAACCTCTAAATATTGAGCTCGTATCGCTACTTAAGAGCGCTAACCTTAACATTAGTCTCCTCTTTAACTGAGTTATAATAGACATAAGCCTCCTTATAATTAGTAGAGGTCAGTTCTAACGACTAAGACTATTGCTTTCTTAGCTCTTTAAGTTAAGTCTAAATTCCTTGCTTCTTTATAGTAGCTAATCTTAGAGGTATTAGGGCCTCGTAGATAGCTAATTTGCGGCCTTATTTAGTTATAATAATCTCCTCCTTTTTTAACTTAATGTCTCGTATACGGCGAGCTACGCGAGCAGATAGGATGCTAGGGCTAGAGTAGCGTTTCTTGCCCTCGCTAGTTCTTATATTGCGACGGTTATGCTAACAAAGGAGCTCGTTTTTATAAGCTTAAAGTAATAAATAAGCGTCGAGGCGACCGAACTCGATAGCGAGCACGCTCTTAATCTAACTAAGGTCATTTAGCGAGAGGTTTAGATTACTAATGTTATTAATAAATCTAAGGATCTAAGGTGCCGTAGAAGGAGGATCTACTAGTATAGCATCGTCGCTAAATAAGTCGGTTACCTTCTAACTGTCAGTTCAATGCGTAGGTGTATTAAATTGCTACTAGATTAGCTAATTATCCTACTCCTTTTGTTACCTATTAACAAGCCTTTTAAGAACTATGTTAGGATTAAGTAGCTAAATTCCAACTGCTTTAAAAGAGTTCTTTATAGCACCTAAGGTAAATATTAAGTCGTAGATCTTAGTGTACATACTAAGGAAGGATGCTTTATTAATAACGTCGTAACCGGCTCTTAAGAAGGTACTTATCTTAGCTATATAGTCGGCCTTAAGTGTTAAGAAGAGAGCTACGTCGAGGGGTTATAAAAGGTAAGTTAAATGAGAGGGGAATTTAAGTAGTAGTATCCTTCGTGACTTAGCTTTTTAGATGAATTCTAGCGATACGTAGGTCGAGTAGCTATTAAGGATAAGTAGTCGTTTTAGAAGCAACTAAGTAGCTAGTATTAGCATGCCCTAACCGTCCTTAGGGTATGTAAATTAGTTAAACAGATCGAGCTATCTAATAGCGTGCTCCTTTAAAGACTATCCGTTTTTAGAGCAGGTAATAACATAGTTCTTACTAGCGTATGTACGTATTTCTACGGCCTCGCGCTACTCCCTTATCTCCCTCTTACCCTTAAGAATTATATACGGAGGCACCGTACGGCTAGAGCATGTAGATATGCTAATAATAGTAGCCTACTCGCGAGTACTAGCATGTCGACGGAAGTACTAGCGACCTTTCGAACCTAGTATAATGCACTCCTCTCCTTAGGTTATTCTAAGCATAAATCCCGTCTTCGTCGCAAAATCCTAAATCTTGCTATAGTACTATATAGCAGCATAGTACCCTATAGCAACTACTATAACGTATTAACGACGCTACTACATAGCACGGGTAGCGATAATCTAATCTTAAGACAATTATGCTCGCTAGACGCTCGAGGCATAAATACCTATGCTAGCGACCTTTACGTGCCTACTATAAGAGTCGCTAGTAACAGTACTAGTAGCACTACTAGTAAAGTTCGTATAAGCGCTAGCCGTAGGATTAATAGCGAGTTCGTTTATTCTACTATCTTCGTTCTTACTGCGCTATATGCTAGTAGCACGACTAGTAGCCATTTTACTAGTGTCGCTCGTAGTGCGACTACTAATATACCTATAGACTCCTCTAGTAGCGCGGCGCTCGGGATCACTATTATAGTAGCTAACCGCATAAGGACCGTCGTAGTTAGGTTTAGCGAAGAGTTAGACATTTGTCCTATTAGCATTACTCTACTTTCTACTTCCTACTCCTCCGAGGGATCTGCTAGCTATACCTTTAACTAAGCATCATTATTGCTTCTAAATTCCTCTACGATCTTGTCCTAGGTACTCTCTATTAG